ATATAACGACGACGACGAAGGACACTCAGGTGAGTGCCCCAACTGAGACTTAACTAACTAGAACCTTAGGTTACGATACGAAGAGAAGCTAGGTTGTGACATACAGTTTATCAATCTCAAATCCATCTGGCAGCTTTGGCTTCTTCTGAATCCTGCCTGACCGCACCTGTGTGCTCTCTTCGGTTGCCATTTCAGGAAGTGGGAGGCCATTATCTCCAATACCAGATACTAATTGGGTATTCTCAGGCAGAAGTGGATATTTAGTGGATAGTGTGACGAACCTCATACAATGATGATTTATTGGTAGGCTATTTCACGAAATTCTAGCATGAGGAGAGAAAAGGAAAGAACAGGGTCTGTCGACGACGGGCTATCTAGTGTGTGAGGTTCGTGCCCTATGCCAAACAGATCAAAGTAATCAAACATGCTAAATAACTACTGAGCGTCCATGCTCCGTGACAGATATCCAACGGATATCAGCAAAATCCGTCGATCATGAAAATTAAAATGAAAACCATCAAGTCCGTCAAATCTGGTTTTTGAGTGTAGTTTTCTCTCTACTTTTATATATGATTATATTAAGTTGGGGTTATATATAGCTTTATGATGCTTTTATCTGTCTTCCTGTGCTATTTCAAAGGAAATTCAGCGAGATTTCGTATATTAATGTTGTACTGTAGCAGTTTGCAAGAAAATTTACTTAGTTCGCACTGTGTTAAATATATATTTCCACCCTGACTGCATGAATCAACCAACAATCATAAATTACTTGCAAACACGTCTTACCTACCCTATAATTCATGCCAAATCTGTGATTTTAATAGTATTTAATAATAAATACAAGATCATTTCTTATTATTTCATCCAGTAAGTAGGGAAAAGTGCAGAATAGTATTGTCATAACCGAACATAAGGACCCGATGAAAAGCTATGGCCTGCGTTTTAATATCATTTAATAAAGCTCTAGATCATAATTTCTGTAGATGATATACTCCAGGGACTCTGGTGTTTAGTCACCTCCAATCATATCATCTCTACCTCCTTCCTCACCTTCCTTCTGATGATCACATCATCCATCATTCATCTTCTTCACACACAGCTTGTGCGCCATGCGAAGCCTTGACAAGACGGTTTGACCAGCACGAGCCAACAACTCATCTAGATCGGCTGCAATAAAAGCACTTCCATGCCCTGAAAATATCACGGGCTCGGAATAGTGTGACGGTTCACACATGATAGCTCACATATAGCGGCTCAACACTGCAACAATGGATGATACATCACAAATGCCGCTATTCAGTCGTGCCACCAACAACCCCTATAAAACCTCTTCATTATCCAGATAGATTATCCTCTTCTCTTTTCTCCAGATTCGATATTCTCGTCGATGGCTACAATAGTTTAGATAGGAACGTTAATTCATTATTATCTGCTATTCCGAGACCGACAGACCCCTCATAGACGGACACACACACACACTCGGTTTAGATAGCTAAGCACTCATTCTATCATCTTGGTGTCTATAGAGATCAATATCATCTTCCTTAGTGTAATTTAAATTCGTCGCCTATAGCATCGTGCAGTCCGGATAATCGACTCTCCCGACTTCCCCGATACGGAGTTTTAACCGCTACATTGGTTTATCCGTTTCACCTTCTTCAATGAAATCTTTTGTGCCAAAAGCTAGTCATTAGCATCTCCGGGCCTAACCCTTCATATTGATATCGTATTTGGTAGTTACAGTTTCTAGGTTTCGTAAGGCCATTTTGATTGAGCCAAAGAAGAGAAGACAAAGAAATCTGGAAGCTGTGTTTGAGAGGAAAAGCAAAATGTACATGAAATCAATTTTTGAGTGTTTTGGTATTCAAGCCATGATGGAAGCGCTTTCCAATATGAGACTATGGATAATTAAGGTGTAAATGTTCCAGGTGAGTGTATTTGTATCTTGGACTTCTTCAATATCAACCTTGCTTTATTCAACTGTGACTGATGAAACATCAGATAAAAACATACCCCACAACAGGTACTTTTTATAGTATAATTCTATTCCTGGTGCAAGACATTCTTAACAGCACAGGCATGCATCTATGCTGTGGTGATGTTCATGGTGTTGGGAGTAAACTACAGATCCTTCTTGAGATAAAAAATCCATCTGGCCCCAAAAGTGCCCCAGAAGCAAGCATCTGCATAGCCTTGCATAGCAAAAGGATTCAAATTCTTTCCAATTGAATATGGGGGCCAAACAAACGCGAGGCAAGGCAGACTGCATATTTTTGTAGAGCTACTGCGACTAATTAAACGCCAGGTAAAAACATACCCCGCGTCAGGCTCTTTTTAGAATACAATTCCACGTTATTTCCAACTCAGATATCTCACTGTTTTCATCATACAATCCTAGCCATCTACACAACACAGACACGCGACAATGACATACACCAACCGGTTGAACTCCTGGATCGCAGAAGGTGCCATGGACCGCAACTGCATCCTCCAGCGACTAGGCGAGAGGATAACGGATTTCACAAAAGACGAGGAAATCGCTCAGCTCTATCAGAAATTTCAATTATTCGGCGCAGTTGACAACGGGAAACCGCATTGTCTCGACCAAACGATCTTTTTGTCCTTCCTCTGCAGCCATGGAGCGCTTCCCTCATCTCTAACAGAAGCAGGATCCATCCTGTTCAACATCTTACAATATCTCTCACAAGCTCCCTTTTCTCACCAACAACTGCTGCCAGAAGCCTTGACAGCGGAGGAGTTCCTTCGAGCTCTGACATGGACTCACTATGAGAAAGCTTGCCTGGTCAACCGTGAGGGGAATCGCTGCCGGGGTCGCACGCCAGCTGACCACCGCCGATTGTTTTTCCAGAGTCTCGCAACAGATTGTGATGACAGAATTCTCCCCCTGGATGTGAAAGAGTGGCAACAGCAGACAGAGCGCAGAGCATTTGAGCTCACAGATTACCGTCATGAATTTGCAAGGATCAACTGTGATGAGGATGGGGATGAAATGTACCATGATGTCCTAGAAGTGATCTTCTCAACCCAGCCAGTAGTTGATGAGGCCTTAGCACCAGTTGAACAGGATGAGTTTCATTCCATCGCCAAGAAGCTGCATGGGAATGATGTTTATCTTCATGAGCTTACGATTCCGCCTGCAAGACTTCATACCTTGGTCAAATTGCTTCTTGTTGCTCGGTTTGGGCACTGTGGCATGCTTCCAGATGAGCAGCTCCCAGAGCTCAGCCGTGTTGCAGATTCTATTGTGAAATTATTCCATCGCATTGCAGGTTCAGGAATCACTTGGCCAATGTTTGATGATGCCGCCCGAAAAGTAGTATGTTAAAACTTCCACCATCCTCCATAAAAAAGAACCGCTAATTTTCTTTCTCAGCCATTGCTTTTCGACACACTCTATACTGTCTCTTTCAACCTTTTGGGGCAACCGGAAACCTTGTCTGACCTTGAACAGGTCATCCCTGAGCCAGGAAATATTCTTACGCTCCCCAAGCTAACTCAGCTGGCTTCTGTGCTTGAATGCGATTTCTCCTGGGATGACTTCTGCCCTCTTTACCAATACAACTCTGATGACAACAGCAATACAGCCTCAAGCCTTGCTGAGACCATTGATACCTCAGGAGAATATCCAATTCTTCTTCTTGTATCTGGCAAGATCTCACACGAAAACACAACTGAAGATGCCGTCTTTGGGGCTTTAATTGCCAATATTACCCACGACGGCACTGACATTCAGCCAAAGCCCCAGGTAGACCAAGATAGTACCCTGCTATTCCAACTAAGCCCTGTTCATGACGTCTTCCGGGGCAATGTTGGGCGGGCCGGTTGGTCAGTGGTCAAGGAAGAACTTTGCTTTGGGGAGAGAGATTGCGGCGTTGCGTTGGTGTTTGCGAAGGGCCTGAAGGGGGCGACAGTGGTGCACAGTTTAGATGGGAATGATAAGGCTGTTTACGAATCAAGTGAATGGAGGGGCACTTGGAGCACGCAGGTCGAAGTCAAGGCCATTGAGATTTGGAGTTATTCATAAGGAAGCGGTCAGATACCAAGAAATACAGGACCAGTTGCTTTATTTGATAAGATTATTCATGAAAGGTAACTTTCCCGTGCTGCTTTATCAGGGTCCCCTTTAACAAAGTCTGGAACCGACATCATTTGTCGAGTTCCAGCGACCATCTGCTCGACCAAGGTACTCTTGTAACCCTCACTGAAGCCATTCTCAAACTGGGCGGGAGTGATGATCCGACTTGTAAATGGCGTACGGAACGCACCCGGCTCCACTATGAGGACTTTGATACCAAGAGTCTTAATCTCATTGGAAAGCGACTCATGCATAGCTTCGATGGCAAATTTACTGGCAGAATAGGTACCTCGTGCAGGCCGGGCTATGAAGCTGTTTGTATGCAATGTCCCGTCAGTCAAAGGCTGAAAGGATATAGGGAAACGAAACATACCCAGCACCACTGCTAATCAGAATGATGTGACCGGAGCCTCTTGCACGCATGACTGGAAGACAGGCTCGGACAGTGCGAAGAGGTCCATAAAAATTGACTTCCATTTGATCACGAACTTCACTCTCACTGCAAACATTGACAAATAAGCAACTTGGAGCTTGATGGAAATTCCATGAGGTCACTAACCTGGTATCTTCAACACCACCGATGAAAGCATAGCCTGCATTATTGACCAGGACATCAATATTGTGTTCTGCAGAGCACTTGGCAAATTGTTCATAGGAATCCTTTCTAGCAGGATCAAACCCCATCCAAATGCCGCCTTTGGCCGAGAAATCAGGACAGGCGGTTTCAGCACTGGCAACGTCGCGGGTGGTTCCAATCACCTTGTAGCCGGCCCTGAGAGCTTCAAAAGCAAGCGACTTGCCCATGCCCGAGGAGGCGCCAGTGATCAACCAAGTAGAACGTGCTGCTGCCATATTGATTGCTGTCGTCTTTTTTGTGGTTGTGGTTGTGTTTGTCACTGTGAAAAGTGTGTACAAATAGATGTTGTCGAGCGGGGAACCACCGGAGTTAAGAACTTATCCCCTTGCACTATTTCTCCTGTTACTGACTCGGATCGACTTTCATTCTTCTTTGTTTGGTGTGGTTTCTTTGTAGGGATCATGTTGCATAACATCAGCCGAGCTCCCCACGGGTTGTAAGCTTACAGTTTCGGGCTTATCATGCCAAGGCATACACTAGGCAAATACTTGTGCATTGAGGATCCATTCTATCTAACAAGCTACCTGTACGCCATGGAATTCTACGCTACTTCTTTCTCCGGCACCCTAGGAATCACAAACTCCTTTCAACGGCATACTTGGACCCTGGGCGTAACCCTGACTCCGCACCGGTTTCCTCCAATGAACTCAATATCATACTTCAACAAGATATGGGCCAGCATGGTCTTAAGTTCGTGAGCCGCGAAGAAGCGACCCGGCTAGGCATGCTTGTCAAAGCCAAAGGCCAGGCGTTCCGCCGTCGCAGAGACCAGTTGTCCCTTATGTTCCTGGCCGTTGTGTCGAAGGTTGTAGAATTGGTACGGGTCCCATTATTTTGAGTTCTCGTAGGTCTTCTTGCTGCGCCTGATGTCCGTGATGACCAAGGTCTGGGACCCCTTGGGGATGGTAGCCCCGTTGGGCGGTTTGGCGTCTTCTTTCACCTATCAGTTTATAATCGTCAGCGCCACCCCATCGAGGCGTTTTGTTTCCTTGATGATGCTGTCTAGAAGCTGCATGTGATAAACACCCATTTTGCTCGTACCATACGTTGAAATCGCATGCACAATCTCTTTCTGTACTTGTGGTATAACTTCTGGGTGTTCGGCAAGTTGGGTAAGCGTCTTGAATGGCAAGTCTTCGGTGGTGTGGATCGCAGCATGCGCCAATCCCACCTGGGCGATCACTTCATCATATTTTCTCTTTCCTGCCAATTGGTGGTACCACTCAATCGCATCCGCACTCGTGCCCTTGCCGCCATTCGCCGCTCGGTCTAGCGCAAGCCCAGCAAGGATGGGAGGAAGTACCTGATATGCATATCTCATCGAAGCTCGAACACGCTAGGCGCGAACAATAAACCACTGGGCGATTTACCGGATAAACCATGGGTATCTCCCCAGCTCCTTGGATGCCATGAAGGTGTCCACGGTGTATGTGACGCTCAGCCGCAGCCAGTCTTGATTGTTGGATAGTTCGGGGCCGACAAAGATTTGAGACGTTACTCTCGTAACCATCGACGAAACGGCTTGCTGCAGATGAATCTGATGAAACTCGGTATCTGTGTCCCATTTGCTCTGGAGAGCATCGGCCGTGGTGTTTAAAATGGTGCCGCTAAGTTTGTCGATGATTGGTTAGAGTCTCTCCTAGACGACTTTGATGGCGATTCACGACTTGAGCAGGGATCCAAATTGTTCAAACCCCAATGTCCTGATGAAATCGCCAGCCAGGGGAGCATTTGTTGTGGAAGTGCTCTTTTTATTTTGGTAGGCCCAGACACCCGGTGTGCAAACTCTGTGAAGCTGAAGCAGTTAAGTTCAAGTGCTGTAAGCCCAGTTCTAATACCCCGTAACGCTGATTTGGCTATTCCCATAAGTACGGCTCCGAGCCACACGCTACCCAGTCTTGGATTTCGACTTGCCAAAACTTTGGTAAGCATGCTGTAGCTCTCTTCTCGGACTAGTGGGTCGATTATTGCAAATGCAGGATTGATCCAGGCGCTGACGAGATTGCATCAAACAAGGGCTTAAGCCGCACCACACAAATGTCTATAAAGACCGTTCATCGCCCACATAGATTTCCTTTTCTTCTTCTTCCCCAGATTCGATATTCTCGTCGATGGCTACACTGGTTTAGATAGGAATATCATTTCGTTAGTATCTACTAGTCCGAGCCCGTGACAATTCTTGTGGATTCTGCAAAGTCTCTTTCTATTTTCTTAAGGGGTCCCCGAACAAGCTGATTCCAGAATTCAGGTGACCTGTTGGTCTGATGTTTGGACTTGATATTGCGTTTGATACAGTTTCTAGGTTTCGTAATAGTCATTTTGATTGAGCCGAAGAAAGAGAAGAGGGAGAACTTCAGAAACTGTGTTGGAAAGGAAGAATGGAATGTACATTGAAATCAGTCTTTTGGGAGTTTAAATAGCTATTTGTCTGGTTATTCAAGGCCATTATGGAAGCGCTTTCCAATAACTATGAAACTATAGATAAATTAGGTGTAAATATTGCTGGTGAGTGTATTTGTGCTTTACCTATTTAGGAAATTTAACAGTGGCCGCTTTAAAGCGGCGACGCCAGGACGGAAATGCCACAAAATGTACCTTAAAAAGGCCACGACGTTTTGTGGCCTTTCCGGCGTCACCCCGAATTACTCCGTACTTGCTCCGGGCTTGACTCCATATTTCTAGACTCGTGGGTACTGGTGGGTCACGTAACGCGGGCTGTACCCTATTGATTTGGTATGAGTATATGACATCTAGAGTATATTCCAAAAGGCTAAACAATGTACTGCCAGTGACAGCAACGTGGAAGTGTCACAACAGACATCGACCAGACGTCAAAATAGGCGAACCAGACTTGTTCAGCTGACTATGACAGATCTGAGATTAATCCCATCTCACTACCAGCCTCATCGGGACAATGACCTCAGTCGAAGCGGCGCGATGAAGTCATCCAGTCTCTAGTACCAGATCACCACCGTTACCAGCACCAATACCAGACTCAAATGGAATAATAGCATTCACGCCTCAGTGGAAGCAATAATGGCCACCCTATGAAAGCCCACGGGACACATCGGCGTCATTGTGTATCATCGTCGCCACTTGATACCAGCGAGGAAATATATAGGGGCCCCTTGAACAGTGGCCTTATGATGGTTGACAGATCAAACCGAAACATTTACACTGAAGTGTTCAATTGCACATATCTAACCAGTATGTCTTAAAGACGACATTGACACAAAAACGATTTACAAAATACTGACAACCAAGCCATCATGCCCTCTTCCAAAACCGACACCGCAATCCGTCTTCCCGAAAACGAAGACCAAACCCGTCGTCTGCGAAACGTCACCCAAGACCGCAAGGCCGTTTCTCGCCTGCAGGACGAAGCTAACTCCTCCAAGAATAAGGTCGAGGATGTAAGCAGCTGGGGAACTGGGCAGTTGCTGGGCACCGGTATGGATGATGCGGGCAACCCCGTACCGGACCCCGTCTCGTTTGGAAATGGACGCAAGGCGAGGAATAATCAGCAGCAGCAAAAGGATGAAGCGGATGTTTATGAAGCCATGACCCAGGATTTTGAATAGGTACACTATTCTGTAGTTAGGATGTTGTGTACAGTTAATGAATGGTATCCATAATTTGAATTCCAGATTTCTATATCTGCAACAACATGAAGAATTCTTGTCATTCTTCAATCTCCACAAGCTTCACAATCTTCACAATCTTCACATGGCTTGTCGTACTTTGTACTTGTGCTCATAATTGTATCACGTTGATTGCTATGGCAACCGCCGCCTCAGGCATCGATACTCCGCAGTGAAGGACCACTTTATACTCCACGTTTTGTGTTGATAACCTGACCATTTATTGCGGTAGTATCGCTGTGCTGTACTCGTATGGCACTTGTATTTCTTTTTTTTTTACTTTCATCACTTGCATGTTCCCCTGACCTACAGGAACGGCGGCTCGATGGACCGCGGGATCGCCTGTTTACTCCGATAGAACCTCTGCGCGGACCATCTTACTAGATCATCTCGATCTGTCCGTCATTCACTCGTTCTTTCTGTTGTCTTTCATTGTTGTCTTCTGCAGTGGGGATTCCACTCGCCTCCCTTGAGGGAAGGCATTTCATTCATCTGTGTATTCTACTTCCTTCCTGTCTCTCATCAGCAGGCACCTCACGCCTTCCCTGTTTATCTTGATATCTCGACGTATGTACCATCAGTTACTCTATCGCCAGCGAGAATCTCTTTTTCAAATTATTCAGTTACTAAGAAATCCCAGTCCGGAGATGGCCCTCGATCCTCGTTTCTACGCTGGTAACGGCCTCGACTCCCTGTCCTCGGCCTCGTCCGGCATCTCCGCAGCTACTGGCATCACCAGTCCTTCTGCAGCTTCAACTGCTACGTCGGGGGGGAATTTGCAATCTAGTGCCTCGAGTCCGTCTCTGCGTGCGCGCGAAAGTATTGCGGTTCCTGTGACTCAGGATGGAGGTTCGTCCTCGCCGGGAGGAAACGTGCGTGTTGTCGTGCGCGTGCGCAAGTTTCTGCCTCGAGGTAGGTTTGATCATAACATTGCTTAATATGGGCAGATACTAACCTGTCAGAAATCGAACGCGACGCCGAATGCCTGATTAGCATGGACCCTCGCACTCAGACGACCAAACTGCTTGCACCCAACGTCAACCCGGAAGACGAAGGAAAACCAAAGTCGCAGGCCCGTGGAAAGGTGCTGGAGGACAAGTCCTTTGTGTTCGACAACTCGTTCTGGTCGCATAACGATAAGGATGCACACTATGCACGCCAGGAGAATGTCTACGACTGTCTGGGAGAGGACTTTCTGGACCACAACTTTGAAGGATACCACACTTGCATTTTCGCCTATGGTCAGACGGGTTCCGGAAAGAGTTATACTATGATGGGTACCCCCGAGCAACCGGGATTGATTCCTCGAACGTGCGAAGACCTCTTCCAGCGTATCGAAGCCTCGGAGACTCCCGATGTCAGCTACAACGTTCGCGTGTCGTACTTTGAAGTGTACAATGAGCATGTGCGCGATCTGCTCGTGCCTCGAACTGATCCCCCGAACTATCTACGCATTCGCGAGTCGCCCTCGGAGGGACCATACATCAAAGACTTGACCGAAGCGACTGTCAAAAATTACAATGATCTCATGAAACACATGCGCAAGGGCGACGTCTCGCGTACGACTGCCAGCACCAAGATGAACGATACCTCTTCTCGATCGCACGCTGTTTTCACCATCACCCTGAAGCAGATTCACCACGACCTCTCCACCGATGAGACTACGGAACGTACGGCGCGTATTCGTCTGGTTGATCTGGCGGGTTCAGAGCGGGCCAAGTCCACCGAGGCTACGGGCCAGAGACTTCGTGAAGGATCCAACATTAACAAATCACTCACCACCCTGGGTCGAGTTATTGCCGCCTTGGCTGATCCGAAGCAGGGACGCTCCGGAAAACGCAAGAGTCGAGACGTTGCGCCGTACCGTGATTCCATCCTTACCTGGTTGCTCAAAGACAGCCTGGGTGGTAACTCGAAGACGGCCATGATTGCGTGTATTGCCCCCAGCGATTACGAGGAAACGCTCTCCACTCTCCGGTATGCGGACCAGGCCAAGCGCATCCGTACTCGTGCTCGTGTCAACCAAGATCATCTATCCGCTGCTGAGCGTGACAAGCAGATTGTCGAGATGGCGGAGACGATTCGCACACTTCAGCTCAGTGTCAGCCAGGCGGTTGCCAACCGACGTGAGAGCGAAGTCCAGAGCGAGCGCCTGGAGGATTACCAGCAGAAGGTTGAGAAGATGCAGCGACTTATGGAGGAGACCAAAATGGTCAGCGAGTGCAAGATTCGTCAACTCAAAACCGAGAATGAAGCCCTACGCAACCATCTGAAGCTGGCCCTCGACAGTCTGCAAAATCCGATTCCGCCGGTGACCATCGAGAAACGCAAGAGTAGCCTGTATGCGTTGGACGAGGATGAGGAGTCGGAAAACCCGGACCTCACTGATGATAAGGAAGATGACTCGTCTCCTGCTAGTGACGACGAGGACGAGCCCGAACCCGATCTTATCTGGGAGGATGACGATACCATTGAGGTCGAAGCTGGCCAGATCGAAGCGCAGGACATGCAGTCACACATGGAGGATCTTCTGAGTGATCTCAGCATGTTCAAGCGCAAACTGGCTTCGGACCATGAGCGATTCCGTTCTATTCGGGACCAGCAGAATCGCAAACAGCGTGGCGTGCTCAGTGATGTGACGCTCAACGAGTGATCATTCACGATGCGTGTTCTTTTTACTACTATCTTACTCGAGATCTCTCTTGTATCGAAAACGGTTGGCGTCTAGTGTCTTTGGGAGGAATTTTGTTATTCGGTTGGGAATCGGTATTGGTGTCAGGAATATGGGACGGCAGTAGGGATATCCTGGCATTTGGCACTGGCTTGTTTCTTTCTTCTTTTTTCTCTTTTACATTCTTCTTCGCTTTCTTCTCTACGGAGAGGCTTTTTGTTAGATTCCCTTGGGTGGTTTTGTCTTTTTCTTCTTTTTAGCATGAGAGACGATGTAATGAGCAATCAATAAATGTATTTTCGAATAAGTATTCTAGTGTTCTATATCCTATAGCTTCCATAGTGCCACAGTAGAGCCGTAGAATAAGCACTATTCTGTTAGGGCGAGATCATAATAATTCTGCCGTGAGTCAGTCTCCCCCCCACAATCCGCCGCCTTCTCTTCTCCGACAAATCTTCAATGCCCCTCTTGACTTGAACTTTTCCAACACCCTTTTAATTCCGTCCCCCTTCGAATTCACCGTCATGACGAACCCCGTCGATCCGGCGTTAGCCTCGTCGTTATCCGCCCCGGCTTCTGAAGTGCATGCTCAGCAGCGCCAGTCGGAGGCTCCCTCGAACCCCTCGCAACCGCAACCACAACAACAACAGACCCAACCCTCGAAAGAATCCGGTAAACCAAAGAAAGAAAAGAAAGAAGCAAAGCCCAAAGACACCAAAGACACCAAAGACGCAACCCCCACGACCGACGGGCCCGAAAAGTTGACGGGCGCAGAGCTGAAGAAACGCGCCAAAGCTGAAAAAGCCGCTCGCAGAGCAAAGGAGAAGTCTGATCGCGAGGCCGGTGGTGCACCTGCGCCTGCTGGTGGTCCTGCTGCTGGCGCTGGTGGTGCTGGTCAACCCGCTACGCCGAAGAAGGGGCAACCTGCTGGAGGAGCTGCTGCTGGCGGAGACAAAGGACGAGGGTTACCCCGTCGACCGTCTGGGCAGGCGTCGGGCCAACCCAGCTCTGCGGAGCAGAAGAAGAAGGCCGAGGAGAAGAATGTTGCGGTGTTTGGACATTTGTATGGACAGCAGCGGCGGGCGACGGTTGCAGGCGCTGGGAAAGAAGTGCATCCGGCTGTTTTGGCGTTGGGATTGCAGATGAGGGACTATGTGGTTTGTGGGAGCAGCGCGCGTTGTGTGGCTACGTTGTTGGCTTTTAAGAGGGTGCGTTGCTATTATTTGAACTTGGATTGTGTGGGTGCTAACGGGCCTAGGTGATCGAAGCGTATACGACTCCCCTCGGAACCTCGCTGTCGCGCCATCTTACGACCCATTTGTCTCATCAGATCACCTACCTCTCGACATGTCGTCCCCTCTCTATTAGTCAGGGAAATGCTATTCGTGCCCTTAAGCTGGCCATCGCCTCGATTGACCCGTCCGTGCCCGAATCAGACGCCAAGGAAACGCTTTGCGAGTTTATCGACAGCTTCATCCGCGAGAAGATCACTGTGGCCGACCAAGTGGTTGCCGGAAGCGCGGCGCAGAAGATCCAGAATGGCGACGTGATTGTCACATTTGCCGGTAGCTCGCTCGTCAAGCAGACGCTGCTGAACGCACACAAGCAGGGCAAGAAGTTCCGCGTGTCCATCATCGACTCCCGCCCGCTGTTCGAGGGCAAGAACCTCGCTCGCGCGCTGGCCAACGCCGGTCTGGACGTGCAGTACTCGCTCATGAACGGCATCAGCCACGCCATCAAAGACGCAACCAAGGTCTTCCTGGGCGCGCACGCCATGACCAGTAACGGACGGCTGTACTCGCGCGTCGGCACTGCACTCGTCGCCATGTCCGCCAAGGAACGCGCCGGTGGTGTCGAAGTCCCCGTCATTGTCTGCTGCGAGACAGTCAAGTTCACCGACCGCGTCGCGCTGGACAGCATCGTCGTCAACGAAATCGCCGACGCAGACGAGATGGTCACCACACAGCCCCCGCAGCAAGTCACCGGCTTACCGGACCCTGCCGCGGCCGCTGCAGCCGCAGCCGCAGAGTCCTCGTCTGACAACAAGAAGAAAGCTAGCAAGACTCCTGTCCCGCCTACGAATGCAAGCCCGCTGGAACCCAACCCGGCATTGAAGCATGCGTCGTCGCCACTGAAGGACTGGAGGGACACGCCTAATCTGCAACTATTGAACCTCATGTACGACGTGACACCGGCTGAGTATGTTGATATGGTTGTTACGGAGATGGGCAGTTTGCCTCCTAGTGCTGTTCCAATTGTGCATCGGATGAGTACTAGTCTTTAGGTGCTCCTTTGTCCATCTTCGTTTTCTTCCGGGTTATGAAATGAGTTCAAAATTTCAAGGGCGCCAACTGATTAGTACTTATACTTATGTTGTTATGTGTTATGTCAATGGTGTATGGCGGTTCAATAGAGTTCAATTCGATGTCAATCACGTGCTGTCCGTATTTGGTAATGCAATTGCCGGCAGAATAGGGCGGTCGTAGTATTGTTTGGATCGCTATCTCGTCCTTGTCGCAGTTCTTCAACTCCAGACGTGACTGTATTCCCTCCTTTACCAACTCAGATTACTCTACGGAGTACCCTCGCGCACCTTGTCTACTGAACACACACTGTACAAGCACACGCCGACCAACCGCCAAAATGGTACGTCCTCTAATACCTCCCCTCCAACCATACAAACCCAGCTAACAAGCACAGAGCAAAGATTCCTCCATAACAAACCTCCACATGCACCACCCCCGACTCGCCGACTTTTTCGAAGACTTCACCCGCCCGCACACCTCCCCAACCTACATCTCGCACAACCCCCAATCCCACACCCACACTCACAACAACACAACCGTAACCTACGGCTCGTCTTCACCGACCCACGTCCCCTCCTTCCTACCAATCGAGGAGATCTACGTCCTACCGCAGTATCAGCCACCGAATCCAGAGGACGAGGATGATGTTGTGCCGGACCAGCATGCGGCGTTTGGGATTACGAGGGCGATGGAGAGGAGGAGGGAGGCTGTTTGGAGGGATTTGGGGATGGAGGAGGTTGTTGCGGGGGAGAATATGGGAGGTGGGAATGGGGGTGGGAGGGGGAGGGGGAGGAAGATTCGGGTTAAGGAGTCGGGGAGGTTGATGGGGGGGAGGAGGACGGTTTGTTTGCGGTGACCTCCTCTCTTTCTACAAGTACAAGTAGATGGTATGGTGTACGGGATTGGTGGTTGTGATGTATGATACCCATTATGCTATTATATCCGGTTGATATCCACACGTGTGCGTTCGTAAATCTTATGGCTCGTTTGTTTCTGGTCGCGTTCTTCGTCGTCGAATGTTCGTGGGTGCACTGCGAGTTGTGCGTAGGTTCCGGCTGCGCGGCGTTTCGAGAGGGTTCCGGGGTTGATCACGAGTACGCTATCGACGACCTATTCTAATTAGCAGCTTTCTTTGGACAAAATTGTACGCTGGACTCACCCTGACAAATGGAGGCAGCGCACTCGGTATAATCAACACATCCGGCCGCACATTCCACCACTCTCCAAGCTTCGAGTAACTGACGTCCAACATTGCTCCCGTTGCGAGTCCGCTTTCTGTCCCCGTCTTGGGCAGGTTCTCCCGTGCTGTGGGCGGAAAGATAGGGTAGAAATGACGCTGTTCAATAAGGTACTTGGACAACCGCGTGAGCAAGTTCCCCTCCTTGGGTCTGCCGTGCACGACTTCCTCCCGTCGTAGCTCGTACAGTACATCATGCGACGACATTCCAATCACGGTCTCGTTGAATGAGAGGGTCACCGGGTTCGAAACCATTCGTACTTGCTTCGGCAACCCGAGTTCCTTCTTTGGCATTTGCTCCTGCGGCCAGGCGACGTGTTTGCTTAGCGCGTCACGCACGGATGGCACCATGACGATCGTGATTGTTGGCACCGCGGCGACGAGCTTCTGAATCGGGGCTGTGATACAGTGGCGGAAGACGGTTGCTAGTGTTGCTGTGTCTTGGTCGTATCCGTTAACATCGGGCAGGTCGAAATCTCCCGATGCGACGAGAGGATGCTCGATGTCCAGGAATGGCCCTAATAACACCACCCCGTCTGCCATGTTGTCCGCCGCCTTTTGGCAGATCTCGTGTAATGGTTCGAAGTTCAGGTTATCGTCTGCCGTGTACGGCCCCGAGGCGACCATCACGTTCAGTGGAGTTTCACCCACTCGTTCAGTAATACCGTCCAAGGTGACAGGTGAAGATGCTGCTGGCGGAAGTGTAGGAATGGGAAGAACGTCTTTGACCGTAAAGTAGTTCCCCGATGCATTGATACCCCTCAAAGCCACGATCTGACCAGGGAAGAAATTGGCCGATGGTACCGAATCCAGTTTCAATGGGACTCGCAGACCAGCTCCTGATCGCCTCGACGTTTCAAGCACCAGAGACGCCGTGTTGAGTTTCCCCTCGAGACTATCTGATGCGATGCGCCCAATTGCAATTATCTCGCTTGTGCTCTGTATAGATGCGCTACCGAACGCGATATCCTCCGACTCATACTGCGGTTGAAGTAGTGTCACGATTTCGTCAACCCGGTCGTCTAGAATTTCCGATGCCTCAGACAAGCGCATCGCCATCGGTTTGTATCCAAACTTCTTTAGGTCTGTGTTGGCCGTCGGTCGTATCCGGGCTTCTGGGAAGGGAGCAATTGGGGTCTCTGACAGTGGTAAATGGGAATTAAGCGTCTCGAGCGTTTGTCCTGAGTTTTGGCGTTCCGCAAAGGCGACGGGTCTGCACTCGTCAGTCCATCGTCCACCGGCATAGCGATCAATAACCCGTAACATACTGCAGCCCATCCGCGGTCTTTCCCCTCACTGGCGTTAATTCAGCCTTTCCAATCTTCGATATCGAAGGCGATGCGAAATCCGCTTTGCGCTTTGCGCTATTTGGGGTCTTGGTATTCGGTGTCAATCCCTCCAACCTAAGCCGGTTAGCTCATTTGACCAGCTTGTATCCGGTGCCTTGAACTTACATCCCAAAAACATCCGGTGCCATCCCAGCCCGCGGGGTTGCGGTCACCGTGCTTCTCTTTTCCGTTTGCCGTCCGGCCCTGCCTCGACTTTCTCTCTCCAGACTGTCTTGGACATCTCGCTTGAACAATCGAACCGTGTCCAGGTTCATCTTAGTCTCCTCCGCGCCCATCTTCAAACAATATGACTCCCATTTGTAAAACAGCTCTTGCGGGGAGATCAATTGGACTCGTAGAATAGACTGCAACTCCGCGAGGATGTCCTTGGGCAGCCCATCGGGGGCAGAGGTCGCAAAGAGCTCATTGAGCTCTGCTGTAGTGTCGTCCATAGTTTATCAATTCGTCAATAACGACAACGAGAATACTTGCGACAAAAGATGACCACCGGCGCTGGAGTAAGGCCCGCGGGAGACGCGTGCAAAACGCGGTAACTTTGACCGCCTTCTTTTTATGATAGTTACGTGATATCGATAATCAGTGTGGGCCTGAGGCTGATTTTAGGCAGATCAGCAAACAATTTCTCCTATTTACAGGGGTGTCGGCTGCAAAAATAATCTTTGTTACTCCTTACATACACCATTGACAGACATCCTGCATTATCCCCCGTTGTGAGATCTCACCATGTCCGCAGAACCGTCAGATCCCGTCAGTGCGCCGGTTCCCAGCTCGGAGAACCAGAACATAGCTGCCACCGCAGCTCCTACAGCGGAAGCGCAACCCAAAGAGGAGTCGGAATTGAACCTCCCATCGTCGGCCGTTGATGGCTTAATCCAGAAGCCATTCCCGAAGCCTCTCAACACAGCACACATACCTGCGCCGGAACCGCTCACGGAACAACAACAGGGGTTGTACAACCAAGTCTTGGAGGAAGTCTCGAAGTGGACAACAATCCCGACCACTTCTAAGAAAAATGCTCCTACGGCGCCAATCACCGACGACGAGCGCATGTGGTTGACTCGCGAGTGTCTGATCCGGTATCTGCGTGCCGTCAAGTGGGACGATAAAAAGAAGAAGGACAAGCAAAAGGTGGACGAGGCAGTTGCTCGGCTACAGAACACCCTTACATGGCGTCGGGAATATGGCTTGGAAAAGCTGACATCTGACTATATCGCCATTGAGAATGAAACTGGGAAGCAAATTATCCTGGGCTACGACGTCAATGGACGCCCTTGTCACTATCTCTGTCCCTCGAAGCAGAACACAGAGAAGAGCGATCGACAGATTCAGCATCTCGTCTTCATGTTGGAGAGGGTGATTGACCTCATGGTACCGGACCAGGAGACTTTGGCTTTGGTGGTCGATTTCAACCAGGCGTCGTCGGACCAGAATGCATCGCCTACCCAGGCATATCAGACACTGCAAATCCTTCAAAACCACTATCCGGAGAGATTGGGCCGGGCCTTAGTCATTAACAGTGAGTGATCACTGTTTCGTTCCATTGGCCAGCGGACTGCTAACCCGTTTTAGTGCCATACTGGCTCTCGTGGTTCTTCAAGGCAATCTCCAGATGGATTGACCCAGTCACCAAGGAGAAGATGAAATTCAACGAGGATCTCCGTCAACATGTGCCTGCCGACCACTTAATGAAAGCTATGGGAGGCGACGTGGAGTTCCAGTACGACCACTCAACCTACTGGCCAGCATTGATTAAGTTGGCTGAATCGCGACGAAACGGTTACTATGAACGCTGGATTGAAGGAGGCAAGCGGATCGGAGAGTATGAGAATTATCTCAGGGGCGGTCCTCAGCCCAGTCTGTCGCAGACCCAGGGTGAGAAATCTTGATCGTAATCTCTTTGTCTGACGTCGTGATTCCAACCTGTAACATTTTCTCTACTGCATATGACCCCTGTTTGATTTCGTTGCGAGCTGTCCACCGTTATAATCGGCATTAATAGCATTGTTTGGGAGCAAATTTCGGGAATTAGGTCTTTCTTTTTGTGCATACGTCGGCATTTACTTTGAATATGATACCTCATTCTCCATTTGACCCGATTGATCTATGTTTGAACAACTGACGGGCCGTTTGGTCAATATATAAGAGTTGGGTAAACACTCAAAAGAGTCTCGCAGAGTGCATATAGGGTAATATGCCAGCTATCTGGATATACTGTGGAGACTCGACATAAAACCATCGGGTAACCAGGGTTGGTCATTCAATTCATACTATGTATGGTTAACCCAGCAATCAAGCAACGTGATCGTTCATTCCATCACTCATGGCGGTATAAGACTAAAAACAAGCCTCCGTTCCCAAACTCCAGACGCCTCAACCCTCGCTAAAGAACCCAGAAACAATCATAAGAGATACAAAATCCACCCGCGCCTTGCTAAAAATAACAAAATTAACCACCCTTTTTGTTCAATCGAGATCAAAGAAAAGTTCGTATCACGTAAAGCAAAATTCAACGCATCAGACATTGATCAAGTCGTCAAAGTTGTCCTCCGAAGAAGAAAACGGGTGCGAAACCAGAGATGCTTCGGAATCTCGACGCATCTGCTGCTCCAAGACCGCAGGCTGCAAAGCATCGTCAAAACCAAAGGACATGACACCCTGCTGCTGGCTCTGCTGAGGTTGCTGCTGGACTGTTGGAGTAGACGGCTCCTCCGAGGTCGACACGGCATCCGCTGCATCAGACAACTCGGCCGCCGTCGTGCTGGTGTCGTTGTAGGTGATCCTCTTGACCATCTGAGCCAAATGGAGCTTGATGGGTTCATCTCCACACTGAGCATGCCGCAGCACTTCGTTCTTGAGACCTAGAATCTCATGACGCAAACGAGCAATCTCCGACACAAGTGACTCCTTCTTGTCAGACTGCTCTTTGTAGCGGGTTTCAAGCTGCTGAGTGTGTTCCTTCTTCTTCTGGCGACACTTGCTCGCAGCCAAACGGTTCCGTTCGAGGAATTTCTCGCGTTTGGCACGGTCCGGGTGAGAGTCGTCAAAGTCAATGGCAGACGATCTGGAGGTCCTACGTCGTTTGTTGCTGTTGCTGCTACTACCGGCGTAAGACTGATCGTCCTCATAGCCCGAGTGCTCGCTGTAGCTTCGACGATGACCGTGGTCAAGGAATGTCGGGGGAGAAGCCCCAAGATGATACTGAGGCAAAGGCGGATAGAATTCTTGGGACGTATGGGTGTCATCATATGGAGGAGGAGTAGGTTGGCCATTGCGAACACGAGAGTTCTTGAAATCCCTCTCCAAATTGGGGTTGGTGAAGGCCTGCTCGTGCTTGCCATTCCACGGTGAGATGGGACTGAGACCCCAATGATTTTCTTCTTCGGGGAGAGACAAGCCCAAGAAATCACCCTGCAAGGCGGAGGAGAGGCCGGGGCTGACGCCTTCTGGCATAGGCAGACCATGTCGAGCGTAGTTGGATTGGTCTAGCATGTTGAGCGACATGACTTATGGCGAAGGAGGAAAGAACGGGGACGAAGAGAAGAGAAATGAGTGAAGGATTGGTATCTAAAGCAGCGTTTGGATGAAGGAAGAGAGCACGCTTATAGATGTAACCAACGGTGGAACTGTCACGACGGGCCGTTGACAGCGGAAGAAAAGAAAAGAGGAGGGGAACCGGACATGGAAAATCAGAGGAAGCGAAGAAGTTATTGTTCCCTTAGGTTTAAGGCAAGAGCGATGGAATAGGCAGTAGCAGGGCGGTAACCATGGGAGCCTGGTAGCAACCACGGAGCAGCATATGTATATATATAAAAGATAGTGTATATATACAGGGCTACTGACGTGTCTCGTCCACACAGATAGCGATAAATAACAAATGAGGTTATAGAACAGGAAATCCAGCTTTTACAATATTGATTGTCCAGTTGTGCCCGGTAATTGGCCGGATGTTCAATCTCAAATAATCTTCTTAGGGGTCGAGACCAGTAGGTACAAAAGTGTTGACATCATGTACAGGCGGGGACGAGTTCCAGGTGTATAGAACCATGGAAGTCTCCCTGTCATTCAAGCGAAGTCCCGCTCTGCCTCTTTCGGTCAACGCTCTCCTCTCACTACACTTACCCAGTATACCACAAATACACACACCTTCACGGTATTCTACATTATCGATATCGGAGAACAAAACAAGGTGAATCTCCTGAAACCCTGACTAATCCCTTCTGGTTTCGTCATCGTCGATTCTCACTCGGATTTTTTTGCCGGCGATTCAGAAGCTCTGCTCGGGTTCCACGGTTGCTCTACGCTTGCGGCCCAGACAATCACTGTATATCCACCCGGGACTTAATTCCCTGCCTCTCGTAGGGCCTGATCCACCTGTGGTGGGCTCGTCGCTTTCTCTATCTTAGACTAGATATGGAACAGGGATTATCATAGACGAGGTTTACACATCCTAGCTCCGAAAAGTAACTGTAGTGAGAATTCTCTATGCACGGTACTTATCTAGTCAATTCTTCCTGATTCCTTCCCGCCCCGTCAACCAATCGTACCGTGCCTAGCGTGCGGAACATGGAAGCATAACCCTCAACGGCTCTGCCGCGGATTCCAGACAGCTGTAAGCACACATACACACAATCACACAACGGAGAATATCATCCCTCCACAAGGTATCCAGTCACAATGCAAAACACCAGACACTGATTTCATCATGATCGCACCGAACATCGTCTCGACTTTCCGTACACCCATCGACCAATCAGACGCCAACGTATTCTTTTTCCAGACCATCTCCCCCTCCTTCGATTTGCATCTCTTGTTGTTCGTCCTGATCCATGCTCTGCTCCTCTTCTTCTGGCGGCAATATCACCCGCTCCGGCGGACATCCGCAGTGTTCCCACCACCGCAACTGCCGACTCACGCCGCGCCAATGCTCCAACAGCATCCTCACCACCCGCTCCTCCTGTAACGCACTGGGCACCATTCGGTATTCGGGACAGAGTCCTTCCTCCCCATCCGACGTCCGGTTGGCCAGCAAAGGTCCCAACGTCCGACTTAACCGATCCACATCCAGAAGACCCGCCGCCCAGCTGGGTCGTAGTTGCTGTTTTCTCGGAATGTTACGCACCCACTGATCCTCAACGTGTCGCTGCACCTCGTGGAGAAGTACCTCGCACAATCCAAACACCGCACAGATGAGTTCAAGATGCATTTTGCTCGTCAATGACAGGATCGCCAGCGCGATTGCTTTGGTCTGAGTGTGTTCCCATGGCGTCAACCCCTCCAAGCAATCATCCGGTCGCTTCTGTGATTTGACTTGCGGCTCTGACGGCGATACTGGCTGCTGTTTCGATTGTGATTCTGTCTCCGATTTGGACTGCCGATCCACTTCTGGCTCTGCCTGTGCTTTTGATTGGTCCTTTGATTTCCGCCTGCTGAATATGTACGGTTGACGTCCGTACGAAATGTCCACCAGAACCTGATAGAGCTCCTTGGATCCTAGAATTCCATCGGGAATACCCGCTAGCAAGGCCTTGAAGACCCAGGCCACACTGAGAATATACGACGGTGACTGTTCAGGGGTTGTATCTCGCTGCAATGGCTCGATTATATCCACGGGCATCTGGTTACTGCGCATGGTCATCTGGATCTTGTCTTCTTCTCGCTCTGCTGATAAGACCTGGTGTGCAAAGTGCTCATATATGCGGGATGCGGTCTTCATGTCGCCGGGGTCGAAAAAGAGGTTCTCTACCCTGTGGCCTTTCGTGGGGTGCCTCTTGGTTAGTGAAACTGATTCGGCGAATGGTGGGCAGAATCGCCTACCGTAGATTTGCAGATATGTCGCGGTCGCCGCAAAACATACAGGGAGCTTGAGTACTGCAGGAGCAAAGTCTGCCTGGGGCTTGAGATAGCTGTAACCTCCCAATCGTGCGAGTGTCTCGAGCGACTTGCCCTTCAGCACGAAGAACGGATCGGAACGAGACGACAGATTGGCGAAAGTCTTCATTCGGCGCACCCTGCGCTGCTCCGTCTCCGGTGGTACGGACTGAGGCCTCATTTGGATATTGGACCGCATGCTTCGTATTCGACCAAGTATCTTATCTCGTTTATGTAGCTTATCTGCACCGCTGACATCAGGTTTCCTGCCTAGAAGTGCCGTATCAGATGTCATTCGAACAAAAAGAACTTTCAAAAAAGGACTTACCTTTACCTGCATTAGCTTCCTCGCCAAACGCCACAGGACGCAAGCACAATTGGCCAGCCATATCATTGAACGCTTTGACGGTCTTCTGTTGATCGATATGGGCAGACCAAGTGCTTTCATTCGATATGTTCGAGATGTCTCTGAAAATGGAACTCCTTCGTGGTAGGTTACCGGCTCGACGTTTGCTGCAGCGAAGCCCATGGTCCGCCCAAAGATTATCGTCTCCGTATTCCGAAATCGATGGCCTCCTGGAGTCTGTGTTGACGCTCCTTGCCACATCGGTGGACAGGTTGCTGGATCCGGATGCTTGCTGGAAATCACCAAACGGTTCCTCGTAGACATAGCCCCTATTCTCGAGGATGGCCTGGACCGCCGGGCATTTTGACGGGTGACGGCAGACAGTTGAAGTCGTTCTCTCTGATTCGAATGACTCCGTGGTTCCGACGGTTTTGTCGCTGGCTTTTCGTTGCTCGGGGATCGCAAGCTCGCTGTTGAGCTCTTGCGTGGGCGTGGGTGACTCCTTAGTATCGACATGCTGATTCTCAGTAGTATCTGGAAGATGGGTAAAGACGCCCAGGTGACTATGACGTTGCACCGGTTGTTCAATAGTAGACTCAAATTTGTCCGATTCACTCAAGTCAGAATGGCGATGCCTGCGCGGGCGAAGAAGCGTCTTGATCCCACTCAACCTTATTGACCCTTTCCATGACAGCTTCGAGTTCCTCTGAGGATCCTGCTCGATATACCCGGACTGTCCCACTTGGCGATCCAAGGAGAGATTGGCTTCTGGGGCATCGGGTTTATCGGCGTAGATCAAGTCCTTGAAGGCTGCTTCCGTCGTAGGCGCTGGGGTCGTCTTCTGAGCAACAATCTCGATTCCGTTTTCTTGTATAAACGTCCACGAAGTTCGATCCACCTCATCTTTGTCAGGACTGTGGGTGTTGGTAGAGTCGTCATTGTTCGTGGTCGAGGTCCAGTAGGAGAAAGGATTGAAGAACCCCATTGCCAGCTTTAAATGGGTAACGAGCTCTAAATGGGTAAACACGACGCTTTGATTGAGGGTCAATGAAAATTGTAGGTTCGAATGAAGCTGCCGCATCGATGAGTCGAGGTGTAGGTCTAGGTAAGCGGAAGGGATGAGCCGGCTCGCTCTTTCCCTGTACGCCGTTACTCTGTAAATCAAGAACCTTCAACATAGCTAATTATCCTGCTGGGAAAAATGAATATGGAAAAGAAAATTGGCAGACTGGTTTTCAATGTCAAAGGATAGTGTAGTTGTTACATGACTCAGCCCTATACAGAAAAAAAAAAGTACATACATCAGACTTGTCTGGAAGACGCGGATGACATTTGTAGGAAGTAAGATTCTTTGACATGAAATAAGTGTGCAACTTTCTATTGCTATACGTATGCTCATGCTATTCAGTTCGCATGAAAGCGTAACTAATCCCAAACACTGCGAATAGCCATATCCATCTACTCATTTCGAGTAAAAGAAAAAAATAAAAATAAAAATAAATCGCATTCCGACTGCTACTCATCAGATCTCTGCTGAAACTCGCAGCCGAATAACACAAAACGCCTGTTCCATGCAATAGGTGTCATACACGAGATATAACGGCTTAGAAAAGCAGAAAATCATAATCACGTTGTTTCATCGGTTTCGCCCTCAAGAAGGATGTAATGCAGAATGTCACTCAACGTGAGGACACCCTTGAGCCGGAAATGTTCATCCACCACGACCAAACGGTGCACACGAGACTTGCGGATCGTATCAAAGATGGTGTCTAGCCCATCTGTAAGTGAGCAGGTGTAGATGCCCGGGAAGTCCTGGAAATGATCAAGTCAGCGAATGACACTATCAAGGAAAAGGATGGAAACGTACCGGGGAACGCTTTTTCAAAGCCTCACCAACGGTCAAACTTAGATCATCATAGACGCCACCTTTAATCAAGGAGATCACATCAACTGCCTCGAAAACATTGTACACAACGCCTGGATTCCCTTAGTAACTGGCCCTGGGAAAGATGATGACTGCTCATACCTTCGGAGTTCAAGATCGGCACGCTGGATATGCTCTTTTTCACCAGAATGTGAATAACATCTATGACCGGGGTATCCATCGACGCAGTCGCAATGTCATCATAGGTGCCCAGTAGTAATTCCTGGAGGGGCTTCCGCAGCTTCTGGGTATCATTGACGTTGACCGCAACGAACTTTAGAATACGATACTGGGTGACAACGCTCAGGACATGCGACCGGTCCGTCTGACTGTCGTTCGTAACCAGAGGGATTCTGCGGGCTCGCGATTCGAGCATGCGCCGACATGCTTCGTAGAGGGGACGCTCGGGGTCGATGGAGATGGTTTCCGGGGGAGCAACACCAAGTGCTTTTTCTACATCTGCAACAGTAGAAAGAAGCGATCAGTTTCTCTGTCTTTTGGGACAGACTGCGATGAGACTTGCGGTGATGCGTACCTCTGAGATGGTCTAGTCGAAACCCGTCGATCTGGTCCAGATCGGCTGGGTTCTGGAAATAATATTGGATAACATTGATATAGTCAGAAGTCGTCAACAGTCCGGCGAACGTCGAGGTTTTGGAATCCCATAACGGCGCCGATACGATGCCTGTAGCATCCACGATGGGTGTACCGTCAGCCCCTCAATCCCTTTTTATCATCTCGAAGCTCCCATCACAACTGCAGCGAAGAGGACAAATACGTGCCATTCTGGATCAAGACATTCAAGCTCTCCTTGACGGATAACGAGGTATCGAAAATAATGAGACGGAAACTGAGCGGCAGGACATCGTAACTGTTGCGGACTTTGAGGAAATTGCGAATGGCACGCTAGATAAGAAGACCAGTATTAGCAGAGATCCTGAAGAATCAAAGTCTTATAGCAGGAAATCGGCAAAGATAATCCCAGTGTCACTCCTGCTGCTTCGTCTCCCTTCTCTTCGTCCCCTCCCTCTCTAAAACTCCGCGCGGGGAAGTCGGAAGAAACCAGTGCGACAACAACAACAAAAACACATACCAAGCCTTGACGCTCTTCTCGGTCAATCGCCCTCTCAGACAGGGCCCCTGCTGTTGCGAAAGCCATTGGATGCGACAGACCTCGAGGGCGGAGGTAGGAAGATGGCTGCACAATGGGCCCCTCGTGACCGCGAACCCAAGCCGTGCCGTCGTCGGCGGTGGCGGCCCTTAAGGCGCTATGCTGTCTGCCCGTAGTGGACGCCATGCTCATCGTGAGGTGGGATTATTGCATATATTCAGAGATAAAATATAATATGGATAATGTGTAAATATAATAAGAGAGGTTTGATTGCTCTCTCAAAAAGAGTAGTATTCCGAGCTGGGCAGATGGTGATGTCGTCACTTTATACAACGCAGGGCAAACAAACGATTAAATTGTAAGTATTCGACGTTCACCTTTTTTGATGGCCTAATACCCCTGAGAATATATCCCTTGATGTCGGAATAAGTGGCGACAGTACGTAGAACGAACCAAGGAATATTCTCCCAATACGGGTGTCAGACGATTTACAACCCAGAATATATTTTGCCAAGTCTACAGAGTAGCTACGATATGTTCATTCGGGAGATTCAGTCATTGCCCATCATCGATTTCGTTGAATTCGCCTGTACAAGCCTATATGCGAGATGTAATTAACCTCGCTTAAAACTGCTTCACAGTCCGCTGCAACCTAGCTGGCTTGCGCATAAACTTCTCTGGCTCATCTCGAGCCCCCTTCTTCCAATAATCATACTCCATCCACGCATTCTCGGGCATCTGTGCTTCAGTTGCCTCGAGAAATTCTCCTAGATCCGGATTCAAAGGAATCACACCAGTCTCAAGAACATACTGATCCCACAACTTCAACAATTGCTGCAACCGCTCGGGCTGCTTCTCGGCCAAATCGTGAATCTCTCCCGGATCATTCGCAAGATTATACAATTGCCACCGCTCCGGACCCTTAGGTTTGGGGATATAGACAATCTTCCAGTCACCAAAGCGCAGCGCTGCCCGACCACACGTCTCCCAGCCTTGGATGAAGTCCTTCTCGTGGATGCGGGCTGCATCTCCCCGCGCCCAGGGATAGAAGCTCTTGCCGCGCATGGGAACGATCTCCCGGTCCTGGTAGGTTGGGGCAGGATGAGAGACGCCCGCCATGTCGAGAATGGAGGGAGCGAGATCCATGACCGTGGCGAATTGGTCAGTAATGCTGTGGTTGCGGGCGTGGAACGATTTGACGCTGCCTGGGAATCGCGCTACAAACGGTACCCGCACACCACCTTCGGTAGTGTAGGCTTTGTATAATCGGGATGGTGCAGTGGCAGCCTGTGCCCAGCGCGGACCGTACCAGATGAACGAGTTGTAGTTTCCAAGGTTCTCGAGTGAGTTGTCATAATATTTCTGCAGATGCGGAAGGACGCCGCTCTGGACAAGCGGATAGGCCTCGTAGGCAGCGCCCTCAGCGCCGTTATCAGACATAAAGCAGACGAAGGTGTTGTCCAGTTCGTCGATGGAGGAGAGGTAGTCGACGACCTTGCCGACGTTGGCATCGATGCTCTCGACCATCCCCGCGTAGACCTCCATGGCCGTACACGAGAGCTTCTGTTCTTCGGGCGTGTAGTCGCTCCATTCCTTGACTTCTTCAGCGACAACGGGATGCGCCTCGACGTCCTCACGGATCATGCCTAGCTCCTTGAGACGCTGCAGACGACGCTGGCGGAGGGCATCTGGGCCTTCGTCGTAGACACCGCGGTAGTGGTCGATGTACCCCCGAGGAGCCTGGAGGGGCCAATGTGGTGCTGTGAAGGGAAGGTAGGCAAAGAACGGACGGTCCTCGTCCTTTTTGTCTTTCTTGCTTTCATTCCAATCCTTCAGATAGTCCACCATTTTATCTCCATATCCATCTGTCGAGTACCACCCTTCCGGTAACTTCTTCACATAATGATCATCCTCCGTATGCAGGGCGATATAGCTCGCCTCCAGGAACGTGGGCGTTTCATCATTCCCCTGCAACTGCGGCTCATACGCATAATGATTCGAGCAAGCCGGCAAGTGCGCCAGTGACCGGTCAAACCCCCGCTTATGCGGCGATCGCTCTGGGGTAAGACCCAGATGCCACTTCCCAGACATGAGGGTGTGGTAGCCAGCGTCGCGCAGGAGCTCGGGTAGAGCAGCAACACGCTCGTTTAGATAGCCTTCGTAGCCTGGCATACCCCGCTGAGGAGCAGTGCTCATCTGCGAGCCTTTGGGGCCATTTTGACCTGAGATGTTTGTCCATTCGACTAGGTTGCCCAGGCCAGCGATATGGTGGTCTGTGCCGGTCATGATCATGGCACGGGTTGGTCTATCCTCTTAGTATGTGTCCATATGTCCATACAGTGGAGTACTCACGAGCAAGCAGCAGCAGCATGGAAGTCGCTAAAGCGGACGCCATCATTGGCAAGACGGTCGATATTGGGCGTACGGATCTCACTGCCAAAGCAGCCGATGTCAGAGAAGCCCAAGTCGTCCGCGACGACGATGAGGAAGTTAGGACGTGGCATGTTTAATCTGGGCTAGCACTTTGTAGACGATGGAATGAAACTGATGTGAATGAGGAGATGTTCATGATCTATATAGCATTCACAGTACTCGGCCGTCGGTTGTCGGCTAGGATTCTCTATTGGGTATATGAACTGCGTAGTACTTACGAGTATTCGTGCCACCATTTCCACTCTTAGCCATGTGAACAGAAAATTTCTAGCCATAACATATGACGAGAGTATGTAGCTACTCGAATATAATGAGAATAGATTGGTTACACTGAGAGTCTCTCCGTACCGTCGACTCTTAGGGCTTGCAGTGTACTCACGTGGTTACATTGTCCGGGGTAAACTCTACGAAGAAAGCAGATCATGATAAACCAGACATAAACTACTCTGTAAATTCTTTGAATGTTTGATAGATTCATTCTGGGGTTACTGTACTATGTACATAGGCTGCTGACCTTCCGCCAGTAAACAAACTCCGGGTTTCACTACACCTTGCCTTGGCTCACCCCTTCTTCTTCTACCCCATACTCCGTGCATCTAATTCCTCTCTATCCATGTTATAGTATTCATATCTTCGTCTTATTACCATGGCGTGATCCTCTCCACGGCTTGCTCAGCTCGGCTATCGGCTACGTCATCATCGCTGACATAATCGTTTCAGCGACGCGGCCAGGGGTTGGTGGATTAAAATGGATAGCTTCAACTTGTCCAAAAGGGGAGAAGCTTCTGTCACCTGTCATGTGCCATTGGAATGTCTGGATCAACCCCATCTTCCTATCGTCAAGTCCCTCAATTGGATCCTGGTGATCCAGGGGGTCCAACTCCTGATACTACTTTTGCTGTAACTAGTAATACTAGTAGTGACCATGCTGTTGCTCGAAAGGCTGCTTTTCGGATATACTGGCTGACTGCTGTGCTCTGCTGCGGTGGGGCCTTGTTTGGATATGACTCTGGGGTTATTGGTGTGTTCTCTTTATCATATGGTCAGATCAAACGAAACTGACCATATGAACCATTAAACCCTGAAAAGGCGGCGTCCTTACATTTGACTCCTTCCAAAATGATTTCAACTTCACAAACGACGACAAAACTCGCGTCAGCTCTATAGCTGTGGGTATCCAACAAGCCGGTGCCTTGGTCGGCTGCTTTGCTGTGTGGCCGTTGACAAACCGCCGCGGACGACGGTTAGCCATGATGTTGTGCTCGGGGGTTTTCTGTGCAGGCGTTGTCCTTGAAACTATCCGATCGGGGTCTTTGATGACGTTTTATCTTGGGCGAACGATCTGTGGTCTGGGAATTGGGGGTTCTGCGACGATTATCCCCATTTACCTGGGCGAGATGAGTCCCAAGGAAATCCGGGCTCGACTCGGGAGCTGCTACCAATTCACCTTTACCATTGGAATATTAATCTCGTACTGGGTGGACTATGCTGTCGTCAAGTTGCTGCCGCCCTTCTCCTCGAAACAATGGCAGATTCCCATGGCTCTGCAGCTCGTCCCTGGGGCCTTGATGGGCGTGGGAATGCTAACCGTCCACGAAAGCGTCCGCTGGCTCCTATTTCGCAGCGCCAACAACCACCAGCATAATAAAGCTCTGGAGGAGCAAGCTTGGATTAGCCTAGCCTGGATCCGTGGTGGAAGTACAGACGAAGTCCACGCCGAATTCAATACAATCAAAACCGGTGTCGAATCCGAAGTGCAGACCCGTGCTGACTTCCACCTTTCAGAACTCATCACTCACAAACCAAACCTCCGCCGCCTGTTTCTGGGATTCACCATCTTCCTAGCCCAACAGTCCACCGGTGCCACGGCTCTTGCCTATTTCGGCCCGCAGTTCTTTGCCATGCTCGTCGGACCCGGAGACAAGAATCTCCTACTAACCGGCGTGTTTGGCGGGGTGAAAGTTATTGCTTGTTTCGTGTTTGTGGTCTTTGTCTCAGAGAGGTTCGGACGTAGGCCGTGTCTTATTTACGGAGCGGTGGTTATGTCCGTTTGTATGGTTATCACTGCGTTTGTGGTCAAGGCGAATCCGCCACCTGAACCGCTTTCGCCGTCATCAACAGAAGATGACGGTGGTATACCGACAGCAGGACTCATAACGGTTCTTCTGATTTACCTCAACATCATCGCGTTTAACCTCTCCTGGGGTCCGCTCCCCTGGCCCTGCATATCGGAGATCTTCCCCACCCGCATCCGTGAGCCGGGCGTCGCTTTCGGTGTCGCCTCCCAATGGCTCTTCAATTTTCTTTGGTCCTCTACTACGCCCTACATCATGGCAGGTATCGGATGGGCCACGTTCCTGCTCTTTGGCATACTGGATCTGCTGTTTGCCGGGTTCGTTTTTGCCTTTCTCATGGAGACCAAGGGAAAGACGTTGGAGGAGATTACGGCGCTATTTGAGGGACCGTCGTATATTCCGTTGGGTGAGGACGACGATAGGTTTAAGGGATCAGATCGAGATGAACCAACTCCTCTACGGTCATAGATACTTGTACAGTATACGCAACTTGGACTATTCAACCGATAACTGAATTGATTGCTCGCACATTAATAGAACGTAAAATGACATTACTTGACGTAAACCCAAAAAACAAACAGAAGAAAACAAATCACATTGTAACCTCTCAGCGTCAACCATACACCCAGTATTCATGACCCTCACTTCAATCATATTCATGCCAGGAGTTTCACGGCGTTGCATCCCTGGCATAGAGATTCTGCTTATACCAAGCCCCGTGTGTTAGCAGAAATTCAAAAAAAAAAAAAAAAAAAAAAAAGTTTCAAGGACTTCGTTCAGATAAGTTGACTTATTCCTATCTCGGCTTTGTCGAATGGAATCTTTCATAGTGCATATAGCAGCTGAGTGATCTCTTTGTGGCGATTTTTAGTAGCCAAATCTAGCGGTGTACAACCGTCTTCATCTTTCGAGTTGATATCGACTCGACCTGTTTTCAGCAGTAGTTGAACGTTTCCTGTACGGCCATTTTTATCGTTCCAATTCAGGTCAAGCCGACCCATGCTCAACAACAACTGAACGATCTCCTCATCCTTTTCTTCAGCAGCGTATCTCAGTGGTGCCCCACCATTTTCACACTGCGAGTTGACATCAAACTGCTCAGTATCCAGCAGCAGCAGGACCATCTTCTTATTGCCACGTAAAGCGGCAAACGACAGGGCATCGAGTCTATGACCATTCTCGACCTGACCTAGGTCAAGCACGAGCTGAGCGACTTCCTCGTCGTTGTTCTCAATAGCCCATTCCAATGCCGTGTAGCACCACCCGTTCTCTTCGCTCTTCGTTTTGACGTCAGCCTGGCCTGTCTCCAGCAACGACCAGACGATCTCTTTATGGCCCTCCTTAGCAGCCCATCTTAGCGGTGTCATGCCCATGAAATCTTCCGAGTCGACATTGATCTGACTCGCACCCAATAGCAATCGAGCGATTTCCTTATGACCGTGCGTAGCAGCATATGACAGTGGGGTGCTACCAAGGTCATCCGTGGAATTGACATCAACCTGAGCTGTTTCGAGCAGCAACTGAACAACCTCCTGATGATCACCCAAAACAGCCCATGGCAGTGCTGTCATGTTGTTTTCATCTTTCGAGTTGACATCAATTAGACCTGTCCCCAGCAGAAATCGAACAACTTCCATATGTCCACACCAAGCAGCCCCGTGTATTGCTGCGTAGCTGCCTTCAAACACCGGTGTGGGGTCGGCTCCATGTTGGTACGTTGGATATTCTAACACCTCAAGTTGCCCTTCCATGGCCGTCCGGAAAAGCCAAGCATCACGTAAGGCCGGTGATTTCGCAAGATCGATTTTGAAATCTTGCATCAAGGCAGGATAGCTTGCTGCTGCATGATCCTCCCATGTGTTGGACGCGTATCTGAAAAATGGGTATTTCCGGTAGTAAGGTTCCAGGTGTACTTTGTATTCTCTAACCAGGGTATCGTTCTTGCGGTGGAGAGTCCACCTGCCATCGGTCGACTCAACCGCGATCAGAAAACGCCAGCACATCTCAAGCATGTGAAGATTCGCATTGTCTAGAGAGGTGTGGGCCCATGCAATATTGGAACAACAATAAATTTGCAGCAGAAAATCTTTGACTGATTGGTGGCAAAAGCTGACTGCCACATCGTCCTCGTAGTTCTCATCGCTGGAAGCATAGAAAACAGTGCCATCAACGATATCTTTTCTGGCAATATAGGCGAGGGGGCTGCATGATGAGCATATGTCGCGGTAGTCATGAGGGCTTTGGGCCTCCATTAGGGTGCCATTAGGGTGCCGTATTTGTTCAATACATATGCAGCTACTATTTCCTTTCTCTTCAGGAGGCGCTTGGCAGCGAGCGGAGTGAATAAGAGAAATTGAGCATCCTCCGTCTCGCTTATTCTGTTCAAAATCATGGCATATGTTTGGTCGAGCCCCTTCGGAAGGTCTTTGAGTTTGTTCGAGACGTGATGGTTGGGTACGTATCGCAGCTCGCTAAGCATGAGGGATACCCAGAGAAAGGTGCCTCTGGCTTGATTACCTAGAGCATTTTTCACTTCGTTTTTTAGGCCGTCACTGTATTTCCTCCTCCGTGCTAGATCATCTGTCTTCACGCCGATGTAGCGAGACAGATCGATATTGACTTCGTTCGACTCCTCCAACACCAAGTGGGTACCAATGTCACAAAGCTCGTACTCAATGTCATCTACTCCTGGTCGGTAGGTAACCAAGAACTTCACTCCCTGCGTTAAATCTTCATCAAAGAGCCCCCTTAGCCGAATGAGTAAATTCTCGCGCGTAGATTGTTCGCACTCGTCCACAGCATCGATAAGGATAAATATTTCGCCAGTTCTCTTACCTTGGAGCATATTGATAAGGATTTCCCAGAGTATCCAGAAGTCCTCAAAGGGCTTGTTGGAAGCAAGGTTATTGTTTTGTCAAAGTACAGCTCGATGTGCTGAAAAAGCTCCTCTTTCTGCAGTAGCAACTGCCAGATGATGCTTCGGAGCATAGCGGCTGGTGTCTTCCGGTCTTCGGTTTTGTCGTCGAAGAAAAAGTATGCAAGCATAGCGTCGTCCGATTTCTCGATCTTTGTCGTGAGTGCCTCGACGAGAAAGGTAGACATGCATGTCTTTCCTATACCCGGAGAGCCGATAATGCGAAAGAGTTGGGAGTCCTTCGCGGCTGCCCAAGCGGAGAACTCGCTTCGCTCCAAGATCCAATGACAGGTATCCTTCACACGTTTTCCCTTCTATGCCTGCATTTCTCGCAGGATGGCACTGGGGGGTCTTACATCCATCTGCACGGTGCATTGTCGCAATTTGTCATTGCACACAGCACTTGGATCCATCGGGATAGGTTTTGGAGACCGGCGGCGCCCAAGAATCTTTTCAGCGTTTTGAGCCAATTTCTCGATCTCAGAGTACACGAGTTTGAACGACATATCATCCGGTCCGTAGAATTTGTTCATCTTGAAATGATCTTTCGGGAGGCAAATACTGTGATGACCGTCGATGCAAGCGCTCTTTTCGTTTACTACCTAGACATTGGTCAGGAGGTGCTGGAAACAAAGCGGATCAGTTGAAACGCACCAAGTCGTGAAAGGGCACCTTTGTTCTCGACGTGAAGTCCGTTGTATACCCCTCAAAGCAGCAGATGACCGGATCGAATGAGTGAAGAGCTAGCTGGAAAAAAGTTTCAGGCGAACTGTCAAAGATTCAGAGGATTTTTCGAGGTTCTTTAAGACGCTCGTGTTGGAGTCCCATGACGGCGGTAAAAACGACGCAGCTAGAAGGCCCCAACGTGCGGCGGCACAGCTGCGGTGAGGTGTACCAAAAAAGACGACGCCAATGGTCGAATCAGCAATTTCAGCATTTCTCGAACCGCACTGAGAGGCGGAAACAATGGCCTATCGAAGGTTGGCGGTTAGTCTGGGCAACATCAAACGGTGAGACTGGCACAAGCCTGCTCTATGAGGTTGCCTCCAAAGCTATGACCAATAAAAACCAGAGGTAATTGATTGTGCGGTTTTTCTTTGCGTTTGTATGTCAGACTGTCCAACAACCTGTCGGAGATGTTGGATAGTCTACTTTGCGGAGCGTCCATGAACCATCCCGAGTTGTAGTTGAAAGTCATAACCCGACAAGGTATTCGGACGCCGGAAAACTTTTCTGGCAGCAATTCCTTTAACCAGTTGAAATGCTCCTTCGGATACCCAGGGCATCCCGGCGGGTTGTTCTTCGGTTGCCAGACCCAGGCATAATCAGGGTTTGCGCCAAGTCCGTGTACAGCGACAATGCTAAGTAAGACCAAGGTTAATTATTGTACTCAACAATGGCATTGGCATCGTTATGTAGAATTTGTATAGGGTATTATATCATCACGAAAGAATCAGCAAACAATTCCCGTCTTACGCATCGCGAGTCCGCCCCCGTCCGAGATTCATCCTGTCGTCGTGTCATTTCCTCCAGCAACATCAACGCCTGCGTCGCATTAGGATGTCTCTGCTGCGGTGCGGCCGCGTTTTCGGCCATCCGTCGCATCTCCTGTACAATCCACCTTCGCTGCTCTAATGACCCTTCTAGACCAGCCACAAATAATGGCCAGATGAAGCTCATTGGCACCAAGTTTGCTTGGTCTTGTTGCGCAGTCTCGACTCTGGCTAGTTGGATGATTTGGTCCACTGCGCCATGCACTCGGTCTGTTCGGGGATAGATAGCAAACGCAACTCGATGCAGGTAGATGAAGCTGGCAAGGAAGTTGGCTACATACTGCCGGAAACTCCGACAAAGTTCGATGGCGACAGATGGGCTCAGTGTGTCGAAGAGTTCTTCCGGTTTGTCATATACGTCCAACACCCGTGGCCGGCGGTTCCAGAGAGTCTCGAGGTCTGCACCGACCTTGTGTGCGATCTGCAGGACTTCGAATTCGTCATTCAGTGTCCCGCGACTACGGTGGTGAAGGTCGATGTAGATTATGCGCCGGATGACTTGCTGTGCTTGGACGTAGAATCGGAATACGGGACCCGCGATAGCATCATAAATGAGATAGCCCGGTCTAGTAAGTAAATCCTTGTAATCGTCGGGTTCCTTTTCTCGTGCAGAGTGCATGCTGCTATTATCTGCATGCCAACTCATATCAGGCTCCGAAAGTTGACCCAATTCAACAAGGGGATCGCCATCGCGACCTGCAATTAATGCCTTGACGTCCAGCAAGGAAACCCACGACACTGTCAGGTGGGCCAGTCCGGTCCATGTCTTTGTTCGATTGCGGAATCGTCGGAGCAGCAGATATGCAGAGTGCAGAAACGAGGTCCCGGGACGGCACAAATCGGGGGAAGAAAGCAGCTACGAGTTTTAGACACAGGTAGAGTCAAATAAGATTGAGCAACGTACCTCGGACAGCATGAGCAGAAATACTGCCGCAAATACTCTTTTCAGCGTTGACTCGTTCACGTCTCCCAGGATACATTCTTGAATGCCCAGGCTGGCTCGCCGATGATAAGTCGGTGCCAACCTCCATCGTTTCCCCTCCATGATTGCCTTGTGCACATCTGCGTAGCAATACATGGCATTCAGTAGCGGACCGGAGTCGAGCGATTGCGATAGCAAGGCTGGACGCGCGTACTTCCATTCCATATTGACCGTACCAAAGATCGTTGGAAGCGACTCGATTTCCAGAAAGTGCATCAGTAATTGTTCCTCGTATGTTGCCTGAGTTCCGTTCTCTGAGACTGCCACCTCCGGTGTCTCTGAGTGAATTCCGTCTGTGGCTTCTGTCGGGACCCCATCGTTTATCGATGCCTGTTGCTCGCGAGGACTGGCCAACGTCGGACTGATAAAGTCTGACACTCCATTGAGGATATTCAACTGCTTCTGTCCCAGTTCAGATGTTATTTCCCCGATGAAACCAAGCATATCAAACGGTCCCGTCAGACCCGCTCCAGCATTATCACCTGTCCCGAATTCCCGCTGTCGCTGCTCGTCCGCTCGCAATACAGTATCCAAAAAGTTAACATTCGGACGTCCTGGAGTCTCAATTTTCGACGTCGCTCCGACAGACACCATCGCTAGTGTCTCCGCTGCCGGTACTAACGGTGGCCCAGGAGTCCCTGGACTCTCGCTCTCCGAAACGGTAGCAGTCCTACTCCGCCGTCGCGGTATGGCCCCCCCGAAAAAGAATTGGTCGTAGACACATCCCAACCGGAGTCGAGTGCAATTGGCGCAGTGTGGTTTCGCCTCGTCGCATCGGACCTTTCGTGATCTGCAGGTCAAGCAGCCAGTTCGTCTGCGCGGGCCGGAGCGGCCTGTTCCCCGTGCTCTTGGGGGCTGTGCTGGTTAGCTTTTGTCTTTGAGTGTAGTTTTTCTGTTCTTGCAGGAATTACCTCCATCGTAGGCTCATCTGTGGGTGTCTGTGACGAGCAGACATGGCTGTGTCGAGGTCGATCGAGTGTTGCTGATTCGGAGTTGGTGAATCGAGTCCCCGCAATGGCGGCATCGGAGGTGTTTTGTATACTCCCGAGTATATGCGATTTCACATGCGAATAAATAGACAAGTGCTATCATAATTAATGAGAATATAGGTTCTCTAGGCTGTTGGTGAATGTCATGTAGCGTGAAACAATCGCTGGGCTACTCTCACAATATATTTGAACAAGGTCCGCATATATACAGCGCAAGATCCCCCGAGCACGCCACCTGACCCAGGGCTCACGGAGAGAGTTAGATTACCGGGCCTACCTTACCCGGCCGGATCTAGCACCACAAGCAGTACGATTCATGCTTGAGACAAGTCTCCTAGGCCAGCTTCGAACCCTAGCAGCTACATACCGGGTCACAGTATCCGACCCGAGGCAGCCAGCTGCCCAGAGCAGCTGAAAGGTCATACACTTGCAAGTGTTGGGATGGAGACTAGGCAGTATCCAGCAAGCCTGGGGGTCTTCGCGGCCCTGGGAATAGTGGCATAACAAGATGTACGGGGTATTTAGCGCGTCAGAAAGCATATTATATGGCATATAGATGGGCGATGTACTTAATGATTACTATCACGGCGGCTTACCCGGCCGCCCTACCGGACTTGCCGCCACTCGGCCGAACAGGGCTGACAGACGCAAGTATGAATAATAATAATAATACAGCGCAAGATGCAATCTAGCTATGCCGTGAAATCAAAGAATTGTTCAACCTCTCCATCTTATCAGTCCCATAACATAACTTGGACAAATGCAGCAGATGCCCTCGCTCCTTTCGAACATATCCAGCAAAGCAAATGACTGCCAGCACAATAGCCCCGTAACTGATCAGCACCGGGTACTTGAACTGCTCCGGTCGAGGGAAGATAATGGTCGTCGCAAAGGACAGAAGCTCGAAAACGTTCTGCAGCGCCATCTCGGTAGAGGAGAATCGGGCACGGGAATTTTCATCGATGCCCTATGGCAGTTAGCTTGTAGAGTTGGAAAGGAAAAGAAAGAAAGTGCTTACCTCCTGCACCAAAAATTGAACCGCAAGATCAAAGCCCCAAAGGCCAATCCGGCTCCACGAAACACCAACAATCAGACTAACTGCTACCATCCGGGAACTCGGATCGAGGAAGATATAACCCGCGGCAGCAGCGGCCAAGCAACAAGATTGCCAGTTGAGAAACCACAAGCCGGATCGAATGGGTCCGATTCGGTCCATGATGAATGGCGCTGCCCAGGTACCGGAAAGCTCTGCAATCACGGAGCCAATTCGCATGCCACTAACCTCGAGAGGACTAAAGCCAGTGTGGAGCAAGTAGGTGACCATAGTTGTGCCAAACGAGAGCACGGTCAAATAGAGCAGGCTCAGGGAGAATGAGGCAAGGAATACGGAATGAGAGGTGTATTCTCGCCAGGGGATGATTGTGGATTGCTTGATGTAGTCGACTATGTTGCGTGTAGAGGATTCGCTTTCTTCCAGAGTGGTTTCATTGTTCTCATTTCGTGCCAGTTCCGGGACTGCTTTGTATACCTGCTAGACGTCATTTAAGATACAATAATGAAACTGGGGAGTGACTACCTGCGCAATAGCACCATATTCTACCACAACGCTAACGGCATTCATTCCAAAAACGGTCCAGATAGCAGCCTTCGTCGACAGGCCATCCAGAAGTGAGATAAACACCGGTGCCAGCAATTTGCAGAAGAGATCTATGCGTCTCATAGATGCATTTAAATCTGGACTAGTCAGCTATATCCAGCCAAGTTGAATGGGGCATGTCGTACCTTGTCTCGACACATCCAGAATATCTGATATCACGACGGCCTGTGACTGTCAGAACGGCGCAAGCCATGAGTAATGGATTACCAGAGCATACCCAGTCACGCTCAACAGATACGGTATTAGCCGTAGCTGCCAATTTCTCCACGCAGGCCAACAAGGAGACTCCAACGAACAAGCCATGAGACACAGTAGTGGGCGTTTTCACAGTCCCCAAAAGGACCACAAAGCATGCACATGATGCAGCAACAGGCACTCTTTGCCAAACTAGACTCATATTAGTATCATAAACCATTCATACATATTTGGGCAATTGAAGAATACCAATAGATTGTCGAACAGCTCTCAATCGGTTCGCCCGATCCACTACCGAGCCCAACCAGGACGAGCACACCACAGCAGCTAGCGAGCGAACTAACGCATAGACAGAGGCATATAGCAGCGTTCCTTGAAATATAGAAGCCAGAAACAGCACAGCTCCGAATTCAAACATGCGCGAGTTCCATGTTGATAAGAAGTGCGAGATGTAGAGCCGGATCAAAACCTGCTTAGATGACCGGGGAGATTCTGAATCTGGGCCTGACAGTAATGGCTCTGCAATGCTTGAGCTCTCCATTGGCGATTCTTCAGGTTCTTCAGGCGACATTTTGTAGCTTTCTACATCACTTGAAAAAATCTGGAGTATGGCTGTCGATATTGATGTTGTTTTGATTCATCGGCAGAGAAATTACCGATGCCCATCGCCGGCTATCACAAAGTGGGCTGATGTCCCACCAAGGTCGTTCTACAGGCTCTCATGACACGCAAGATTCCGCTAAATATATGTAGAAAAATTGAAAATCATATATGCATTCAATAAAGTACACTGGAGACAATTGGTTTGATTATACTCTCTCTGAGTCCCACTTCAATCCTCCCTTTCCGTCGCTGACCGTCCGACGAGCGAGAACCTCGGCGACCTTCTCCTTCACACCTTCCTTCTGACCCCATTTGCTGACAAATTGGTTGACCGTATCGTTTCGGCCCTTCGATGTATCCCGGACAAACCGCTCGATCTCCTGTTCAGACGGAAGAGCGTACTGGGCATGAGGGTATTTCTCGAAGTTGGCATCACCAAATAGTTCCATCCGAGACTCGCCCTCGGGCAGTTCGAAGAACGAGTCAACATACTCGTTGGTCACTTCATTTAGAGTCGCGGGCTGCCACGATGCCTGGCGCGGCGGCTTGGACACGAGTCGGGCCTTGACGCCCTCCACAAAGTCTGGATGTCTCATGAAATGTGCCGCAATTCCATGCTCACGCTGGAAGGTCTCGTCGATAGTCCATTTCTTGCCCAAGCGCAGTGCGCGCAGTGCCACCTTGAGAGACGTAGGAGACCGGATGGACAGGGTCTCCAAGGTCTTCTGCGCCCATTCCTTCTGCTCCGTTTCTTTCTCAAGAGCCTGGAAGATCTCCTCCACATTGTTGTACCGGAAGCAGCGGTCGATGGCATTCCGCAGGTTTCCGGCCAGGAGGATAGGCTCCTCCTGCACGGAGGGCAGACCCGTTGAGAACTCGGAGATGGTCTGGTTGACCAGGTTCAATCGCTCCCGCAAGTTGGAGTAGTCCTTGAAAACCAATTCCGACAGGCGTTGCGTCATGTTGCCCAAAACGCTCGAGTGGATGTAGTGAGTAGCAATACCGGAGTACAAGGACTGCACACCCTTAAGACGCTCCGAAGTCAGAGCCAGGTAGGTTCCAACCTCACCGTCAAGACGGGACAGGAAGAAAGATCCTCCAACGTCTGGGAAATATCCAATGGTGGTCTCGGGCATGGCGAACAATGTCCGCTCTGTCGCAATCCGGAAAGGAGCGTGCACACTGAGACCGACACCACCTCCCATAGTAACGCCGTCCATGACGGAAATGTAGGGTTTCCCGTAGCCTGCGATAGCGTGGTCCAGGCGGAATTCGAGCCCAAAGAAATCCGACGACTTCTTCTGTCCCTCGATACCCTGCTCATTCTGCAGAGCCAGAGCAGCAACATCTCCTCCTGCGCAGAGAGCCTTCTCCCCAGCGCCGGAAACCATGATCACATTCGCCAACTCGGATTTTTCCCACTCCTAAACCCATTCACATTGTTTAGCAACCGGTCTCTTCCCAAGCAACGCCCTTTGTAGTCCCGGGGGTGCCCACCTTCAATCTGGGGAGAATCTTCCGTGCCATCGAGCCGTTCAAGGCGTTAAACTTTGCAGGTCGGTTCAATTCGATCAATCGGACACCGTAGAGAGAATTGAAGAGGACATCATCGGGTTCGTCCCCTCCTTGGGGTTTGGTGAGCTCTGCCAGAGTCGACATCTATAGCTGTTAGCCCGACTGTCCAAGGAAATAAACATATACCGAAACAAGCAGAATAACAATGAGCAATACTCAAAGACAATCCAACCACACGTACCTTGGCAGGAGCTCCGAAAGCTGGGTTGGTGACTTTGGCGCGAAGAGGCATGGCAATGGATGGAGAAGCCCGCGAGATCCAGCTCGACGGCGTAGAGAACCGGGAGAGACTGTTTCGAAGTAACATCAAGACTAGATGTGAGAGAAACAAACTAAAAGAAAAGAAAGGAAGGAGAGGGAGGGATCAGAGGGTCAACGAAAGGCAAAGGCTGGTTCTTCTTCTCCGCTTGACGAAAGACCTCGGGAGTTTTTTTCGCGGTGATGATTTTCCCCCGCCGGCAGCGTCACAGCAGCCGAACTACAACGTTACCACGCATGGAATGTAGAGAGACAAAAAGACATTGGTATGAACTATAGATCAATTGAGCTTCTAGAGTTATTGATTGTGGTGTTCTACATGATATATGTTATGTCCCGACAATATCCCATAGTTCCAAGAGCCGGTTAAGCGGGATTGACGGCAATCGATACAACCTGTTGAACTGTAGAGCTTCTATTTGTACATGGCAGAGATACTAAGAACTAAAAACACAAAAAGGTCCATATCGTCAAAGTCACATCATTCAATTCCCCTCGTTCAATACAAAGCCCGCGCGGGCTTGCTGTTCAAATCCTTCGAATGCGTCGCCAACAGCCGGTCCAGTGCCTTCTTCTCGATAATCAATCGGCCAGTCTCCAAAATATCCTTAACATCGACATCCGGACGGTCCAAGATCTTCGCGTGCTGTCCCACCTCGCGAACAGTCGAGAATAGACGCTCATCCAACTGGTCCGTGATCAGCGTAGAGCGGCCAAACTCCCGGCCCCAGTTGTTGGCCTTGAACATATCCGTAATGAGATGCGGTGTTGCGTCCTCGGGAATCGAAATCTCGTTGTCCAGGATAACCAACTGCCCCCGCTTGTACCGGTAGCTGAGGGCTATCCGCCATGCCTGGTCGTAGATCTTCCGCGGCAGCTCAGAGGAGAAATCACGGGGCTTAGGACCAAAGGCAACACCACCACCCTTCCGGATAGGCGACTGTTTGTTACCAACACGTGCCCGACCTGTTCCCTTTTGCGGTTGCAACTTTCGGTGGCTTCCGTGCACTTCGTCCCTCCACTTGGTGTTCGCGCTACCTTGCCGAGTCTTGTCACCTTCGTATACGACTGCTCGGTGCAGGATATCTTTCCGGAGGGGCATCAGGAGATGGTTTCTCGAGTATTCGACGAAACGGAGGGGTTCCATGGAGGGGAAATGGTATGCGGTGGCCTTGACCGGCTCGGGGTTCAACAGGGGATTCGAGGCGATCGGGGTCTCTCTGGTAAGATATTCAGTCGAAGCCTGTGTCTCAGTGGCCGTCGATCGCGACACGGAAGTAGAAAGGCATCGTATCTGCTAGCATTGCACTCGTTAGGACTCAATCATCAATTCTGAGAAAAAAGCAATTGAGCGCACCGTTGTCGCCTCGGGCCTGGCGAAAAATCCACCAGGACTCCGCGAGAGCCACCGGAGCATGCGAAGAGCCTCGCTTCCCGGCATTGTCCCAATATTTTGTGTAGATAATGTCGTTGTTCTTCGTGTCTAGCGACGGGGCGACAATAATCACCGCAGAGCAAAAGTCGGGCGGTGGATGTTGGGGCTTGGCAGAAAAAAGTTCCGTCCGCCAGAGATCAGAGTGCGCCAAACACCACTTCCGGCCACGCCCTCGCCTCGAATTACAACCCCTCCACTCCTATTTTACTGCTACGATGGCTCATTGCGAGCGGGCGTCGAAGCCCTTGCTTCAATGCCTGCGGAGTACCCCTACGAGGGGTCTTCCTGGTTTGCAGTCGGCACGAGCCTTCCACTCCACCTCGGTGGCCCGCGAAGAAGCTCAGGCCGAGACCAAGAGCCAACCATTCCATAAATCACCTGACCCGGAATTGGTATCGAGTCCTCGATTGGAGCGACGGCTTATGAGACAGGGCCTTGCTCCCGTGGGTTCTCGTCGACGTCGAGCGGCATTGCAGAACTCCCCCAATGTCCCGTTTGAGCAGCTGCCCTATCAATGTTTCCAGGAGGCACGGAATATCTTGCAGGCGGACCGGATAGAGAAGTTGAAGGATATTGAGCGGACGAGGGAGAAGATTGCTAGATATGAGGCTCTCAACCCTGAGCAAGCCGGTGGGAAGCAGGTGCAGAACTCCAAGCTGGGGGCCTGGAAGGAGCATCTGGACAAGCTGAAGATTCAGGCGGACATTAATGACCCAATTGTCAAGAAGAAATTTGAAGATGGCCAGGGTGAGATTCACTATATACGCTAGGCGGAAGTTGGATGTAACGGATGCTAATTGCTTTCTTGGTTAGGTGACATGTCGAAGCCCATCTACCGTTTTCTGGCCGATCGGAAATGGAGAGAATACCGACGGAAAATCCTCGTGCAACGAATCACTCAAATGAAGGTGATTCCCGATGTGCTCCCTCACTGTGACCCGGTGGTGGACGCCAAGCTATACTTTGGCCGCGGTCTGATCCAGCCAGGAGACTTTGTCGACTCCAAGGCCAGCACCACCGCGCCGAAGCTTGATGTGCAGATGTTTGAGGGCGGTAATAAATTGGTGACCATTGTGGTGGTCGATCCGGATGTGCCCAATGTGGAGGAGGACGGCTTTGACTACAGAACGCACTACCTCGCCGTCAACGTGCCCTTGTCAGCCACTTCGACCAAGGTCGATCTCTCCCAATTGTCTACTGAATCCCAGGTTGTCCTGCCTTGGGAACCACCAGTTGCGCAGAAGGGCAGTCCCTACCACCGTTTGTCTCTTTTCATTTTGGAACAGAACAACTCGCAACCGTTGGATTTTGCCGCGATAAAGGCCAAGGAGGCAGAGCGTCACAACATGAACCTCCGACCACTGCAGACCCGGTATCACCTGAAGCCGATCGGAGCGCACCTGTTCCGAAACCAATGGGACGACAACACGCTGGAAGTCATGAAGCAGATTGGATACCCCGAAGCGGATATGGAGCTTCGTCGCAAGAGGGTCGAGCCTCTTCCTTACAAGAGGAGAAACCCTTCGACGATGCGGTGATTTCCTCTTCCTTTTTGAGTATCAAATGTTATATCACATGGTTCGTAAATCTGTATTGTACAATGAAGATGTATGAATATGCACAATGAATTCCACAAAACTCCTTACTCCTCCCAAGGGTATCCTCCGTATGTTTGTAGCATTGATCACTCATCAGACAATTCAGTCGGTTGCATTGGGTTCTGCACCCATTGCATCTTCGACAGAGGCCAGGCACGCGCAATAATCTTTCCATTCACAAGGCCCAACGGAACGGGGCCGTAGTTCCTCGAATCTCTCGACCAGGGCAGATTATCACCACCGAGATAGACATGACCTTCGGGGACCTACTCACACATTAGCTCTGGACTATAGACAAGAACCCAGCAATGCTCACCTGAATCATCTCCCTATCCACCCCAACATCCGTACTAAACGCCGGATCCTTACAGACGAAATCCCCCGGCATCCCAAGCACCCTCTTAGCTCCATTGACGCCCAAAAACGACGGATGGTAGAACCGCACCACATCGCCTACTTCAATCCCGCGTCCATGCCTGTGCCACCGTGAAATAAGCAGATAGTCACCCCGAGGACTGAACGTGGGGTACATTGAGGGGCCTTCGCTGAGCTGCACGGTGATCATATGTTCCCAGATTAGGGTGCAGGCGCAGAAGAGGCCGACGCCGTCGAGGGCGAGGCGAAAGGCGCCGCCGGGGGTTGAGCGGCGGATGGTTGAGTGGATCAAGCGGTCCATCAGGGCATTCTTTTCTTGTATGCTTCTGCTTGATCGTGGGGTATCGACTTGTTGATAATGCTGTATCGGAGGTTCGGCGCCGATGGGTCACGTGCATGAGCCTATAAATTCGCTTGTGCGGAGATTTTTCTTCTCCCACCAACATAACTCTCAAGGAGTCTTCAAGCACGACACTTCATTGAAGACCATGCCTTAGTGAACAAGGATGCTTAATGCTGCATTCTATTCACTAAATTTCTTTCATTTGCTCTGATACAATCGAGTAACGCTTCTAAAAATGCTAGAGCTCGTCGTCGCCGAAATACATAACCAGGACGCGCGAGTGTGGACAGTGAAGCAAGAAGAACACGAGTCTCTATACCATACGTGGTGAGATATCCCGTTCGATCTCCTTCAGCTTTGACCCCATTTAATTATGGGACTGGGAAGCTGGGGAGTGAGAGGGAGACACTACTCCGTACTAGATATTTCATAGTTTTTTTCAATCAATTTCTTTTTATCAGCTCATTCTATTCCGTATGCAGATGCAATCCACTTGACCCCTGTATGCTCGAATTACTACCGCCACATACCATCCGCGTCTGTCACAGCATTAGCCTACTTTTCACACACAAGTCCCGAATATAAGAGAACTCACCAGGATCCTTCTCAGGGGACGGTATATACGCCCTCTTCTGCGCCTTGACCGAAACATCAACTCCAAACCTCTCGTCTCTCTCCTTCACCAATCCTTTTAATCCCTCCGGATTCGCCAACTTTACCCTGTCCTCCGACGTAAAACTGGCCATCAACTGCGGCGGCCCCATCGGCACCGGATGACCCCGGTCCACCTGCCAGAGGTGGTATATCTTACCGTACAGCGGGATGACGTCCTCCATCTCTGCCGTTTCGGCCGCTTCCCATGCGGCATTGGGTACTCCGGCTGGGGAGGGCATGATGAGCATCCCGCTTTTGACTTCGTATTCGTGCGTGTGCCAGAGTTTCTTTTCCTCCGCGGGGAGGGTTTTGAATAACCGCGGGGTGATCATGTATTCGATACCGATGAGTTTGGCGTTGGGTTTATTCGATTCGTAGAGCAGACATTGCCTGACGTCTATTCCATGTCAACATCGGATTCCACACCCTGTAGCTGGGGAACGGCATACCCTCCGTGACATGCGCACAGTAGTGATTCGCCTCGACACATCGCGTGGGATCAGACGCATAGACATGGAACGCATTCAAATGAGCGCAGATCTGCTTAACCGGGGTGAAATCCTGGACCATCCGTGCGCCAGTCTCGAGCACCCGGCTTTTGGTCGATAAGGGGTCACCGGGATTTCCATTGTCATCGACGGGGAGGCCTTTGCAAGTCGTCATTTTGTCCATTATATGCGTATAATTCGTTTCTTTCTTGATAAAGCTATGTTAAGGTGCAGCCGGTTGTCTATATAGATGCGACTTTTCTGACGTCACGATGATAATGCCGTTGACTGGGACATTTGTTGGAATAGGTTATCACATCGTTTATCATTCGTCTTGTCGGCATAGGGCTTGGCTGTCAAAAGTTCAAGTACATGTTCACAAGAGAGCAATGGCTAGGTGTCAAATTGTAGTCCAGATTACATCCACGGGCAAAAGCATTTATTCAGCCACTTCTCAGCCAGTAAAAAATGACAGTCTAAAGATATGAGCGAAGCACATGCTGCCTATTTACTCAATTAATGCCAGGGCAGCTTGTTCGATTGTTTCAGGTCAACAAAGGTAGGTAGCGGTAACTATACAAAAGAAGCGCAATAGCATTTGCAATGCAGGATACGTCGAAGTAGATTCCTCCGTATCCATGGTTCTCTCTCCAAAGGCATGGGCAATCCTCTGGGCTCAATAATGAGAATGAGTTACAGTGTTACTTATGAAAGATATGCTTCTCTGACGTACCTCATACCAGGTTGCCCCGATATGATGGCCAAACTTGGCCTTGTCCACGAGATTGCCTTCAACGAACGTGATGATTTCCGCTGGTAGCATCTCCTCCCCAGGAAATTTGGAATGATACTCAATAGCTGCTATCTTAGCTCGGAAACCCTTTCAGCGCGCGTCAAAGGCCACTTTAATAGTGGAAATGGAGGGTTCAGTTTATCGAAACCCGGCAAGGGAAGATATGCCGGTGAACTCAAAATGGATGATGGTGCTTTCTTCAATCTTTCTAATTGTACTCAAGATCAGCTGGAAGGCCAAATACAAATGATTCAACTGGGGAGTCTGCTGAAAATAACCATAATGGTATCACTAACCCTCAAAAACTGGTATGTCGACTCGGGCCCTTTTTTAAACTCAGCTACCCATGATTGTATGTTTAATGCAAAAATTTGAAGAAAGTCGTTGTCGTCTTGTGCTGATATAATCTTTTCGGCCTCTGCCTCAAGGCTTTTAAATTCATTGAGTGGGGAGGACCCAGCAAATTCCCGTTGCCAGGTGAGCGATGTGCTCACTTATGTTCATCTCGATAAATGAGTGGTTCTTGGTCGCCCCTACTCTGTCCCGATGCTATCTGAGCCCATGTGTGAGTGCAGATGTGATCTTTTGAGTAGGGATTGGTGGTACTTGCTCGCGAGCGGTGTCTGCGGATAGTACCGTTCAAGTTTCTCTCCGGAGAGCCAATATTCGTCACCCGTCTCCTTTCTCAGGCCATCCGCTTTCTCCGGGTCAATGGTAACTTTTCTGAATCGATAGGAGGCCAAGTCCTTATACACACATGTCTCGTTCTTGAAGCTTGCTGTCACATGCTCTCCCCGGGGATCTTCCATTGCAGAGAATTTGGCCCTAACACCCAATCTGCTCTTCTCATATCCATGACTGTCGGTCGAGTATCCCTCTCGCCTCCTTCAGGTCATTGGGCGACTAGCATCCAGCTCATTCTGCTCATACCTCGTCAAGAAACGGCTGATGCGGTAGCGTACAGATTCTCGCACAACAGGCAACCGACAGTGCTTCGAGGTCTTCCTTCCAAATATTCCCTGTCTTTGAGATGCGGTAATGCAGCCAATTTATGACGAGTCTCGACGTCCGGCGCTAGTCTGGCGTATGGCTTTTGTAGTTGTTTAACGCAAGTTGAGTAGCCTATAGAAACTTGCGGGTTGGAGACGAGCCCTTCTATCTCCTATCTTCGAGATTCTGCAACCCACAATGGTAGGCTTGATGCAACAGATGTAAGAGACCCGTTAACATACTTTATTAATCTCCGCTGCGAAGCTTTCAACTCGTTCGCTGAAAGGGCCCTTCAAATACCCCCGGCAAGGTGAGAAATATGTTCGAGGATGTTGCTATTTGCGCTTGGTCTTCTGGGAACCTCATCGGCTCCTTCATTTCGTTTTTCTCGCCATATTGAAGTTAAAAGGACGAGGTGAGTACAGCTGCCATGGGTTTGTGGTGTTTAACGGTCCTGGTACCACATTCAGACACGACGGTGGCTTCAATGAACATTGTGTGATGCGTCCTGTCTATCAGACTGAGATGGCTTGCGTTTTCGGAATGGACATGAAGAACGAGGAGTGCTAACCCCAAGTTGTCTTTACCATCTGACGTCTGCCCAGCTGTAGACAGTATTTCCGGTGTTCAATCATGGGTATGAGGCCTTGTATGAATCAAAGGGTTCTTGCTGGGAGTATGTGATGAGTGAAGGTACATTCACGGCACGAACTGAGGATAGCCCTAGAGGCTCATATTCACCACCCGACCAACTCTCTTTTCAAAACAACAATCAACTTCCATTGAGAGTAGGCTAGACAGCTGTGTCGATGAAGTCATACTCAAGAGGACACTGGGGTCTAGATACACTCCCTATACATGCTTATCGGATGTTTAAACATTTTCTTAGGTCAAAATGTAAATAGAAAGACGATGATAGGGAGACGAAGTACCGTCCAACTCAAATGCACCTCAGAAGATCATACAGAATAACATCATATCCACTGATACGTTTATCAAATAACGAGGCTAAACATTCACCTGGGAACTCACATGCGATTATCACACTAATATACAATATGTAACCTACATAGCATTCTTCATCTCTCTCAAAGCCGTCATCACATCCACTGGATTCGTCTTCTTAGTCTTTTTCTGAATCTCGGGGTCCTAGTCTCGTCAGCTTTCCTCTCGCATACCAGCCAGGACAAACCTACATCGACACGCATGAAAACATTGTGCAACTTCTCATCACCAATGGTAAACTTGCCCTGCGTCTGCTGGTTCTGCGCCGCAAATGTCTGCAGCTTCTTGATTGGCTCGGACTCCGAAACGGCCATGCAGAACTTGACATTTCCTTTTGTGTACTCGTGACCGGGCTGTTTCTGTTAGCCGTGTCCAGTTGTAACATGGGACACTACTTACGTAGACCTTGGTGTCATCCGGCAACGCAGCGAGAGTCTCGTTCAACGCCTTGTGCATCTCCTGGGCATTTCCTTCGAAGAAACGGCCGCATCCTGTCATGGATTAGATCATCGTGTCCAAAAAGAGTGATGAACGAACGAAGACCCACCTCCAATAAAAAGGGTATCCCCTGTGAACACCACCCGCTGATCACCATCCTCCATAAAGTAACAGATGCTATCCTGAGTGTGGCAGGGGGTGTGGAGAGCCTTGACCGTAATCCGCTCGCCGATCTTAAATGTCTCACCATGCTTGGGAGTCGTCGTCACGGATGCGCTATCCTTTCCTCCGATGACAGGGAGTGTACCGAATTGTTTAAGCTGATTTCGTTAGTATGTGGCTTATTTCCCATGGATATGTAGCTTACAATCTCCTTATTCCCGCCGGCATGATCCCAGTGACTGGAGAGTCAGCTTTTGACAACGTAAAAGTGAAAGAGAGTAACATACTGATGAGTGTTCACAATGGCAGTAAGATTGATCGTCCCGTTTTTGATCTGCGAATTCAGCACCGGCGCAACTCTGGCTAGTCAGCGTCTACCGCGGTACTCTACACCTGTGGGGAAGACACACTCTGGCGGATTGGCAGGATCAATAATCACGGAATGTTTTGTCGGTTCGTCGGTCACCAGATAGGCATAGTTATTGCCCTTTCCGGTCCCTTTGAGTCTGGATTAGCATGCCGAGTATGCACATGTATATTTTGGCTACTCACACATCGGGATCGAATGGACGTGCATTTTTCTAGTCTGCTGTGGCGTTCTTGGGGCTCGGGATTGACAGAGGCGAATAGACGGTCTGATTAATGCGCGCGTCAAAGTCATCGACGGTGAGGGAAATACAACAGAGCTGTTTATCATATGCGGGGTGTTGTACTATGGATGCTTCTATGAGAATCGAGGGATTGTTCAGCAATGACGGCAATCTTAGTAATCTCACGTGACTTGTCCGCGGAGATGAATGTATGTAGAGCCAGAGAGAGATGGCCGTTGAAGTCAGATAGAAGATGCTGAATGCTGACTCTGGCATGAAAGGTACGCCTCTAGCAGACCTACCGAATCACACCGTTTACATACGCACGGGGCTCAGCCTGCAGGATATATCGTTCGCATGGAGAACTCGCATATACTCGATTGAGAGTACGCAGGGGATGTCCCGGCGTGGTGGGAGTATGGTATGCAGTGCAGACGTTGGGCAACATGTGCAGAATGAAGTTTATTGCATTGCGTTGTCTTTGTCTGATGCAAAATTGGAATCTTGTTAGATATGATCTGGGGTATCCTGTTATGAGCAAGGGGTGCTCAGGTGCTGCACATGCTGTATATATTACATTCAATGACATGGTGTCTAAGCAACACCCAATGGCCGACTATCCCACAACTCCAATGATTCCCACCCTAGCTCCCGCAGCGCGCCCGCATCTGCATCTGCATTCCCATCTACAATCATTGCCTCAGTCTGCGTCTGCGTCTGCGTCGACACAGAAACAGCTCCCTTAGTCCTCTTCGCCTCCTCCTTGAACAGAACCTTCTTCAGCGTATCAGTCCAATGGTTCGGGTTTGCCTCGCACGCAGCAAGGAGGTAGCTGAACGAAAGCAACCGTCTGCTGGACTTCCACTCGGTCGAGCGTAGGATGTGGTCCAACCAGGTGTAGATTGCTTCGTGGTAAGCGTTATTTTTGGTATCTTTAGTTTGCGTCGAGAATGCAAGATCGTTAACCATTTCCTCCGTTAGGGTTGATAAGAATGCAGAATGGCTCTCCGTGATCATTTGCAGGAGATGCTCCCATTTGATAAAGGTGTCGTGTAATGAGTCTCCTAGCCTGTATGCCATTAGCATATCATTCTTCACCGTGGCAAAAGAGATGCTTACCTCCGTCCAGCAGGGACTAACACCGACTCATCCAACAGCACTCTCGACAGAACAACAGCCCCCTTCCGCGAAGCCTTACATATCGACACCAGCTGTGTCGCGGCAGTAGTCTGGTACTGAGCCTTGCGTTTCTTCCTCGGTGGTTGCTGTTCTTCACCTTCTTCACCCTTCGCCAACGGACTCAATGTATCCCGAATACTCTCCTTGACTCCTAGGTCATCGCCACCATTCTCCTCAGCATCAGCTGGAACCGGGGCTGAAACCGGAGGAGTAGCAGTGGCATGCAGATCAACCTTGGCCCAGTAATAATCCCACAACCACTCCAGAGATCGCTGAGTGGCATTCCGGAGCACAATCAACGAAGGAAGTTCGCGATGTGTAGCCTCGTGCCGCAACTCTACAAACGAAGCCGGAAGACCGAGGTCAATGGCCCTCTGGAACATGGTTTTTCTCATGCCAGGGATCTTAGCGTCGACAAGGCCGGTCACGAATCTATCATTAGTTAGTATCGTTTTACTTCCTTTAAGAGACAGTGAACGTACCGGCAAAAAGCAGCAGCATAGGTCGCGCGAATAGAAAAGACAGAATTTTTCCCGGCATCGTCGTGCAGAATCGCATCTGTTAATAACGCCGTTGCTTCGACGGGATGAGGAAGGCTTCCTCGTAGTTTCCAGATCGACACCTAACGAAATCAACAACTATTCATATAGAGAAAAAAGAGAGAAGACATAGATACCTTTGCGCAAGCCTGAGAGCGCAAATCCGGTCCATCATAGGACGGCGGGGGATAGAATTGGTCTCGCACCGCGAGCAATTGAGCCTGGGTTTTCCAGGGTGTGAAGACGACTTTTGCCATGCTTCTTTTATACGGAAATAAATAGAATTATGTATCTACAACCCTATTTCTGTAGAGAAGACTGCTACTGATTTTTGCGGATATGATCGGGTCATTGTTGTCCCGGGGAGATAGTTTCTCCGTGTCTATACGCAAGGTATGTATTTACTCGCCTTACTCGTTAGATAGAGTTAGAAATTTATTTGCTCTATCTTGATACTCATAGCACTTTTTACTATGACCGCTAATGCGCAGGATGCCGCGCAGTATCATACACTACAAGATCTTCTCACCAAAGTTCAAAATGACATCCTCAAGACGACAAACTCAGAAGAGCTCGTCTACAATAACGTCAACCCAGAATGGGGGATCTCAGATCACTGGCTCACTAATCGAACACGAAGAAATAGGGTCATCCAGACCAAGTATCAATTTCAACTCCCTCACACAGGTGCTGTGGATCAAAGTAGCGCCGCCAGAAATCCACGGATGCCATCTCAACTGGTTCACACAAGAAATGTATGACTGGAGAGACAATAATCTGATAAATCGAGAAGAATCGAGGCTACTCAAACTAATCACAAACCAAAGTTAGTATCATTTCCACTGCACTGACATTTATTAATAAAAAGCAGTCAACGCCCGCTTTGGCGCTCCGTACCAAGACTCAAGAAAGACACCAGATCTTGTGATAAGACCGAACGATCAGCACCATCCATCGCTCGTGATCGAGACTAGCTGGTCCGAGCCATGGCCGCGCATGCTCGACGATACGAAGCTGTGGTTAGTGGGAGGCCGACCGGAAGTGAACGTGGTGATACTCCTCAATTGGTCGCAAAAGGCAAACAGACGAACCAAGTGGAAGGTTTCGCGGGGGTATATGCCAGGGATACCATGGGGAATCCATACCTACGACAGCAGGTGGTACGTGGTCTTCATTCTTGTAACGATCTTGACTGATAAGCTGTAGAAAATCTTCCCAGACACATCGGAGTCTCCGATTCAAATCACTTGGGGTGAATTGTTTGGTGCTGCTTTACCACAGGATCGCAATCCTGCTGTCTTCCTTCCGTTGAGCGATCTCCGGGTCGAAGCGCGGGATGCACTTGTGCACATGAACATGGTCCCCGCGGTCTAGTCCATGGTCCAATAACAGCTTACAAAGGATGGAAGTTGCTTGATGCTAAATTGATGATGTATTGAGCTAATGTGTAGTTACATGAGAAGTCAAATAGTAATCATCCAATCCCGGGTATCCTCTCATGTATGTATGCTAAACGCCTAGCTAAATATAGAAAATAAAACATAAACTCCTCGCTATGCAATAATAAAACGTAATTGTCGTTAAATCCATCCGTATCCGTAATTCATGCATGATTGTTCAAGAGGAAAGAACGGCTGCGTGTCCGTAATGATATGTTGGTCAAAAGAAGAGTCATCGTCGAAAAGGAATGACTGAGACAGCAGGTTCATGTCCGGCTTTACCGGGTTCTTAAGGGGTTCGTAGTACTGCGGCTGTTCCGGTGTCCTTTGGACGGACTGGTCGTTGTTTGCCTCTTCATCATCATCTTCGCCATCCTTGGCGTTGTTAAGAGACGAAGGCGTAAATGTTTCTTCCAACTTGAGTCCCTTGCCCAGAACGCCGCCGTTGAAACTCTCCGGTTGGTTGTAGAGTCCCATTCCAACCAGTTCATCCGCATCCTCTTGCGTTTCAGGCTCAAACGGTTGCATGGGAAGCAGATCCGGAGTCGGAGGCCCGGTCACCTCACCCGAAGACGGAACACTGTCGTATCCGGATGTGGCGTCCAGCGAAGGCATGTTGTTGTTCATAGACATCATATCAAACGACCAAGCATCGGAGAGATGGGAAGTGGTAGACAGATCAGGCACACTGCCATCCCAGGCTGAAGGCTCGACCTGCGAACCATCATCCATCGGCAAAAACGGCGCCATGGTGGAGAGGGGCTCGTCGGAGAGAGGAAGACCAGATAGCGAGTATGAAGTTGATGGGAGGATCATATCATCAGTGTAGAAAAGAGGGTCATCGTTCATTTGTTGAGGGAGTGCCATGGCGGAGAGGTTCATCGAAGCGGTGGTGGAGGGTGGCATATAGTTCGGTGTTGTATGGCCGGCGGGATGCCAGCTCATTGGACGAGAGCGACGGCCTCTTCGAAGTAATGTTGAATCGAAGGAGGGGCCATAACTTGGACTGGGATCGGTAGAAGGGTACATATTGGAAGAGGAAGACATGGCAGTGGTGATAGCTCTCCGTCTGTTAGCCGGAGCAGCGGTATTGCTATGCGGTTTGGAGGTGGGCCAGGAGGGCGTCCATTGAAAAGTGGGTTGCCAGTGGGCCATGTGTACGGTCGAGAGAGTTATATAGGAGTAGACGTAGTAGACGTAGTAGACGTAGTAACCGTATGGTATGGAGAGAAAGGTGCGAGAAGATGGATAGATAATTAGTAGGGAAGGAGGTACAAATACGGAGTACAGGCAGGCATGTTAAGAAGTAGGCGGCAGGTGGCCAAGGCGCATAACGGGTAGGCTCCGGAGATATTCTGGACTAGTCTCTCTGTAATGATAATCCAAGATGACACAGGGATGGACACAAAGTTGCTGCCCGTGAGTCGACCAAGCGAGAGATTATTGGTGCATGGTCCATCATCCGGAGGTATCCCAGACGGAGTCGGAGCCCGAACAGCGATGGGCGCATATGATGGACCAATGATGAACATGGTTGATTTCTTTAATCTGACAATGGAACCGACTATCACTACTAACTTGAAGGTAATTAATATGGGACCAACCACGGTGGTCGTAACTCCACCGATCCCATATCCCATCTGCCCAACGCGTCAACCGCCCCCGATCCAAAGAACCGAATCTTCCGTCCTTTGGTACGCAAGGGTGACAACAACAAGACCAGGGGTTCTTTACGACTTGGGTCTTAATAATCTTCAACATCATTGACTCAGTCATCACTCACACCATCAGGAACATTTTCCGAAGTCACCTCCGTAGTACTTCCGGAGATTACCAGGACAAGACGACGACGACCCGGACGACGGCAAACGGACAAACCGGCCACGGCATGGATGGACATGACTGACTCCACTACTAAGGGGGCAGATGGGGGGTGGTTGGACTCAGAAATTGGAACAGAACAAATTCCAGAAGGATTTGCAGTCGGACCGGGTGGGTGCATTTTCTCTCGCTTTCGTATTAACTGCAAAAAAAAAAAATAAAATAAAATAAAATAAAATAATTTCCTTAGCGCTAGTCAGGGTCCGAAAGGGAATGGCGGTGGCCAGGATCAGGCTCGGAATCATTACTGAATCACATCATGAAAGGTCAGAGTTTGATCGGCCACTATGACTATCACTTATCAGTAACTTATATTACTCGTCCTGGACATGTACTTGTCGGCAGAGTGGTCCGGTAGGTACTCCGGAGTAAGAAGTCGGATACGCAATACTATATGATTGGTGGCATGTGTGGTGCTGCGTCTGCTGTATCCTGGAGCATGGCACAGACGCTACTCCGACCTTAATGCAGGAATGTAATGCATGCACATGGCACTTGTATTACTTTTACTAGTGCAGAATCATCTCCGTCTTACTTTTAGTATAGTCACTCTTACGGAGTACTACAGTGGGGGTTGTCAGCTGCATTCAGGGGTCATGTGAAGTCACCTGACTTGTGCTGGATGCTGATTTCCTATTCTAGACGGTTACATTGACCGGTCACCGATACAGACTTACAGTCACACTCATTTTTAAATCCGGACAGACAAACACACACACAGAGTCAGCGCTAGACAACGCAGAGACAGGGACAGGGGCTTGTCTTGGTTATAGCGACACCCGTCTTGGTTGATATTGTGATGCCTCGACTGTCTCACCAACTAGCGCACAGCCCAGCATACGAGGCAACTAAGAGACTGTCCAGGGTATTCTGTACATAGAGTAGACACTAACAAGAATGTAACCTGAAAACAACATAATGCAACTACTGGAGGCTATCTGAATCTCAGTTCAATAGATCCTGCGGTGATGTCATTCGTAATCTCCTCAATTCCCGCCCGCCACTATTCAACTCTCGCGCTTTTTGCGCTGCTCACCACTGATAATGGATAACGAACGACTATCAGATGCAATAGTAGGTTAATTATATACTCATCAAATTAAATAAAATACTAACAAGCTAGAGCGATGGGTCGTCCGTCTGCGACACCGATCCCCAAAATCAGCTCGAAGTCGTCTTCTACCCCGATTCCAGTCACCGTCGCAAATCCTCCCTCGTCGCCGCTGATAATTATCATGCAAAACCCCAGATCGACAAAAATGAGGATAAAACGGCATGTTTCGTCCATTCCCTCATAGCTGGGGAATGGGTTGCCCCTTCCAGGGGATACCCCAGTGCTGACGAGCCTGCCATCCTCGATGATACTACCCTGCCCGCCGGTGATGAGGCAATACCTGTCGTGAATCTGGGTTCCAAGTCCATTGGCGGACGGGGAACTCCGACCATTGTACAATCTCGACACCTGACCAAGCGTCAGCTGTCCGACATGGCTTGGAATGTGCGCAAACTGTCGAAGAAACTGGGCAGTATTAGGCTGAAACTCACCGTCAAGACCGTCTTTCTCGTCACAAAGGCTCACGATGAGTCCCTCATTAGCCTGACTCGCAAGGTCACTCAGTGGCTGCTGTCCAACCAGCGCGACACCCAGTACATTGTCTACATTGAGAAGCGACTTCAGACACATCCCGACTTTGCGGCATGGCAACTGGAGGAGGAGGAGCCGTCAGCCAAGAGGCGGCTCAAGTACTGGGATCCAAAGTCGGCGCTGGATAATCCGCACCTCTTCGACTTTGTTATCACCTTGGGCGGAGATGGAACTGTATTATATACCAGCTGGCTTTTCCAGCGCATTGTTCCGCCCGTTCTGTCGTTCTCGCTGGGATCCCTGGGATTCTTGACCAAGTTTGACTTTAATGACTATCAAAACACGCTAGATACGGCCTTTCGGGATGGCGTTGTGGTCAGTCTGCGGCTACGGTTCGAGTGTACCATAATGCGGAGCAATCCGCAACCCAAAGAGGCGCTCTCAGAGACCAACAAGCGGGATCTGGTTGAGGAATTGATAGGCGAGGAGGTTGAGGGTATTTTGACACATACACCAGACAAGGTTGTTCAGATCTTGAACGACGTGGTCCTGGACCGTGGACCAAATCCAAGTACGTGACTCTTGAGTGTTTGTGGAGTCTGGACACTGACATCTGCAGCCATGTCTCAAATCGAACTGTTTGGCGACGATGAGCACTTCACGACAGTGCTTGCAGATGGAATCTGCATCGCCACGCCTACCGGCTCGACGGCCTACAACCTGGCCGCTGGAGGATCATTGTCGCATCCTGAGAACCCGGTGATTTTGGTTACGGCCATCTGCGCTCACACGTTGTCGTTCCGGCCAATTATCTTACCGGATACCATTGTGCTACGAATGGGAGTGCCCTATGATGCGCGGACCAGTTCGTGGGCCAGTTTTGATGGACGGGAGAGGTATTTCCACCATCTGCATATCTGCAGTAATAAGCTAACCATGACAGAATCGAATTACACCCCGGAGACTACGTGACAGTATCTGCATCGCGGTATCCATTTGCCAATGTGCTGCCGCAGGGGAAACGCGGGGAGGATTGGGTGCATAGCATTTCCAAGACGTTGAATTGGAATTCTCGACAAAAGCCTAAAGCGTTGCATTGATCTTGTTCTATTTTGGATATATTTACATATGAATTTTCATAGTAGGGGCAGTTCTTGAAGTGCTCTAGAAGATTCGTCTTTTTTTTCACGATGGTTTCCGGGGCAGCCAGACCGCCCTATAAAAACCCGCCGAAATTTTTCTTCGACTTTTTTTTTTCCTTTCCTCTTCAACCACTCTTTCCACCACAGCTGCACAACAGCTCGGGAGTAAAATGCATACTCTCTCTTGCTCAATAATGCCATAAAGCAGTGGTTATGTCTACTAACTTGGTGAGTTTTATTCCTTTTTCTCTTTTTCTGCAGCAACATGGCGAGCTCCGCTCGCATGATGAAAACTTTTCCTACATTCGCAGTTTCCACGCTAGTCGTCGTTTGAACCCATTCTAGACGGCGTTGAGCGCTAATTCTTCCTTGGATGTCTGACTCCATGTTGCTTGCTTTTGCATTGTCGCTGTCTCTGTTTGAAGTTGAGATGGACCATTGCTAACATATACAAGTCTTAAGTTCAGGTACATCTTCACGCCCTAATACTCTGTACGGGCAACTTGTTGCTGCTTTGTATCGCATGTGCGCGCTCGGGAACAGGATCTTTGGACAAATGTGGTGGTTGTCATGGTGGATAGAGAGGGTTTTAGGATGGGAGTACAGAGTAGTCTGTACTGTGCTTCCCCAGGCTCAACGTCCGCGTATATAGCTGTTAGAACAATGCAAAAATATCCAATGGACTCGGTTCTGTCAATTTGCTTTTAAATTCAGTCGTAGTTGTAGGTCTGTATTAAAGTGCACGCATGGCGCTTTACGTCTCCGTATCTCGATATCGGAGTAACCAAAAGGAGTCAACTCTATTCCACTTCAACCTCCAAATGTCATAGACAGTCAATAACTGTTCTCATTGTTCTTCATTGTTGAACCTCCTTGTCGATTGAACATGCAATGATTCTTTGATCACCTCATACTATTACTCCGTTCTCGATTGACCTCCGTCTTGAACTCCGTCTCCTCCATCACCACAACTCCACCGCAACCACCATCACCTCTCCGACTTCGATACCCCAATACAGAGCGCCATGGCACACCCCAGACACGGCTCGATGATGTCCTTTGGAGGCGGACCTAACAACACAACACCTGCCGAAAAGCCTCCATTCCAAAACGCTCCCGTTCCAACCGCCTCACAATCGAGCCCCGGCCTGCGCGTACCCTCGAATCGCAAAACCATCTACGACAGACATCTGAATCGCAGCCGCAATGCAGAGCTCAGCCGGGCTAGCTTTGCTTTCCTCTTCTCAGAGATGGTCACCTATGCTCAACGGCGGGTGACGGGTATTCAGGATTTGGAGAGACGGTAATCCCCCGTTCCCAGAAATCATCAGACAGATAGATACTAACGATGAACGCAGACTAAACGAACAAGGCTACCCCCTAGGCCTCCGCCTCCTCGACCTCCTCTTCTACCGCACCATCGCCGGCTCCTCGTCCTCATCCTCCTCCGCCTCCGCCCTCTCAACCTCCTCCTCCACAACATCCTCACCCCCCAACCGTCCCCTTCGCATCCTCCCCCTCCTCCATCTCATCCACGGCCCCCTCTGGCGTCTCCTCTTCAACCGTCCCGCTGACGCCCTCGAACACTCCGTCTCCCCTGATACCCCGAACGAATACATGATTACGGACAATGATCCGATGGTGAATACGTATATCAGCGTGCCGCGAGAGATGAGCATGTTGAACTGTGCTGCGTTTGTCGCGGGGATTATCGAGGGTGTTTGTGATGGGTGTGGGTTTGAGGCGAAGGTGTCGGCGCATAATCAGCCGTCGGAGATGTGGCCGGGACGGACGGTGTTCTTGTTACGGTTTGGGGAGAGTGTGATGGAGAGGGAGGTGGTGTTGGAAAAGGCGGGTGTTAAATAAGGTAGAAAGTACATATCCTATCTACAGGCGTTAAGCAGGCTGCTTAATTGAAAAGTCTTAATATGTGCAGTAGATTCAAACGTATAGGTAACCTAGATATATCCATGCAATGCTCCCCAACGCCATATGCAGCAATTATTATACACTGAATCATGCCTCCGTCCGTCTACGCTTGTCCCGATCCTCATACGGAGAAGGACTTCGTTTCCTCCCACCGCCACCAGGTCTGTATGAGTCTCCATGGTCCCTTCGTGGAGAAAATGATCGCGACCTCGACCTCGACCTCCGTCGCTCCCTCACAGCACTAGCATTCGCCCCCGTTGGACGAGTCTTCTCATCACCCCGATCCGGCATAAACCGCTCATCAGTAACCCCAACCGGCGGTCCATCACGACGACGACGTCCGTCCAACCCCTCACCAAAACGACCAGTATCCTCACTCCTAAGATCGCGATACCGCGTACGACCCTTCTTCCCGACCTGCGTCAAGTCGCGCACCTGCATGTACTGCGGTAGTGTCTCACGAGAGACCTCGTCGACGAACCTCCGGCCCATGACATTCCGCTGATCGAGTCCCTCGCGCTCAAGATCACCACGAAAGAACGCACCCTTGTGGAAGTACCGCTGCATGAATCCCGGCTGTCCGCGTGTAGCGTCTTTCTCCTCCTTCTGCTTCGCGAGGAACTCCCGATCTTCGCGGTCGCGCTCTTCCGCTGTGAGATTCCTTCGTCGCTCGATCTCTTCGCGCTCCTTTTCGGATTCCTCAATCGCCTCCCGCTCGCGCTTGACACGTTTCAATTCCCGGAGTTTCCATGCTGCATGCTCTGCTTCCGGGTCGAGACCGTCCGTATCATCGATGGCGGCTTCTTCCGCGACCTCGGCTTCGTCATCGTCCCATTGGCGGTTTGCAGCGCTGCGTTCTAGGGCGGTCTTCTCGAGTTGTTCGCGGATCAGCATGTCGGCTTTTTCCTTCCGTTGTGCTATCTGGGCTTCTGCTTCGGCGGCGGTGTCTGCTTCCGTTGTGTCTTGGGTGGTGTCTGGTTTGCGCTGGTTTTTCTTGATGAATGTAGGTCGGAGGAGGACTCGTGGTTGTTCGTCTTCGGAGCTTTCTTCCTCGGAACTTTCTTTTTCTGATTCCTCTTCCTCCTCGTCTTCGTCCTCGTCCTCGTCTTTGACTGTAGGAGCAGGTGCTTGCACCCCAGTGAACCCCGGCACTACCTTTGCCGGCGCTTCATCCTCCTCATCCTCAGTAACAAACCCCTCCTCATCATCCGGCTCTTGCTCCTCAATCCTCACACCCTGAACACCCTTCGTAATCGCGCCCGCCGGAAACGAACTCGCCTTTGGCTGCTTCACCTGCTGCTGTCTTTGTCGCCTCTGCACCTCCGCGTGTTTCCCCCTCTCTTCCTCCTCTCTCGATTTTATAGCCGCCTCGTCTTCTTCGTCTTCTTCTTCGTCTGAGGACGGTTCTTCGGCGATTGGTTTTCCAGGGCGGTAGCGGGCTGGGCGGGTTGGGTTGGCGGTCATGCCGCGGTGGTGGGAAGGGAGGGGGGGTGGCATTGCTGTTTGTTTTTGGAGGCTGGGATGTTTGGAGATTGGGGTGGTGTTCGTGGTGTTGGTATCGGAGCTATCAATAATTTGACGTCCGAGGTTGTCACGTGACGGGCTATGCGATAAAAGATTTATTCTTGTGAGGGAAAAGGGAGAAAAGGAAAACAGATGCTGGATATAAGGCTTGCTAACATGTATTCTCACTGTATTTCTTGATATCTATGGTAAAACATCAGCGCAATTGTAAACCGTTGAATAGTGACCAATCTGGTAATATCAATCTATCATCACGTGCCCACGCGTCGCGCGCGACACCACTGCTTCGTCCACCATCCAACTTACAGCTACAGTGACCAACACCAACACCAACATATTCTACAGAGTACCTTCTCTTAATTTACAATCCCTAAACGACTCCTACCGAACAAAACCAGTCCACACCCAGAAAAAGCAAAATGTCCCTCCAAACCCCCCGCGTCCTCCCCGCGCACCTGCACGCCTTCCACCCCTCCAGCGGCGCCCCCTCAACACACACCATCCGCCTGCTCGGCACTGTATCCGCACTGCACGGCGACACAGCGACGATAACATGTGGTGGAAACGGGGATGTTACGCTTGTTCTGCGCCCGGACTCGCATCTGCAGATGGGGAAGTTGGTCGAGGTTGTTGGGAAGGTTATGGATCTTGAGGGGGGTGTATGTTCCCATCCCCGGTTATTTGGACTGCATGGTATAAAGGATTGAAGCTAATGAGTGCAGGGCCTTGGTGTGAGAGTTCTTGGGACGATGGATTGGGGGAATCCGGCTGATTGTGGTATGTTGAACCTTTCTCTTTGATGTATACGAGTGCTGACGGAGAAGATTACAAAATCTATGAAAAGGTCGTCGAGGCTACACACAAGTTGAAGCCTATCTTTTATGATGCGAATGAGTAATGGCGTTGTTTATGGTTAGATTTAGCTACAATGAAGACTTGCAATGATATACATGGCACAAGCTTGAATAGACGTAAATGTGAAGGTTAAAGAAGCCAATATTTACACACCATTCTGAAGACATATACACTACACAAGGAACAGAGTAAGGATCGAGCGTATTCTCCAATATTATTTATTGAGATATCAAGTGACCAGATAACTGGCCTAACCAAGACCCTAACCGTATGCAAGACCATATGCAAGCCCCTAAACAAAAGGAAATTCGTAACACAAAGTAGAACATAGTCACTGTAGACTTGGAATAAATAAACAGAAGGCCACCAAACGCCATCGCTAAAATCGCATAAAGAATCGAATAGAAAGGTTATAAAAAAAATAAATAAAAAAAAGCTTTTAACGTCGTTAGGCCGAAGCCGAAGCATCATTGGGGCTTGCATGGTTTTCTTTGTCGTCGTTGCTTTTGACTCCCAGACCCAGAAAATCAGATCCAAAAAAACCGGAATCGCTAAATGGATTGTTCTCGTTTTGGAAATTAGGATCACACAGAATCAGATTGATGAGATCCTGGTCATCTCCGTTCGGTTGGTCTGCGTCGGATCCCATGGGAGATACATAGTCGGACGCCATCCAGTCGGCCCAGTTGCCGTTCTTGGAAGTGTCAAATAAAAAGGAAGCGTCTCTGTTGGTACCATCTTCAAAGATATCCGCGATATTGTCCAGTGAGTTACCAGGCAGCGACGAAAAAGCATCGGAGCGTGGTTGCTTAGGAGTCTTGTTCAGACGCGATGGACTTTCTTGGATGCGCTGAAGCTTCTGCGCAGTGAGCTTAGTCGGGCTCAAGTCAGAGGAGTCGACGTCCTTGCGCCGAGAAGTAGGCGAATTGTAGGGCAGCGCAAGTCGCTTATCACCCAAACGTGGATTACGTCTCTTAGGCGTTGGGCTCGCGGGGAATTCCAGCTCGAAACCAGGCCCTTCGAACAAACAATCCAAATCGCTGTGGACCCCAGGCACGTGGTTCTCCTTGTCCTGAAGCCGCTTGTCAGACTCGCGAGAGGCAATACGAGGGCTGCGCCGTGGGCTGTTCACAATGGAATCGCCGAGCGCCTTCAGAGGCCCTTCATTTTGAGGAGGAAAAAGATTCCTCCTTACCGGCTTCGGTGTGAGACTGTTCTCACTTGTCATCGGAGCATTCCGCACCGGACTGGACTGGATTGCCCGTCGCAGGGCTTCCATTGGATCTTGATCTTTCCGATGTTCCAGGCTGTTCGCGCGGCGCCGTTTCGATGGCAGATTCTGGCCCTCGTTGTCGTCCTTGTCATTCTCCGTACGAGGAGTAGGTCCTTCTTCGGCTGGCGATGATGCATCAGTGCATCCTGGGGAGGACGCGGCGGGCTTTGCGGAGAGTGGATGGATGCGGGTTGCGGCGTTCATATTCGACAAAGGACCAGTGCGTCTCTGAGATCGCTTTCTTTTGCTGCTGTTCGCATTTTGCGTTTTGTTGTTCCATTTGTGTTCAGGTCGCATGCTCTTGAACTTTTGAAGCCAAAGACCACAGGCTTATCTATAAGTTAGCATTTGCAAACTCGGGGCATTTCTTCCGTCTGTTAGCACTTACGATTACAAAGAGAGACCTGGTCAAAGTCCTTGTCGTTGTCGAGCAGAGTCTTCTTGCAAATTTGGAATTTCGTGACTTTCTCCTCGTCATCTCGGTCGAGAGCCTTCCAGAACAACACAGTGGTGTCCGCATTTTTGCGCTCGTTGGCATCTTCCTCACTGCCAACAACTTCCTTGAACCAAGCTCGACGCCAGGTAGGCGTCTCAATTGCGCCACAGTTCCCACAGTAAGGAGGGGCCTGTCCACTGCGAATACACTGGTCAAGACGGGCATGAATCTGTTTTGACCTCCGTGCACCCGTTTTGCTACGGGTTTTACCATCGTCATCCGGTATCACAATTGGTGCCGGCGTTTCAGCAGCGGAGATATCACTCATCGGACCAGTGCAGCTGTAAGTAGGCTGCGGGGGAGGCGGTATTGGGTCACTTGCAGGAACCGCGTTCAAAAGCTGCTCGAGTTCACTCTGAGAGATGGGCGCAGGGGCCAGAGGCTTGGGTCCCGGCCTAGTGCTGGCCCGGGAAGACGGTCTGGAGCCCGAAGCACTAGCGGGTGCTCGCGGGAGCGGAGGTGCAGACTCTTTGGGATGCTGTTCTGCCTCGCTGGTCAAGAAATAGTCGCTCTGGTTCTTGTCTGGAATTGCTGGGGCACTGGCAGGCGAGTTGGCGCTAATGGCAGATCGAACGGTTTGCTTGTTCCGGGTGGTACCGTTTGACAGTCCAGCAGTACAGTCATCCAAAGGCGTGCCGAGGTCATCATCAAGGAGTTCCTCAATTCCTCCACTCATGAAGCCAGAGTCAGGATCTGTGGCGAGGTGTGGCAGATTCGGGCTGGAGCGGGTGGGGATCCCACCATCGAGAACGGGAGGGGAAGAAGGCATGCTGAATGAAGGCTCGAAGAGGCCGTGGTACCGGGGTTCCTCTGGGGAATGAGCATTCTGATCGCCGGAAGGTTGATCGTCACTTGGTGGATACGGCGATGTATAGCGGGTGCTGGGCTGGAAGGATTCACGCAGAGAACTGGTCAAGGGTCGTATTCTTCGGGGGATGTCATTTGGGCCGGAGATAGGGGTGGGCGGCCGAATGGGCTCCTCGATGGAGTTTTCGACGATACCGCTGGAAGGATTGAGGGGCGTCGGACGATGAATGCGAACGGAAGCAGCGGTACTTGCCGCTACGCGTAACGAACTTGGCTGTTTTTCGATATTGAAGTCGGACTTCCCTGGCTGCCCTGTCTGATAAACCCTAGCTCTCTTGCGTTGTTGCGGGTCGGCAAACTCTTCACCACCACCACCATAGCCTGATTGAACAGACCCCCTGCGGCCGGCGAACGACATCTGGGTGGGGAACTCGGAGTCGTGCATGGAAGCACTTGACGATGGGCGAATCAGGTCGTGCTGCGACGATCTGTTTTCTGATTCCAGTTGTTGGGACTGCGGCTGCGATTGCTGCTGGAGTGACTGTCGTTGCGACGAGTGTTGTCCTCCAGGTGTTGAGTGTCTGCTGGGCGGGACAAATGATACCGACGACTGGGCAGGGGACAGAGCCCGGAAGGACTCAGTGGGAGTCATAGCGGGAAAGTCCCTCGGGGTTGACCCCTCGCTAAGTATTTGGTGGAATCTCTCGATACCCGCATGGTCCATAGGGGAGGACACTGTCCGGTCCGGTTGCTGGGCCCTGAGACCAGCCAGGATGTCGGGATTCTGGCGGATATAGTTCGTCCATGTCTGAGGGTCGAAGCCATGGGGGATGATGTTGCTGAGCTCCCGGTATCGTTGCATGCTGTCAAAGTATTCACTTTGAGAAGCAGTGGGAACGGGCACAAGACGCAGTTTAACCTCCAAAGTCTCCTGGGCACCTTTCGAGAATAAACCCAACACATTTTTGCACACTCGACCGGTGATCATGGTCCTGGACTGACTATCGAGCGCATCCGGGTTCGAAGTGGATGAGGCAAGGACCCATGATAACATTCCCTGTCCGACCAGAGGCGTCTCATATTCCGAGTAATCGTAGGCGTACACCGTGTAATCTTGACCGAGGTTTGCTATTAGTTCGGGACTAGAAATGTATTAGCATTGGGAGTGCTATGATGACAACCAAGACAAACCTTGCGGACACAATGGCTTGAATGCAGGTCTTGAGCTCGACGACGCCAATCTGGGTCGTCTCGTCCAGATAAGCTGTCTGGAGTTCGAGAAGATTGGGCCATCGAGCCAAGCAATTTGTCTTGTTTGCATCGTCGAATGTGTAAAGTACCTTCACTGTGATCCGTCAATTGCAAACGTTAGCCCCTCCCCTTTCAACAGTTTCCAATGGGTGTGGATAACTTACGCCTCATGGGCCGGACGGATATTCCGTCCTGGGATTCCATTCCACCAGATGGGATTTAACCATAAGCAGATGTAGGAGTTTGGTATACCAGGGGAAAAGGTGATGAAGAAAGTGACAGGGAGCGGCGGACGGCTGGCAGTTGAAATTGGCTGGAAGAACGCGGAGATCGAGGGACGCGGAGCAAGGATGGGATGGAAAAGAAAGCAAGGCTGGGAAGATAATCGAGGTGTCAATTCCCTTTCTGCCAATCTGAAGCGGGGGTCTCGTCGACTAGGGGATGATAAGGTCGTAGTATGCGCGGTATGCAGCGGTGGGATGAAGAGCAATCGAGTGGAATGCGAGTTGCAGAAGAAGTACAAAGGACGAGAATGGCGGTCAGATGGTGAAATGCAGCAATTGAAGTTCGACCTGCAGGCGGTAGGAAATGGTTGTAGAAGAAAAGGAGCGTGGAGAGGGGAGAGGAACAGAAAAGGGTAAAATAGAAAAGAAGCGACGCCTTGCGTTTGGAGATGTCGAGAAGCGTGTCTCCGTTAGACGCGACGTGACGCTCCGCGGGAAACAAACACGACAAACACGCGTGTCACGTGATGCGTGCCAAGAGCTCGGGACGGAGCCAAGTTCAGTTGAGAAGCTGCAGTTGTTGGAGAAGAGAAGAAAGAAAAGACCTGAACAGCAGCACTTTCGCCTTTTTATATCCGGTCATTATGTCTGCTGAACCCAAGATCCAGTACGTCTTATAGCTTTATGAGTCATCCGGTCTCTTTTTGTCTTTATCTGGACGCGGTGTCATGCTAACCATGTGTCTTCACTTAGAGATCTGCTCAACAAGCCCAAGAGCGAGCTCACGTACGTGTCTTCCTGTTTGATTCTCTGTCCCTCGTCTATCCATCGCTTATCGCATCGCATCGCATGATTCATCCGGACGACAGCTGACCATCCCAGTGAATATGAGGTCGCTCTGGTGGAGGAACATGAAATGACCGCGGGCCCTCTGTCCCTCCTGCAAACTGCGACGCGCACCCACACCCAAGTCCTTATCTCATGCCGGAACAACCGTAAGCTGCTCGCGCGTGTCAAGGCTTTCGACCGTCACTGCAACATGGTGTTGGAGAATGTCAAGGAGATGTGGACGGAAAAGCCCAAGGGCAACAAGGGGAAAGGTGTTAACAAGGACCGATTCGTGAGCAAGATGTGTGTTTTCTCCCCCCATGGATATTCCGTTGCGTATTTGGAGGTACAGGCTGACGGCGGTAACAGGTTCTTGCGAGGCGACTCTGTCATTCTTGTTCTGCTTAGTTGAATGGTTTGCTTCTTGGTTATTTTTACGTGCGATCTACACGGACCGATACGAGTCCTCTCTACGACGAGCCTGTCGTCGGCAGTCCGGATAATTATACCTAGCCGGACGAGGCTTGACACGACACACAAGAGTCTTGTATGACGCGGGGCTTTCCTCTTCCTATCTTAACCTGTTTGATATTTCATGTCGATATGGGGACAAGGCGTTAGTGGTGTAATTCAACAAAAGTGATAAGCATCACGTGTGTCAATCTGAGGCTGTAATCGTGCATAGTGTACTCTGTACCTCGTAAAATAACTCGTACATCCTTGACACCTGACAACTGACGCAATAATAAATCTTACACTTATAATCAATTCCCCGCACTGTGGACTAGTAACCCCGATCCGTTCTTTGTATTGCACACAATCTGTACTGCACATAATTTACGTCTCGGCACGAGTTCTTTTATTGTACTTCTCCTTGGGTTTCAAGGTTACTCCGTATGGAATATTCCATACGCCTGGGGATTACATTCAAACTCCGAACGCACATCCTGCGACACGAATACTAGTCTACTCCTCTGGAGTACGTACATAGTGTCAACCGGTATAACCCGATTGGACAACCTAATCGACTCAAACTTGTTTCGACATGTCCTTGTCACTATTCCCTGTATATACAGGGTTGTAATAGGAAGGCGGGGTAATGTTCCATCATCTAATCATGACCACATCCATGCACCCAGCCTTATCTCGTCTATTACAACAGAGTACTAACTAACTAGTTACGGACCATCCGGAAGACTAAGCGAGCTATCCCAAACAGGAAAAGGGTGCAAACTCCACCTGGGTCGATCGACTCCACATATTCCCGGAAATAACTAGGCTGCATGCGTCATTTCCGCATCCGGACGAGGTCATCTGAACCGTCTAAAAATGGAAGATCCGAGAACAACCTAACATAAGCTTAGTCTTTCCGTGGCTTCGGCTTCTACGTGTCTTCCGCAATCTAACCTCGGTAAGTCCAATTTGAGTCATACATCATCATGTATTATGATTAATCTACCAACTATCATAACTAATCTGTACATGAAGAAAAAGGATCGGGTCGGAAGCGTAGCATAATCAGGGTCTAGATTAGATGACCGTCGCAGCCAATCCCTTGAAAAACTCACTCAAGCCGTACGCACCCGGATCCGGGATCTTCCCCACCCATTCTTCCTCGCCGCCAACATACACTGCCCGTCCCAGACTGGCGTGCATGTATTTGGTGGCTTCGCTGCCATCCTCGGCTGCCTTTGCGGCCTTCCCGAGGTCCTTGGTTTCCGTGAGGCGCTCGCAGAATGGCACCAGCGCGTCGATCATGGTGCGGTCTCCGGGTTGCGCGGGGGTGTACTTGGCCAGCGCCTCGCGGGAGTACTTGAGTGCTTCGGCCCAGACTTGTGCGGTGGCGGGTGTTGCGGTGCCCTTGTCCTGGGCGCGGAGGCCGTGGGCCAGCGCGTTCAGGAAGATGGCGTAGATGGCGCCCGAGGTGCCATCCATTGTGTTTTCGACAATGGTCACAATGCGGTTGACAGCCGTGACGGCGTCGTCCTTGATGTTGGCCTTGGGGTCGTTGAGGAAAGCGAGCACGGCTTCAGCACCGCGCTTGAGACCGACGCCGCAGTCGCCGTCACCAACGATCGAGTCGTAGCGGGTGACGTCGGGTTCTGCGGCGATAACGCTCTTGAGACCGGATCCTAGGACCTTCTTGATAATGGAGGGGTCCACTGTATTTGATTAGTTATTGTTCACGTCGCAGGAGGGCCAATTAGAACTTACACTTGACATTGCTGGGCTGTTCCTCGGCCAGTTTGGTCTTCTTAATCTCAACATGCGAACCAGCGCGCTCGTTCCAGGTCTCCCGCTTGATGGGGGCAGACCAGCCAACAGCCTGAGCATCTGCATCCAACAGGTCTAGCATGCCCTTGCCATTGCCCAGACCAGTGTCAACGACCTTGAGTAACGAAACACTGAATCCAAGACCATTCAGACTGGTCAGGAAGGTTCCCTGCAGAACACGGCAAGGCCTAATCTGGTAGTCATTGTCAAGCTGACGGTGGACCTCATCGGTAATACCGGAGAGTTCAAGGGTACTCAAACCACCGAGGTTGTTGATCAGCAGGACGAATTCGTCACCGGCGTTATGAGTAATAAAGGCACGGTCTGGGTCATTGTGATCCAGGATCTGGAAAAGCATAGTCTTCACTAGCTCGGGCAGGGTAGCCTTGGTTCGGTGAGAACCGGGTTCATTGTGGATACCCATGCCAACTTCGATCTCGTCATGAGGCACCGTGTCTTCGGGAATGGGACGGCCGGGGATGTGAACGTGCTCAAGAGAAGCACCGACGGAAGCCAAGTTCTCGTTGGCCAATTGGGCCAGGTCAAACACCTGCTTAAGCGATCCACTAATTTCCGAGTTAGTGATGGCGCATATGGTTACTCATAGCAGGAAACATACCCTTCCTCAGCCAATGCACCAACGATCTTGAGAATCAGAATACCACCCGCAATACCCCGACGACCAACCTTTCCACCCTTCTTCTTCCCCACACCAGCATCATCATTGACCGCAAAGAACTCTGTTTGGATACCTGCTGCGCGGGCCTTTTCTGTAGCCATACCAAAGTTCAGGACGTCACCAGTGTAGTTCATCGGGATAATGAGAACACCCTCCTCATTGTCAATGTAGTCCATGACACCCTTGCGGATCTGCTCTGCAGAGGGCGAGGCAAAGATGGTTCCAGCGATGGAGGCATCGAGGAGGCCCTTGCCGACTAACCCAGCGAAGGCAGGTTCATGACCGGAACCACCACCAGAGACAATGGCAACCTTGCGCTTTCCTTGAGGATTGGGACGACGGAAGATGATCTTGTGTTCAGGGTCGAAGGCGAGGGAGGGATTGGTGACAGTGAGGGAGTGGAGGGCGGTTTGGACGAGGTGGGAGGGATCCGAAAAGAAGTGTTTTGCTGTAGATGTTAGTTTGGCCAGTATACAATATGGTGAGTAGGGTACAAACTCTGCATGGTGAATTATGTGGGAATTGGTATAGGAGAGATAGAGGATAGATAGATAAAAGTAAAATAGGGTAGATCTGTCGTATCAATTGAACAGACCAGAAGACCAGCTTACAACCCGGAGAGCAGGAATGAATATAGAGAAGAAGATAATAGACCAAAGAATCGAGATACCAGGCGAATAAATAACCACAGTGTCCTCCATCCCCCCGACGCAGACCACGACGAGAACGAGAGGATGACAAACAAAGAATCCCAACAGGTTTTGTCCATGTGAACACCTGACGGACCCGCATTGCCTAATCGGGCCGGGACATGTCCAACTATAGACTGCCAGATCAGGCAAAGAATGCCTCGGCTTACTCTCTGCGGAATTCCGCTATATCCAGGGTCCAATCAAGTGAATTTCATTCCCCGTGGGACAGTGTCTTGTCTGTACTATGTATGGGAGGAGGATACACGGGGGGGGCATATTCTCTGCATGTTCGCTGCCCGTACTGGGTGTCGGTGAATGGCCCCCTTGCGCGTCCACAGTAAATATGAGAGACCAGCAAAAGCAACCCAACAGGAGGTGGTCATGGGACCTGAAAATTTGTCCCGATCCAGACCTGAAAACGATCATGTGCACCAGCTGACTAACCGGGGATCGATGGATCGACGCGTGTCGACGGGTCCCTGAACTAGAGCTTTGCACGTGATGGTCTGGACTCTTTTAGTTCTGACTGGTCATTTGGCGGCTGTTCTTGTACTCCCTACGGAGTACACAGGATACGCAGGATATCTCCAAGTATATTTACTTGGTACCACTCTGTACTCTGCTATAGAACACAAGGATGTTCTATGATTAAATGAATCACCACAATGGAATTTCTAGAACAAAGCTTCCCCAGACCCCGGATCCACCGATCTCGGAGCCGTTCCGAGTCTGGAGTGCATACGCTCATATCCTAGTCTTTGTATACTTGTCATGCATCACCATCTATTATTGTATAGACACCGCTATATTCAAATGTTATATCCAACCATTACGCCACATACTGGTACCGATTGCCCTCTTCCCGCTCCATGTAGTCCTTCTCGATCAACCTGCACGAGTCAGTATCAGCATATCTGATATCACTCCAGTTCAAAGAAAGGAACTTACTTCTCTATATTCTCCTTGATTTCTGACACCTCCAACATCCCCCGACTTCGCGTCGCCTTGATCACTTCCGCAACCAATTCCGCGTGTGTGATGGTCTTGCGGCTCTTCATGATTCGCACGATCGCCGCTTGTGTCTCCATGTGTCGGTCCACGGCAACCCGCTCGTGCGTTGTCTTGTTCTCCTCCTTCGTTTCCTTCAGTTGAATCTGGTTAATCTTAATCCGCATTTTCGGGTCTGTGAAGGCATCATTGAATGCAAATTCATCTGTTGGGTTCACATCCCGACCTTTCGGTCGCTTGCTTAGTACCCGGTACTTGGCGCACGCTAGTGACTGTAGTGTCCGTTGCAGTTCCACATCCGCTAGTCGAGTTAACAAACCACCCAACACATATAGGTCAGTTGACTTACACAATAGCGTCTCTTCCTGGATTTGAGAGTACTGCAGCGTCCCACCCTCGGGAACGTCGTTGAACAGCAACAGCACAATCGCCTGCGATGAACTGACCACCAATTCCTTGACTCCCTTCGGGAACCGTGCTCGCAATTGACAATGCGCCAGTTGATGCTTCCAGTGAAGTTTCCGTCCATTGTACTTGTTATGGTAAAACTGCTCAAAGTCGTTGATCGCCGTTGCCACGACAGGCGGAATCCGCACTTGCACATCTGAGTATGTCGGCCACGATGATGCTGACAACACGTTGACATTCAGATCAACCTGCAACCGGTGTCTCCGCTCGCGTTGAATCGAGCTGTATCCTGCCATCTCGTCGCGCGCAACATCCATGTCCTTGAACATTGATTCGAGGTTGTGCGTGAAACTCGACCCACATTCTATTGTTGGTTAGCGAAAGGAAACGCAAAAGCGAATTATTCAACTAACCTGTCCTGAGCTTCGTCAGCATGCTCTTCTCCGCATCATCACTGGCACTTCGTCCCATCAATAACCGACGCGCCAGATCGTTCTTGTAGAATGTTTCAAACACCAGTTTGCCGTGCACAAACCGGAACAGATCCAGCACCTGGTCCAGCTGGCGGTTGATCTCAGCATCTTCATCTGCAAGTGGCATATCCTCCGGTTTCCGTCCTGTGGGTAACTTCCATCCACCTTTCAGAAGCCGGTCCACGTGTTTGGCAATCATCTCTCCCATCTTCGTCTCCATCTTCGAGTCCTTATTCATAAAAGCGTCAAAAGACTCTCGCAGCGTATGTCCCAGTTCCTCATGGCGATGGAACGAATCCGTCCATGTGTCGTCGAGCTGTCGCTTGAATTCCAGCAACCGTGGTACCATCTCCCCCTCCTTGTCCTCGTCAGCGACGATTCCACTGCCTTCTTCCACAATGTAGCTTCCGAAAGCCGGCTTCAGCCAGCCACCAATATCTTTGCGCTCCAACAGAGCATACAATTTCTCCAATGCCGTCTTGTTGCTGGCCCGTAGCAGTCCGAGGATGTCTTTCTTGTCAAGTAAGAAATCCTCTTGACTTAGCAAAACTCCATCCAAAATCTCCGATAGCTTCTGCTTCGTACTCCGGCTAAGAGAGAAGAGTTCGCATCGGTTCACTTCCCGCTCGATCAAACGATGGCTGTTCTCCACAAACGTAGCAAGGTACCCAGTAGTCTCCTGCTGGGTCCATAATGAGAAATATTCTTTCGACTGCGAAACCAGAAGCGGTTCAAAATCACTAATGTACACGTCGAGACCATGGAACAGGTCGGTCGCGTTACGGAGCAAGGACGAGTCGGCCATGGTGTTGTTGCCTTCACTCCGATCTGCCCCCACCAAGTCGCAAGCGCCTTGCAAGATCTTAGGTTTCAATATCGCATCGGAAAATATGTGTGATCGGAACTGGAGCAATCCCATTTTGCGGATGACAGGGAACTCTTTGGAGTGAAGGAGGAACGACTGGTCGAGGTAGTAGAACATCCAGCGAACCGTTACCTATAGAGGATTGTGTCAGTTCCTGAAATACCAACCGCCTAGTGTATTGCACAGTACATACCAGCTCTGATTGCCATGTTTCCCATGTGTCCACCACAGCTCGTAGGGTATCAATGTCACTGCCACCTCCAGCTTTCGCGACCAATGTCTCCCGTAGCTTCCCCAACACATGTTCTCGGCAGCGATCCTGCAATTTCTTGGCCAGAGCCGCCGCTTTCCCATGGCGACATACATTTTCGGCGCCTTTGTAGAGTTCCTCCAGCGATGTCTCCGGTTTCCCGCCGCCAAAGACGGCACCCAATGCCGTATCCAACTGGCCCCATACCTTCTCAAAGTATGAATCCTGGTTCAGCCGTGGAGTCGTCCGGAGGTTCTTGATGGATAATTTCCTTGCGCCGGTATGTGGTGTGAAGTTGCTTTGACGGGCTGTCGCAAAGGCGGGGCCAGCGTTGGCCGTTGGGTTGGAGGCAGACGAGCTCTGCCCAAATGCCCCGCCTGCCCTAGAATCCGAATTCGAGAAATTATACATACTACTCGGGGATCTCAACGCTTGCGGTCGGGTTGATGACGACGAATCCGAAGGAGTGGGCGATAATCGAGCACGCTTGGGGGAGAGATATGGCGGATGGCCTCTATCCTGGTTTCTAGACAGGAGCTCTGAAATGGTCTGCTGCTGTTGCGGAGGAGGGTGTTGTGGTTGTTGACGCTGAGATGATGATGATGATTCCTCTTCGGAATTCTTTCTCTTGCCAATCGACTTGCGCTTACCGGTCCTTTGCTCGGTGGCGCCTCTCGAGTTCTGCTGCATCTACCCGGTTCTGTCCGCAACGGGAAGCGTTTCAGCGTCGGAAAGATCCAGCAAATTCCTGTACCATATAAAACATGGCCAGATTGCGCCGAGTGCTTTGTCGTTGGGCAGGTAGAAGTGGCAAGCAATGATGACTGAGAAGGTGAGGAGACGAAGAGGGCGAGAGGGCGACTCCGCAGGTGAGGTTGGCGGAGATAAGATAATACGTCCGTGGGCCTTGTTCGCTACCGTAGTGATGCCATACCTAAGTACGTACATACATAGACCATAATGTCATGCAGATGGGGGGCTTAGTTGAGGAAGGTATGGACTACGACAATGCTAAATGATCATATGACCTTTAATGGCAGCGCAGAACTTTACTGATGAATGCTATAATGGTAAATCATCCAGAAGCAGCATGATATATCTTTCAACCTCCACGGGAAAGAACAGAGATTCTACAAGTGGCAGTCTTTATCTCAACAACAATTCCTTTATTCTGACCGACGAACCCATCTTGCCATGTATTTCCGAATTTATTCAAATCGACTCGTTGAAACTGGACTCGCAAGCTGGAAGATCATTCGGCAGTCAACCGTCTTTGGAGAATTTAGGCAGGCTTGTAAAGTTTTGGATGTATGCCACGCCGTTCCATGTCGACCTCAGCCTCTATGAAATTGGAAAACCTTCTCAGACGGCTGAAAGGTATTTCTTCTGAACCCCCAGCAATGCTTAGAATATGGTGCGATAACTCAAGGTTCCTTATACCGGCACAGGCTTGGCTAATCAGAAAATCAGGGTCACTGGCTGACACTTTCAAGCATTGCATTTGTCTTGCCAGAACTTCCCACCGGTACATATAGTCCGAAACAGATTCATTCGGGAGCTGCTCCAAATTGTCAAACGCACGACGCAAACCCTTCTTGTATTCATCCATTTCGAGTGCCCGAGAGGGGAAGGTAGCAAGGAAGAGCGACTTTAAATTGGGCCAAGACTGACGGAGCTCCTTTGGAGTCGTATAGTACCATCGCCTAGCTTGGCCTTCGAGATGATGCCTGAAGACCCTGATTAAGTCCGGTTCGATGATATCCTGGTTCTTCGCTGTCTCTTCGCTGCTGAGATTTCCAAGTCCCGAAAGCACATGATGCTCCACTTCGTCAATGAACTCGCCCGCATCCTCCATATCGGGTTTGGATCCGTGGAAATTCTTGGGAGCCAAGGACACCATCGTGGATCTGTTTGACCTGGCTAGACTGACGTGTTTAGTTTTTGAGAAGTACGAAGTAGTATTGTGCTTTTTTGATAACAGGAAGGCTGGGAACGAGAAGTTGGAACGGCGGGGAAGATCCAAGCAAGGGCCGCAAGTTTAGTGGTACAGATTATATTTGTTCACCCGGTTGCTGTTGCTCAAACAAAGATGACAAAACACGTGATTTGATCCTGCCCCCTTAGTCTTTCAGTCAACGGCCGGGTGCGAGGTCAGAATCCAAATAATGACAGAAAAAGAACCAAAGGGGCAGACATATCACTGCAGTGCCCTAGACAAGGCCTCTATTTAATAAAGAAGGCCCTGTCAACGCCATCTAGTACAGTACTCAATTCTTACCAGTCCTACTGTCAGCAGCAGAGATGGTCTCTTACCTTAACCACGGCATGTTGGACCCGAACACGCGAAACATAGCTATTGTTTATGTTACTGGGATGCCATGATCTTGCCTACACAACGACTCTTTGCATCTAACAACTTACCCGTGACAAACCTGGACAGTTTGAGAGTGGGTGTCATTGCGTATAATGGTTGGATATCATTAATGTTGCAAAAAGACCAGATAGCAAACATGTCTTAGGGAATATAGCTTGTAACACCAATAAAAATACTATACTCTAGGTGGCTGGAATAATGCCATATGCAAAACTTTCATACACGTTTCATCTTCATAAACCAAGCAAGCTGCAAATCAACTCGAATCCTCATTCCGTCCGTCACAGCACTCCATCATGAAAACATAGACGTACGAGGTTGTTCCATAACTTCCTGATCCTCAAACTATTCAGGTTAGTTAGTAAATGGTAAGCCAATGACCATGTATAGAGGAAAGAACATACATCCAAAAAGCCCGTAGCAGCCACCAGCGCCATATACGATTTAGTCAAGTCACTGATCGTTTCTTGGTGGTCTGCAGAACCAGCACCCCCAATTTTAGCAAAGCGCTTGAAGATGCCAATCATACTTTGCCGGTTCTCGGCAAGGAATGCACGTGTTTGCTCCATAATCTGCTCGTTGTGAAGTCCTCGCACGAAGACGGCAGAGACGATGACTCGAAGGACGGCAAGGAGAAGGTCATAGTATTTTCGGAGAGCATCGGGATTATCAATATCTATAACGATTAGCTGAGAACCATTTTCGGATTAGGATGAATGATACTAACCAATGCCGATATCAGGGTCAGCAGCGAATAGCTGCGATTCACGGACCGCATCGAAAAGCCCAGTCTTGATGACATGGATCGCTCCATTCTTCGTTTGACAAAGCTGCTGAAGTAGTGATAGTAATGACTGGTAGAATGATAACAGGAGAGGCGTGTCTGAAAAAGCACACGGATTAGCAAAACATAGAACAACGATGACACCTCATGAACATACCGCTTGCTTGGGCGTTTCGAAGTTCGATTGGCAGCGCCCGAATAGCGTCCAAAAACAAAGCCAAATAATTCGACTGCGATATTGACTCCGCCAAGATGGAATCTACTTGGTTGTCTAGGGTGGCGAGGAGGTTGAGCAATAGAAGCGCAGATACCCGACATGTCTCTTGTCCGGAGTATGCATCGTCGCAAGTGGCTTCAATAAGCGCAAGACCAGCCGTCTTGACAACCTGCTGGCTGTGGCGCCTCAAATTCTCATGGGCAGGGTCAGGAGATGCGATCCGCGTGATGTAGTGGGAGCAGATGTTGTAGAATGTCTCCCGTAGACTCACGTTACCAGTGGCCAGGATGATACCACGGATACAAATCTGGAACAACTGATGGAGCTTGTCGTCGATTATATCCCCACTTCGCGTGGACTTCGCGTTTGACGTTGTCAATTCCAGGTTACTGATCAGCGTCTCAGCCAGTCGTGCCAGCTCGATCGCCTCCGGGAGATCTTCCTCAACGGCTGTTTCCAGCTTTGGAAGAATCATCTGGATGGAGTGAAGGATGAAAGTCGGACGGCGCCCACCATCGATATTAGAGTAAGTTACCATAGTCGTGATGAGTTCGGTCCATGACCGGAGAGTGAGATAGCGGTTATGACCGATCTGTTTGTTTTTGTTCGTCGACTGAACGAACAAGGTCAAGTTTCCAGCTTCGACCAGGAAAAGCTCCTCGTCTTGAGGCCGAAACTGGCCGTTGTCCAACAAGTCTTCCTTTCTTACTTGGATAAGCTCCTCTATTTCAGCCACGTCGTAAAGGACGAGAGACTCATCCGCTTGCGGCTTAGCACAAACTTCGAGGTCTAGGCCATCGAGAAAAATAAGATTGGGTGGCGACAATTGATGCGCGATATCCAGGTCTGCAAAGTCAAAGAGATCGAACACAGTCACGTGGGGAACAGTTTCGCCAGTCTCCACGCGCGAGGTACCCAGAAGTGTCGATATAATCTCAGTTTGGAGAGTTGGTGAGCCGAGCTTCGCAGCTGACCGAATCTCGGTGGCAGCATAGTTATATAGGAAACTCCTATATAACAGGAACTCTGCCAAAGCAGAAGCCGAATCGGAAAGCCAGAATTCCTCCGTAACGATCGGGAACCCGTTCCACATTGTGTTCGTTCCAATAATGGGCTGGCTTGCAAACATGTTTACAAGGAATTGATTCGAGCGCATCTCGGAGAGCGTGAAGAAAGCTGCAAGTTTGGAAGACCACAGATGCTTCAACACTTCAAGCGCCATGCACTTGAGATGCACCATCCAGGGCAGAATATTCCCGTCCACCTCATCTGGATTACTTTCCAAGAAACCAATAACGGCATGCAGGAGGGACATCTGGTTCGCAAAGAGACCGTCTGGAGTCACATCAAGCATGTTGCCAACGCTGTTGAACCCAAGCAGAAGGTGAGCGACTGTTGGGCGGTCCGTGATCATTCCGAGACATGTATTCAACAGCGCCAGTAAGCCCTCCCGGATAACGTAACCGGCAGATTGCGATCCAGACTCTAACTCTCTTAGCTCAAGCTGCATGTGCGTTACGAGCGGACGAGACACGCTGTCAACATCCACCTCGGCGCTCAGAACTTCAACAATCTTATTTGAGGGGCGCCATTTGGACAGTTCAGGGGACGACAATTTGTTGAGTCTCTTTGAGCTTGACATCTTTTCCAACAACCCCATCGACGTCACGGTAAGCTGCTCATGACCAGTTCCGCAGTAAAGGCACAAAGCAGGTACGATAGTCAAGTTATTCAAAATGCTGTCCTCGAAGGAGGAAAGCGCCGAGTTTGCTACGTTGAGTCTGCTGCCCTCAGCCTGGGATCTGATTAGTGGTCGCACAATATTGAGATAGGTCGATTGAAGTTCCATCATCTCATCCATAACCTCAAGGCTCCTAAGCAGACCCAGCACCAAAGTGGATTCAGATGGTGCTCTGGAAACCTCCATAATGTCTTGGTGGGCGGTGGCAAAAATAGCTTTGAGAACCTCTTCGTTGAACAGCCATTCAGCCACCCGCGCGAAGGGATGAAGACGAATATAGGCAACCAAAGATGATGTCTTGAGTGCAGAGTCCGAAGCCACCGTGGGCTGGCTGAGCACTGTGACGAGGTTCTCATTAAAGCTCCTCAGGCAGGTCAAAGCGAAATCCAGACAATTGTAGGTCAACAAACGGGCTTGCTGCTCATTGAGGTCCGGTACCTTCCTGGACAAGGCTTGGCCCAAAACAAGGTCGACATAGGGTTCAATTCCTGGCATGCGATAGGAAGACCCCAGTGATTCTGGGAACGATAGCGACAAGGGGTTTCCGGCAGTATCGAGAGTCGGGGAAACAAGAGTGTGGATCAGATCAACAAATGCGTTGGCTTGATTGAAGCTCTCGCTGATCTTCTGAAACGCTTGCTGCTCGTGCCACACGAGAGGGTTCGAGACCATCGGAGCTTTGCTGAGACCCGACGCACCCATTGATCCACCAGAGATCCACTGATCAAGCGAAAGCCACATCTCATGTCCGTTTATAGTTGACCTATCTGTCATCAATGCCGCAAGGGTTTTGAAGGTGGTGGCTCTCAGGTGAGTGGGTATCGGCCCACTGCACAGTGTCAGCAAGGTACTGACCAGGTTAAACGACGGGTGATGCAGCATCCATTCTCTTATAGTAGCACTCTGTTTGCTCAAGTGACCCATCAATCTAAGATAGCAGGTCAGCATCACCGGGCTTTCTGGCTCGCTCATGTCGGCTGATTCTGGCTTTCTCGCACGTAATATGGCCTGCGATGTCGTTGGTGGTTTCTCGGTTACGCGAGAGGCATAGAGCTGGAGCTCGGCAAACATCTGGGACCAGTTCATAGACGTTGAGCGCCGGAACTTGCCAGACATAAACTTGTCCTCTTCAGACAGAAATCTATGTGCAGCAGTGGCATTTTCTTCCCCGCCAGCGATGGAGCAAAGCAGCTCGCAGAAGGCACTCACGCGAGGAACCGTTTGCCTTTTCGAGGCCCACTGGAGGAAACCGTACAGATTGCCATCTTGATCAGCCCAGAACTCTTGTGCTGCATCAGGTCGGTTATCAAATGCAAAGGCTATCACCATCAGGAATGATTCGAGATGGGTGCGAGCCTCCACCAGTCCACGATGCAGGCTAGATGTCAAGCCATCTCGGAGAGCAGTAATTTGGTCCAACCGCTGCGTGTCTTCCTCGGTCTTCAGCATGCGAACAGCGTCGGGCATATTCGCGACACACGACTCCACGAATACCTCCAGATTTTCCATCAATAACTTCTTTAGATACTCCGAGCATGAGTCCGACTCGGGCATCGCTGCGGTGCTCTCCTTCAATAACAGCGTCACCAACTCACCCCGGGCTGGATCCCCCTGCTCTTCGTTGTTTACCCCAGAGCAAACAGCAAGAATGAAATCCAAGCCCCCGTCGTCCAATGCCGTCATAAACATCTTTGTACGTTCTTGCGCCTCTTTTTCGAGGTCCACACCTGGCAGCGGAGACGATGGCCCGTCATAGTCCCATCCACTGTACACAGCAAGCCACAATGCGATTACGGCGGAATGAAATGTCGGCAGAATCCAAGCTTGGCCATCTTTGCTTGAAGAAGTGATTGCCGTGTGTAGACTTCTTGCCTCCTTATACGAAGCAGCACTCTCGGGAGAACCATGTTTGACGAAGGAAGAGATAATGGAAGGAATATAATGGACCAGCAGTCCATCAAACCGGTCCAGCTTTCTTAAGCGATTCAAAAGATGTCGGATTTCTTCGGGACTTGTGTAAGGGCCTTTGAACATGTAGCATAGGATGGCGCCAAGTGACTCGTGTTGTTGCTGTAAGCTGTTCCGTTGGTATTCAATGGCTTCCATGACATCGGGATCCCCAGCCTGACCAACGATCGATGCCTTTTGTATTTGCTCACCGAGGAGGATAAGTGTTTTCTCAATATCTTCCATCGAGCCCATGGCCTTCCTTGCATAAAGAGAAGCATTTCGTAAAGGAGCGCCTTTGATCTCGAGAACATGAGCCACCACTTCTTGCATGAGCTCCTGAGTCATTTCCTTTTCCACTTCGAAGGACGATTCTTGGAAAACGAGGCGTAAGGCTTCCAACAGAAATAGCCGACGCTCGTGGAATCGCATAATCGCAGCGATCAGAGGGGGCCTGTCCAACAATTGAGCCTCCTCTTGGGCCACCAGGAACATCTTTGCCGCTTGCAACTCATCGATATTAATAGAATCGGCCAGTTCGAGTACTCCTTGTTGGAACTCTTGATTGACGGAATATTCCACGTCGTCAACGGTGATCTTCCCTACACCGAGTCGCAATCAATGTCAGCGCAATTCACGCAACAACAACAGCCATTGTTTCCTGAGACTTTATTAATGTTCCCCCAACTTACCCGACATAATAGCCTGTCGACTAGCATTGTTCTTCATAGGCTTGTCCAACAGTTTCCTGAAGTCGTCGATGTGCGTCTCTAGCTCAACACGGAGCCGGTCAATGTTTACCAACGACGAGTCCGAAAGAGCAGAAAGATCCTGGTACAAGCCACGAAGGCCCACCAGAGACTCTCTCTCCTCCATTGTCGGAAAAGCCGCTTACAGTCGTGGAGAGAGAGGGGGGGGGGGGAGGGAGTAGCGAAAAGAGGTACAGGTGGTGCTGTATGAAGCTACCGAGAGCTCTCTTTTCTCCGACTCTGTCGCGGGCGAAAAAAAAGCGTCAAAATCCCCTCACCGCCTTCAGGTCCAGCATCATCACCAGGAATCAACAATCAACAACGCTCTTTCTGTTCTGCACTATTTCGCTTCAGTGTTGGAAGTATGTCTATTTGGTAGATTCTATATTTAAGTCCATTCTTTTTGCTTTGAAAATGCTCAAGTGAAGAATGTCCCAAATGCTGAGAGGCGTTGCTTCGAACGCTCCGCGCCGGCCCAGTATCAACAACCATGGAAGAAATCAGGCTGGACAGAGCAATTGCACTGCTCTCATCAGAGAGGTTGAAAGACCGAAATGATGCTTTAGCTGGTTTGTGGAAATCCTATGATACTCAATGGGTTGTCTGCTAATTGAAGTATCTGCTAGATATGAAGCATATCCTCCAGCGGAATAAGCAAAGCTCGAAATTGTACGACGAACCTAGTCCTATGAACGAGAATACGAGTTGACGATCGTGTGTATCAATCTAGACATACCGTGGACGACAAAGCTTGCCACAAGATTTTCGAGTCTTTGTTTCGATTTGTTGCGGTTGAGAGGACGTCATACAACCGCGCAAGTTCCAAAGGAGCGTCGAGCACCCGTTTATCTACATGCGCGTCCGTTCTTCGGTTAGCAGTCGATGTCTTCCTACGCAATTTGCGATACAAGACCCTTCGCGCCATTGTTGACCATGTTACGGAGACTCTGCCGACGCCGGAAGAGGGTCTTTGGGAGCCCTTAAGTGCAGGCTATACAAAATGCTTGGTCGCACTTTTGCGTTATTCACCGCACGTCGAACACTTGAGCAGCAGCGAATGGGGGAAGCTCATGAGCTTTTGTTTGAGAAGTCTCGGCGTTGCGGAAGATGATAGCCAAACGAGCTTTCGGGATAGTTTTCGGTCCAGCTTGGATGATTATCTAGATGTCAGCGGCCGCTCAACCTCATCGAGACCGACATCATCTCTGGCCATCAGAGATAAATATACAGGCAATAAAAGTGTCATTGGAGAGATAATACTGTGCATACAACTTCTAACAGCGAGTCCCAATGCCCCTGTCCAAGCAAGTGCCGAGAAAATACTACATGGGCTGACGGAGTATGTGAAATCGTCGCCTGCCGCCGGAAGTGGACAACAAGCTGCATTCAGTAGCATAAATTCAGTCGTCACCAGAGTACTATTTGATCAGTCGGACCTCATCCAAGAGTTTTTGTTTGATCTCATTCCTGTAATCCGACGTCTTTGGAATACAAAACTTGCAGGTTTGCGGGATGAATTGCTCGGAACAATCATGCTTTGCACAGTCGTTTTGACCGATGCAGCTCGAAGAGAACCATCTGAATCTCTGTCTCATTTGATCGAAAGCCTCATGAACACGCTTTACTCAGAGTATATCAAGCGGCCTGAGAAAGAAATTTTACAGATCGATGAAATAGCTTTCAACCACAAGAGATCGGCCAACATAGACCGAGTAATCACAGGGCCTCTGTTGGGGAATGCTAAATCGGAGCATAATTGGACACTTGTTTGGGCCATTTCGTATCTGCTCAAACTGCTGGAAGACATAGCTGCCCGGTTATCGACATCTCAAGTCCGGCACGAGGAAGTGCCCAACAAGAAACAGCGTTTGGCTTCAGAGATAGGAGACGTCTTGCGTGACTCGTTCTCGTCTCTCGGTACAAAGAGAATTTGCGCATTGCAGCTTATTCCAATTCTCATAGAGGGCCAAGCCGACATTGACAAGAAGGTGCTTCTCCTCCAAAAGTTGACACCTAGTATCCTAGACGACAACGGTACAGTTTCTTCATGGACAATGGTGGCCATTTCAAGGTTTGTATATGCCCCACCATTTTGTCATACTATGGCTGACCCAGAGGTACAATACAGCATTGCCAGCAGTCCAGATGCAAAATCGCTCTCTTTGAACAAGCACTGGCACCAAGTTTGGGACCTGGCATCCCGGGCTTCGACCTCCCAAAGTACATCCAGAGCTTCCTGCAATCTCATGAACATTATCCTCCAATTTGACCTGCTAGAGTACTCCATCATGGCTGAGAAGATTCGTTCAATGCTTGCTTCTGTCAACCTAAGTGGCGTTTCCACGCTTACGGATTCGTCGTTAGCCTTCTGGGCTGTGATAACCCGTATGGGCGCACAGATAAACCCTGGTTCCATGCTGAACGTGTCGAAGCAGGTTTGTGCATGGCTGCGAGAGGCTTGGGCAATCGGTAGATTTTTATCCAACTCCTCTTCTAGCTATTATCTGTGCTAATGTAAAGCAGGGACTGTGACTGACAGGATCCAGACGGCACAAGTTGCTGCGTTTGCACGACCCCTGGACCTTCTAAATCTGCTGCTAGCCTGCACGAATAGACCTTTCGAGCTTCCTCATTCTCCATTCAGGGGCCCGACAGGTCTTATTGCGAAGCATTGGCACTTCTTTCACAGCAACCGAAATTTGCTCAATTATCTTTTTGACCTTGAAGGTGCAATGCACCCTGTTAATCCTTGGGTCATAGCCGAAACGCTATCCTTAGAACAATCCACTCGGCAGGATCCAAATGATGCAGTCGTTCTAGATCTCCTGCAAGCGAAATCGGAAATGTTTCTACAAACATGGCAGTCCTTGTCCGAGGAGAAGTCACACCATATCACAGTGGATGTTTTACAAATACTTGCTTCCTTTTGCATTATGGTTGCCCTTTACGTAGAGTTTTTACCGTCACAGGCTGCTTCTCGTTTGCAGGTCTTGCGGCGCAATAGCCACAATCTCTGGAATAACATATGCTCTTTTCTTGCGCACGGCGAAACTATTCTCATTGGCGTGTGCTTGGAACCACTGTCCTTCCTCATGGACTCAACCACGTGCTTCTTCAACCCGCAGTCCATGGTCTCAAGGGCCCTCAGCTCTCTTGTGCCACCAATCTCAGCAATCCTTGAGGCCCAAAGACGGAGTCAAAGTGAACTCTTGCGTGCAAACGATGACGGAGCTATGGACCTAGACGACACCTTGTCGAGTGCAGATGAATCATCAGTGGTGATCGATCAGATCAAAATGTTGAATAGAGAAGCGCTGCCTCTGATCTTCGACCCCGCGAGCTTTCAGCGTTGCATGGCTATCCGACTGTCCATCTTCCAGAAAGGAAAGGCAGATAATTATCAACCAGGGAGGTTCATTGCGAATGCAGACTTGGTGGGTTACTTGACCCAGCTAGATGAAGTTGATTATCTAGCCGCGCATGACTGTATGCCCAATATCTATCAAGCATGTTCCAGTATGGACCGGGACACTCTGCTCGAGGTTCTGGAGGACATTGGAGAGAAATGCCTACCGAGTTATGAGCTCGAGCGCTGCGAAAGTTTCCATGGTCTTTGCATTCGCATGATGGCCAGTTGGGTCAGTTCATGGACCAATATGCAGGATGACACCCTTAGCGAATCGGCCTCTGACATGTACAATTGGTTCATGGAGGTCCTTGTGGCAAGGAGAAAAGCTTCGTCCAGGGTGCACGTGGCGCTTTCCGACCTGCTAGGGGCTGTCATAAGTTCTAATCCAACATACACGAACGACCAATCTAGCCCTTCCCCACGGACAAGTCTCTTGACAATCCTCTGGGAGGGAGATGCCCCGGTAAAGTTCAGCGCTGCTAACCTGTTACCCGGTTTATTTGGTCAGTTTCCACTCAAAGACCACGATGCCATTTTTGACGATGTATTGGAGAGTTTGCCCCGAGACCCAGACTGGGATGAGGGCATAGCCCTTCGCCTATACATACTGGCCCAATTGGCATCCCAGTGGCATACTTTGCTTCGCAGAAGCATTTACCATATGTTCGAAACTCCTGCTCAAGTGCCACATTCTCTTTGGTATGCTGAGAAGTGTTTGCGTGAGGTTGCAAAAACACTTGGTCTCGAAGATGCGAGAGAGTTATTTCGACTCTTTTCCTCGCAGATTCTGTACACTTGGACCGAATCTCAGTCAATCAAGTCCATGCCTTTCAGCTTGTTTGGATACACAAGTCTTAGTGACATGTTGAAGGACGTGCAGGACGAGGTCGTGGGCCAAATCATGATGCGTGCGAATGGAGATGAGGCAGCCGAACTTTCGGAATTTGTGAACACCCCGTTTGAAAAGCTTTTGGAGGAATCCTTTTACAAAGCCGAGGCATACAGTATCGCCCGCGACATCAGTATCCCACCTGGTCAAGGGCATCATCCCAAAGGGGTTGAAACGGGGGTGAAGAAAGCTCTAGGGACTGATCGCTTTGTGAAACTGGTTGAGAAACAGTTTCCCTCAGTAATCGCCACATTCTTCAAGACACTTGATCATTACGGCCAGATTGAAAGAGCTTTCTCAAAGCGCGAGAACTTCCAGGGAGCGCTTGATATCCTGCAACACATCACTGCCAAAAGCTCATCTATAATAACACTTCCCGCCAATCAACAACCGTCTTTCAGGGCACGATATCTTTTAGATGAGCTTGAATTTCTTTGCAAACGCAGCGGATATGAATTTGAAACGATATGGACCCCTACATTGGTAACATTCGTTGGCAGGACTCTAATCGAGTCGATACACCCAGCACTTGGGTCCTTACATGCGTGTTCTGTCATCCGGAAGATCAGAATCCTCGTTTGCGTGGCTGGTCCTGTCATGCTCCAAGAATATCCCTATGAAATGATGATCCATGCCCTTCAACCTCTCCTCACCGATATCTACTGCTCAGAGGATGCTTTGGGGATTTTCTGGTACCTTCTTGAGACTGGAGAACCTTATATGACTGAGAACCCATGCTTCGTGGCCGAGGTTGCTGTCAGTACCTTCGCGTCCTTGAAAAAGTTCCTAGAATCATCTCCAGAAAGTACAGCACAGGAAAACCAATTCAGGATAGCTCTGGCAAAGATTCGGGAATTCCTAAAGTGGTTCATTGGATTTCTGGACGGATACAGTTCACCCGCCCTGGACGCAGAAAGAAAAGAGGCATTCAGGCGACTGTTGAAGTCTTCACAGCATATATCCAATACCGGGGCCTCCGCAAACGGCGCAAAGGAACATGAGCTACTACTTGAAATCCTTAGAGATCAGAATGCTGGACAAAGCCTGCTTAGCAAGCCAATCTCAGATCATGTGGTTTCCCTGCTTTGTGCTGACTCAAAAGTGCTGCCCGATTATCGCAGTGCCATCATCGGTAACGCCAATGACCCTGTCGCAAGTACAACTGCGATATATAAGACGCTTCAGAACTTCAAGCCAGGGCCTGAATACCGGCTGTGGGCTGCGAGAGTCATTGGGGGAGCTTTTGCAACCACAGGGAAAATCAGTGATGTGCTTTCGAGAGAACAAGATCCTTCCCTATTTGACATACACGAACTTCCATTAATGGATGATTGGTGCATTTCGAAGGCTAGGGTAATCCGGGTGCTTTGCAACATGCTACAAAGCAGCAGTCATCTCGAAGTTGGCCTTGTCGAACGGACGTTGCAGCTGATTGTGAGCAGAATCCAAGAAACCCAAGAATTCAACGGGTGTGCAGCCGTGATACCACTGCCTTTGATGAATTCTCTCATTTGGAGCCCCTATCACTGTCCTGTCCTACCGCTCTCGACCTTTGAAGAGAATTGGTCGGAACAGCAGACAGGTTGGCCTGAGATCTCAGCTGACGGTTTTGCTCGGCAAATTGCACTGTTTCTGTCGAAATCTGCTCCACAGAACCCTGTGATTGGACCACTACAGAAGGTTCTCAATGCAATACCTGGTCTAGCAGCTCAGCTATTGCCGTTCATTATCCATGATATTCTGCTGTCAGAGTTTCATGGGGAAGCAAGGGTCCGTGACAGTTTGTCAAACGTTTTCAAAGAAGCCTTGTACGGGGTTGAAAACAGTACGATCCCGCATGTACGACTCATCATTGATTGTCTTCTCTATCTTCGGGATCAGCCACGGCCTCGCGAGACTAAGATCGTGGACCGTGACGAGTGGCTTGATATCGACTACGGAGAAGCGTCGGCAGCCGCGAATAAATGTCATTTGCCCAAGACATCACTGCTATTCCTCGAGGTCCATGCATCCCGGGTATTGACTAGTGCTCGCCGTTCTTCGCTTGCAAAATACGAGCCTCCATCCGACCTTTTGCATGATATCTTCAAGGATATAGATGACCCAGATCTTTATTACGGCATTCAAAAAAAGGCTTCGTTAGACTCGGTGATGGAGACCCTTGAGTATAAGAGCTCAAGTTTCAAGAACCTCCTCTTCCAAAGCGCGCAATATGATAGCGAGATTCAAATGGGAGATGGATCCAGCAGATATGGTATTCTCAAGGCTCTTAACTCTACTAACCTCCAGGGAATCGCCAATTCCATGGTCTCTGTTCTCGGGGATATGAATGATGCGTCAGAGTCTTTCGATAGCATGTTGCAGTCTGCAACAAGCCTACGGCAGTGGGATATTCCTGTTTCCCCCGTTAACTCCTCACCTGCCGCGACGGTTTTCAAAGTTTTTCAGAGTCTCAACACTTCGGAAGTCTTACCCGAAGTTTCTACGTGTCTGGATGACTGCCTTTTGTCTACCTTGGATTCATTAACGAAAACAGATCGGTCTGCTACATCTCTCAGAACGGCAACAAGAGTTTTAGGCATTCTGACAGAGGTAAATGATATCGTGAGCGCTAGGTCTATCGAAGAGGTAAACCAAGGATCACTGGACATAATGACCAGAAATTCCTGGCTAAAGACCACGAGGTAGGCGCTTCACACTCAAAGATATTATGGCAGATACTAACTCAAGATAGCGTGCACGAGATAGGGGAGATATTGAGTTATCATGAGGCATTGTTCTCTTCAATAAAGCTGAAAAATTACCTGAAGTCTGCCATGAATTTAAGAGATGACGATGCACAGCTGCTAGAGGTAAAGGTAATTAGGCGGTCACTTGAGATTGCAAGGAACCACGACATGCCTCAAGCCTCGCTGAAGTCAGCTATATGCCTTTCAAAGCTCGCACAAGCATGTTCCTCGAAAGATATCAACATAGAAGGAGCGGCGAAATTTGACCTGGCAAACGTTCTATGGGATCAGGGCGAAATGACTACTTCCATTCGGATGCTTCAACAGCTGAGTGGTCAGAAACATCTTCATGAGCAGGCAGTTCCCATTAGCCGTGCAGAACTTCTCGTTACGCTGGTGAGCTACTTGTCCGATAATGTTTCTCACGCCGAAGGCTAACCTAACGTACTTTATAGGGTCACCATGTTGCCGAAGCCCGCTTGGAAGTGCCAGAGGTCATCATACAAGAGTATTTGGATCCTGCAGTGAAGGAGTTAAAAGACCGCTCTGAAGGGGAAGACGCCGGTCGAGTGTACCATGGATTTGCCATGTTCTGCGACCAACAGCTACAGAATCCGGATGGCTTGGAAGACTTCAACCGAGTTGAACAGATCCGTAACCGCAAGGAGCGAGAACTCGACGCCCTAGAGAGCTTGCTGAAGAAAGCACAAGGGAGGGAACGGGAGAATCTCAAGAACCACCGGGCGAAAGCTAAGCAATGGTTTGACCTTGACGACATGGAGTATCAACGTCATCTGGAAAGTCGAGAAGCTTTCATGCAGCAATGCCTTGAGAATTACCTCCTTTGCTTGAGGGAAAGTGAAACCTACAATAATGACATACTTCGATTTTGTGCACTCTGGCTCGACAACTCAGACAGCAAAATCGCAAATCAGGCTGTCTCTCAATATCTCAACGAGGTGCCAAGCCGCAAATTTGCGCCGTTGATGAATCAGTTGACTTCGCGTCTGCTCGATATCACAGATGACTTCCAGAACTTACTCACCAAGCTAATCTACCGCATCTGTGCCGAGCATCCTTACCACGGAATGTATCAGATCTTTGCCAGCAGCAAATCCAAGGGCGGAAAGGACGAGGTGAGCCTGTCGCGACATCGGGCTGCTGTCAGATTGGTGGATAGCCTGAAAAGCGATAAAGGAATAGGGTCAACCTGGGTTGCCATTCACAACCACAATATCGATTATGTGCGATTTGCGATTGACCGGGTGAACGAGAGATACAAGAGTGGTGCAAAGATACCGCTCAGGAAATTGCCCACCGGCCAACGTCTTGAAGACGATGCTGCGTTGCAAAAGCTTCCACCTCCTACGATGAACATTGATCTCCGTGTGGATGGTGACTACACAAACGTTCCTAAGTTGGCTAAGTTTCTTCCTGAGTTTACGCTTGCTTCTGGCGTTAGCGCGCCTAAGATTGTCACGGCTATTGCAACGAACGGGTTGAGATACAAACAACTGTTCAAAGGAGGGAATGATGATCTCCGTCAAGACGCGATAATGGAACAAGTGTTCGGGCAAGTTAGCAGTCTGCTCAAGGACCATCGAGCCACACGGCAGCGGAACCTGGTCATTCGAACATACAAGGTTCTTCCGTTGACTTCCAATGCGGGAATCATCGAATTCGTGCCGAATACGATTCCATTGCATGACTATATATTGCCGGCGCACCAGAGATATTACCCGAAGGACATGAAGCCAAGCATTTGCCGAAAGCACATTTCCGACGTCCAGACACGTAACAACGAGACCCGAGTCCGAACATACAATCAGGTGGCCGAATCTTTCCGACCTGTCATGCGGTACTTCTTCATGGAAAGATACAACAATCCCGACGACTGGTTCGACAAGAGGCTCGCGTATACGCGAAGCACAGCAGCCATCTCAATTCTCGGACATGTTCTCGGGCTTGGTGATCGACATGGCCATAACATCCTGATGGATGAGCAAACCGGAGAAGTGGTACACATTGACCTTGGAGTAGCTTTCGAGCAAGGACGCATTCTTCCCATTCCCGAAGTCGTTCCCTTCCGATTGACCCGAGACCTCGTTGATGGGATGGGTATCACCAAGACCGAAGGTGTCTTCCGCCGCTGCTGCGAGTTCACCCTTGAAACTCTCCGGCAGGAATCCTACAGTATCATGACTATTCTCGATGTCCTCAGATACGATCCACTTTACAGCTGGTCGTTGTCTCCCCTGCGGATGAAGAAGATGCAAGACCAACAAGAGGCGGGTGATGCTCCGCAGCTGCTCGGAGCAGGTGACCAACGGGCAGACAATGAGCCCAGTGAAGCTGACCGGGCGTTGAAGGTTGTTGAGAAGAAACTGAGCAAGACGTTGAGTGTCACGGCTACTGTCAACGAATTGATTCAGCAGGCAACTGATGAGAAAAACCTTGCTGTCTTGTATTCGGGTATGTTTCAACCATTGTTTTCTTTACTTTTGGTTCACGTTGCTTACTAATTACATTACAGGCTGGGCTGCATATGCATAGTTGGTATGATTTTGGGAGTTGATTGAAGTTCACCAAGTGAATAGGAGTTTCGGATGGGAAAAATGACATGTAAATATGAGGTACGAAGAAGTGTATATTGAAGAATGAAAGCATGCTATATATTCTTGACGATTTTATGCAATTGCACACCATCAAGGCGTTGGAGGATATGATTAGGCTAGTGCTTTTCCAGAGTGTCGAACCAAGACTCAAAAAGCTTCACCTTCTGCTTGGAGGCAACAGGAACCTGTCCCCATCCATTACCCACATGTTGGACAAGTTCAGACGAGTTGACAGCCAGCCATTCAACAAGTCCGTCACCGTTGGGATCTCCCGTCTTGATGAAATTCGCCCAGTACCCGTTCATCTTCCTAGCAATAGTATAGTCATCTTTGGCCCAAGGCTTATCCGTGGCGTACAGATTTTTCAGCACATAGTTAATCTCAGACTCATGAGCAGCACCGGAGGATTGTCCTGGAGGAGCATGGTCCCAGAAAAAATTGTAGACCGGGGACGAGCGCGCGGTGGCCCAGAGTCGAGACCAGAAGTAGGTTCCAACTTTGGAGCGGTCCGTAAACATGGAATTATATGCTCCCGAGGCTGTTGTTGTGTCATTCGCGGGATATAGGGAGAGGAAGCGCTGATCCCAGGGACTTGAGTATGTTGAGTTTAAATCGGACAAATACTCTGCGACGCTGATGTTCAGACCGTAGCTAGCGCCGTTTTCATCCTTAGTGTTGCCGGTTAGAACAGGGACGTCCTGTGCTAGGCCCTTGATCAGGGTGTTCCAGTAGGTGTCGGGGATCGCGTAGTAGTCCAGAGTAGCCGAGAAGCTGATGCTATCGCCAGAAGTGCTGGTAGTTGCATTGAGGAGCTCTTCCATAGACTTCTCGCGGGCATCGGAAATACTGGATACTCCCAGACTAGACAGGTATTCGGCACTCGTGGCGTACGAGTCGTTCAGCGTGGTGTAGGCCTCTGCTAGGCTCGTACACAGCGGGTCGCGGGGATCCCGTACGCCACTCTCGATAATGGCGCCAGTAATGAGTCCTCTGGTCAGATTACTGTTGAGAATATGTTGTGTGGCAGCAGATCCAGCCGACTGGCCCATGACGGTGATGCGAGATGGATCTCCCCCAAAAGCATCGATGTTGGCATGAATCCATTTAAGTGCTGCGAATTGGTCCAGCATGCCCCAGTTCCCGGAACTATTCGAGTCCGTCACCTTCTCGAACTCAGCAGACAACTCGGGATGAGCGAGCCAGCCAAACGGACCAGTGCGGTAGTTGTAGTTGACGAAGACAATGCCCTGGTCCGCCATACCACCTCCATCGAACAAGGCATCAGCTGCAGTTGACATGGCCGGATAACTCCACATGACGACGGGGAGCTGTGCGTCGGTATAGTTTGCGGGGCTCCATATGTTCAGGTTCAGACAGTCCTCATCGATCTTATAATCGTCCCTGGATGTTGCAGAAGGACAGACATTGCCCCAGTTGCGCGCATCTAAGGTGCCATTCCACGCGCTGGCAGGCTGCGGTGCTTTCCAACGGTTTTGACCAGCAGTCGTGGCGGCGAAGGGGATACCCTTCCAGACAGTTATGTCCTTCCAGTGGGTCAAATTGCCGGTATTGGTGCTGTTGAAGGCCGGATAGCCCTGGACTGCGCCGTACTTGGTCTGAATAACGGTATCATAGAGCACAGCCGAGGTGACTGGGGCCAAGCTGCATGCAGCAGCTGGTAATAGGAAGTTTTGACGCATATTGAATAAGAAAGACGGTCGAGAATGATCAAGTTTTGGAAGACAGTGCCTTGGACGGAGACTGGGGCCCTCTTTTTATAGTGCAGCAGCCTTACGTATACCAAAGTTGCTGATGACGAATACTCCAGAGTACTCATCCTAGCAATTAAATGAAACAGTGCCCTACTGGTTTCAGGCCACGCTATTTCTATACGATTCACCCGTAACAACAGCTTCATACTTCGGCATCGGACATAACCCAGTGGGGCCCGTCGGTATGGCTTCCCGAAGCATCACCGATCGACAGCATCTCGGGATTATGTAGAATGTGCATTCAAGCCCCAAAGGTGTATGGTCAACAATGATATGGTAGTGGTATAGCCTGGGTGCCTGAAGCTACTGTGTTGATGTCATGTAGCCTCTTACCTCAGAATCTTCCCACTAGACAACCTGAACATTCACAGATACTCTCATCATGGCCATTCCGCCTGAATATGGTCTTATTTATTCGGAACTCGATTTTCTGTCTCGCGTTGAAGATGATATAGGAAAGGGGCAACGTGAATTAACCTACTCTGTACTTCAGGGTCCCGGCAGAATGGCGAGAGTGTGTGATCGATGAACTGGATAACAACCCGGGTTATTCGAACATCTGTCTGTAAGTGTACATGGGATGTGGATATTATATGCTCTGACTCTTACAGCAAACACTATGACCAGGTTTCGCGGGTGTTTTGGGTGTGACTGGTGCCGCGGGAGATACACACTGTGCAGTACAAGTGGTGGCATGAGCAGCTCATGAGTTGGATTTTCGGGGGACTCGTGACGGAGCAGGAGATTAAAGCCCTTTGGCCGAACGAGGGAGCTAGTTAGTCTTCCTCCATTTACTGCTTGTCACTGTCACTGATATCTATAGCTATGTCATACACACTCGAACCTCATTCGCAGATATCCTGTCCGACGTATCCGCATTGGAGAGATGACCCGGGCCTTTCTCTACGCTCAGACGGCAAGAGTCTACCAGGGTTTGTCATGCAGCCTGGCTGGAGTAGGCCTGGAACCAATTGATGAACAACATGAACCTATGGCTTCTTGGCGGCAATGAAGACGTGCGCGCGGTTCTTCTACTGAAATGGAAGAAGATTGGTTCGATGAACAGGGTCACAGGAGACGCGGAGCTATACGGCTTGGACGTTAATGGACTGCCTGTTCTCGCGCAATCGGAGGTAATTCTCGAACTATCCTCTATCATGACTTGCACTAATAGATATAGACGATCTTTCCCGCTCCGTTAGTTCAAGGCTCTCAGTATATCTCGCTGCCCCGTGTTGCTATATTTGGCTCCTACATCCCGGATGCGAATTCGAATGATGTGCTTAGTCTGAGCATCGATGATTTACGAAAAATAGCCACACAAGCCCTGGCATCTATAAATCTTGTTCCGGCTTGAAAATATATATCAAATTTGAGTTGCACAGTGAAATGTAGCTAGTGGTTAAATAATAAACGGGGGAGAACTCGCTCAGAAGCTCAGTTTAATACAATAATACAGGTTGTCCTATATTCTATAGAGAATTGCTTGATTTGACGTTGTTCAAGCAGGTTTCTTGCACTGATGTATAGTGCTTAGTCATCACCTTTAATGCCAACGTCTCCATTCTGTGCTCTGTCAACCACATACCAACATTAAATTCAGAAAGCAGAATGACTACACATAATAGAGGCATTGTAGTTCTCTCCGGGGGCAGCGCAGCAAACAATCTCGTGGATGTTTTCAATGCGGTGCGCGAGAGCAAGGACTGTTTATTGAGCTATATCATCCCTATCAGTGACAATGGAGGCTCATCATCTGAATTGATCCGGATATTCGGGGGGCCTGGAATTGGCGATGTGCGAAGTAAGCTAGCTATTTCGGACGCAATGGCCCTTTCTTCCCTTTCTATACTGACAAAGACAGGTCGACTCGTCCGATTAATCTCAGAGTCACCCCCGGATTCAGAACGGGCAGCCATCAGGACTCTGTTCAACCACCGACTTTCAGCAGATGCAGCGGAAGCCCAGGGGGGTTGGTATTCGATAGTAGAGGGCACCTCCGATCTATGGAAGCGTATCACACCCGCAAAGAAGGAGCTCATACGCTCCTTTTTCAACATGCTGAATCTCGAGATCCTGAAGCGTGCTCGACCACCGGCATCGACCTTCGACTTTACCTCAGCCAGCGTGGGCAACTTATTCCTAACCGGCGCTCGTCTCTTCTGTGGTAGTTTTGAGAGTGCGATTTACCTCCTGGGGAATATCTGCGGTGTACCGGAGACCGTCCGTGTGATCCCGGCCATCAACTCGAACTTCTCGCACCACATTTCAGCATCCCTTGCGAACGGTACCGTCATCGTGGGACAGAACAGTATCTCACACCCGAGTGAGGCGACAGCCCTCCAGCCCAAACCAGGTTCCCGCCGTCCTAGTCTACTCCTAGCCGACGGCGACGGCGACGATAGTCTCGAAGCCACGGAACCTTCAGACGCGGCTGATGCAGTCTCGTACGGAGATGACCATCTCCCTGGCTCCCTGCCCACTTTACGGAACAAAAACATCCAATTCAGCAAGTCAAATAATGAGGACCTCCCAGCGCGCATCACCCGCATCTGGTACATCAATCCTTACGGCCAGGAGATCCGGCCTCCTGCTAACCCGCGCGTGCTGGAAGCCCTTCTCGATGCACAAGCTATTATCTACAGCATCGGATCTCTTTACACATCTATCATACCTTCCATGATCCTCCGCGGCGCGGGGCAGAATATCGTCTCGAGTTCGGCACGGCATAAGATTCTCATTGTCAACGGCAGCCTTGATCGCGAGACAGGACCGCCTACGGAACCATTTACTACAGTTGACTTTGTGGAAGCTATCACGCGAGCTGGCGAGGAGAGTCGCGGACGTGGGCCACTTGAGTTCCCTACACCTCCAGCAACCTCGACGAATAAATTACCCTATAATTCCTACGTCACACACATCCTCCACCTCGAAGGCCCGGGAACACCATATGTAGACCGGGAGCGCCTTGCCGAAATGGGAATTGAGACTCTCCGTCTCTACGGACGGAAGATCGTTGTCAAGGATGATAAAACAGGCGAGGAGGTGACGATTGGGATGAAATACGATCCGAAAGCGCTGGTGCAGGCTTTGGAGGTTGTACTGGGGAAGAGGGGCGATGGGATACTTCGTGGAGCGGCGGGAAGTTGTTTGGGGAGGAGAAATACGTTGGATCCAGGGAGGAAGAGGGGAGAGAAGAAGCGTGAGGCTAGTTGAACAGCATTACATTTAATTTCTCATCTTAATACCAATCACGCAAGATTCCTTTCGAACGAACATCAGATATGTGAGATTGCTTCATATGGTTGCAACATCGTGAAAACATTACTATATACACATCTATCTTTTCACTCATAACATACAGCCACCCATGATACACACTCCTGACCCGGGCCTGACCGTAGAACAACGCCATCCCAATGCTTTTAGACAACAGGAACACCGACAACATAGGAAAACTCAACCCGTTGGGACCGAGGAAAAAAAAAAAAAAAAAAAAAAAAAGCCAAGAAAAAGAAAAGGATCTTGAAAAGTTTGAAAGAAGAGTAGAAGAAAAAAATCATGCACGAGCAGTTGGTTTAGATTTCCAGGTATTCCGCTGGAAACTAACATGGGAATTCTTATTTCCATGCGGCGGAGGATTTCGGAAATCATTATAGAGACCCGAGTTCACATCCATCAGTATGGCTCGTTGAGGCCCCGCTGCTTGAGGGATAGCTGGCGATTTGACGTTTGTCTTCGACGTCTTGACACTAGCGGATGCAGTTGACGGGGCTTTAGCCTTCATGACCTCCTTGACGATGTCGCGAAGCTCGTCATCGTCCTTGGAGATCTGAGCGCGGATGAACGCTGGGTCGTATGTAGCCTGGAGAGACGACATGACGGACTTGCGGGGCGTGTAATCGTACTTCTCGGGATTAGGCGGCGAGTGAGGTTTGATCAACGGGTCGAGATACGCTTCCTGGTTCTTGCCCAAAAGTTGTAGGATGTCCAGGCTTTCGCCGTGGGGAATCTTGTGCGGATGCGAAGGGGTCACGCAATCCACGTCAACTTCTTTGCGCAGAACGTGGTCGATATCGACGGCGGAGAAATACGCGCAAGATTGAGGCAGGTCGTCGATACCAACCTGCTGCGAGAACATGGCTCGGGTCCAGACATTGGCTACCTGCAAGGCCAAAGCAGCGCGGTACCGGTCTTCGTCTTTGACCATATACCGAATCTCGTCATGCACGGTAATGGCCAGGCGAGCTTCAATATTGTAGCGCCGAATAAGATAGTCCATTCCAACGATCAGAAGATGAAGGTAATCAACACCAGAAGACTGGATTGCCCAGTTGATCCGAGATGTCATGAAGCTACCCCTGTTGATGAATCGTCGCATCAACGCCTCTGTGATCCCAGCGCCTAGAACCGGAGTCCTAGGCCGTTCCTGCTCTGCGAACTCTTCGAGCTTGTTGAAAACGAAAGATTCCGTACCTCCACGCCAGAAAGGACTCTCACTCAGAACACGGCGAGTCGTCTTGGCACCCTTCGTTGCTTTGTATAGATTGGTTGCAACCTCCATGGTCTGCTTCTCAGGCATAGATGGATTGAACTGACGGAGCAGAGTGGCAGCAAACTTAACACCAGCACCATAGATCCGGCCGTAGTTGAAGACCTTCGCATCGTTCCGGGAGATACCAAGGATATTCGCAGTTCGGGAGTGCATATCGGTTCCAGCAGCCTTAGAGCCCTCCAAAGTCATGAAGCCAATGGCATTGCCACCGTGCAACTGGAATTGAGCATCGCCAACAAGGCTGGCAATCCATAGCTCTTGAGAGTCAACATCCGCGCCGACGAAAGAGTAACCAGGCGGCGATTTGATCATAGCTTTGAGCTCAGACCCGACACGATTGCCTTTGGCGTTACTAGCAGTCAACCATGTGTTCTCCACTGCACGCCGTGTGATAGTGCCCATGGGAATGAGCTGGGGAAGAATGAAGCCCAATCGGTTATTTTCATCCGCTTGTGGTTTCCCAATCTGATCTTGGTAGACGACCATCTGGTTCATGATCCGGTCTCGAGCACTGATCCAATACGAACAAGAGGCATTCATGTCAAGTGCTTCCTTGGCAAGAGCGTACTCCGAGGCCAGGGATCCCCGTTCAAAAAACTGCGCATAACCCTTGGCCAGCGGGTTAGTGCACCGCGCTTGCGGTCCATCTTTGTGCGGAAGTTTGAAGTATGTATGAGCCCTGTCCTCTCGCAGCACCTGAATCTTTTCCTCGGTCATATCGCACGGCACAACAGGCTGATTTTCAAACTTCTTGACTTCTGCCTGTGGCACTTTGAAGGTCCACCCGTACTTATCGGACCATATCAAAGGGTAACCTTCCCATGAGAGTTTAAGAAGTATAGGAGCAATTCGTGTCCGTACCGACAAATTGATACCACCGGTGGTCTTTGGGTAAAGGTCTTTGTACCATTTAGGCATACCGGGCAGTTTTTGCCTTGCTGCCGGTCGTGGAGGGTCTCCCTTCTTCTTTCCTTTGACCATTTTGATCTCTTGACCAGACCAGTCCAGCTGACGTAGCCAAGGGTCATTCATGTAAATGTCCGGTTTCTCCTTCAAACTCGCGGCTTCCTCACAGAGGTCAACGAGTCTCCGTCGAACATCGTCAAGTCGTTGATGGTAAACCGATTCAGCACTTTTGAGGTATTCACCCCACGTCTGATTGACAGGCAGAATTACTGAGGAAAGGTGCCTCAGAGCTGCGAAGCTGACTGGATGAGGACACACCTCAAGGTAATTCGGGAAGATTTTTTTATATACACGATGAGTGATGGCAACATCGGCTGCACAGTAATCCAAGAGCTCTTGTAGTCTGGACAGAATGCCGGGACGGTCAAGTTCGCCAAAATAGTCTCGCTGCGATTTGTCAATGGTAACATCGCAATGGAATTTGGCGACATCGCGTAGTGAATTAACGGAACTCCTTCCTACCCACAGTTCCTCTTCTTCATCACTGAGAACCTTGCTCTCAACCAGCGCAGCCAATTCAACAGAATTATGCTCACTGGCAATCTTGTCTCTCAGGTCCTTGTTCTTCTTGTGGCGCATCCATGTCGGTCTCTGTTGAGAGCACATTCCATTCACAGCCACGTGAAGAGACATCGTATCGATAAAGAAGTTCTTGGTCTGTTTCAAATCGTATTCCTCCAATATCCGCGCTCGATCGAAACCGATATTGTGACCGATTATGATTCGAGGTTTTGATGGGTCACCCATTGGTATGAGGTGGATTGGACTTTCTGATTCTTCAAGCAACCATGGAGAAATCCACCCATACCAAGCCGTAGGACTCACGGCGCAGGCCATCACCGCGAACGAATGCTCTTTATACATGACTTCGGTATCGAACGTCATCATGTCTTCGTCTGGCGCTTCGGGGAATTCCACCGTGCCGTCACTGTTGTATTGCGTCCACCCGCTGCGTCTGATCCATTCGCGAGGCCTGCTGGGAGATGTCGTCGTCATGTATGTCTTCGCGAATTCTAGATAGGGTTCGGATGAGTCCATTCCCAGCCTGGAGAAATGTTCATCCAATGTATCGCCCCGTAGGGCCGGGAAATCGAAGGCAACCGGATCCGTGGTATTCTGGGACTTTCCAAGTAGATCGTGCCGTGAGAGGTGCTCTTTTGACAACGCCACCAGTGCGGGATCCGGTGTTCTAGGTTCACCCGGGAAGATCTGGGGATAAACATGTTCGCTTAACTGTTGCACGCCGATTTCGTTGAACCTGGATGTGGTATGGACTTCTGAAGTCAGTATCTCTGTCTGATTTCCTTGACAAATCCAGCATGGCGGAACATACCGGAAAGTGAATCCCGTTGCAAGTTCTTCCCATCCTGATTTGGCGATGCGCCCTCTGTGGCATAAAGTCGCGCAAATGATAGAGCAGATCGTGGTCGAAGAGAGAGAGGAAGTGACGAGCGCAATCTCTGGGGACAAGGGCGGACAACACCCTTAGAACAAGGCGCGCAAGTGAATTTCCAAAGCATGTTGTGATAGGTTCAACCGAATGATCAAATCCAGGGCATGGTAGCGCAGAATATCGCAGCCAATGCTGCGCGGTATAAACGAGTGGTGCAGACTGCTTGTTAATATCTCGTCTGGCAAAGATCTTTTTCCGGTGGAGGAGATTAGTGCGAGTTATCGCCGATGTCATACCTCGGCGCCACTGTTGATCCGCGCTAGTTGACCGCTTTCCACCTTGGTCCACTCTCTTATCGTCAGGTGACCTTCGCGATAACGATTTCCGCCGCCACGCTTGGGATAAGCAGCAGCGACAACGACTGTTGCTATTCTTTGAATGACTTGAGCTTTGTCGGCTAGAGGCCGGATGTCAATCCTTTTATCTCTTTACCGTCCAGCATTTGAAATTGGGACTGATATCCAGAGCTTTCGTCGTTGAAATTACGATCACAGCAAACTAAATTGAACTAGCTACACAATCAGGACCACCACTGCGAAACTCGCCTGTGAATCGAATCAAAGCACCAATCATGGATCTTCGACACTATACCATTCCTTCATCTTCGCCCATTCCTCCTCCTGCCTCCCAGCCCCCTCTTCCTCACACCCGATCTATCAGACTCCCGTCTTCGTCCCCTCCTCCTTCTGCCTCTCCAAATATCCGCTCCGACTCAGAAGGTCGCGAAAGAAAGCGCCGACGAACTATTCGTGGCGCAGATTCCGAGACTCCCGAGTTCATTGACTCCGAGGAAGAACAACCGGTCGAATCAATCGACCTGACAGAAGTCGACAAACCTTCGGCTCTTGACAAAGCTTTGGCCAAGCAACGAGAGGATGCGGTCAAGGCTCAGCATGACGGAGAGTCGGAGAAGGCGCGGTCACTACTGACTGCTTACAAGTGTCCTGTGTGCATGGACACGCCGGAGGATGTGACGACCACGGTTTGCGGTATGTAACTATATTCTAAGGTTACTACCAAAGGATTCTAGCTAACTCCAGTCATTCTCAGGGCATCTCTTCTGTCATCGGTGCATCATTGATACTTTGAAATTCAGCGAGCAACAGCGGGCGGATTCCGCCACCAAAGGGCCCCGAGGGACATGTCCTGTGTGTCGGAAACCTCTGGCTCGGAGGGACGAAGCAGGGCCAAAGAGGAGCTTGATTCCCCTTAAACTTCAGCTCACGAAACGAAGTCGAACCTCAGTACCAGCGGATGCGTAACGGCTTGGCTGGTAGATGCTGGATCTTTGGCTCTCTGAAATATTCGTACCGCAGCGCCTGTCGACCTGCCTCAATTTGACGTTTACTCGGAAAGTATTTTAGTCTTCATCTCATGACTGTGTCCTCGAGTTCTACCTTCACAGACACCAGGCTCAACGAGATGGGTTATCGTCACACTAATGTCGCATATGGCACGCCTACTTTGTCTTCTCTCTGATATGTACTACCACGACGGTGCACCGCCAGTGGGAAAAATCCCGCCAACGATGCCCAGGCTCGCTGTGATGTATCCGTCTGTACAACAAATGCGATCTTTTCCTGGCTGGCCAGCCGTGGAAGAGATATGCTGACCCAGTTCGCTACTGGGATCCTCGACTTCCACGGAATTGTCCGCGCCTCCGCCCTTGACTTCGAGCAGGAGTAATACCGGCGGAAACATGGATGAAGATTCCGGTCCACTTGGTGTTTTCTTTATTCGACAGATGAGGCTTCATTATCTTACTGCACGATATGTATTGTGTACGAGTTATATTCTTGTCCAGACCTGGTGTCGTTTTGAAAGAAGGCCTTCAGGCATTTGGAATAATGCTCAAAGAATTGGAACATACATACGCGCTCTTACATACCTTGACCTATGTACAATGCATCACAAATTTGACAGGCGCAATGATAGATATATATGAATAGTAAGGCATAATTTCATTGTGATGTAAGCTCTCTAGTCAGACAATATTTATTCAGTCTGTTTTCTATGTCAATATAGCCATATGCCAAGATCCTGGCATTCTAAGGTCAAACGGCCAGAATAGAAGACCATGTTTTTCTGAATGGCTATTAACAAATACCACATCCACCACGGGCTTCCTGGAGAAGGCAGTTTGACCAGCATGGGTTCTTGAATGCAAAGAAATGGAGGGCAAGAGGATCAGAAGAAGTTTCACTGTAAGGGATCGTTTCTTCACTCTTTCCTAGGGCAATTGGTGCATTACCTAATCCATCCCCAAACCGGGGTCGCGCTAACCCTTCTAGATTCAAGTTCCTCCTCTTTCGGCACTTCGAGCAGTCATTGTCTTCATGTTTCTAAAGTCGCATCGTTAACTTATCTCAGCGGGACCTTTTATATTAAAGGCAGGTGGTGTTGTAATTGGTATTCCTCGGGTATTTTCCATTATGCGGTTCTTGCTTGCTGATCGAGGATCTAGCTTCGGACTTCATATCCCCGTGATGATCTTCAGCGCCCTTAAACCAGAATGTTCGCAGCTCGAAAGATGTCTCTTCTTGAATGACCATTTGCGCATATCCGCCGGGGTTGACAGAAGCCTCCACCTTTTCTTTTCTTTGTGGCAACCCTCAATGCCGTGCCCCCTTTTCCGAGTCAATGCCTGCAAGTCGAGTCTTCCATTCCCTCCGCTTTGAACCGTCGCCACTTCCTCTGCTACGATGAGTATTCGCTCATTCGACCATGCGCAGGCGGTAGGAACCCCGCCAGACGGTTCCGATACGATTGATATCGAGGCTCATCCGCGATCACCGAGTAAAGAGGATTTTCCGAAGTTTGAAGATGGCCCGTCCCTAGATACATTTACGACAGCTACGAAAGTCAACTCCGCAGATACTGTCAAAAACCGCATTCGTCGCTCCACTACCGCGCGCTCATATCATCCTGAAGGTGTTGCTCCAGATCCGAGCTGGCAACCCGGAACCGAACCGGGAATTGACACGACCAAACCGCTCCCTCCTTACAACTCTGACTGGACTCCATCCATACCGAGTCATCTCCACAAACGATGCGAAATAATTGTCGTGGATTTCTCTCAGCATGAGATGCGACAATATGCGTTGGACAATGATACACTAGAGCCCTTTCTGGCAAGGGAAAGAGAACCGTGGGTGCAGTGCAGGTGGATTAATGTCAACGGTCTCAGCTGGGACGTTATTAGGACACTTGGAAACCACAAGAAAATCCACAGACTTGCGATTGAAGACCTGATCAACACAACGAATCGCACGAAAGCGGATTGGTACTCGGATCATGCATACGTCGTGCTTACCCTGCAGAAGTTGATCAAGCTCCAGCAAGATGATAGCGACTCTGAAGATGAGGACGCTGACGATCGAGCGACCTCTAGACCTCGGGATCGAAGGAGCTCAGTGACAAGCGATAAAAGCTCTGTCTCCTTGAAGTGGCTTTCCAAGCGGGGTGTCATTTTGGAAGCGCTCAAAGATTTATTCAAAAGGTCTCCAGAAAAGAGCAAGCACAAAAAATCCAATAGTCCTGCTGGTGTTCGTCCAGCGGGCAAGGCGTTCTCGAAACAGGCATCCCTATTAGGTGCTAATGCTATCCGAGGGACTCCTGCTCGCAGCATCCAGCGTTTTCGGGGTGGCCCAAATGAAGACCGAATCGAATTTATGGAGCGGCATGCCGTATTGGCGACCAAGGGCTTGTGCGTTACCTTGGAGCAGGTCTCAATCTTCCTACATGCGGATAATACCGTGACGTCTTTCTTTGAGACCAGCGCGGATGATATCGAGGCTCCTATCGTCAAACGTCTTAGCTCACCAGAGACGATCCTACGTCAATCCTGCGATGCTAGCATGCTCGTGCAGGCGATTCTAGACGCAATAATCGATCTGGCAATACCAGCCACCATGGCCTATCAGGATGCGATAGGTGACCTGGAACTGGAGGTCTTGACAGACCCAGACATCGACCAATCGAAGAGCCTTTACATCCTCACATCTGAGATTGCAATTCTCCGGAGTTTCATGCAACCCATAGTAACCGTGATAAATGCTCTTCGGGATCATCGATCGGAGCCTGTGAGCACTCCTGGTTTCGCTGTTTTCAAATCGACGCCATTCCATTCAAATTCAGCGTCTGAGCCACATGTGGGAGCAATGACTCCAAACCTCAAAAGCTTAGGAGGGTCTAGTGTTACAATCAGTCCCATGTGTCATACATATCTGGGAGATGCGCTTGATCACTGCATCACAATTGTCGAGAGTTACGATCAAATGAGACGGGCTGCGGATAACATGATTGATTTGATTTTCAACACAATTGGTATCTATCTTCCGACTACGCATATCGAAATGGATTGCGGCTGACCTTGTCCAGGTGCCTTTCAGAACGAGAGCATGAAACAGCTTACTCTTGTGACCTGTCTTTATCTACCGTTGACATTCCTTACGGTATGACCTATTTCTGTCCCTACCATGACCTTCATTGTTACTCATTCTATTTCAGGGTTACTTTGGAATGAACTTCGATGACTTTAAGGGTATTCAGCATAGCGATGGGTACGCCTACCTAAATCAACGTTGACTTACCCCGTACTAACGTTGAACAAATAGATACTTCTGGAGGATTGCGGTTCCGTTCGTTTGTGCTACTACTCTCCTTCTGATGTAAGGATATTCGCTGTCAGCGATGTGATACTTGCTAACAGTGTTCCAGGCGTGACAAAATCCAACGCTATGTGGTGCTACTCGCTCAGAGACGACTGATTACCAGTTCTAGAAAGCAGCGGAAGGAGAGAAAGGTCAAATGACAACATATTGGGGACATTGACCTAGGCAAGCATTTGAACAGCTTCGTGATATCCATCCATGTATAGCAGTACTGTATAATATTGATACAAATAGTACATAATCATTATCCAAACTCATTGGCCATTTCATAAAGTCTTCCGCGTGTAAGCTAAGTAAGCCTTCCATGGTAACTTCCAATCAGACCGCAGAAGCTCTGGCTTGAAGATATCAAAATCAAACTTTTGCAACCTATCCAACCATAACCGGGTGCCAATGGCAGGCATGAAGACACCAAATGCACGGTTCACCTCGTCAAGCGGCGATTCCTGGCGCTGGTTCTGGAAAACATCATATTCGTGCCCTTCCTCACCCTCGTGCTCGAAATCGTGGCCTACATCCTGGCCGGCACGGAGGTTACTCAGCATTTGTTCCACGGTGATTAAGTGATCGTTTGCTCGTGTAGCGACTGTAAAGACGGCATCCCGTAGCCCGGATGCTTCAGCACCTTGTCTGAATACTTCCTCCTCTTTCACTCCTGTTTGCGCCATGATATCCAAAGGAAGGAGGACGGCGCCCTGCTTCGCTCCGCCTCCAATACCTCCACCAGCCTGGCTAGGCGACTGCGTCGGCGGCGGCGGGAACGCAACGAGCGGTAATCCTCGCAAGATATTCGCGATACCAGCCGCTTTCCCAATATGCGACGCAACATGATCCGCAGTCACAGAGGTCATAGGCAAAGCCGACAGCGTAAGATAAAGCAACGTCGAATAAGTATTCTCCGCATACGACTCCATAGCTGCGATATTCGGATACGGGTCATTCGTCAACGTCTGCTCCCGCGAATTGATCATCCGCAGTAACCAGCCTTTACTAATCCGAGCTTGACCTTTTGTTCGCTCATGGAGGTCGGAGAGGGCGGAGGCGAGGAGGAGAGCGACGGGTTCTTTGGGGGGTGTCCCGGAGAGTGTTCTTGTGATCGTATCTCGCCAGAATTGGAGACGCATGAGGCCGATTGTGTAGGAGGAGACTGTGTCGGGGATTAGGGAGAGGGAGACGTTCAGGGCTCGGAGAGCGAGGTAGAAGGTCTGCGCGTTGGGGGGGATAAAGGTGCTAAGGGTGTAGGAGGGACGGTCGTATTTTCTATCCACGAGCCAGTTAGCTATCATTCTTCGGATGGGAGAGTGGTATCCATACGCAAGTAGTTCAACACAGTATCTCCGTGCAGCTTGGACTTCAGCCTCTGCTGCGCCTGGTACTGGACTGGTCACAGGCCTTGATTGACTGAAATGTCGCTGTGTCCGGTAGGCTAGGCATATGGGCCTGCCCGCGCAACTGCGGATGGTAGGTCTGAGGAGGGACATCGCTCGGGAATCTGGGGTAATTTTTTTGTTCTAACGATAGTCTATATCGAAGGACTGAGGTAGCGCTGTCGCATTGCGATTATTGCATTCCGATATATAGAATTCTCTGCAGAGAAGATGTTAGTTGAATATAACAAAATAAAGAAATGGACATTAACATACCTATAGCTCTTTCCAGCAGCAAAAAAAAACCGCGATAAAGACCTCCACGCAGGAAAAAGCATTGTCGAGTAACAACGCCGCTAATGATAATCCGGAAAAAATGACGTCGGCCCGAATTTTCGCAGCGTCGCGTCTCGGCGCGTCTTCGGAGTTGAGCCTTTCCCGATCTTTACACCTGCGAGGGTCCAGAACAGCGTCTATTTGACCCGGATACCCCGTCGAATATGGACTTTGGAGACGACGAGAGACCCTACAAAAAGAGGCGATTTTTTGTTGACCAAGACGAGACCAGGAACACCGATCCTACCCCGAACCTTGACGCGTCTAGCGCTCGACCGGAAGAGCACGATAACGGCAACGGCCAGAAGAATGGGACACGACCAAGATTACACCAGCCGGACCAGGACCTGAAAGCGTCCCCGCTACTGTCTTCCTCGAACACGCCCGTCGAACACCAGGACGAGACCTTACAGGGGCATACGAACGTAGTACGCAGACGAAATCCGAGTCCGGTTGACAGAATTGTTAAAGAATTCATTTACGGGGAAAATGGGGAGCCCATCGGACCGCCGGAGCCAGACCGTGAAGCAGAGAGTACGCCGAGAGAAACGCCACAAGCGGACAATAGTGGATTCGATACGGAACTATTCACGAGCATCGTTGGAGAACGACTGCCAGCAAGCATAGTCGAGAAGATTCGCATTGCTTCGAACAACAATGTGGAAACGGCAGTCAATGTTTACTTTGACGGATCGTGGAAGAAAACGTCTATTCCAGGCAGAACGACGCAGTCCGCATTGACGTCTCGTCAACATATCCCTACACAGACGACACCGTTTAGGCGGCTTATGGTAGAGACTACCAATGATAACGGAACGACTGCGCCAGCAAAAAAAATGCCACCACGCTTCTCAACTCAACCCTCATCCAGATACATTGGTGCTTTTGGTGTTGCAGCATGGGCTACTCGAAGTGGTACGGGATTACTCAAACATGGAGAGCGCGTCAAGATCGAGCGTACACGATCTCAGCCTCTAGAAAAGCGCGGGCGTGGAGGCAAAATGATCACCAACCAGAAGGTGGATGTCCTCACCCGTTTCACCAACCAAGCCGGCCAGGAGATTGGAAGGTTGCCACGAGACACCGCGGAGTGGGTGTCGCCATTGATTGACCAAAAGATTTGCACTTTCGATGGTATCTGTGTGTTTGTTCCCGATCGCCTGCGGGTGAACGACACGGTGTATCTCCAATTGTGGTGCTATTTGCGCAAAGAAGCATTTATGCCTCGGGCATTCATTGGTACAACGGACGACAATAGATCTACCGGCGTGTTCGAAGAGAAAGAGAGCATGGAGGAGAAGAACCTGCGGCTACGTCAAGTTGGTCTTGTGAGGCTGTTTGATGAAATCGGTCTTTATGCGACGACCACCAACGACATGACGAAGAAACACAAGAAGGAAGGATTGCTCCGTGCCGCCGAAATGTCAGAACAATATGACAAAGTCAAGAAGGAGAACAAGACAAATAACAGCCCTCAGGATGAGGACAACGAAGAGCCGGAGTTAGAAGAGGACCAGCTTGATACCCTGTACAAGAAAGCCCAGACTTTCGATTTCAATATGCCAGAGGCTCAGCCTTCGTCAACGTTTGCCATGGAGCTTCGAAAGTACCAGAGGCAGGCACTTCATTGGATGCTATCCAAAGAGAAGGATAACAAATCTGAGAGCACGAGGAAATCAATGCATCCCCTTTGGGAAGAATACCAGTGGCCCACAAAGGATGCCGATGACAAGGACCTTCCAATTGTCGAAGGGATAGATTACTTTTATGTCAACCTGTACTCCGGGGAGCTCAGTATCGAGTTCCCCGCTCAGGAACAAAACTGCCTTGGTGGCATTCTGGCCGACGAGATGGGTTTGGGTAAAACCATTGAAATGCTTAGTCTCGTTAACGCACATAAATACGATCCTGGGGATCCCGTTCTTAAAGATCCCAGTATGACACAACCAGATTCTACTGGCGTCGTTCCCGCGCCATACACTACTCTCGTCATTGCACCCACATCTCTTCTTGCGCAATGGGAAAGCGAGGCCCAAAAGTCAGCCCAGTCCGGGACGATGAACACCATGGTATACTATGGGACCGAACAAGCAACTAATCTGAGGAAGCTTTGTTGTGCGACGAATGCTGCTTCAGCTCCTCATGTCATTGTAACTAGTTATGGTGTTGTCCTCTCTGAGTACGGTTCGCATGTGTCGCGCTCAGGATGGCAGACGGAAAGTTGGTATGGTTCATTATTCACGGTGAAGTTCCACCGAGTCATCCTCGACGAGGCGCATGTGATTAAGAATCGCCGTTCGAAGACGGCGCGGGCTTGTTACGATCTCAATGCGACTCATCGATGGGTTCTCACGGGGACTCCTATCGTGAACCGTCTGGAGGACCTGTTTAGTTTGGTGCGGTTCCTCAAGGTTGAGCCATGGAATAACTTTTCTTTCTGGAAGACTTTCATCACAGTACCATTCGAGTCCAAGGACTACGCGCGTGCGCTTAATGTCGTGCAGACAGTGCTGGAGCCGCTTGTGCTCCGACGTACGAAGACGATGAAGACCCCAGAAGGGGAACCATTGGTGCCATTACCACGCAGGACTATCACGATCGAAGAAGTCGATCTCTCAGAGGAGGAAAGAGAGGTGTACGACTTTATCTACACGCGAGCAAAGCGTACATTCAACGACAACGTGGAAGCGGGTACATTGTTGAAGTCTTATTCGACCATATTCGCACAAATCCTGCGCCTTCGTCAGAGTTGCTGTCACCCTATCCTCACCCGCAACAAGGCAATTGTCGCCGATGAGGAAGAAGCAGCTACTGCAGCTAACGCATCCAATGGACTTCAAGATGACATGGACCTGCAAGATCTCATCGCCCGCTTTACCACGGCCACGGAGTCTGGGGAAGCGAATGAAGGCCAAGGTCAAGACCCCGCGAACAAGTTCACAACCTATGCCCTGAAACAGATCCAGAACGAGTCTAGTGGTGAATGTCCGATCTGCTCGGAAGAACCCATGATCGACCCGGCAGTAACTGCATGCTGGCACAGTGCTTGCAAGCAGTGTCTGGAGGACTACATCCGGCATCAAATCGACAAGGGTCTACCACCACGATGCTTCTCGTGTCGCGCACCAGTCAGCTTGACGGATATCTTCGAAGTGGTCAAGCACCAATCACCTAACTCTACACCCGCGGAGAATGAAATCTACAGCAACACGCCTCCTTCCAGCTCGCAGCCAGTGCCGCGTATCTCTCTTCGACGAATCAACCCACTATCACCATCTGCGCATACCTCAGCTAAAATCCACTCCCTCCTCAATCATCTCTCCCGGGTACCACCAAATACGAAATCCGTAGTCTTCTCCCAATTCACCAGTTTCCTCGACCTGATCTCCCCTCAACTCACAAAAGCTGGTATCCAACACGTCCGTCTCGACGGAACAATGCCCCAAAAAGCCCGCGCCGAAGTCCTCGCCCAATTCAACAAAACCGAAACCTACGAGGAAATCGATGAGGATCCCACGCCTACCCCTTTCCCAACCACCCATTTCAACGCACCTAAACCCAAACCCAGCCAGACTTCTAATCCTACCGTTCTGTTAATTTCCCTCCGCGCAGGTGGCGTCGGGCTCAACCTCACAGCCGCTAATAACGTCTTCATGATGGATCCGTGGTGGAGTTTCGCCATCGAAGCACAGGCTATCGACCGCGTGCACCGGATGGGACAATTACGGGATGTAAATGTGACGAGGTTTGTGGTGAAAGATTCGATTGAGGGACGGATGTTACGGGTGCAAGACAGAAAGATGAATATTGCGGGATCGTTGGGGTTGAGGGTTGGTGGGGACGGAGATGGGGATGACAAGAAGAAAGATAGGATTGAGGAGTTGAGGTTGTTGTTTGAGTAGTGCCCCGTTGGTTATGTTGGTTAGTGCACTAGATTTGCATCTGTGCCGGACATGGTTGCAGACACGATGTTGGATATATCAAACAATGCCATTCACATAATTAGAAAATACTAATACATCGAACAATCAATCCCAATCTATTATACAAGCAGGTCTACTTATGAGTTCCAGCCTTGGTAGCTCTACCCATCTTCTCCTTCATCTTCTCCATAGCCTTGAAATGGTGATGGCCACCGTTCCCGTTCTGGGCCGATTTCCCTCCTTGGGGTTGAGATTGTCCTGCTAAACACATCAGCATTATGGTCAATGAATCAAGGGAAAGGTACGTACCCCCACCAGCACCCTTACTAGCAGGCTTCTCCTCCATCTCCTTCTCAAACTCATACTGCTTCGGAGGCGGCCCCTGCGGACCCTTGAGCGCCTCCTCGCTAACCTGATGGTCATTTTCACCGGATGGCTTGCCATATTGAACACTCTCACCGCCACCACCACTACTAGCCCTCTGCTCAGCAGCCTGGCCGGTGCTGCTGTCACCTCGTCCGGCAGTACTTCCCGCGGCAGCAGCGCCACCACCAATACCAGCACCACCACCAGCGGCACCACCAGCAGAACCCCCAGCCACAGCAGCACTAGGCTCCCCCATCGCCCCCAACCCAGGACCCATACTTGTCCTCGAATTCAACCCAGGCGGATTATTCCCCATAACAGTCCTCTGCTCACCCTCCGGAACACCCGTCGCATTCGCCATCCCCTGGTATTGGTTCTGGCTGTGTCTCTGGGCCTGACTCACGCTCTTCGGATCAACCCCCGACGACTCACCACCATCAAGCACTGGATCCGCATCTAGACCTGGTTCCTCTGGAACGCCGGAAGCTAGTCCCGCTGGTGTAAAGCCGTTGCCGGTTCCCGGGCGGGGGTATCCTCCGATTTGCGGGTCTGCGTCTTCGCTGATGGCGGGGCTGAGAGGCTCGGAGGAGCGGCCGGTAGGGTCTAGGACGGATTTCTTTTGGGAGGCAGGTGTGGTTGCTGTTGGGGATTTTGTGGAGGGGGCGTCGGGTTGGACTGTTTGTTCAATTAGCTAGGGTTCTATATGGCATTATGTAGTCGTAGGCAGAGGGAGGCTTACCATCGCGGTTTCCGGCATCATAGGGGTCTGTAGCTTTCCCTTGTCCTTGGACTCCGGAGAGAGGTTCTTCGCCGTGCTGCTGGTGCTGGGGGTGGGTTTCACCCCAGATAGCATGCGAAGCGGAGTCGAGGGCTCTGTTTATGGTCTCCATTATGGCGGAGCGGATACTTTAGCCTTAGCAAGGTAATTTTAAGTGATATAAGAAATCCAAGCTAAGTATTATCGAATTGCTTGCCAGATAATGTATTATGGTAGTGAGATCTGACCGGACAACGCCCCTATATAAGAATCCGGAGATAGCAGACAGCAACATACGTCAGTGGATGGCCACATGTTAGACTCAAAGAACAGACTCTGGGGTGTCCGTGGTATCATAGTATGGAATCATAGTATGGAATCATAGTACTCCTACTTAATGCGGCTGGGGAGAACCAGTTGGTGTCATAATTGACGTCATGTCCACGTTGGTTGGCGAAAGGGGAAATCGATAAACAGGCAAAAGTCGGGGTATGGCTTCATGATTCTGATCTTCAGTTCTATACATAGTGTGATAGTCGCTGAAGTGCATCTGCTTCTAGCATCACATTTGGCATCATTGTACATCTGTATAACCTGCAGTACTACCGATAGCCATGAACAACCGTGAAAAGAAACTCCTAACAGACCGGGATAATCATGATTCGTAAATAACAGACGCCAGGCTAAACAAAACAAACCGCAATAAAGCTACGTCTCCTCGTTCAATTTCGCATCCGGATACAGAGGGTTCGCCGGGTCGTAGCCAACACTCTTGACAATCCCCAATCCCTTAGTCTTTCCCTCTCGGAAAAGGACTCGATCACCAGGCGCGAGAAATTCAGGGCGCTGGATGAACCTGAAGGCAACCAGAGCACGATCTCCCGTCCGGATAAAGGGACGGTCAATGTCAATCACCGAGCAGGTCTGGCTGACGGCCCCTACGTGCAGCATCGCTTGGTATCGTCGTTTGATCATGGTTGCGTGAGAAAGAATCAGAACTGCAAACATTAGCAAACTGCGTTATAGCATTGGATTCATTGAACTTACCCTCCGCTATAAACTCTCGGTAGACCTTAGGGGGCTGGTCCATCTTTCTCAGGACAACCATGCCCTTGCGGACCTCTTTCCTTCGTACCCGTTTCAGAGCGAAGGAGCCAGATTGTCCAGCAAAACAAGCATTGACCTGGATGCGTTTCCGTTCGATGGATTTGACCGTTGTCGTCGTGAACTGCCCCAGAGAGTCTGGTCCGACCACGACTGTATCTCCAGCGTGGATAACTCCTGACTTGACCACCCCTGAAACTACCGTGCCGACATGAGGGACTGAGAACGTGTCGTTGATTAGGAACTCAAAAGGTCCTTCCGGATTGTATTGCACACGATGGGGGAGTATGTTCAGGAACGTTCGCACGAGGTCAAGGTTCTCTCCGGTGACGTTGGACACTTGGAAGATGGGACATATCCTCTGGCTGACCATTTGCCCTGCGGTGTTAATGGTTTCTTCCATGTTGTTGAGGAAAATGGGAATCTTTTGGGCACCGGCGGACTTGAGAATCTTCCTCAGCTGGCTGATGGTCTCCTGCAAGATCTGGGGTGGGCATATATCGATCTTGGTGATGATCACCATGATAGGCACATTCAGCGCCAGTGCAATTCCCAAGTGCTCTTTGCTCATTCCAATCAATCCGTTATTGGCCGCAACCATCAGCAAGCAGTAATGGGGACTTCCACTCAGCATGCCAAACACGGTCGTCCGCAGGTAGCGTTCGTGGCCCGCCAGATCAGAGAAGGAGATCACTTTCGAGGATCGCTTGCCAATGTCCTCCCAGGACATCTTCCGGCCCTGCGAGCTGCCAACGATCTCTCCGTGACTGTCGAAGCCCATGATCTCCAGTCCCACCGAGCTGGTACGTCCACTCTCAATCTCGTGCTTGTGGCGGAAGAGGTTGACTCGGGCTTTTCCACGACCATCGTCCAGGTTCCCCTTCACGAGGACTCCCAGCATGGTACTCTTGCCCGCATCGACATTACCCACCACCGCCACTCGAAGTTCCGCCAGTTCCTCAACACTCTCAGCGGGCTGGCGCAGAAGAACTTTACCCCAAGTGCCTTGGATGCGGTCGTTCTTGACTCTGGATTCCGCGGGGCCGCCAACGTTGTGCGTGAGTAGGATGCGGTCATGCGCGGGGAGTGTCCCCGCAGCTTCCCGCAGGCGCTGTAGAGCCGTATTCCACTGCTCGAGGTCAAACCCCATAGAATCACCTCCATCCTCAAGACCTAAGTCGAAGATGGTTTCTCCGTGGCCCTCATCGATGCGAGTCTGGACGATCCCTGCCAACGCCTGAATGCTATCCTCCGTGTTCTCGCCCGTGCCTAGTAGGAGGTCTTTCAACTTCACAGTGCGGGGAGTGTCGGACAGTCCGAGCTGGTCAAGGATCTCGAGTTCTGCGTGATCTTCGTGGGTATTAGTCGAGTACCCACTGTCGCTTGGAGCGCTGGGGGCAACATGAGTTCGGTAGGCTTGCTGTTTGTCTGCATATTCCGCGAATTCGCTGAGGGCCTGCGGAGAACCGGTTAGCTTGGATACAACGAGCAAGCAGATGAGTAGGCAGACGAACGATCTCGCCTCTGCATCGCTCCTCCAGCGTCAGTTTCGGAGCAGACGGCATGGTTGTGCTGTCTTTCTTAACACGTAGTTGGTGTAGTTGTAGTTCGTAGTTCCAATCAAGTAGGTAGGTGTATTCTTCGGTCGGGCGGGGGAGACAATGGATCGCGTTGTACCGCAATCAGGTAGATATTCGAGTGATCATGCTTCTAGTCTAGAAACAGTGAAAGAAAGAGGAATGGAGAGGGAGAGTGAAATGGAAGGTGGAATAGAGGACGGGCAATGGAAGCTTAAGAGGCGGAGTCATCGCCGCGGGCAGCCATTGAGTCATGCCCCAAGGCAGATTCCTCTACCACTACCACTACTGCTTGTATTACTCTTACTACGGGCAGAATGACAGATATGAGTCAATCTGGAGGAACGCAAATAAAAAGAAATTATACACGAACTCAGGGTGAATAGCCGCCCCAGAACTGCTGTCACTGTCCGTCTTGTACTCCCGGTCCTGGCGCTTCTTCTTCACATCCTGCTATTCATTGAAACGGAGTATTTGCTAGTATCATCGATGCAGCAGGACATTAACTGTCTTCGTGGTATCATTTCATGGCCGTAGGTCGGGTGTCCGTAGCTCTATAGCTTTCCGCAGCCCATGTCTCGTCTATCCATTCATTGTCCGAATGTTCCTTTCTTCCTGATCGATTTCGATATATTTCCTTCGTTCGGCGGGTAAACGTGTCGCAATCATGCCTGGGGAGAGATCAAGACCACCGAGTCACCTAGCGCAAGAATCGTTTCAGTATCCTGTTGTGGGCCAGCATCACGGAAAGAATCAATACACACCTCGAATGAAGAGCATTTCCTCCTGCTTCTTGATCGTCTAAACAGCGCGCATATGTTAGCCTCTTCTCAGAATCAAATCCCAGCGCTTCTGGCTCGTACCTTGATGGTCTCCTCCTCGCTCTCGTTCTCCTCCACAACGTAAATGGTCTCTTCCACCTCTCCCATTACCAAGTTGCAGTGACTGTCGTAGGCCTAGTAATCTGCGTCAATACCCAGCCCCAGCAACCAAGATTTGTATCGAGACACCCACGTGCAGACGACCCTTGAGCTCGCGATCCCCGCGAAGTTTCACAAACACGATCTCGTCGAGCGACAGGCGCACCAAATCTAAAGGTTCCGAGACGGACGACGGGCCCGCATCCTCAGTATCGGCCATCTTGAGAAGCGAGTGTGGATGTAGATGGTGAATTGAGAGTTGTAAAGTGGTGGTTCTGCTGGAGAGAAGCAGAAGTGAATCGCCGCCAAGCCAGCAGTGCGGACTTAGTGAGGAAGCAAAGTGAATGTCTGTATTCCCTGCTGTGTCGTACTGGCTGTTGTTGTTATTTTGACTGCTGGTGTTATTCTTGAAGATGTCGTCCTTTCTTTCTCTTTTTCGTCTCTTCTTGTCGCTCTTTTTATTATTTTTTGTATTTTTTTGTATTTTCGTCTTCGAGATTCAATGCGGGTGGGTATTATGTCATATCGGTACGCTCTTTTAGCTTCCACCCGCCGATTTTCTACTTCGACCACTCGTTACTCGACGAATTTCTCGATCCATAAGGGGAGGAAGACTACAACTACTACTATTGGGACAAGGCATGGAAACAATTGGGGAGATGCAAAGGCCCAAGATGGAGGGAAGTTTGCGCTAGCACAATTCCCCGGGCCTCTGGGGGACGAGCCGCAGCCAGAGTACAAGACAGAAGCAGAGAGAGAAGACCAATTCTACCAGATTATTCAAGATGCGCATCCGAATCAGGCTATGGATGCGATGCGGGACCCTCGTTATGCCGATTTGGTCGCGTCAATGCCCCAGAATACATTCGTTGAAGCCCTACATCTTCTTTCGCCGGGCTATTTTATAGATCCGTATCGTGAAATACACCGACCACTCCATCCATCGACAGTACAAGCGAAAGGATACAAGTCACTGGAGTCTGTCTTTGATGAGTTTGTGAACAACGTCGCAGCAATCGTGCAGCTTCGTCAATCGGCCGGACACCACCTGGGTCTAGCTGAATACACACATCTACTAGACTGCGCGCGGTCAATTGGCGATGCGATGGTGGCAGACAGGATCTGGTACGGCATGAAAGACAACGAAGTGAATCCGGATGTACAATGCTACAACTACTACATGGAAGCCAAGGTTTGGAACGGGGCGTACGCTGGTCGGGAAAAGTACAATCTGCGAATGACCCCATTTGCCTATCGCAAGCGAAGGTTCGTCGATCCCAATGAAGGCTGGCAGGGCTACGGGACTGCTGGTCGAAGTGTCCGTAAAGAGGTACTGGATATCTTCAATGAGATGACAGAGGCAGGACACCAAGGGAACGAAGCAACCTTTGTGAATGTGATTCTGGCTTGCGGCCGGGTAGGGCATCTGAGAGGCATCAAGAATGTGCTCAAGACGGCGTGGAACGTCGATGTCGATGCACTGCTAGCAGAGCCAGACAACTCTAAGCTTCCTCCAGTCACGACCTACGATCCCTCGTCACCTCTACGCCCTAGCAGCCATCTCCTCTTCGCAGTTGCCCATGCGATTGGCACAAACAACAAAATACCAGCTGCACTACGCACAATCGAGTTTATCTCTCATTCCTATAGCCTCGCAGTCCCAGAAAAGGTGTGGCTTGAGCTATTCGAGCGGGCTTTCGTGCTGTCCCGTCCAAGATTTGGCCCCGATGCAAAGCGCAATGCAAAAGGGAAGGTCCCCTACGACTTCCTAACTGTCATGTTCCAAACCATGATCTCAGCGCCGTACAACGTCCGCCCAACAATCCAAATCCACCACATGCTCGCCAAAACAGCCTGGGACCGAGACCGGCTCTCCGAGTTCCTGCACCACATGCGCGCTGCCTGCGACGTGCTTACTGAAACACGACAAAGGCGAAAGAAAGCCCGATACATCATCGAAGAATACCTCTGCACATTACACACCCACAACAACCCACAACAACGAAATGAAGTCCTCATCTCCCCCACCCTCGCAGATGCAGTACACAACTACGACATCCTCCGTCTCCGCACCGCCCAACAAACCATGATCATGGAACGACTTGCCCGTCTCCTGATGATAAACAACCGCTGGACGGGCCGCAATAATCCAGTCTGGGAACGATGTCTTCTCCCCCGCGCAGTCGAAGAATGGCAGGATTTCTTACCTGAATCGTTCAATTATCATACCCGTGGTGGATTAGTGCAGTTCCGTGGAAAGACGCGTTGGGGCGAGGCTTATGTCAACTACCACGATAGGGTTCCTATCCGGCGACGGGTTGCTGGCGATCCTGGTGCAGATGCAGAGGTAGATGGAAAAGAGCAGCGTGAGGTTGATGATGATTTCTTCTGGGAACGGTGTCGACGGGCGTTTTCATCGGTGGATTTTGATAATCCGCCGCTAAATCGGTTGTTTTGGGGATGTGGTGCTCCGAGGTTTGAGCATGCTGCTGATGATGCGAAGTGATTCCTAAGTTGCTTCTTCCACTTGGGAAGACTATCAGGGTTTTCGTCCCAATTCCGTTCTATCACCACGATGATATGATTGTCTGATGTACATTCTACTACACTGAAATGTACTGTCAATGAGTAATACCCAGGTCGGTATTCATGTTTAATATCTAGTCTAGCAACGTTTGAGTATTCAAGGATGATAGTTATATGGTATTAATTCATTTCGGGTATATCATACAATATGTAACAGTCCAAGTCATACAAAGAGTAAAGCGAAGATACAGTATCATCCGCTTCGCTCAAGCCCACTGTCTCCTCAAATCATTCACAACCATATACCTCCCAATGGCAATCCAGCCATACCGGAACCACACCATCTGACTCTTATGCGCATTAACCATCGCCGACTGCGCGGTCAGATACTCATTAACCGAATTAATAAACAACAGCTGACCAGGCAGCTCATCCTTCTTGCCCTTTCCTTTCCCACTGCCCGAGAAAAGCGTGTGCAATGCGCCGCGGAGCATAGTCAACGGCGCGTCGAAGATACCAATGTACTTCCGGAAGATGGTTGTCGTGGACAATGTGTACAGTGAGACCGGGCACGCATAACCAGGCTTATCCCTCATCAACGAACGCAGGAAGTGTAGAGCTCCATAGTACAGCGAGCGGTGGTTGGGGTGGTTGCTGATACCATGTTTGTCGAAAGTCAACAGCACATCGATAGTCGAGACCGGAGGCCCATTATTCGTGCTCTTCTTTTTCAGAGAGGCGGAGGCCAACTCGGGGGCAAACGCATATGCAAGCATGTTGGATACATCGCTCTCGGTCCAGTTTGCTGTCATGCTATCGGGGAAACGGGAGGGGTCGTCGACGACGAAGACGTCGGATTCGCTACGGAGGCCGAGCTTTTTGGCGCTTTGTTGGAGTTCTTTTGCGCGGACGGGGCCGAGGCCATCGGCGTCTCCTGTGTTGCCATGATATCAGTTATCTCTATTCCCTTCTTATCTCGCGATACAAGACATAGGCGTACCATTACTCAGACACAGAATCTTGAGATGATTCCCCAACTCCGGCCGTGTCAGCGACAACACCGTCGGCGAGAAGAACATGGCCTCATCATCCGGGTGCGCAATCAAGAGACATATCCGCTTATTGTATAACCGCGGAAACGAGCGGGCGAACGGCGAGGAAGACGTCGAGGAGAGACCCCAGAAAATGATGACGGCGGAGATGGCGAGACCTATTGTGAACAAGTCCGCTGACGACGACATTGTGTTCTTTTGTAATTGGAATTGTTTGGGAACGTTGAACAAGCTGGAGCTGCGTCACCTCAGGGGAAGCTCAAGCAATGCGGATTGTGGAGCAGTGGAGAATGCGGTTCAGTTCATCGCATCCTCGGTGCTTGGTGTTTGGTCTGCAATGCAATGGCCGCGTTACTGGTTGCAGATGTGAATGCACAATGAGGAATTGAATAGTGTTACGAACTTTATCTGTCAAAGACGCGCGTATGAGTGCGTAGTCTATACAATGACACGGTGGCATTGAAGAAGCTCTGGAGTAAAGTTGGATGTGGTCACGTGAGTCACGTGAGTTGATCCGGGGTCGAAGATCCGGTAAAGCAGTTATTCCGCAGGCCATTCTTGTCCCTAGCTACTAATAGACATACAAGCATTTTGTGGAACATCACTAGCAAGTTTCCATGTAGTATCTAAAGATGGCAGAGTATCGCCGAGAACCAAATTACTGTGACGCATTACAGCCCTAGTAATAAGCCCTATCCCTCCCAAAACCGTTAGCTGTATTAGTGCCTCAGACAGAAACCACGGGCCGAGCGCGGCACAATTGACCAATCAACACCCAGAGCGTGATTTCGGTTAAAACTCCGAAACGACGGCAATACGGCATTCTCCGTTAAAAGCACTAATGACCGGTATTATGATTGACGATGGCTGCAGGAGGATTTCCGACAGAGTTTTCAAAGCCCCGTGGGATGATGCCCGCGGAGAATTCTTCTGCGCTAGACTGGCGTAGCTAGTACATAGTATGCAGGTGGTAAAATAATAAACCCCTCAGTCAAGCACGTACTCAAAGTAGATTAAAACAACCGAGTTGACTCATAGCTGGTACATACCGGCAGCACCGGGCCGGAACCAAAGAGGAAGTTCGCTGGAGAGGTTTGCCGGTTAACACATATTGTATCAGACTACGCCCTCCGATCAATAACCTGATCATCCGAGATCACGTTCCTTTTCTGAGCGACATGTTAGGTAATTATCTGTTCCTGAGACCGACAACGGGTGGATTTCTTGACTAATACTGGTACGACAATGAGGTTGTTTCATGATTTCTGGTGGATTTCGTACTCTTCTGGACTTCTTACTCAATACTGAGCAATATATATTGACCCTCATAGTCGAATTTCCATAGATGCTCAGTAGAAAGTGACGCAAGAGCCATCCTGCAATGCGGGGTATCTTTCCCTAATGAAGGTATGTATCGTACTGTACGGTATGACAGGGAACGGATCGAAAGCCGCAAAAAAAATTTTTTTTTTTTCTTTTTCACTTTTCTTATTTAGGAAGCTCAGTGGATCTACATAAAAATCGAATCAGAAAATTTCATCGCGAGCGGACCCGATGGCTGTAGGGCTAGCCGGATGGGGCAAAGCATCATTTTTGGATCAAGAGGATCTCCCACTAGCCTTACAGGAGTCTGGTATTGTACGCGTATTGTCGGCGGTCACCACATCGACCAGCATGACGCCACGTGATGGTGGGATGACGGCACCGATGGCAGACGTTGAACTGTGGCAGTTGACAGAGACATGTACACATTCTAGAATACGTACCCCTGGGAGTGGCCAGCCTCAGCATGATCTAATTTGTCCCAGACATGGCCTCAGGCAAACAAAGGCCACCTGTGACAGTTATGAGTCATCTGCCCAGGTGTAACTACCAGGGTTCTAGGTGATGATTGCTGATGCAAGTCGGCTAGAATAGTCGACGTACAAATAAAGATCGCCTGACTTGGTTTAATATGTCAGAGGGCGTGGGGCATGCTATTCATGTACTTGTATGGAGTATGTATTGATGGCACTAGAGCTCAGTGGTTTGATGCCATTTTACATGATTTCTTAGCTGTGTGGTTCTATACTATGCTCTATACAATGCGCTGTACAGAGTGTACAGAGTATACAGAGGCAAGGTACTGAGGTACCTTGATGCCATGCGTGTATTGTATGTACTAGTTGTACTCGTACCTTACCGTTACATACCCTGCCGTGCCTGCTCCACCGTCCCACTGCCAGTGACAGATTCTTCTGTCTGGACCGTTGCCAACCGTGTCTCTGATTGGCCAGATCGGGGAATCTCCTAGAAACAGTCAAACTATAAAAAAATTCCCTTTTTCTATGTCATTCATTCAAATACGGAAGCCACCCACTTTGGTCCTCTTTCTTCTCTCCATTCACATTACAGTCACCAACTATCAGCCATCATATCAACACACTACAACCCTCGATACTACTTCTTGTGGCAATTGGATTATGCTGGTTTCTAGCTTCTCGTCTTCTTTCTGCGCTCCATACTACTGTTATACCTGAGTGTACCTAGTGTCTGCTCTTCAAACTTGTCGAATACCACAGACGCATATAATACTCTCTTGAAGACGGATCAATTGCAACTCACAAGTCATGCCTGGCCGTCTTCTTTCCAACCTCATTCGCCCCTCCTATTCTCTTCACTCCTCCAGCTCCTCCTCACGTTCCAATTCTTCATCTTCATCTTCCGTCAATGAAATCCCTCACAGCTCGACAAACCATCACACCCTCTCCATCCTCCCTAAGAAACCTAACGTGTTCAAGCATCACCATGACCGTGCGAGGTCTCCAGAGCGTCGTCTGTCCGTCGCGATGGATCAATTGATCCACCCTCACCGGGACCACAGCAAGGATAAACGCCGCAGTCTGGGCCGCTCCAAGGAACGGACCAGCAGGGAGGATGCTCTGGCTGCGTCTGCCAAATTGGATGTGATGGTGGAGTCGCCTCCTTTGGTCTGCTACGGAACCCCTGCAAACTCCACTGGTGCTTTGTTCTCCGGTCGTCTGCGGGTTGAAGTGACAGACGCAGTGGGTGTTGTCAACTTGGAGAGCTTGGATATGCGTCTAATGTCCAAGGCCTCCACCAAGAAGCCGGTTTCGCGAGACTGTCAGTCATGCCTGTCTCGTACGGAAGAACTGACCCACTGGAATTTCCTTACCGAGCCTTTGCACCTCACGCCTGGAACCCATGAGTTCCCTTTTAGCTACCTGTTTCCCGGCCACCTTCCTGCTTCTTCCAACGGTTCATTGGGCCAGATCGAATATTTCCTCTCAGCTCGCGCACACAGTACCACTGGCGAGAATTTCACCTTCAAGATGCCCTTGCACATCAAGCGTGCACTTATCCCAGGGAACGACAAGGCGTCGATTCGCGTTTTTCCCCCTACCAACCTCACTGGCCGCGTCGTGCTCCCCTCGGTCGTTCACCCCATTGGCACCTTTCCCGTCGAAATGACACTCAGTGGAGTCGTTGAGAAGGGTGAGGAAACGCAGACCCGCTGGCGGTTGCGGAAAATGATGTGGCGGATCGAAGAGCATCAGAAGCTTGTGTCCGTTGCCTGTGCCAGGCATGCCCACAAAATCGGTGGTGAAGGAAAGGGGGTCTTGCATCAGGAGACACGGGTTATCGGTCATAACGAAGAGAAGAGTGGCTGGAAAACTGATTTCGATACCGCGGGCGGCGAGATCAGAATGCAATTCGAAGCCAACATCAACCCGACATGCAACCCGGTTTGCGACTTGGAAGCTCCTGGTGGCCTGGAGGCGAAGCACAACCTGGTGATTGAATTGATTGTCGCCGAGGAATTCTGTTCTAACCGAAACGCTCGCCTTATGACGCCAACTGGCGCAGCACGTGTGCTTCGCATGCAGTTCAACCTCAATGTCACCGAACGATGCGGTTTGGGTATCAGCTGGGACGAGGAAATGCCACCTGTCTACGAGGATGTCCCTGCCAGTCCGCCCGGTTACACCAAGATCGACCACGAGAGCACTATGGAAGATTATCAAGGATCCCCTCTTCCGTTACCCGAGTACGAAGATCTGGAGCAAATGGAAAACCTCCGGCTGGACAGCGACTCGACCTATTCTACGCATGAACAAGCTCGTTTGACCAACGATGACCTGATGATGACACCGGAAGAGACTGGGAGCAACAACCGCGACATCTCCACGGAATCCAGACCCTCTCAATAAGCTACTTTGACGGTGGTCCTACTATTTCCGATTTACGCTTTTCAACAATGTTTTTCTGTTTCATTATGATGACACGAGACCATGAATCAACCCACGAAACAAAAGATAAAACGCTCTCAGACTTCGTTTCAACATCGTTATTTATCGAGACCAGAGTCGAAAATGACCTGGTCGAAAAGTTTCTGCTTTTGAATTTAGACGTGTTTCCCAAGGAATCTCTTCTCTGCGACGCAAGGAAGACAATGGTTGGATTGGCCATTTGGGGACTTTTTTTTTTTTTTTTTTTTTTTCTTTTCTTGCATGATACCCATCATCTTTCTTTTGACTTCTTTTTTTTTTTTTTTTTATTTTTTTTTCTTCTTCTTCACATCTTGTGCATGTTGTTGTTTAGACTTATCATATACAGGCTAGAAAGGCTCCTTAATTTGATATATAATATACCGCATCGTTTCTTAATTGTCCAGTATCACCGGTGTGAAGCACAGCAGGACGTTATCCCTCGCTTTATGTTGTACACACAACACATTGCAACGCAGCTGGATCTCTTTCACCGTAATCCAATGACTCGTGGGCCAATGTTGTAGAAAACCGAGTACATTGTATGGCTTTCCTTGTCAATGTCTTACGAGCCGTGGGTGTCACAATCAACTGTCTGGTTGGGGGCACTGGAGATACGAACACTTATATAAGTACTCAGCACTCGTACATATTGTGACTCTGTTGTTTTGAAAACTGAATCGCATTGGAATGTTCACACGCAACCTAATCGGGTAAGGTGGGGTGCCCTTGCTATATACAGATTCTTCACCCCTCCATTCTTCTCCCCTTCAACCATCCTCATCAGTTTTCTTCAAGAAGCATTAAATAATTCGGATAACTCGTATCAACGTGATATACTAACCCATAACCCATAAACAGACCACATAAAAAGGACAACCAACACCATAAGACACCAAAGCCGCAACGCAAAAAAAAAAAAAAAAAAAAAGAAAAATCATGAATCAAAAATAGGCCCGTATGCCTTGATACCAGTGGCCTCCAATTCATAAACTGTGTTCTTCGTGACCTTGCCGTTACTAATCACACAGACAGCTTCCGGCTCGAACTCCTTGTACAGCTTCCTGATGAGAGGAACCATGTCTATCCGACCCCTCTCGTTGGTGTCGACGATGACCGGGTCGGGGTCCATTTGCTTGACAAGGTCGATGACTTTCTCTCCGTAAGTCTTCACGGGAGCTCGGGTCTGCCAGACGACACGCAGCTCGGGGCGGTTCTCGTCACCCAGGAACGATAGACAGGGACCGATACCTGAACCAGTGGTGACGATGAGGACTTTCTTGAAGACACGCATGGAGTACGCGAAGCCATAGATCAACACACCACGCTTCCAGAGGTGGGTGGGCTGCTCCTTGATGGTGTCTGCTGTCCAGTCGCCTGCCTTAGAGACCAGGGAGGAGAAGGTGTTGCCCTCTGGGTCGGGGAAGGTGGCGAAACCGTGCCAGTCACGGAGAGGGTGCTTGGAGAGCTGGATACCCTTGCCGAAGGCGGTCTTGGTGTAGTCGAAGTGGAGTCTGACGGCGTGGTCGGAGAGGTACTCGGGCTCCACGCGGACCTTGCGCAGGAACACCCAGGGGTGGATGATGGAGGCGATGACAATCATCAGGAACCAGAAACCGGGGATCTTGATGACGAAACTGCCCAGGGAGACGCCTTCGGCTCTGCTGGCTTCGTCCGCGAAGACCAACAGCAGGCACAGGAAGAGGGCGACCACAACCCAGCCGGAGAAGCGGTGCGTGAGCTCGAAGTAGTCATGCAGCTTAGCCCGGAAGCCTGGGTAGGCCACGATGATGATGGCCATGAGGAGCACCAGGATGATGTACGCCAGGATGACTGGTGCAGACGAGATGACCGCCTGGCCACCGGGAGGGTTTGTGTACGTGCGGGTCAAGACGGCCACGAAACCGATGTACCAGACGAACGAAGCGACTCCGCAGCCACTGTGGACACCTCCATAGTGGTAGACCTTGCATGCGATCTGCCGCAGCCGGAGCGGGGCCGATCTGGGGATTGAGCATGCAACGCGGAAGAAGGTATTCACGACTAAGGGCTGACGGGCCAAACCACAGGCGAGCACGTTGGCAGCTGTGGCGTTGATGAGGGCCATCAAGGTACGGTTGGCAACCATGACCCAAATGAAGACGCCCAGGTTGGCGAGGAAGACGATGGAGAAGAGACGACGATAGATGTCAAGAGCGGTATACCGGATAGGAGCATACCATCTTCTCTTGGGTTCGGGTTCGGTTTGGGCTTCGAGGTCACGAAGCCCTGAGGATGCGGTCTTCTCTGGTGTCTTTTCTGGATCCATGTTGGCTTGTTGTTTCTCAGGGTCAGACATGTTTTCGAGGAAGGCCTTCTCAGACTCGATAAATACTGAATCGGTAGGGCTCGAGGACTCTGAGGCACATTTGGCCGGCGGGGGGATTGATATCTCATGCTGCCCTGGCGGTGCCATGGTTGCTGAACTGGATGCAAATGGAAGACGCGAAGGGGTATTGACACAACTGACGAGTAGGGACGAGTCAGGAGCTCCCGAGGAGACAAAGAAATATAGGCACAAGTCCGTGAAGGTTCCGAGTCGTCGTATACCAGGCCTGATCCGCACTAGGAATGGGATAAAGAGATTTAAACTTTCATTGGCCACAAGGCATGTGCATCTGCATTTGCATGTGGGAGGGATCTGGCATGCTTTTGAATCCTTTCGAATGACAATGCTATCTTGTCTTCAGTCGGCTGTTTTCCCCAATGCGTGAAGATACGTTAATCTAAATTTTGTCCTTTGACAGCGGAGGTTCGTAACCCCAGTCACTCAAGACGATCTCCCATAATCACGAACTCAACCAGCTTTTTTCTTTCATTTTTGATTCTTGAGAGGAAGGAGGAAGGGCACTATTGCCATCCGGTGCCCATCCGGATCCACGAGGTTTGCCAATGAGCATGCGAGGCCGACACCGTCTATCTCCTTACTTCAGCTCTTACTAGAGCAACACGCAGAAAACTTGGCCAATGACTGGGGCCTTGAGAAGAGGCGACATTTAGAGCGGACCGTTTTCGTATAACTATCGATGCCCTAGCTATCAAGGTTCAGTCGGAGTCGGGATTGTCGGCTTTGACGGAAGTTAGGTTTGACAGCCTTTCCTCCGTCTTTGAGGCATACAGCCCTGGGCAGTGATCAACATCACCGGATCAGAATGCCGGCGTCCACAACAATGCGCCATGATGGGGCTCGTGTTCGCAATGTGGCCACGGCGTGGATCGATAACTGATTCACGAGATCACAGCTCGACAAGATCGTCGACTCAGGGCCCACGGGGTGGCCCACTCCACTACTGGCGGCGGTATCAGAGCATCACGGAAATAAGTCGGACGACCGGATTCAAAGAGTAAGGTTTTAGGGGACGAGATGATTTTGCAAAGCTTGGTAAGAGGCTTTTGCAATAGTACTTTTTGTCAGCCCCTCTCGCGCGAGTTTCCCCTCGCTCGTTCTTTTTCCCTGTCGCCTGTTCAAAGAAAGAGCCTTTGTCTACAATGCAGCTTTGCCGCCTACCTTCCCCTCCTTCAGCCTCTCCGTGCTACCTGAAGGATTGGGAAGGATGCAAATAAGCGAATCACTAACAGGTCCGTGGATCCGGTTCATCGTGGACGAACTGTGGAGCGCCGGAGAGGGCAGGGGGTGGACACCCAGATATCAGAATTCCCGCAAAAGCCGACAATAACTTGTTCAGCCACATTTTCCAGGGTCAATACCAAGACTGCCAGGGGGGTGAACCGCGATAGGGAGTATCGATTTTCTGCACGGGTCTTTTGGGGATCTACTTCACGGACGTCAGCCGGGCATGGATCGGATCGTGGCCCTGGTGGACTATGTGGGTTCTTTTTTAGCTGACCGTATTGATCGATAGATGAGATGGTGGTCTGGGGCTATGGGACCCCTCGCAGCTCGCAGCTCGCAGGCATCCTCTTTTTTCCCACCCTGGTAGCTGAGTGAATTGCAACATGTGCATCTTGATGGACGACTATCTAATCCTTTCGGGAACAGATTCCAGAGGGGTATAGGTTTGAACTATTATTGATTGTCAAATGTTCAGCTTCGGCTGCAGACAATTCGGATCATAAATGAAAGTCCGGCATTATGCAATTAACAAAAGCCCAGTTATGACAGAAGCGCGGGATACAACTTCGGACCGGAAGTTTGTTAGTTGTTGTTGGAGGAGGAGGAGGAGGAGGTGGTGGTGGTGGTGTTGTCGCCCAAACAGGCGGGCCTTTCGGTAATGTTGCGAAGATCATTGTTGGATCCGGCGAACATGTGAACTGAGTTTGGCCTTGGATACTAGTTGTTTTCTTTTTTCTTTCTTTGACCAGGGACCACTCAGTGAGCATGATTATGCTCTCCGATTATCAGCCACGGGGCAGAAAAATAACCGAACTTTTGACAGGCGCTCGGGCGACACTTGAAAGGAAGGAACTGAGTTTTCTTTAAGCGGTTAGCTCTGGTCTCAAGCTGCGATCATCCTGCGATCTGGCGGAGGCTGGAAGACGGTGGATCGGGGTGGTGTTTGCGCCACGGCCTAAAACGAATGAATTCCAAATCACGGCCGCATCTCACATCAAAGAAATGGAATTCCCCTCGAGGGGAATGACAAAACACGATGGCTATGGGATTATATCTATCGGGGTTGTTTCCCCTTGATTCGAATGCTTTTTTTCTTTTCTCTATTATCCTTGGAGAATTGTCTTCCACAATTGCATTGCTTGACTTCACGATTGAGGACTGTGCTTCCCTGATTATTGTCACTGTTACTTCGCACCGGAAGTGACGGTCTCTATTTTAGTTCATATCCCTATCTTATTCATTTTGGCCGACTTCCGGCAGCTTTTTCCATCATTTCCATCATGGGTCCTTGGGAGTCGTCCTTGGCCTTGTCCCAATCGGGCAATTCTGTATACACCGACTTATTGACGTTCGCGTTCCGCGGCCCCATCGCCTACGATGACCAGCAACCACTCTTTATCGATGCTGAGGATCCCTCGCGTGCTCTCTCTGCTGGCCAGTTCCGGCTGTTGGTCCGGACACTGATTGCAGGCCTGCAGGCTCACCATGTGCAGCGTGGTGACTGTGTCTTGGTGCATTTGGGCAACAGCGTAAGCAGACACCCTGTCCACTTTCCCTTGTTTTTTTACCTAAGAAAATCCGGCTCCATCCTTTTATCTATTTGCAAGCTAATCAAATGATCGGCTTCGCTGTAGATCCTGTACCCCGCCCTGTTTTACAGTATTATCGGAGCTGGAGGCGTGTATATGGGCTCGAACCCGCGGAGCCAGCCCGCCGAATTGGAGCATCTTCTGGAGCTGTCCGAGCCGAAGCTGATCATTACTTCTCCCGATGCGCTCGGTAGTGTTCTCAGAGCTTCTACCGGTCGGGGCATGCTCCCTAGCCAGGTCTGCTTACTCGACACGTCGGCACCCCAGTATGTCACACAGCTGCTCCAATCGGGGTCGCTGGCTTACCCCGGCGCGATCGAGTCGCTGCTGCCAGAGCAAGGATACCACCGGAATTTCGCGCATCTGCTGGGCTACGGCGAAAACGACTGGGTGACCTTCAACGACGAAGCGATCGCAAAATCCACCCCGGCTGCATTGTACTCGACCAGCGGCACAGGAGGCCTGCCCAAGGCCGCCATTCTGTCTCATCACGCGATCGTCTCACAGCACCTTGCTATTGCCTATGATGTGCCGTACAATGCCACACGGTTGCTATCATTGCCGTTTTTCCACCTCTTCGGATCCCTGTGGGCGCATATTTTCACCGTCCGATATGGTCAGCCGTTGTTCGTTTTGCCGCGCTTTGAGCTGACTCAATTCGTGGCTGCCGTGCATCAGTACCAGATTACTGAGACATACATGGTCCCGGCCATGATTCACGTGTTCAACCAGAGCGCCTTGCCGCTGTCTCATCTGCTGTCTTCGCTTCGCTACGTAGGTGTCGCGGGCGCTCCGATCGATGCCGCATCTATGCAACTCTTCCAGTCGCAGTTGCACCCCTACGCCACGGCCGGTCAGCTCTGGGGTATGACCGAAGCAGGTGTTGTCTTCCAATGCCGCTACGGCGACCGTGTGGATCACGGAAGCATCGGACCTAGCCTGCCAGGGTACGAAGTGCGTCTGGTCAGTGCTGACGGTTACATTGTGACGGAGGATGGGCAGGATGGCGAGTTATTTATCCGAGGCGCCGGTGTGCTTACGTGCTACAAGGGCCGCGACGATGCTAAGGATGCAAACGGGTGGTTCCGGACTGGCGATGTTGCTTCTATCCAGAACGGCCGATTCTACATCAAGGGTCGCACTAAGGAGTTGATCAAGGTCCGAGGGTACGTTTTTCTTTCCTTGTAGATATGCAATCATTGGGTTTATGCTGACATGACACAACAGATGGCAAGTCGCCCCCGCCGAGCTCGAAGCCGTCCTCCTGAAACACCCTGCCATCGAAGACGCCGCTGTGATTGGCGCCACCTCTAAAGACGGCAGCGAAGTCCCGCGTGCCTTCGTTGTCCTCTCCAAGGACCCCAACATCAACCCCCCGGCCGCGCACGATGTGTACACGTTCTCGCGTAAACAGCTTGCAAGCTACAAGGCATTGGACGGTGGTGTCATCTTCGTCGAGGACATCCCGCGCACAGCTAGTGGCAAGATCCAGCGCTTCAAGCTGGCCAAGATGAACGAGTACCGGATGATGATGTCCTCGCTGTGCTCGGATCTTGAGGCGAAGAAGGCAGAGCGAGTTGCTCTTCAGCCGATTGGGGTTGTGCCTGCTGCGGGGGGTGTTGCCGTCTGATTCTCAACTATTATGATTGATACGATCTGCTTTTCTTTTCTTTTCTTTTCTTTTCTTTTCTTTTTTTTTTTTTGTGTGTGTTCTGGTTTTGGCTGGATATGGGTTGGGTTGGCGCGGTATTGGCGAAGGGAGTTTAATAGGTTTTTGGTTTGTGAATAGTGATAGTATGCCAGTACATACTGATATGATTGATATGATTGTTTATATGAATGCAATTATTTTAAATACTTCCTTATATCTAAGCTTCAACCATCCATACAATAATAATCATCAGGTCCTTATCCCTCTTGTTCCTTATAATGGTGTTGACTTCATCCAATTGCCTAGGCTACGTCTCTACAACGATTTTTTCTTAATCGTCCGTCTTACTATCAATTGTCCATCCATTGACTCGGTAGCTACTCGTAGTTCATTCATTCTGGCGGTTCGATAGAAATCGCATTACGATGAGCTAATCGATCAGATATATATCTCCACGTACTCTCCTCTAAACGCCATTGATACCACCCAAACTCAACGCAAGAACTAGATAACGGACACGAGTGACACTCAAACCTGCCAGACACCTGACATCTTACTGTCAATAACAATTCTACACTATCCAACGTTCTACCTCCGAATTGTCACCAAACACGGCCCGAAAGCATATCAGACAAATTGGAAAACAACAGGAAAGATACCGAATGCGCTGGCATACAATTAACCTCTGTCGAGTCATGCTGGTCGAAGCTTATGACCTTGTCAAACCCTATTTCAGGCTACTTATCAGACGGTGTGCGTATGACACCACTAAACCTACCAATTGATATCACCACCATTGATAATCACGCAAACTCAAGTAAAACACTAAAACATACTCCATCGATCTATAAGACACTAGTTTTAATGTCCTGCAAGTCCGCAATAGTCAGGTTTTCAGCCACACCCACAGCACCCCCACATGTGGCGGTGTTGCATTGTGCGCTCCACCGGGAAGAGATTTTGGGGCTGAAGGCTGAAGTCAATGGAGGATCGTGGCGAGCGGTTGATGACAGGTTGCTGAGAGATTGACTTTAAATAGTTTGTATTTGCTTTTGTGCTCGCGAGAAGCGGCTGTCTGGTGTTGTTCGGTAATTTTGGAGTTCAGCATTATACTAGAGTGTCATACTACGACAAAGTGCTTTGTATGTACTATGTACATCACGCATGGCTCGTACAGAAGGATCAAGAATCTATGCATTCCTAGTCTCCATTCTAGTCCCCCGGAATAGATCCCATGCTTTGCACTAATAGCACCATACATAAGGCCTTACCCGCCGCCCAGTGCGGTCAAGAAAGCAAGATTGGCGATCATCAATACGATCACCGCCAGTCCAGCTGGACAGAATTCTTTATCTCCAACTGAACTAGCGATCTAGCATAGATCCGCCATGCGGGGGCGCTCGGGGCACGAGAACAAGACACGACAACACGGTGAACACCTACATAATCACCGCCTTCACACCCCACCCTCTTGTCTCGATTGAGTATGTCGCCGGGTTTTTGCCGCAGCCTTCCTTCCATGGTCAATGCCACCCTAGACAGATCGGTGCGGGACGATCATGCGCACGGACGGCGTTCGTGTGGTGCCAGCTGTGTGTCCCGAGGAAGTTAGAGTTGCATGGCAGAGCAGCCGCGGCGCAGCGCAGCGCGTCGGCTATACGGCTGAGAATTTGGAAAATGTGGCGATGGCGCTGCACGCCGCTGGATGCAGTATCCTGTGTGTCCATTTGTGAACAGAAATGCATTGATCGCTGGTGCATTTGCTGGGAGTGACTACCAGCCTATCGATGTGATGGGGGATCTGGACTCGATTGCAGATGCACATGGATCTCAATCGGGGTTGCATTGCATGAGCCAGGCTCAGCCTCATGTATTTTTGCAAAGCCGGTCTGAGTCGGGGGATGTAGGCTGCTCAGTTTGGTAATACTCTGAGGCTGATCTTCTGGGAACTTGCTCTGGGCCCGTCTTCCGGGCAATGAGGCCTTAAGACAAAAGAGGAATGAGTGTCGTTATCGCGCGAGCATTTAGACCAAAGTTAAAGGTCCATTCCAGGCAATTGTCGTCGCAACACTAGCCGAGGTGATGCCAGGCACGTAGTAGTAGGCCTGATTTGCCAGTTGAGCCAGGCCCTTTGGCCAACTTGCTGTTGTTCATGTATGTTTTCAGATCTCAATAACTGCTATGAGTGTACCCCGTGTGCTGCAACGAATGTACCGAAATTGCTGTAAGCTTGTCGCAACAAGAATATTACTCGTTCACTGCTGACACCGTAAATATAGCTATCTCGTTGAGCGTGCTTCACCCTAGTCAAAGGTCCATCAGACACTTCTAGAAAATACCATATCCCTTATACCAAACCCCCCAACCCAGCGGCCCCAAAGCCCCCAAAACCGACGCACCCAACGGAACCTCCAGTATGCACCACACCCACAACGTCCCAATAGCCGGCGCACGTTTCATCACAGCATAATATGGCGCGTTATTCGTGATAGTCATCAACTTGACACCGAGGAAAACAGCCAGCGACAGGAAAATGAGCGTCTTTAGCGATGGTGGGAATATCAATCGTCGAAGGAAGGATATGGATAGTTTTTCGGGGGTTAGAGGGAAGAGCAATGGTTCGTCATTTGTTGTCGCAAGGCGACCAAATGAGATGATGTGGCCATGAGCCAGGTGGATGAGGAGTGTTAGGATGGGAAACGTGATGAATGCTGATTCCCGGAGGAGATTGGAGACTGGGATCTCGACCGCGTATTGATGGGCCGCGAGATAGGCCAGTGTCAGATGGAGAGTTGTCAAGGGGAACGAGAGCAGGACCGTATCGAGGAATGCAGGCAGCGGCTCGTCGACTTCATGTTTCTCATCCTCCTCTTGGGCAGTCTCTTTGTTTTCTCCCTGGACACTTGGATCGAATCCCGATATCTCCCCCGACGACGGGTCAACCGTCACGAATCGCGTCCCCGGGCCTGCCTTCGCGTATGCTGTGTCTGTGATGCCTTCAGCGGACAGAAGGCTTTCCTTTCGTTCCGCGATGATGTCCACTAGCGTTCTCTCGCTTTTCTGGCCATCTGACGCGGTACCTCGCGGTGGGTGGGCGAGTGGGATGGGGGAGGCGTCGAAAGAATCAGCGGCCGCAGCGGCGCGTCGTTGTTTTCGATTTCTGGGAGGTTCCATGTCGAGGTCGATATTGGGACAGTTTGATGCTTAGGGAGGATTCCGGATGACGTTGGTGCAGAGATGCAGTGTCATGTTTCGGATTGACCGCCGGAGGTAAGCGGAGTTTATCTCCGTTGTATAGGACTACGAACAATCAAATGCATTTAATAGAATATTATTATTATATTATCATCATACTTTGAGTTGTGAAATTAAGGAGTATAGTCCTACAACAGCCCCAAGAAAAGCCCAAACCAAACCTCATCCTCAATTACTTATAACGAGATGGACCAGTCCATCTACCCTAGCCAGCTTGGTACAAAGCCGGTCCTGCTACCACATGGGCATTCGCCATGCTGAAATTGAAAGAAGTCAGGAAAGGATCCGAGTCCGTGATCGCAATGAACATGGTGCCATTAATGGCCGGGTCGCCCTCGAAAGTTGTCGTATTCGGTTGAGTGGTCGACCCCGAGGTAGAATTGTCGCCCATGGTCAACGCCGTGTAGGTGACATTAAGTTGAGATACCCACATAACGAACTTGGGATCACCGGCCGTGGTCGTCGTGATATAGCTGTTGTTGGGGCCCACGGACTGCCCGGGGGTCTCCCAGGTCAAAAGAACCTCGCGACCAGGGAAGGAAAGAGGGGTTGTACGGTTGTGGGTGATAGACGCGTTGCAAGCCTCGCCGATAATATCGGATTTGAGGCAGGAATCATCGATACCTGTACTGTTCAAGGTATTCATCCCGGGAGTCAAGGTTTCGTTATATGCAGACGACCCGTTAATTCGGTCAGGATTGGGCTGGTTCACAATATGCAAAGCTGGGAAGTTCTGCCACGCCAGCCTGGTTTGGCCCTCAGGACAGGAAGAGATATAGGGCGCCAGAAGAGTCCATGCCCAGGACTGTGACACACCAACCTCAAACCAAACCGGCATTGGGAAGAGACCTTCGAATTGTCGGAAAATCATTTGCTGTCGAGCTTCAGTGGTGATGGTCTGGGTAAGAAGTGTCGCAGCTTCTCGAGAGTCCAGGTGTGCCAGGAATCCATATACACCGGCCTCGCTGAAGCGAGTGAGCTTCTGGCAGAAATCCAAGAATTCCCGGACAGTCGTGTACGGGTAATTGTATTGACATTGCTTGGGGGCTTCGGCGCCCAGAATGTTGGTGATCAGCGTAGCATGTCCAATTTCCTGCTCCGCCATAAACTGGATCAGATATCGATCCTCTGCAGTAAGGCCTGCATCCGTGAATTCCTTTTCAGAGAAACGGGCAAGGCCATCGTAGAACAGATCGAGCTCAATATACTCAGCGTAGAGAACAAGGGCCTGTTTACGGTCAATACCAATCACTTGTGATATGTAGCAAAAAAACATACCAGAGATTGGAAATCAAAATCGCTTTTGGCGTTGTAGACAGGTGTCGTTCCGTTCGTTCCCACACCTCCTGCTGGCACGTACGGTGCCGGTGCAGGATCATGAAGTTTACCGTCACTGGGATATGTAGTAGCCGACGGTTCCACGCTCAAGCTAGAAATAGTCATCGCGAGTGTTGAGCTAGCATTCAAGGCCCCAGTGATTGTCGGGGTTCCTGAAAAGGAAGTGTGATCCATCGAAGTTGCGAAGCTGACAACCGTTGGCGCTGTCTCCCGAGCAAGGATATTGGGAAGTGCGAGAGCTGACGGCAGCCAGCCCAGCAGGCCGAGTAACAAGTGGTGTTTCGACGCCATGTCCGCTATTGCTCACTGTAGTGGGACAACCTTCTAGGGAAGGATCAAGACACACTACAAAAGCGGCACCCGGAGTACATATAGGGAGCCATTGTGGCCAATGTGTGAACGTGACGCAAGCACTGCACAATCAACTTCCGTCTCAGGTGTATCCTTCGGCTAACTGGCAAGAGTCTGGAGAGTATAGTGACGTCCGCATTCTGTAGACAGCGCCGGATGCTCCCAATTAGAACTGAAGTCAGATTCGCAGCTCCGCCAATGCGAGCTGTCGTTGATCAGGAGCACCAAGGGTCAGGAGGTCATCTGTAAACGCTCCCGAGACGACAATGGGGATGCGGAGAGACGCGCCAGATAAATAATGTTGTCAACCGGACGAACCGGACTGGTACCAGACAACGACCCAGCATTGATTCACGGGATAGCCGGGGGGTTTGATTTCCGGAAGGCGAAGGACGGTTGATTTGCCAGGCCATATAGAAGACAGGATTTCTCGATTTGGGTCTTCAGATCCCATCCTGATCACTGCCTGCCTGTTGTTATTCCATCTCAATGGATAGACAGATGAAGCATATTCAAGAAGTCGAGTTTTGGTTATTCAGGGCCATATCCATGACGTTGGAGAAGTCCACGGTTTCTGACAACGAATTGAGTTGTAGCCGTGATGATGGTATTCATCATAGAGTCCTTAAGGTAACTACTTCTCCTCTCCAGGTCTTCATATTCCTCCCGCGACAAACCGTAAAAACGGCTTAAGATGTTGTCGAGGATATGATGAGATCATTGCACTTTTCTATTCCAGATTAGCACATCTGCCTTTTTCCAAAAGCGGCAATACATTTACAACATGTCAGCATCGAAGGATTCTGATCCATGTCCAACTACACCAGTCATCTTATGTACAGCAATCGGAAGTGAGAATTAATGATGACACTTGCAGAAATATGATGCAGTCAGCGTAAGAAATGCAAGTCAACGTGGCGATGCTGTGAGATGCGGAATACATAGACGTTCTAACGTCTGTTATAACCCCGGTTTAATGAAGCATTCTCTGTATAATCGTACTTATTGATTATTCTGTTACATCAATAATCAGTAAACATGTCGCAGTTTGACCCATCCAGATTGTTCTCGGTCAACGGCCAGGTTGCCGTCATAACCGGCGCTGGAAGTGGTAAGCTTGATAACGTCCCGTCCTCATTCCACGATGCTAATAGAGTTACTCAGGCCTAGGAAAGATAATAGCCCAAGCCCTCGCCGCCAACGGCGCTTCCAAAGTCTTCATCATCGGCTGACGACTCGAAACTCTGCAAGAGACAGCTAAAGCAGGACCAGAGGGCACAATCATCCCAGTCCAAGGCGACATCACATCAAAGGAATCCCTCCAAGCAGCCTATGAAACAATCTCATCACAGACAGAATACATCGATATGTTGATGGCCAACAGCGGTGTCACCGAGCCAAACCCGCAGTTCTTGTTTCATCCCCCGGCCCCGACACCCGACAACAACCTCGAAGAGATCCGAAAGACACTGTGGTCTATCTCAGAGGAGGACTTTTCGTTCGTTCTCCAGACCAATGTGATGGGTAGTTATTATACGGTCGTGACTTTTCTGCCGTTGCTCGATGCTGCGAACAAGCGACAGCCGCCTCCAACTTCTGGCACGATTCCACCCCCAAGGGCTCAGGTCATCGTTACTTCGTCGATTGCTGCATGGATTCGTGTAGTGTACCCAAGTCTCCCATACATCGTATCTAAGGCTGCTCTTACGCAGATGGTCAAGTCGCTTTCAACGACCTTTGCCCCCCATGATATCCGTGTTAACGGTATTGCACCGGGCGTTTATGCAACCGAGAATATTTCAAACATATACGGTGACTACGAACATATCACCTCTTACGGGTCTATCCCAAGAGATTTGATCCCTCTTACGAGGACTGGTGGGGTTGAGGATCTCGTGGGGCTCATCCTCTATATGGCGAGTCTTGCTGGAGGAAATCTTAATGGTAGTATCATGATGTCTGATGGGGGGTCGTTGAGTGTGGTGCCGTCCAACTATTGAGGAAGCCATTCTGAATTGATGTATAAAGTATCTCTCCAAGTATATACGACTTCATGAACAGTCCATTTGACTTTTCGGGATAATTTCATCCCCAAAACAAACTCATATAGTCGCACCCAGCCGTTGAATAAGGTAATCCGAAGCCTTAATGCCCGGATACTTTCTTCCTTTCTGCTCATCATACGTCCCCGGCAGCGCTTCAATAACCTGGTCCATATTTGGATTGCAGAAATAAGCAACACTATACCGTGCAGGATAGTCCTTCTCATCCCCAGCCGACACAGACGCAGGCGGCTCAACAACCCGATGCCGCGTACTCGTGATAGCATCATTAGCCCACCTCGCGAGCAAATCACCCGCATTAACAACAATAGTATCCGGGATCGGAGTAACGTCTACAAACGTTCCCTTCGGACTGCGCACTTGCAACCCGCCCCGAGCGTCCTGAAACAGTAGCGTTATCGAACCATAATCACTATGCTCCCCGGCACGGACTTGTCCCAGTTGTCGCTGGAAGATGTCTTTGGGGACTGGTGGGTAGTGTAACAGACGGAGGATGTTGTCCCCTGCGTCGATGTATTCGTCGAAAAAGTGCTCCGGGAGATTCATGCCCAGGGCGATGGCTTGCATGATTTGCATTTTTAGGGTATTGCAGGTATCGGAGAATGAGAGCATTGTTCGTTTGAAGGACTGTCCTTCTTCGTCAATATGGTCAGGCCATTGGTTCAGTGCGCTGGCTACCCCGTCCTTTCCAATCTCCATTGATTCTTTGAGGTCTGGACTGGTAACTCGCAGGCCTCCAATCCCAGCGGTGTCCTCTAATGGAGCCAGTTTCTCATGTCCTGTTGCGATATACCCGCGGTTGGTTTCAGGACCGGTCCAGCGCAGACTGTCTTTCTGATCCTGCGGTCGAGCGAAGAAACGTGCTGACGAGGCGAATACGTCGGATACAACTGATGGCGGTATTCCGTGGTTTTTCAGATAGAGGAAACCCGAGTTTTTGAATGCGTCGGTCACAGAAAGAGCCACGGAATGCTTTTCTGCTGGCGTGCCGGATAGAAAGGGCGCGAAGTCGATAATCTTGGCTTGTCAGCAATTCTTCAAAGCCAAGTTAGGTAGCACGCACTGGAATCTGTATGTCATCCATATCTACAACTGTAGATGCTGGCTGGTTTGAATCAGTAGTCATGTCGGCGTTGTTCGATACTTCTCGACTCGTTGCAGCAAAACTCGGAAAACGATTTTAGAGAAAACATACTGAGTTATATGTAACACAAGCTAATTTGGCAGAGATAGACCCGTTAGTAGACGCTGGGGACAAACATAGATATGCAAGGATACCTAGCATCCTGCAGCTCAACCCCTCTTTTCCTCGACCTGCTATCATCGGCACTTATTTCTGGTATTCAACAATCACAATAAGACTCACCATGCCATTCATCGTCGATATCCACACCCATGTCTATCCCCAGTCGTACCTGGACATGCTCCGGGCCCGGAAAACCGTCCCCTACATCCACGATCCCTCAACGCCCGACGCTCCCCCGCGCCTTATCATTCTCTCCTCTGACGATGATCCGTCGATTCCTCTCGATCAGCGCGGTCGGCCAGTTGATTCCTCATATTCTGATATCAATGTGAAGTTGGAGTTTATGCGCCGACATGCGATTAATGTTAGCGTTATTTCTCTTGCGAACCCGTGGTTGGATTTCCTCGAGCCCAATCAAGCGCGGACTTGGGCTGAGCGGATTAATGATGATCTCGAAGCGACGTGTGCAAATGCCAATAAAGAAAGTAAAGAAAAGCTCTTTGCTTTCGGTGCTCTCCCGCTGAGTGCTCCCAACACGGACATTGTCGTCGGGGAGGTTGAAAGATTAAAGACACTTCCGCATCTCCGGGGAGTTATCATGGGAATATTAGGACTGGGAAACGGCCTCGACGATGAAAAGTTAGATCCCATTTGGAACGCATTGCAGAACACAGATACTCTTCTTTTCTTGCACCCTCACTACGGCCTCCCAGACGAAGCTTTCGGAGGCCCCGACACCATTAATCGGTACGGTCACGTTCTCCCCCTCGCTTTAGGGTTTCCCCTCGAGACCACCATCGCCGTCACCCGGATGCTGCTCGCAGGTGTATTCGATCGCTTCCCCCGGTTGAAGATCCTACTTGCGCATTCGGGAGGAACGTTTCCTTTCCTTGCTGGGCGGATCGAGAGCTGTATTCGTCATGAACGGAGATTTGTTGCGAATGGCGGCGATTTGCCCGGGCCGCAGAGGAGTGTGTGGGATGTTCTCAATACGAATATTTATCTTGATGCTGTGGTGTATGGGACGGCTGGGTTGAAGGCGGCTGTAGCGGCAGGTGGAAAGGATCGCTTGTTATTCGGTATATCTTTCTCCAAAATATTAATGGGCAACGACTGACTTGACAGGAACCGATCATCCGTTCTTCCCTCCACTTGATTGCAAAGAGAAAGAGGTGTGGCCGAGCGTGGCAACGAACTATGAAGCAATTCAGGATGCGTTTGATACGGACGTTAATGATATCGCCGCTGTCTTGGGAGGGAACGCAGCTCGTATTTTGAATATAAACTAGGTATACAGTTAACCTGTGCTTCTCATAGCTCGTTCAAACATTAGTGTATAGTGTCTGGACATATAGGTAGATCATCAGATCGTGAACAGATTCAATCACATAAACGGAAATGCAAATATAAGCAACGAATGAGACAAACAGTCTAGGCCTTTCGTTCCGTCTTCACCACAATTTCCCATCCTATAAGCCTCCAGACCTCCTGGGTAAACCAGTCAGAAACTGTTTGCTCTGGAACCTGAGCACAAGTGCGCAACCTGTCAAGTTCCAGTGTATCGGGGGCAACAGAACGACGCAGTGCTCCCTGAAAACACTCATCATCTGTGCCGTATATAGCCTGAAGCAGTGTACTCTGAAGACATCCTTTGATCTTGGACGTGAAGTCCCGGGACGATGGAGAGGATGAACTGGTTTCCAAGTGAGCAAGTGCCCTCTCCAATACCCAGATTAGATGCTTGGCTTCCATATTCGCTGCAAAACCCGACTGTTCGCCCAAGCTAACGTCCTTCAGGCCTTGGGGAAGCGGGAGTTTTGCAGAATCGACTCGGAGATCAGGCCGTAATTGCAATTCTTTGAACACAAATAGGCATAGGAGTCTTCCAACGCGGTTCAGCAGAATAAATAGAGCTCCCTCCAGAAGGTCTTGGTGCTCTGCACGGGTTAGATCCAGCGATAGTATCATCGCCCCTAGCAGGCGAGTAATCTGACCAGCTACCTCGTCATCTGCTTTTTGCTGTGCCCGCTTTGACTTTGCGCTTTGCTTCTTGGCTGGTTTCCCGTTTGTCGTGGTAGCCAATGCCTGCTCCGATCTGGCTTTGCAGTGCTGTCCTAGCATTTTCATTGCGGCTTCGTACAGGCAAACGATATGATACGTGACCTGGCCTGCATCAGAAGTGCTCTCCTCTGAAGCAGAAACCTTTCCTAGTGCTTGGTACAGCATCGGGAGCGCACTCTCAACGCCGCTAACCACGGAAGTAACATCAGGATCCTTATTCTGTAGGGTTGTCGTCTTCGACCGGCCGATGGGAATCTTCTTTTCCTGGATTGAACTTATTAAAGCATCCGTTGCTGCTTTTGACAAATTCACGGCAGCTTGGACAACATTCGAGCGATTAGGTCGTTTCTGTAGCGTCGTCTGGAGCGTATAGAAGTGTCTCATGAACGGCCCTGTGACTAGAAGACTCAGCACGGCGAGCCCAAAGCAAAAGACATGAGTACTCACACTCCTCCATATACTTCACCCGATCAAGAACACTACCCTGCCCTCCATCCGTACCTGAGAAACCACCACCACCCTGCGCAGGCATTTGTGTCTTCGCTCGTTTCCGTGCCGTAGCCGCACCAGCAGGATTCTTAGGGTTCGCTTTCCTCTTAGAAGACCCGGGCAGCTGCTCTTCCTCTCCCACATCTCCCTTTTGTGTTTTGGTGAGAAGAGCCGTGTTACGCTGCTCTAGTTCGAAAATGCGGTCGAGTAGTTTGCTCTGTTCTGCTGTGGATCGTTCGTAGGCTTGTTGCCAGAAGGAAACGCTGTCGAAGAATTTGTCCGGTTGGGAGGTGACGGGGTTGTAATTCGAGTCATTGGCGGTCATTATATATGAGCGGATCTGGAGGATATGGTCTAGTCTTGTCAGTATAAATATAACGATGAAAAAGAGATGGTCACCTTTGATGGATAGGTCTGCTGGCTTGTGCTTGACGATGGCCATGGCGAGGGCCAGCTGTGCTGGGGATGGAAGAGAGCCATTGCTCTGGTGTGTGAGGTTGGTCATGAACACAAGGCCTTGGACAGGTCGATGAAGGGCAGAAACTAGAAGATGGGCTGATGCGAGTGAATGAAAGGGAGTTGTCGAGGAGAGTCGAGGGAGGTCATGGGTGATGACCACCAAAATATATTTTCACACTAATAGTCATCACAGCCAACTCTTTTAACTATACTACAACTAAATATAAGACTTTTTACTATACAGATGAAAACATATTGGGATTGTTTAATTCATATATAAATAAACCATTTTCTCTATCAAGTGGTTGTCGGAGCGAGGTATACTGGAGTGCTGGACGTCACCAAATTGCTTTTGACAAGTCTTTCCAGCAGCACTCGATATATGCACTGCTCTATTCAAACAGAAATTATGTAAGTTGAGCTTTCTGACGCTAGTTCTACGTTTGTATAGGGCAAATATTGCACTCCGCTGTCAATATTCCGCCACGCGGAGCTCCAACTTTCTTCCCGCCAACAACAAACCCAGGCACTTCGACTTTGCCTGCAGCCTCTGGAGACGAGCATTTTACTTTAAGACTGATGAATGATCCTTCGGTTATTTCCATTATAAAGTTTCCCTCTTTCTCTCTCTGTTTCCAGCGCATGGGAGAACGCCGCGCCCGGATCTAGCTCTGTCGCCGCCGATAAATCGCATCTCAACTCTTCGATAAGCTATCACCCACCAAAATGGCCTCAAACGACGACCTCAAGGCGCACGCCGCCTCCAACCAAGACTTCTACGCCCTCCTCGACGTCTCTCCTGCCGCCGCCGAGCCAGAAATCCGCCGCGCCTATCGACGCGCCGCGCTAAAATACCACCCCGATAAAATCGCGAACCCGACCCCCGTAGACATCGACAAGTTCCACATCCTCCAAATCGGCTACGATGTCCTTTCAGATCCGTCGGTACGGCAGTTGTATGATAATGCGCGGGAGGCGAGGGAGCGGAAACAGAAGGAGCGGGATATGATGGGGGCGGCGAAGAGGAAGATGAGGGAGGATTTGGAGGCGAGGGAGAGAGCTGGGGCTGCTGCTATGGGGGCGGGTGCGCAGAGGGGGTTGAAGAGGTCTTGGGATATGGATGGTGGGGATACGGAGGAGAAGTTGCAGGCAGAGATTGAGCGGATAGCTGAGGATGGGCGGAGGCGACGGCGCGAAGCTGAAGATCGTCTGAAGAAGGAGCTTGAGGAGGAAGAGAAGATTGTGCAACAAGAGGAAGAAGAGGCGCGACGGGCTGCGGATAGGAGTAACCAGCGGGTTGATCGTTCGCAGGAAGGGGGTACGAACGTCTCCGAACTCGAACGCGCGGTTAAAGTACGATGGTACCGTGAGGGTCGCGGGCTAGAACTGGACAAGGACCGTCTCTCCTCGTTATTCTCCCCATTTGGCACGATCGAGAGTGTCGCGATGCTCAAAGACAAGCGACAACGTATTGGAGACAAGCGCGAGAAAAAGACCGTGGCTACAGGTGTCGTGGTTTTCGCCTCTATCGTCAGCGCCCACGCAGCCGTCTTGGACAGCGAGAAGAGAAGACGCCAGAGCGTGGGACAGACAGACAGTGATTGGGCCATCATGGAGTCAGTGTCCTGGGCATCAGGCGCGCAGCCGGATTTGGGAATGGGAGCAGAACCACGCCCTGCCTCTCCACCACCAGCACAAGAGAAAAAGCCTACATCAGCAAAACCCTCCTTCAATTTCCCCGGGGCAAAAGCAGCCATGTCAGACGGTGCTGCCAAGAAGCCCGGAAAGCCTTCTTTCGCCTCGTTTGGCTCTGCTGCCGCTTCTGCGAATACACCAAAGCCGGCCTTTTCTGAGGAGGCCAAGGCGTCGAGTACACCAAGCATGGAGGAGTTGACATTCATGCGATTAAAGAATGCGCAGCGTGAAAAGGAGCGTAAAGCTCTCGAGGAACAGCTTCTAAAGGAAGATGAGGCTGAGGACGCTGCTGAAGCTGCTGCCGCTGGTAGAACATAGTCTTTAGTTTGCGAATGTTAGTTTGGAGATACCCCTATAGTTACAATTTCTTTGTTCTTTGTCTGAATGAAAAGAGATGGACAAATGTTATTATACAAAGTCGTTATATGTACAGTAATGAGATACACTTTTAATCGTTTCGACGTTCATCTTCCTCTTCTTCCTCTTCCAACTGCTCCACCAGACGCTTTGCCCTGGAACCATCGTCTTCATTTTTACGAGCATTCTGGTTCTTCATTCCAGAGTAAATAAATTCCCTCGTCCAAGGTGGTACGAGCGCCTTCACCTTGACCTCACCCGCGCCAGAAGCACCTTCTTCCTCACCAGTCCACGAGATCTTGAATTCCTGTTCCGGGCTGAATTGCGTGCCTTCTCCGGTAAGCATGATGTCGGTCATCATCTCCAACCGACACAGTGCAAGACCGATGTTTCCAATACCGTGCAGGAATTTTCCTGCACTGCGGCCTCTGCGCGCTCCAGCTTTGGAAAGGTTCGATTCACGCGGTGGCTGAGAGATCGCTGTCGACGGGTCGTACACGGGGGTATCGATAGACGTCACGGTACTGTGATCATCAGTGTATAGCTGGACAGGCACTATCCGCTTCCGCACAACACCCGTGTGATGAGTACGGATTGTGAGCTCCTGGCCGACATAGCAGCCCTTGCGGAAGTCAATTCCCCGCGACATGTCCATGTTGCTTTCCATAGGCAGAGCAGACTCCCGGAGGATCTCGTTTTGTCCTTCCGCTACCCCGTGCATTATCCGGCGCACAATGTAGCTGTCCAGACCAACTTCAGATCCCGTAACCTGGGACTCATCAGGGAGATGATTCCGTAGATCTTCCGCACCCGGGGTCACAATCCGGGAACCAAAACCCGGAGCTCTTGTATCGACACAACCCGCAATCGGCGACGACGGAGAAAATGGAGAGGACGTATCAGTCTCAAGGTTATACGTCGCCCACCGAGGTTCTGCATGGTCCTTCCAAGCTGACCAGACCGTGCGTTCACCGTCTTCCAAACCCCGCAACTTCAACTTCGCCCGTAGCTTATGTTTCTTGAGATGCTTCAAAAGTATCGGCACCTCATTCTTATCCACTTCAATCAGCCACGCCGGGTCATTGGTAGAAGCAGCCTCGCTATCGGTTTTCGGCAACGGGTAAATGAAAGCGTCGTTCAGGATTCGGCCTTGGGAATTGAGGAACGCAGTATAGGATCCGGTGTGACGAGGCGAGTGGTTCGGATCGTTCGTAACTAGCATGTTCTGGGTAATAAGACCCTGGAGGAATGTTGTGCTATCCACCCCGCTAATGGAGATCAGTCCCCGGTTCGTGAGTCGAGTATACCCTGCCCGCGGCGGCGACGGAGGAAGTCGTTCGCGCGGTTGAGGGATTGTCGAAAAGAATCGACCGCGGCTTAAGCAGCGAGCGCATATTGAGTGTGTAGACGTGCCAGGGCGCATCATGGCCGCGGTTGTCGTCAATAATTGAAGGTTGGATGTTGTTGAATCGTAGGGCCCGGTTTACAAATCCAAAATGACATCGACGCACGGGCGGTGTAGTCGGCAGAATAATGTTCAATGACATAAACAACCTCGGAGCAGTACGCGGAGACAGACAGACAAGCCAGCAGTACGGAGTAGCTGTTTGAATAGCTATATACAGAGGTATCATTTTCAAGGAAAAGACTGGACTAATTTGGGATTTCTCGGTAGCTATGTTCAATGTATGGGAGCAGTGATCGGAAACCTGTATATAACATGTCTGGAATTATTTGTTTCCCTTTGCAACTCCTTCCAGAAATCCAAGCAAAAATGCTTTGTTATCCGGCGAAGAAACACGATGGGAAGCTTGCGTCTCCATATCATTCTCCGAGGGTGTACCACGCCGAGAGACAGGTGCCCCAACACTGGGAGCAATGCTGGGCGAGAGCGGGCTAATAGCAGATGAGCTTGATGGCTTCGCGGCCGAAGTTTGGATATTAACCGGCCCCGGTGATGGACTGCCCGAAGCATCCGACTTCTTTCCAAAAAGAGACAAAAGCGCCTCCCGCTGCGCAGCCGTCTGGCTTGGTCGACGGTCGACATGGACTGGAGGCTCCATTCCTTGCTCGCGTTGGTCAGGTTCAAGGGCAGCTTTAGGCCGAAGGGCTATATCAATTTCGCTTCCAGTTCTTTCGGTACGACGCAGGATTTGCGGTTGAAATGGCTTCCGTGGTTCGGTTTGCTTTGCCTTGCTGGCACGAGACTGAGAAGGTGTCCGTGAGCCCGGGGGCGGCGTTGAGGACTGGTCTCTCTTTGCGCTTTGTGGCCTGGCTAATATAGTGATCGGTGAAGAAAGAGGCTGTGTTTGTGGCTGCCGGTCTTTATGAGCCTTCCGGTTTGTTCCGTTCTGCATTCTCCTGGCCGCTGGTTTCGCAATCCCTTCAAATTGTGGCATATTCAAAGGTCCTGATATAGTGGCTGAGGTCTGGCCTTCACTATTGAAGCCCTTGCCAGCATTAGGGGAGCGCTGGTTAGGTCGCTGCAGAATTTGTTTTCTGGTTGGTGGTGTCGAATCAGCGGCCAGTTCTACCGGCACCGGCGCGGAAGTAGCAGGAACTGGAGAGCCCCTCAACAAGTTCAACAATTGGTCTTGGTGTTGCGACGGCTTGCGTCCCTGAACTGGGTTTTGTCCGGCTCCTGGGGCTATAGTTGCGCTTGAGGTTTGGGGGGTCTTGGGAGTTTCGTTTTTGAATACGTTCAGCAACGCCAAGGAATGACTGGTAAGCTTAGGTGGCGGCAACTTGCTTGCCGGCGGTATAGATGCGCCCTTAATCTGAGGAGGCTGACCTGGATGCGAGAATTCAGGATCACCGGTTTTCTGGTACGGGGCAGCTGCCGGTCTTTGCGGAGGAATAGTGTGCAGAGGTTCTTCTCTGTACGACGGTACGGGAGGTTGTGGTGCAGAGAAAGGCGGAAGGCCTTGGAATCCAGTTGAAGGGCCAATATGAGTCGTAGGTGGGAACTGATGGTCCAGCGGACGCTGTGGAATGGGTTGATTGGCGGCTGGCACATTCACAGCATGCTGTAGATGAGGCGGTACCATCCCGGGGAACAGCGGCGGCAAATTCTGTGGTAAAGATGCAGATTGCTCAGCATACTGTGTCTGCCGGGGAAGATCAGGAAAGACGTCCGGAAGCGGGAAACGCTGAGATAGTGCTTCCGGAGGAACGGTTTGCTCATTCATTAGAGCCCGCTTAGCAGGCTCTTCAGAAGAGCCACCCTTCAAAAGTTGTAACAAAGCATTGGACTTGGGATCGGCTGTAGGTTTCTGTGATGGCTGAGCAGATAATTGATTGGGCACGTTGTTTATATTCAAGAGACGTTTGAGATGAGCGGATGCATCTCCAGAAGGTGCAACTTCGGGCAAATCACTTGGGGCAGCCATTTCAACGGATGCCTGTACAGGAGTAATGGTGCTGGCGATCTGGGCAGCTTCGTCCATCAGCTCTGCTGCTCTATGGCCAACATGATTCTTTGCGTCGATCTTCTTCTGGTGCGCAATCCATTTCTTGAGCGGGTGCATAAAAGGCGCAACCATGTAGAATTTATTTGCATTGGCAACCGCGAAGCCTTGATCATGTTGCTTGCTCTTCTTCAGTGTGGGCAGTTCCGACAGCTTATACCACTCGATCTTGCTAATTTCCTTCCTGGTCCGAGGTTCAAAGTAAGCACCACGCGGTACCCCACGGAATACATACAGCCTCATGTGCTGCTCTCGCATGGTGATCTCGATGAACTTGACATCCTTCTCGTCTTTGACCAGTTCAGCTTCCCCCACATCGAACCCGGTTTCCTCGTAGACTTCTCGAATAGCGCAGTCTAAATCCTTCTCATCCTTGTTAATTTTACCTCTGGGAAAACTCCAATTGGCACCTTTCTTCCAACCCTTGACCAAAACGACCTCATCCATTTCTTCGTTCAGCATGATCGCTCCTCGAACAGGAACACGAGTCTTGTAGGCCAAGAACTCCGAGAACGCCGTGATATGATGGTAGTGGGACCATTGTGACATGAGTGGACAATGTTGGAAGATTCGGAGAGCGAACGCTTTCAGTGACAAGGAGGGGAGGGCCGGATCCAACGGCCGAATGAAGTCTTCGTAGAACCATTGCGCTTCCTCCACCTGAAAACATATCCGTTCGACAGACTCGAGCTCCTCATGAGGCAGGTTTATAATGAATCGGACACACAGGTCATCTAGCCCTATTATTGACCAGGCACTCAGTTAACATCACCTCCCACCTCCAACGTCCTTGGGCCGCCAAGAAGCCGGCTTGGGCGGGGGCCAAGGACGACACGGCATCACTCACAGTCTTCTAACTGCATTTTTGTTTCTGTCAGACTCTGAAACGTCTTTTAGCATTTCAACGCGGTCGACGGATAGGAGGAGATGGTGCGGAGAGACGACACGCAGCGATGATGCAGCTTCAAGGAAGGGTGCTTGGAAAGCGCCACCCCTGAAGTGTACAGCCTCAAAAAATGTCTGCGACTGATATCAATAGAAAGTGCAGTGAAGAGTCTGATTCGAGCAAACAAAACAATATCAGGTTGAGTTGGTGTCCAACAACCAGGAAGATCAGATAATGGGAAGAGCCCGAAAGAGGAGCTGCTGAGCTGGTGAGCGGCAAACAGGTTGTCCGTGTGGCACAGTTGCCCAATCACATGGCACCAAGCCATCATCAGCCACAGATGGTCAGATCAGAGTGCCACATCGTGGCTGTGATGTGGAATGTGGCTAGTGAGAATTGACGAAACGTGGGATGACGTCGAGCCCTTGAAGATCAACCATGGGATGCAACAAATAACCTGTCTTTCCCCTACACTTTTTTGCCCTGTTTCTATTCTAGCAATTGGCCCATATAACCCCTCCACCGCAGCGCCAACAAGCTTCAGTTTTCCACTGTGGCGATTTCTATGGTGAGCCAGGCGCCTATTGAAACGATTTCCCCTTATTTAGGTCTAGTACGAGTGCTAACCCAAGCGATGGTATATATAGAACCCTTGAACACTCAACCCAAACTTTTTGAATAACCACCTTGATCTGAACACAACTCTCTGAGAAGGGATCCTCGTTTTTATTGTTTCCCACAATTCGATAAGCGACCATGTCACTCTGGGGTGTACTTGGTAAAAGAGTGTTGGCGGAATCGGCAAGGAACCATTTTGGCCAAGAGGTAAGACACCTCTATCTATTCCTGGAGACTATATACGTTGGCTAACGAGAATTATGCTTCCAGGACCCGTACTTCGAAGAGGTCCCGGCTTCACGCTTGAACCGCGCAATCGGAAAAAAGACTCAGAAGCGACGAAAGGCCGCCCCGCCTGGACTGTCGGACAATGACGCTAAAGTCCTCACGCAGGTCAAGCGCAGAGCATACAGGCTGGATTATTGCCTTTTCAATTTGTGTGGAATCCAATTCGGTTGGAGCAGTGTAATCGCACTGATTCCTGTGTAAGTTCAACCCCAGGAACCCAATGCCTCTTCCCTCGCTAATGTGTTACAGCATCGGAGATATAGTCGATACCCTGTTCGCCTTGATGGTTGTGAAGTCTTGCGGCAATATTGATGGAGGTTTACCGAGCTCCCTTCACGCGAAGATGATATCCAACGTTATTATCGACTTCGTCATCGGCCTTGTTCCATTTGTGGGAGACCTTGCAGACGCGATGTACAAGTGCAACTCGCGTAACGCCGTCATTCTGGAAAAGCATCTGCGGCAGAAGGGAAAGAAGAATGCCAAGAACCAGAGGGGTCAACAAGATATGAGTCTGCCCGAAGAATGGGACAAATACGATAATGGCACAACGGGTGATCACCCAAACCGTGGAGACCAGGAGTACGGCACCGTTGAAACTCCTGCTGAACCTCAACGAGCGAGACATCCGCAGAGGAGTCGCTCGCAAGGCCGCTGGTTTGGTGGATCTAAAAACAGGGAAGGCGATATCGAGCATGGTGCTGCTTGAATGGCAAAGGTATCTCGGCTAGTTGTAATCTACTTCACGAACACTTATTTACTGAACTTTTCGGAGGCGTTTCATATTTGTCTGTTTCCGTTTATACCCACATTCACTAATATTGGATTCTATATAGAACTTGTCATGAATTGAATTTTTATCCTTCCAAACCAAACACATGGCAATAGTCATGCTTTTGACGGCTTTTCGCAACTCATTCACTTCAGTTAACTTGTAGGAGTAGATTATGTGTAGCCTTTTCACATAAATCTCGTCCGTGCCATGTTCTAGCCACAAAACTCTTGCTTTTGGGGAGATGAAGACGTTCTTGGCATTTTCACTCGAAGACTACCCACCAATGAAGACGCCGAATCTCTTCCTTGGAGGTTCAAATAGAAACGAACCTGAGCGGACCGTTTCGAGTAAATGCTGCCTACCTTGTCGAACAGGTCCCTATCATCGCGTCAGAAATTGAAATCCGGGTCCAAAGTAGCCAAAGAACAGTACCTCTCGTTCCAGACGGTTTGCTGCCCGCTCTGTTGCTAAGTGAGCCCCGGGGACCCAGTTTTATTGTGCACAGAATCACCTCGAAAACGCAAGAAGCTTGCAACGCCATTACACAGAGCATTCCCTTCCGAGACTACATCGAGTCAGATGGGAATGAACAATCACGAAAAACCGGTACATTCAATTCCATACTGAGGCACCAATTAGCTGTTAGTGAGCAACTCGAAGATGGATAGTACAGATGGCACTCTAAACGCCAGTTTGATTGAGTTCCTTAACGCACTCACAGAGTCGATCACTCACAAAAAACACTGGTAATCTCTGGGCATATTACTTTAACGGATCAATTGCCCCCTTGGATTAAAGTCCATGATAAACAAGCCACTTCAGGACATGGGCACCACTCAGATAATCAAAACTCTGATTGAGTGCAAGAAGGGCCAGTGAGACCACTATCCGCAAGTCGAAATGCAGGAGGTAGCACAAATGGTTGCGTGGATAAAGGAGCACCCTAATATCGATGATCTAGCATCTGTAGTAAAACCCAAGTTGAACATGGGACCGACATTATCTGACCACTACAGACGGATGACTGTATCTGGAGACCCAGAAGGGGTTTCCTGTCGTTTCGAATACAGCCAGCAGTGGGCAGATAATTGCACCTGAGATTTGACGATATTTCAACCGGATCAGCCATTTCTCTCCTCAAAAAAAGTGCCGGATATAGTTATGTTCTTGAAAGCATTTGTGCTGCTGAGCTGAGGGCATTGTAAACCCTGACATCCCAAAAGTCCCAGGAATGCAACATAATGTGCGCCTCCAATTTTGGCAGCCTGTGGGGGTCAAGGCACTAATGACTTCAAGAAGAATCCCCTATTGATTGGGGACATTGAAGGTGATGCGATTGGATTAAAAAAAAACATGGCAGAGAGAATTGGCAAGTTGTTGTTGTCCGAAACGGACTTGTGACTGTTTCTATCTACCTCAATTCTACGAGAGGCCTCAGAACATGTGTTTTTGACAAACCCCATAAGAACCGTTGAGATCTGACATGTGTTCTTCTATGTCTACATACGGAATTAACTATATACTCCGCTTACTAATCTGGCCACATTTTGAAAACCACAAAAGGCAGACGGTAATCATTAGTTCATCTTGGATGATTCTTTATTTCTCTGAGAAGAAACACATTCACAATGGGACATGCATGTTTTATGTGTCGACGCCGGAAAGCACAATGTCTTGTACAACAGCAATGTTAACAATTGACTTTTGAGAGGATGATAGACTGCAATGACAGCCATACTCGCAGCCTGCGTTCTCGGAGAATGTGGGTTATTCTGGTCGAGTTCCTGTGAGGGATCCTACTATTTCCAGAGCTAGACGTGTTGCAGGCAGTAGCCAGACTGGATTGTTTGAATTGAAAGATCTTTGTCAAAGACAGCCACCAAGCCGACTAATAAGCTCTGATCAGGGGTCTTCTTCCTGGGGGCGACTGCCGTGAAGATCCCCAGCAACCTCGATGTATTGAGTTAACTTCGAGTACGATCCCCGGGCAAAACATGCCATTGGGTGCGTATTCTACCCAAGGTTTCTGTTGTAGAACGGTAGAGTCGTTGGACTTGGTAGACGAATGTATATCGATGACTTCAATCATGAAAAGTCTGGTTGGCACAGGGACGCTTGTGTCCCATATCATATTTCATTTCGTTTCATTTCTTGGTGCATCTTCAGAAAGATACCGGCGTTCGCACCAAATCAGCAAGCCAAATCGGGGCGAGATCTAGCGCAGGCATAGCAAAACTCGCTTTGCTTTTCTGAGTCTCCCATAAAAGCGTCACAAAATGCGCATCGCCGGGCCCCAGCAGACACTGCTGCTGGTTGAAGCTTGTTGGCGGTCCTCGTCACATTTGCCATAACACCAGGGTATTTCTCGCCGTGAGTTTGGACGTACCGCATCATCAGCTCATCAATCGACAGGTTCTTGGTGAGTGTGTTCTCTGATGGTGGCTCGTCCGGTATGATGATAGCCATAAGTTCCGGAATGAGATTAGCATAGCTGTGCAGCTCTGTTTGGAACAGATCTCGCAGCGGGAAATTAAATTCGAGGCCTGACGGTGACTTGCCATCAGAAACCTGCCATGTCAATGCAGAGCCACGCCCCTTGGCGACATTAGCAAGGGTCTTCGCCGCCAGGCGACTGTCCGAATCACCCCATAAGATCGCATCGCAGTTCAATTCCTTCGCGTAAGCGACAACCAATCTGTTCAACAAGATCTGGTCGACATCGGCCTTCGCAGTTGCCGTTGCGATAGACGCGCGGAAAGCATCCAGGCGCTCTTTATAAGATAGAGAGGCATCGTCCACAAACCCTTCTCCGGCGAACTGTGTCATAACGTCTTGTATAGTCGGTTCGTATTCGTAAATACTATGGAACGGGAGCATTTTGTACGAGTGTCTTGGGAAGTTTTTGTGGAGAAGATCGAAGCGTTGTCCGGCGGAAGCGCTCGAGGGAGAGATACTCGACGGTTCGATGACCAGCACATGAAGCTCGAAGCCCACCATAGGGTATGGTTTGGAAAGCTGACGCTCCAACTGGGCATTCATAGCATGCAGCATCACCGAGGAAGAAAGGCCAAACGAGAGGGGAAGCAACAGCTTATACGGTTGACCTTTCGGTACGGATTTGGGGCGGCGGTAGTTCTCGATGCGCCGGAGGACCTTGAGGCTCACATATCGTTCATAACACGGCCTATTTGAAGTAAGATTTCATATTAGCAACTGCCTTAGTCCCATCCGGGATTTGTAGAAATGCGACATACTTGCACAGGCGGCGGGACCGTACGTCCACCACAAATTCAGCGTCGCCACAGTCCACGCACGGGTTTTTCAGTTCTTTCGCAGGCATTTTGGGACTGTAATAATCGATAATAAGCAGTGGTTATGCCTGGTGCTGCTGTTAGTATAATTGCCCCTCGTCGAAAACGGAAAAAAAAGAGGCAGAATTTCGTGCCGCTGATCGGGGGCTTAGATAATGCGTCAACGGCCCGCCTAGCAACACGCGGCTTCCCCGGGCTGTACTCCGTACGCCAAACACCACGATTACTTCTTAGCTCTACGGATGTCGCAAGTGCAAATTCTAGCATTTGTTGAGCTTTGGAGACATTGAAATTGTTTCGCATTACCATCGAGTCTCTTTTCCTTCCTTCTTATGATCCTGGGTCGTGTTTAGACCCTCCTCTTATCGGGAACCCGCCTGCCTAGTTCGGCCACGATGAAGGGTTGGCTTCAGACTTTGGGTCTGTCTGCCCTTTTCGCAGGGAGTGTGTTGGCAAATGAAGTGGAATTGGTGCGATTATGCTTCGGATGACTAGCATGGATGGGACATATCTAATACTCTTCTTTGACAGAAACAAGACGATGCGCACCGCCAGCGATGTTCGGGGATGTACAGCCGCAAGTCCTGGGGAGGAAGCGTCGATCCGTTTATCTTGACAAGGTTTTCGCATGATTCTGAGACCGGTGATACCGATCCTTTGGTCAGCTTGGTGATTTTTGAATGGACCGATGAGGAATTGATCGGGAGGGCTGTATCGGACAACCCGGAAGTGAGTTATTGCCCCGGGAATGATCACATGCTCCGGAGCAGGGTAATCTGACTGCTTACACAAAACTGTTCAGGAAATTGAAACGATTTGCGACGAAGCGAGTGTTGACGCAGGCCTCTGTACGGATCAAGATATCGGTTCTTTTATTCTCGCCCCGAACGTGACGGAATTATCCAAATTCCCCATCATCTCGAAAGCCATCCACCTAAACAATCCAGTTGCGGTGAATTATCCTGTGAAGAATACCGGCTTCTATTGTGTGAGCACATACGGGTATTCGGGACAGGACTACACAGCGGTGGTCGAATTTCGGAATGCGTACGGTGAGCTACCGGCAGCGCAGATTGCGAAATTGCCGTTTTATGGTGGCTTGACGATAGTATATGCCGTGATTGGAATGTATGTATCTGTGCGAGAAGTGGATTGAGTACATATGCTGATTACGATGGATAGTTTTTGGGCATTCTTATATGTGCAAAATCGCCATGACATCTGTAAGTGGCGCGCAACCTTCTCGTTCAGATCACGCTAACATCTAGCAGTGCCGGTCCAGAACTATATCACGGCTATTCTTGTGTTCTTGATCCTTGAACAGTTGATGACATGGGGCTTCTATGGTAGGTCAACTTTCTTGTCTTTCTTGTCAATTCGCCTAACAATATCAAGATTTCCAAAACCGTCATGGCTTGAACATTGGTGCAAAAGTACTCATGGTGCTTGTTGCCGTTCTCAACGCCGGGCGGAATTCGTTCTCCTTCTTCCTCCTGCTCATTGTCTGCATGGGCTACGGTGTCGTCAAGCCGTCTCTGGGTCGAACCATGATCTACGTCCGCATTCTCGCCATTGCGCATTTCATCTTCGGTGTCATCTACGCTGTTGCGAGCTTGTCAATCACACCAGATAGCGCCGGTCCGCTTGTGCTCCTGATTGTTCTCCCGCTTGCCGCTACCCTGACTGGCTTCTACGTGTGGACTCTTAATTCGCTGAACGCGACAATGAAGGATCTCATCGACAGGAAGCAAAAGACTAAGGCGTTAATGTACAAGAAGCTTTGGTGGTGCATTTTGATCAGCATTGTCGTGATTTTCGGTTTCTTTTTCATCAACTCGTTTGCTTTTGCGGGCGGCAGCGACGCCAGTTTCGTACCGGACCACTGGAAGACTAGATGGTTTGTCTTGGACGGTTGGCTCAACTTGGTCTACCTATGCGACATCGCTTTCGTCGCTTATCTGTGGCGACCTACCGCCAATAACAGACGTTTCGCGATGAGTGACGAGGTATGTGAAGACATCCTTTATAAGCTACACTGATACTAATAATGACTGCAGCTTGCGCAAGATGATGATGGCTTTGAAATCCGCTCCTTTGGCAGTGCATTGGACGAAGAAGATGCCTTTGACGCTCCAGAGACCCATATCGGAACAGAGCACCGCCGCGATCTTTCCCCTGTGCCTCCCAAACCTGTTCCGTCCGCACCTCGTCAAAGAGAGTCGCTCGACGGAGAGACGATCTTCGCCGTTGGAGAGGACGGAGACAAGTGGTCTGGCGATGAGGATGAAGAATCACGACGCGGTTCGACCGATCGCAAGTCGCAAGAAGGCGACGCCAGCGAGAGGGAGAGATTGACAAAGCGTACGGATTGATTTGCCTGCCAGGTGACAGGGGATGTAGGGGGTTGAATGAAAATATTACAACATGCGCGCATCGGTCGACGGTTTTGATAATTCGATTCCACGGACATATGAATGTGTTTAGCTCAAGTGTATTTCTGCTAGCTTAGATTAATCTTTCTTTCCAGATATTATGATCTGTAGCTGTTAAATGAAAGCCCAATTTTTTGTTGGTCTCGTGACCGGAAATCAGATATCTAGCTCGATGAGGTCATTATTTGGAGCCTCAGTAAACTCGACTCAATTACCGAAGTTTCCAGAAGTCTTTATTCTAACCACGCCTGATATCGTCTCAATGCGGCAATTGAGTCATTCAACAGCTGGAGGACGTTGATCCGCCCCGCAATGACTGACAGTTAGAGTTCCAAATCAGCCTCACCCACCCTGCAATCCTATATAACCCTACTTCTCCCTTAAAAACAGAAGTACTATGCACCGGTGTATACATACATCTACCTCAATATAGCTAACAATGCCCGACAATTTCTCACAAGGGACCAATCCTCCCCAAACCGATCAAAACCCCACCAACGAACAACAGCAACACCCAGACTCCAAACACCCCAACCCCGAAACCAGCCGCGGCCTCGCAACCCTCCTCCTAACAAAATGCAACCTCATCCTCACCGAAATCTCCACCTTCCAATCCCTCCTCTCACAGAAACTCCGCAACCCCCAACTCATCGAAATCCGCTCCCTCCGCTCAAGCATCGTCTCTGAACTGCGAACACTTGAAAAACTAAGTGACAAGATCGAAGCTGCGTTCGCTGCTGCAGAACAGAAGGGGGATGCGGGAGAGGAGGTTGAGGCGCGGTATATCCATGCGCTGAGGTCGTCGAATTTGCCGTTTTATGAGGCTGTTTGGGGGATTGCGAAGGGGTCTTGTGGGGGGTTGGCGGGGTTTGGGAAGAGGTTTTATTGGGGTGAGGGTGCGGGTGGTTTGGAGGATGGGGATGCGGATGCAGGTGCTGGTGCTGGGAAAAAGAAAGGGAAAGGGAAGAAGGATGGGGAGGATGGGAAGAAGCTGCCGAATAAGGATAAGCGGAAGAGTGTTTTGGTTGATATTGTGGCTGATGATGGGGAGGAATGGGTGAAGGTGTCTACTATCTCGGAGAGCCGGTTGCTCTTCGAAATGGCTGAAAAGGGATGGGAGAAGGAGTCAGAGCCCGGATCTGACGACGAGGACGAAGGTAAAGGCAGGACGGTCCTACGGAACTACGAGGACGAGGACGAGGACGAGGACGAGGATGATGAGGTCGGATTGATCAAGTTGGCTATGGACATGCGGAGAGCTGCCAATGCTACGCGGGTGAGGTATAGGCGCCCTCAGATACGCTTTGTGCTGCCACGGATTGAGGAACAGAAGAGTTCTGATATTGATGATCTTATTGATACGATCCGGGGCTATGGTATTACAGTTGAATGCGGGGGAAGATACGCGGACGTGCCTGATTCACAAACAGCAGAGAATCCGCTGAGCCATCTCCTCCCTAGCCATTTCATCCGGTTCACCCCTTCGCTGAATGTGGACTGCACGTTGCTTCTTGCTATGGTATCGGACTTGTCGCATTACAAATCCGTACACCCTTCGCCCGAACACCATACCGCCATCAACAGGCAGATCGAGATCGAAAGGGAACATCCTCTACTGCCTGTAGAGATCTGGCCAGCAACAGTTGACCGGGAAATGCTATGTACAGACGAGGCAGGGAAGCGGATGCGAGAGATTGTCGATACCATCGGTACAGATACCGAAAAGAAGCGGACGGATATTTTGTTGGGTGTTCCTCCTTTCGATGGTTTGGATTCAGACACTCTCGTCCAGAAATTCCAGGAACTATCCGACTATGAGGTCCCGGCACAATGGAGACTTCCGATAAAGACCGTCGAAGCAAAATCCGTCATCGATTCCGGACGGAAACAAGCAAAACTCCCCCCCATAGTCGACAGTGTGGCCGAGATGCTATCCGATATCAACTATAGTGTGTTCTTGTATGGATGGGTCACCGGATTAGTGACCATATCCAGCAATCGTACTGTGGTCAGGCAGATAGAGACCACGGTGGAGAATCATAGAAATGGCGATGAAGACTTGGTAGGACCCACGGTCTGGGTTTGTGACACGCCCAGAAGTTTGATTGGCAAAGAAAGGGACCGGAGAGAATAAAATACTCGCTCGATAGACCCATGAATTCGATGAAATGCAATAAGGCGGATTGTCAACACTCATTCTCGTCGGCTCCGGAGATTGCTGAGATGCCAAATACTAAAGATGGCAGGTTCTGTTTATTTCTCAGGTTGTTTAGAGCCGTCTTCCGGGAGCCAGAAGACCGTCTCCTTATCAGCAGTTGCAAGCATGTTAAACCTCGGATTGTACTCGATCACGGCAGTCCGACCCCGGCTGGGTAGTCTGTGAGTGGGCTGCAAGAGGAGACTCGAGTCAGGAGGCTGCTGCAAATCCCACACAAGCACGTCCGACTGATCTCCTGGGCCTCCAATGACATATCGTCCGTCAGGCGAGAAGCAGACATCTCCCTGGCCAAGAGGTTTTCCGGTTGTAGAAACGGGAGCCGCCCTGCCAGGAGAGCCATTCTTCCCTATCAGGAAAGCGCGCACAGCCCCATCAAAGGCATCCAGAATGAAATGGCCGTGATAGTCTGTTCCCACAAGTAGATATTTTCCATCATTAGAGAATTCCAGACGAGTCCAAGCCCTGCCCCTGGTGGATGGGGTAAATCTTTCTTCGTACGGCGCAAGGTCAAAGGTAGAAAACGGGGATTTGTCGTAGTTACGGAAATCGTAGAGGAGAACAGACGAGGTCGACTGAGACGCAATCGCGAGGACTGAGGCTGACGGGTCGAAGGTGGCCAAGTACGGCGTTGCGAGCTTCAATTTTCCCTGAACATGTCGCGAATTAAGATCCCAAAGCGCGACGGTGTCGTCTTTCGAGCATGAGACGAAAGCATCGCTTCCGGGCGACAGCGCCAGAGACGTTACTTTGTCAGTATGGCCGGAGAAATACCGCACGTAGCCTTCGTTGTGAAGATCGAGCAATCTCAACGAGTCTGCATTCACTTGTCAGCCGGAGCTCTCAAACCAAACGCACCAACGGGACATCCCCCTGTATTCAACCTACCATCGACTTTCGTACTCGCGTGAAGAACTTGGCGCGAATGATGCGTGAATCGTGCCAGATGGACACCGTACTTCTTGCTAGGAACGGACTTGGTGGCCTTCCCTTCCTTGACGTCAAACACTTGAATTGTCTCATCCTCTCCAGCAGCAACGAGGAAGTCACCCTGGTCATCGAAATCCAGCGACGTCACATGGGGATGATCTTGCTTCGGGGGTCGAAATGCCTAGGGTAGAACACTATTAGACCAGGTTTTGGTGATCTTCATAGGGCATCAAGTGAGCGAACCTTTGTAGGACGGTAGGTACGTATAATATCAGATACCTTCTGAGTCTGCTGCACAGGTTGCTGAGCTTGCTGGCCCTCCGCCATCTTTATCGCAATAGCTATCCGAGCTAGAAATCGACCCGCGATGAGACGTAGAATGTATTTAAACAAAAATCGTAGAAGAAGGTGATCCCCCAGTTTACGCCCTTGATCAGGCTCTGCCGTAACTTGGTCTCAGCAAGTCAATTGCAATCGCAGTGGTTTGATATCGTTTGCTGCTTTGGAGATTTTGGCGCGTTTGTCGACGCGCGGATTAATTGCTGTTCCGATTCGGCGCCCATCGTCGGGGACCGGTGCGCCGATTCCCCGACGGTCGTTTGGTATATTTCCTGTTTGGGAAGAGGAGCTGTCAGCACCTAATCAGGTCAGTGAATGGTTCCTCACCGGCTAGGTGAAATGGGTGTTAATTCAAAGGAAAATGCAGAAGCTTTACCTTCTTCCAACTACCAGGTCTCATCGAGGAGGGCGCGCTTCTAAGACGCATGGACTGTGATGAACAGTATGTTCAGTTCACACACACCTGGTATGATAGAATCAGACAAGCTTGATTCGAGATTCTGGGACCACTTCTTGGCCGCTAGCGGACCCTCCAGAGGTTCAGAGGAGAACAGAATAGGCGCTTTGGTAATTGTGCCCAGTCGTACCCGCTGGTAAACCCGAGACCGACTGAGGATTCAAATACACCAACTATTGGGAATAATATTTGATAGTCTGGCCGTCCTCGCCCTGGGTTATTTCTACATATGATATACGATATTGAACCACAATTTTCGTCAATATGAAATGCAAACTGCCCCCCATACGAGACCTGCTGGTCAATGAGTTAATCACCGGATCGTCCCTGTGACATGCGATTTGAATGCTAGGTTATGGCACAGTGGTCATGCCACCCAGTACGTTTCTCAACGAGCAGACTCCGGTGGGCGAAAAGCATGTGTCCAATTTCGTTTCATACAAAACATAGGGTACATGATGACATGTGCGTGCGGCATAGACACCATCTTCAGTGACTACTGGGCGTCCACAAACCAACGGCTCGGCTGCCAAGTCCCTGACGTGGTGATTGTCCTTGAAAGAAACGGCAGTCTGAGGGTAGTCGGAGAGTTGAAGGTGTCCTGGATAGATAAACACGTCCTGGAGGATGCCATTCTCAATGAGAATCGGCTTAGGCATGTACTTGGCAATGCAATCAAGCACAAAAGTTAGCGTATACATGCTAAGTCAAACTTTAGGACAAATCGCAGGCTACATGAAGGCGGCGAATCTGAAGTACGGGTTTGTATCAACATACGAATAAAGCATCTTTTTGAAACAAGAAGTCCAGCCAGGCAAATGGGTGCCATACCATAGCCCTGTTGTAAAACACACTGACAGACCGGTGTTGCTGGGAGCATCAATCTGGCTAGCAGCCCACGTGTTGCTAAAGTATTCTGTGCCGAGGGTTGTATGGAGGACCCTAAACGTGGAGCACTACAAACCTGCAATGCACGACGACAAAAGTTGCGCGAAGAAAAGCCACGTGAAGTGGATTCAGATCAGCCAGGTCATGCTTCGACAGAATGCGGAGATCAAGGTAGTGGTTTTCTGCGAGAGGCTAGGTTGCCCTGTTCAAAAGACCGACAGCGCATTGCAACCTGACAAAACAAGGAGAAATACGCGCTCCTAGAATGATAAAATGGCCCACCACCGCAACACCTCCATCGAAATAACTGAGATGGGAACCAACCATGTGCTCACATGGCCCTTCCCTGATGAAGTCCTCAAAGACCCTGACCTCCTCCATCATGCCATCCATGACCTGGATTAATTCCAGGCTGTTGCCATCAGGCAGCTCAAGGAGCTGGAGGGAGAGTCAGAAGCCCATCCAATTGTGATCTGAGAGGGGAGAAGCTTGGGGAAAATGGGAGGATAACAGGCCTGTATGGTACTGAAATATAACTGCTCCAGATGCAATCCATCTAATTCCTGATTACTGTATACTATAGTTTAGTAGAAACTACCCATGATAGCACAGCAAAAAGGCTAAGTGACCCCAGCGGGTTCGGTGTGTAAATGTATCATGTACCAAATGAGCGTCACTGGAATACATACAGTCGAATGGTGGAGCGTGTGATCTGAGCACCCTTTTCCATGCTGGTGTATATATACCTCGGTAGCAAATAAATTAGCGGAGCTTCTCACCATAAGACAACCATCGCAGGCACAAATGCCCGACCATTGTAGAGTGGAATACTGGGAGAAACAGGAGAGGATGCTACGTTTGTCAGGACGAATTATTGGAAGCCTATAGATCTCTTATTCGGCTGGAACCTCAACCCCTTGCTAAGCCCCATTGAATCCACATATTGTCAGTCCAGGTATCTCCTTTTGCTTTTTCAAGGCGGCTCAGTTGGAAACTTGTAATGTAGCTGTCGTTATGGCAAGCATATGTCAGCCTCGGAGACGAATAATGAAATAAAGGGAGCTCGACAAAAAAGGACATACATCTTCCGTGACTCTTTATTCCAGAACAGAATATCCTTTAGCGCCGCTAAGTTGCGAACTCCAGCCTTAACACAATCCCTATATTGGGGAGACAAGGCATATCAGCAATTCATACACAGGGCAAAACTACATGGGAAGGCGAGGGCATACTCGTATGCGATCCTAAACGCCTGGCGAATTTCGTCCCGTTCAGTTGTCGGTAAGTTCCAAAACGAGCTGTTAAGGCGAGCACCTGGCAGCTCATTCATCAACAGATACAGAATAAACCCTCCAGGTACGACCCCAGTCTTATCTTGCCGATCTAATTTGTAGTTGAGGAGGGTTGGGGCTGACTCGCAGCCATTGCGCGTCAAGGTCCGCAGAGCCGTAAGCTCATTGTCGGCGTAGTAAGTGAGTTCATTGGAAGCTTGCTGGTTTCTGACTCCGGATTGTTCTGATTCTGAGCCTGCAAATGGAATCCTGGACAAATCAGTACCTATAGTGTTATACTGGAAAGAAATCTAGGGAGCTGACTGCATATAAATCTTCAATATTGCTGTCTTGCTGCTGCTGCTGCTGTCTCTGCACTGGAAAAGAGCGCATGCAGCAGATGGACACTTGGACTCCTCATACTCATATTCATCTTGTTGGTTAACCTGCTCGCTCAATTTCTTTATAAGGTTCCATGCGGAGGGGTTGGCACCGGCAATTTTGACTTCAGACCCTGTAAAACGAGAGCCGAAGAATGTTTTGTTGCTGGCCATTATACAGTGAGCACATGCAACCTCAAGGGCTGTAGAAAACTTCGAGTCTTGACCAGGAACGCTATGCTGAAAGGGTAAGCTGACGTCACCGCAGTATACACCTTACAGGAATATAAACACTACATGCATATCCAATCGTAGCTAGAAATACTAAAACAACGCTGTAATTTATCCTTCAATTTCAAGTAAGCGAACAAAAAGCCTCGACAGACGCAGCCTTTTCCGACACTCAGTAGCATCGCACAGGGCCGTACACTTTTCACTGGTATAGAGATACTGGTATCTAAAAGCTATCCAAAGGGAAGACTCACCCAGCCGAGGGGGAAAAAATATCATCACGCCAAAATGCTCTGACCGCCTGTTTTACACCTGGCACATTCGTCGGCATCTTCCGGCAAAGATCGAAATCAAACATCCACATGGTATGCTCACCCAAAACGTTCGACATTGCACTTGGTGACCGACGTTTGACTGGAGGCGCCAGGACAAATTTGACACCATTTCCATCCATCTGGCCAATCCAATGTAGCATAGCTAGGGCTTCTGCCATTATCCTTGCGTATTGCTGCATGTCACTTGGGGGTATACCAATTTCCTCCATTTGGTCTGCACATAAAGAACAGTTTCGTAATGAAAACATCTCAAACGGTGGAGGCTTGTCTGCCTGTGTTTGTATTTGTCGTCTGCCTAGACATGGTCTCACCATGCAATCCTTTTTAGCATCGCTCAACCAGACCGCTCGACGAATTCTCCGTGGACAGTATTTGTTGATGAGAAACTTCCTAGTGGATTTAGGGAATGGGGGATGCGCTGGCAATGAATCATCTTGCAAGGTGAGTATCCTGCTGGGAATCTGGATAGGTTTTTGCTCCACCACTTTGTGGCCGTAGGCCGAATGAAGCGGTAGCATCAGGGGATCTGGATTTGGGGTGTTAGAATATCTGAAAAGTCACGAAAGCTCCCGAGAGCACGCCGGTGCATGCGGAAATCATTGTTCAAGGATTTCTCCGGCCCTTCGTCTTCTCTTTTGTAGGCCGAACCGCGTTCAGAGAACGCCCACACAGTGCCGCAGAATCCGATACCAATACAGAGAAACTTGACTTTTTATTCGTTGGTCATACTGTCTCGGGCTGTAATAGCTGTATAGCTCTGTGATTAGTTTGTTCGTACATAGTTAGTAGAATGTAGCGGGAGCGATAACGGAGGACGTTAAGTGCGAGATATTTCAGCCTAGACATTGCCGCTGGCGACTGCTAGGCAGATATACTTGTAATGGGAAATACCGAAAACGTGGTAACTGAACACCGGGCCCTTGTATAGCTTCTTATATAGCTTCTTAACCTGGAATTGTACCCCTGGGTATGTAGTAGAGAGTTTACAATTGGCCCGGCAGCATTGGCCGCGGCTGAACTGCGCTCCCCACTCTTTTCCATTTTGGGACATATCCTCTCCGATCCACCTCCGATTCCCGATTCAACTCTCCGCAACTTCCCCTCAGTCGCCTCCAACAACAAGAGAATTTTTCATTCTCCCAGTCAGGATCATGTCGACGACCACAGGGTACGTTATAGCCCAAAAAAAACAAGATCGAAAACCGGATTAAATGCTGACAAGTCAATCTCACGCGACAGGGCCTTCATTGCCGGCGGCATTGCAGCATGCGGAGCGGTCACTGTCACCCATAGTTTCGAGACCGTGAAGATTCGGTGCGTACCTGTCCCCGATTTCGGTTCTACGCCACACAGAGGCTTATTGGAAATGCGAACGCAGGTTGCAATTGCAGGGAGAGTTACAATCTAAAGCCGATCAAGCCAAGAAATACCGGGGTGTGCTTCACGGCATTAAGGTTATCTTGCAGAATGAAGGTCCTCGGGGACTGTTTCGAGGAATTGGGACTGCCGTATGTGACATGGCAATATGCGACGGTGCAAATCTTGAAAAACGCAAGGCTGACGAGAAGGCGCATATTAGTACATCTACCAAGTCCTCCTCAACGGCTGCCGGTTAGGGTTCTACGAACCCCTGCGCACTGGCGCCACGAATGCCATTTATAAAGACCCCAACTTTCAATCTCTCGGAATCAACGTCTTCGCTGGTGCTGCGTCAGGTATCATCGGTGCCGCTTTCGGTTCTCCCTTCTTCCTCGTCAAGACTCGCCTCCAATCCTACTCTCCTTTCCTTCCTGTCGGCACGCAACATCAATATCGCAACGCGTTCGATGGATTAAGCCAAATATACAAGTCGGAGGGTATGGGTGGTTTGTACCGTGGCGTTGGTGCTGCTATGGTGCGGACTGGTTTCGGAAGCTCCGTCCAGCTGCCCACTTATTTCTTCGCTAAGAGACGTCTGACAAGACACTTGGGTATGGAAGAGGGCCCGGGCCTGCACTTGGCCAGTAGCGCAGCGTCTGGATTTGTTGTCGCCTGCGTTATGCACCCTCCTGGTACGTTTGAAAACTCGCAAAGCGTCGTGCAGTGCAGCTAACCTTGAATTCCAGACACGATCATGTCGAGAATGTACAACCAGACGGGTGACCTCTATAAGGGCGTGTTCGACTGTTTGTCGAAGACCGTCAAGACCGAAGGTCTTTTCGCCATTTACAAGGGCTTCTTTGCCCACTTGGCCCGTATCTTGCCTCACACTGTAAGTCACTGCACTCTCAGCGTTTGAGCAACTCACAGCTAATACTGCCCAGATTTTGACCCTCAGTTTGGCCGAACAAACCAACAGACTGATGCGCCGGGCTGAGGATAGGTTCCTCTCCGACGACCTCAAGTCGCGACTGTGAAGATACCTATATCCCAGCGCAATAGCGGCATATAAAATATACCATCTCGGTTTTGCCTACCGAGCAATGCATTTGTTTCCAAGCAGCGCTCATTTGTTACATAGTACATTTATATATGGATATAATGGGGGCGTTTGGTTTTGGATTGTCAGGTTGCATTGCCCTGTCGGTCTTTTGTACATAGACTGCAGTTGTACATGCTTTGTGGACATCTTCATTGGTGTAATTCACTATATCACTGTTTTTAATGGAGATAGTGAATATGCCCCTAAAAAGACTTTCTTCCTGTTTTCCTTTTATGGTTCAATTCTACATCTTCGAGCCGAAGTCATCTGTTGATATCTTCCGTCAACCTGCCTAGGCATACTCATCCTACTTGCATAAATTGGGCATGCATCTCCTACGACTATCATAGATCTCGAAGGTAGAACCGAATCTGGTTGAACGCTCTTGGCTATCGAGATCGAGGCATACTTTGAAAAGCCAATGCGAACGGCCAGACATGGCTCACAAAGAACATTCTCACGGAGTTAGACCCCTGCGTCAAGGTCTATACCTAGTACGAATGGCCATTAAAACTCATAGCCGGTTTTATGCATTCTTCTTTTTCCGACTGTCACGTCATGGGAATCCATATGTGAGACTGAGACTGAGTTTGTCGGCCAAAGAGCCCACTGGCGATCAATGACTACGATGGTATGTACAAGCCATCGGAAAGTATCTGCTCTGTTTACTGGCTAACTTATTGGAAAATGCTAAAAAAGAATAATTAACAGTGTGTTTTCACCCAGCGTAATATCCTGCTAATCAGCAATGAGACACTGGCAGCCACCGTTACTGCCAGAAATAACCAGCGGCTATAGCTAAGTGGGAAAAAGAAGTGGTCTATTCCACCCGATAGTGCTGTTCTTCTGAAAAAAGGACGATCTACAGGGTTGACCGCGGAGATTTTGGGCATACTGACACCTGCCTGGATCTGCACACCTTCACCGCAGTTATCAATGGCTTTGGTCCGTTTTCTGTCGAGGGGGACTCGAGATATCGATATCTTGATTGGAGCGTTGAGTTTGTTGGCTTGAACCGAAACGGGACTAATGATGCCTATTGAAACCATTTTTCGCGACACAATAGGATATGAGCCTTACTCAAAGATATCACAAATGATTGTTGCAAGAGCCTTGACCGCAGAGATCAGAACACTTGCTATGGCATTTGGGTGGAATCTGGAAAAGGCAAGGTTATAGGCCAGTGGCTCCTTGGAGACGTCAGACCGTGATCTCGGTCTCAACTCTAAGGGCTTTCTGGGTCTTCCCACATGCCAATAGCCTTATCCGACAAAAGTCGACACTCGGCTGGTCGAATTCCCAAGCATTCAGCTGTATGTGGATGAGCATAGAAAACACCAGCCCGATGATGAGAACTCTTAGAGGGCACCTTGAGTAATGTTATGACACAACCAAGGAGTATTTTTTGGGTGTGACATGCTATCACATCATTCGTGAGGAACCACAGGGTACAACAAGGTGCTGAATATGGAAGTACACTGTTGTGAAAATGGCCTACGCTTGCCAACCATGCAAAGAGCCACCACCGATTTACACATAAATGACAATTGTCACCTAATCGAATCCATTTCAAAGACGCAAGCCAGACACCAAGATGCGAGAAAGGAAATGCGAGAATTGGGCTATCACAAAGCACTTTGGATGTGTTCTGGCGGGACTGTTAAGCTCATCGTGGCTGTGGTGCTTGGTGGTATTGCCAATTCTTCCCTGCACCGATGGAACACGACCAGGGGAGGAGGGGGGGGCTCCCTGGAGAGAAATCGGATTACGCACCCAAGCAGATGGAGTTGGAAAAGGTATTTATCATTGGGAAGATCACGAAGTACACGCTAAGCGTAGCTAAGGATCTATCGACTGACGAGGCTGCTAATGTTAATTATCTCGTATCCCTGTCGATGAACAAACGCCAGTGGACATATTGCAAGGTGATCTATATGAACATAGGAAACGTTCGTGTCGTCCGAAGCTGATAGCTATCGGAATCACATCGTACCGCGGTAGGGAAGTTCACTAAAATCCATCCTGTCCTGGATTACACAGCGAAGTGAAACAGTCCATGAGGATGGACCGGGTAAATGCCAAATGGACATAGCGATGAACCAACAAGCTTGATCCATATGGTTATAGGAACATGGTCGTCATGTCTGCATCTCACTGAGTCCATTGCACTCCATTACGGCGGTTTCCGGGTTAGAATCATGACTTTATGCGAGGGCGGCTTGGAACGTGCCATATCTTCCAATTATTGGATGGCACTGATGGTGGACTCGTTGTCAGGGCTAGCTCCGTTCAGTATTTTTTTTCGATGCCGAAACAACAGCCCATCAAGTGAGATGTGTTGGACTCCTTTCACTTGCTAACCTCGTTTGCGTTTCAGTAGCTGAGCGGATATCTCGCTTTCTGTATAAGTCGGATTCTGAAGTGCAGCATTTTCTAGCATTAGGTTAGCCCCAGATTGCTTCCGGCCGCTGATGGAGAGCGAATTGAGGCACATGAGCCACAGAACCCGGCCAGGGCTGATCAGCCCTGGCTTCTACTAGAGATGAGCGACATGAGCCCTGTGGTGATCGATTACAAAGCGCCAATTCAACTAACAAACGAATTATGCGTCAACCAGATTCTGTCACAAAAAGTATTGCGATTTACGAACCAAGGAAGGTGGCCCCTTGTCTACACATCTCCCGAACGAGCATAACTGCTTGGGCAATCATCCCCAAATTTTCGTTTCAGTCGTCAGTCGCTACCATTGCCTCGAAAACACCTTCGAAAGGTGTTCCCCGAGCTTGCACTTCATCTCACCAGCCGCATTCATAGCCCGAAGTTTCTAAATGAATTTCTCCTAATCCCCTCGTTGTGCACGGATCAGGCAGGGAAAACGCATTTAGAGATGATGTACGTTAGCGAGCTGTGTAAGCTCTGGTTTAGTCGATAAAGCCGCGCATCGTCGTCAATTACGAAAGCAGAGGAACTGTCGGGACTGATCGTAAGAAAACAGCTTGATCACAGTCTGGTATCAGGGCTGGTGCTGTGGTGGAGAGGGATACTTCGGGGTACGAGCCACGCCATGACAGCTGCATATACAATTGGATCCCTTGAACCTATCTCCTTTAACCCTTCCAAGTAAGGAATACTAGATAACCAATCAGTAGCATGTTAGTCGGGCCTTTGACGGCTCATGCGGCAATATGCATGGAAACGCGGTCAATCGCGAAGCATTCTGAGATCCACATGCGACAGGCTGACAGCAGGGATATGTAAGGGACCGAAATAGCTCAAAGAAGTCGTCGGTAACCTGTACGGAGTCAAATATATTGCAGAACCGAATGCAATAAAGAGAAGAGCAAGGGGATCGAGAATCGAGGTCTCTCGCGAAAGACGCGTTTCTTTGTATGGATAACGTCATACTCCGGCGTCGCAGAGACCTTGCTCCAATGTAAAAGCCTAGACGTATTTATTTTGACCCCAGAAAGACGTGTTATATCCGAAAATCCGTTTGGAGGGTCGGGGGTTGTCCAATCGTCGCGTGGAGTGGAGCGCGTCGTACCCAATTCTCTTTCAGCTGTTGCAGAGCTTGGACCGGGCTTATCTGATCATTAATCATGACTCCGACAAAGCCAAGGTCCGATTTCAGGAGTGGGGAATTGTGGTGCTTTATTGACAGACGCGTGAAGTCGTGTAGCATTGGCTGTGTCAGCACCAATTGGCTCAATTTTAGGATATACAGGAGGGCATTTGCATTGAAAATCCGCATAGAGGTGTTGCCCTTGAAATTACCTTTCAAATGGTATATAAATGTATATAAATGTATATAAATGTATCTACATGCGTCTAGACACGTATTCTGTAGGTGCTGAAGACGCGCTGGCATCGGATCAGATAAGATCAATCAGTGACCGCGCATACCCCTCGTAGCCCAGCTACCACGCCCAGTTACGAGGCATGTGGAGAATTCCTAGTGGTGCCTGGCGAACAAACCGGTCAATTGACGATCGCAATCCGGATTGCAGCTGGACCGGTGGTCTGATGGAGTCACCAAGGCAAACAAAAGGGCAAATATCGAAATGTTCGTGACGCGCACTAACCGCATCGGGTAACCAGCCACCTTCTCGCGAAGCGCGCCTTCCCACGTGACCGCGACGGAGCGTCGCGCTTTTCGTTTCCGCCGCAAGTATTAATTCTGCCCTCCTCCCCTCTCGTCGTTCTTCATCCCATTCCCTTCTCTCAAGCTCTCTCTCTTCTCCTGTGCTGTTCTCTGTTGAAGCATTCTTGTTCTACTTGTCTCTCTTCTATTCTAATTGTCTTAATCACTCCTGTCGAAATGGCTGCTCAGGTCACTCCCTCCAAGCAGGTACGTGATGTTGCATCTGTCACCTCTCACGGCGACGCGTCTGAAATCAAAAGTACTTGCTAACTGGACAATCGCATATAGACTGCCTGCTCCCTCGAGAACCTCAAGATGAGCGACTCCCCCGTCAAAAAGCTCAACTTTGCCGGCAAGGAGAACGCACCTGCTGCCGACATCGACACGACTGTCACCAAGCCCGCCGAGAAGCCTGCCCAAGCTCCCAAGGCGGAGCCTACCATTCAGGAGCTCGAGGCTACTGAGCCTCTCCTGCAAGAGAACCCTCACCGTTTCGTTCTCTTCCCCATCAAGTACCATGAGGTCAGTGGCGGCACGCGTTGACGCGTAAATTGATTTTTCCCACGCGCATCAAACTAACAATTGGCTTTCTCTACAGATCTGGCAAATGTACAAGAAGGCTGAAGCCTCTTTCTGGACCGCCGAAGAGATCGATCTGTCGAAGGACCTGCACGACTGGAACAACCGCCTGAACGATGACGAGCGTTTCTTCATCTCCCACGTCCTTGCGTTCTTCGCCGCCTCGGACGGTATTGTCAACGAGAACTTGCTCGAGCGTTTCAGCGGTGAAGTTCAGGTCCCTGAAGCTCGTTGCTTCTACGGTTTCCAGATCATGATTGAGAACATCCACTCGGAGACCTACTCTCTCCTCATCGACACCTACATTAAGGAGCCCAAGCAGCGCACCTACCTCTTCGACGCTATTGATACCAGTATGTTCCCAAATACCATGGTTATACAATTGACAAGTTGCTAACTGGTGATTTAGTCCCTTGCATTAGGCGCAAGGCCGATTGGGCTATCAGGTGGATCCAGGACAAGGAGTCCACCTTCGCTTCGCGTCTCGTGGCCTTCGCCGCTGTTGAGGGTATCTTCTTCTCTGGTTCTTTCGCCTCTATCTTCTGGCTGAAGAAGCGTGGTCTGATGCCCGGCCTGACCTTCTCCAACGAGCTGATCTCTCGTGACGAGGGTCTCCACACTGACTTTGCTTGCTTGCTGTTCTCTCACTTGAACCACCGCCCCAGCAAGCAGGTGGTCCAGGACATCATCACCGAGGCCGTCGCAATTGAGCAGGAGTTCCTGACAGACGCCCTCCCCGTCGCCCTGCTCGGTATGAACTCCAAGCTCATGGCCCAATACATCGAGTTCGTTGCCGACCGTCTCTTGGTCGCATTGGGCAACCAGAAGTACTACCACGCCACCAACCCCTTCGACTTCATGGAGAACATCTCCCTGGCTGGCAAGACCAACTTCTTCGAGAAGCGTGTTGGTGACTACCAGAAGGCTGGTGTCATGAGCAGCACGAAGAAGGAAGAGTCCCAGTCTGCCACCACTAACAACGCTGGTCTCAGCTTCGACGACGACTTCTAAACAGGTGGCTTGGGAAAAAAAAAAAAAATCTTTATATACCCCGGTTTCGTGTCATATCCGGACTTTTATTGTCTCGCCGCCAAAGTCCTGACTCGTGCCATGAGCGTTAATATTTCTGTATGTTTATGAATGATTTTTGGAGGTACGCATGGGTTTGGCGTTATGGTTTCGGTGGTCATCTCCTTATTTTTGTGTCCTGTCCTTTGTTTGGATTGATGGATAATGGGCGATGCCAAAATGTATTTAGATATATCAATGTATATTCAATTGGATAATGTGTTCTGGCCTATTCCGTACGCATGTGGTATCTTCACTATCAAGATCTAAGAAGAAAGGTCTTTATCACGAGATTTCATTCGTATGTACAGATACAGGCTCATCTATCTCGTAATGGTTGTCCTTTTGCCGTCTTAAGCGAGGTAATACTCACGAGGAACTAGCTTAGTCTCGAAGACCAAGGGTGTCCATGCAGCCGTTGAACAGGCATTGCCCGGCTGTATCGTTCCCCCAAGAACCCCGAACAGCATCACTCAAGCACAGGCTGAGACCCTCTCAATCCATCCATTACCCAGACAAGACCCCAATTTTCTCCCATCTGATAACAGCAACACACCCCATCCAACCCAATTCACCGCTTCCCCTTACCCTTCTTCTTCGACTTCCCACCCTTAGCCCCCTCCGCTTTCCCTTGTGCCTGCCCCGCCGCCTGTGCAGGTGTCGGTGCCCCCTCCTCAGTCGCGACAGGCGCATCGGTCATCTCAACATCCCCTCCAGCCGCAGCACCAGCAGTCGCAGCCGCAGCCCCCAACCCCAGCGCAGCAACATCCGCACCACCGGCCAACTTCCCCAGACTTGTAATTAACCGACCAACCTCGGCGGCCTTATTCGTCCTGTACTGCAGACAGATTCCGGCGGAGGGGTTGTAGGTTTTCAATGTGAGGGTTGCGACGGGTGGTTGTGTTGTTGATTGTGTTGTAGAGGCATCTTGTGTTTGTTGTTGTTGCTGTTGGCGTTGGGACTGACGGGCTTGGGCTTTTTTGAGGGCTGTTGGGCGTTGGGAGGGGAAGGAGTATTTTGTTGTTATTCTCTGTTTGGCATTTTCAGTTAGCATGTTATTTCTCTCCTTTAACGGATTGTATTCCATTTTCAAGCAGGGAGACGTACGCTATCCGGATATGCCTGGAGTAGTAGAGCAGATTGTTCCAGGTATGCCTGGGGTGTGGGAAGGTATGGCATTTTGTCTTTCTTTTTAGTTCTTTCCGGAAGGAGGTGACGGAGGAGAATTATCGAATTATTCCACACCAAGAGTTAAAGAAAAAGAGGGAGAAGGAATGTAAATGGCCGTATTCGCGAATCTGAAGTGAGTGCGGACAGACAGCGTGGAGATGCGAGTCGTCGTCGGTTGGCGGAGACGGCCGGCAGTATACTTTTGACATACAGCATCAGAGTAACTAGTCCAAGAAACAAGCAACACTTTAGCTTACGCAATCTATACCAAGCTGCTTTGATAACCTAAAACCAACATTGGATTCTTCTCATCGTTGGCAACAACGATCAGGATTGTCGTCTCATGCTGGATGCGCGAGCTCGAGCAGTTACTCTAACATACTTCATAGTTATTTCATGAACTGTTAACGCCGTCTAAACCCATCCACGGTGTAAAAGGGCGATGATAATTACAGAAACAAAACAACAGACTCGAATCCGATCCGAATCCGACCCGAACCCGACCTCTTGACATTCCCAATAAGGGAGGCTAGACTAAACCCAGTTAGGGCATGCCATAAAGCAAGCAGTGGGAAGGGCATGGATTCCTATTTTCAGGTTCGGCGCCGATGTCTACCTCGAACCAAAGCTCAAACGCCAAGGTTTATCTAAACATGGTTTGCTGCCTGCTCAATTACATCGATCACTTGGTGTCGAAAAGCCTGCTGCAATTTCAAGTCTTCCCTTGTATCATCCTCCACTTTGTTCTTTTGTAGCTTCACTGCAGGCTCCCATAGACCAATTTCGAGGAGGACTACTCCCAAGGCATAGATACCATGGATCTTCTTGAATGTCTCCTTTTGTTGGCCCTGTCGATCTGGATGTCGATAGATATCCCGCGTTGGTTCGAAACCAGCCTGTTCTGCTGAGAAGAAGGGATCCGGACGACTGTACTCGAACCCCAGGACCCAAGGGGCGGTAAAATTCATGTCACGCTGGTCCAGTAGGTCATCTGAGGCGGGATGGGGAAAGAGGAGAATATTGTCGCTCCGGAAACTCTCGTGTAGCTGAGACTGGCGTCAGCTCTGAAAACTCACAAGGCATGCAGATACTTACCCACTGAACCATGTGGAGTTGGGCAATGCACTCCGATAGCCCCAATGCAAGTCTGAATTTATCACCGAGCTCTGGACGATGCTCCATACCAAAGAGAAGGCGTTGGAGGCTCACCGGGGCCCCTGCTGGTTTTGGCTGAACCTCAAAGACAAAGGAAATGCAGCTCTGATCCTGGATATATTTCCACTCTACACAGGGAAGGATGCGGAAAAGCTGCTCCTTGGGTTGGTGAAGCAAGTGTGCTAGGTATTCAATCTTGCTTTTGGTTCTCGCTTCAAGTGCTGGCTCTGGGTAATTATGGTAATGATTTTCTTGCATGTGGGCGACCCCATCTTTCATAAACATGGTGAACATCCCTTGGTGCTCAATAGGCTGAATTCTCTTTAGATATAAATCCCACACCGGATCTGTCAGCTCCAGGGATTCCTCGATCTTTCCCCAGCTCGATTGTGCCAGACGGAGAGATGCATCTTTGTCAAACCCCAGTCTCCGGGACGTGTCGTCTGTCTGGAGATGCACCAAATGGTCAAAGGAAATACCCAACTGCGATGCCAGGCACCAAAGCTCTACCTTTCTCTTGAGTCGTGAATTTCGATCTTTGTATGAATGTAGAATAGCCTCGACTCGCTTCTTGTCGCGGAGAGACCACTTCAATAGAGCTGGCAACGATGGACTTGAGCGGAGCGAGAAGGTAACATGTGATGATTTTTGCTTACACTTTGAAGCAACTGGGCGAGTTGGTTCGGAAGGTAAGCCATATCGACGTTCTAGTAGCTCGACACCCTCTTGGAGAATTGACTTGATTTCATTGCACAAGATATCAATTTGTTGTTGAATATCCGGGTCAAATTGGTCGAATAGTGCTTTGCCATCATAAATCTAGTCACTATCAGTATGCAAATCCTTACTGTGTCATGTTCCGGGACTCACGGAGCATTCAGAGAAAAGGAGGTTCTTCAAGGCTGAGTTTGTATGTTCTCATCGTGGACCAGGTTGTGAGAAATGGCCGAGTCCTGATACAGAGTCAGAAATGATAACTTGTCAGTATATGTGCTCAACTCTTACATCTTCAAAGGCATTTGACATCCGATATGATCTCCCCGAGCCTTTCTCCTAGCCTGATAAGGGCATCGACACCGCCGATTGCCAATCCAGTGGCAGAAAGACCAAGGTCAACATGCATTATGACGGACGACGTGTGTACAAAAAATGGAAGTGTTGTCTATCTTAAACCCAACTCTGCTTATGTATCTCAGAGAAGACCACCATAGATCGGCGTTGATGACGTGGTGAATCCCTGGCGAATCATACAGACAGAACGAGCTTCAGCCTTCTTCTCAAGCCCTCAAGGGGTATGAGTATTTCTATTGCTTATATCCAGGCATTGCTTACTGTGCTCTTGGGATGACTCACTCGTCCTCGTAGGTGACGATGCCCGCAGAATTTGATGATCTTTGGCTTCGCCATGAGTGATAAATGCGCAGATGCCCCTCTTATTGGCTAATGAAAGCTTTAACAGGCGCGACAACCAATCGCTCGGAGACAGACACGATAGCATGGACGGCATCCATTTCCAGAACCCGTGTCTTAACAGTGAATGGTCTCAGCTTCAACCAAAACCTCGGTTTAGAGGATATAAACGGTCTCGAGGGTCTCTTGCGAACGACACAGCAATTCAACCTGAGGAGCCTCCCCTCTAACAAGATTGAAGAAGTCCGACGCATAGCAACCGGCGAGACTTTTGTCGTTTGCGAATGCAGATTCGAATCCAACGTGATTGCCGTGAAACACATCCGACTTTACGAAAATGAATCGAATTCGAACCGCGCACACTTCCAGCGACGTCTTCAAGCAGTTCTTCGAGAAGTCCTCATCATGTGTCATCAGCCACTGGCTCATCATCCGAACATTGTCGATATTCTGGGGTATGGCTGGAACATGACTTAACCTGTAGGAGCCAGCTAATAACTGTTCCAATAATCTGAAACTGGATATAGAGAAATCTTATGGCAATGTGTCTAAAGGTCTCAAGAACACATAGATTGTGTAGATGTTTGTCCACTATTGCATAACTGGCCTCACAAACAAGAGATCACCCACTATGTGGCTGCTTCCTCAGGACGATATGAGTTCTGGTCTTCCTGTGGTCCTTTCAGATTTGACCAGAACCTTCCAACCTGATGATAGCTGGCGTGAAGTTGGTCCGAGAACGGAAAGGGAAAGTCCTCGAATCTCCGCAGACATGTACAATAATTGAGGGCTTAGGATCGAAGACATGAGTATGTAAATTGAATCAATTGAGATAAATGTTCTATCGCGTATATACATAATGCCATATGTCACATTGCTCGTGTAATATACTCCATACCAACCGTGCTATTCCAAACACCATGCCATGTACAGGTATCTCATCACAATAACCAAAACACCGTTCATGCAACGATTCATAAACCAAAATTGCAGAATATAAAAAGAGATAAAAGAAGATGAAACCCCAATTAACCAATAATAGGTGAGTCTCCCATGAGCTGAACTGGGAAAGCAAGATGTAGGCAGCATTGGATGCTCCTATCACGAACTCACCGGCCTCAAACAGCTCACACAAACCAACCTCTGCTTCCCATTCCTCCCCCTACTCGCCCGGAAATTCGTCCCCTGACAATTATTGCACTTCAGAACATCCCCGTCATCACCCTCCCCATTCGACGAAGCATAATCGCTACTCAAGAACTCACTCCCAACACTCAGTTTGCGATCTGCGTCTGGGACAGATGGTCGACCCGGGACAAGTAGACGAGACTGGCGGTTCTGTGCCGCAAAGGCGTCATGTGTGATCTTGTTCCAGTAGGCGTTGCTTTGTTCCCCCTGGATCCAAAGTGGGTTATCGTGGTCTTGGCCGCTGGCGACGATTGCGGTGGATGATAGGGGTAAGGGGGATTTGGGAATGGGTTCGCGTCTTCGGGGTGTGGTGTTTTGCCGCGATGTTTCGGCGCTGGAGCGTGCGCTGTCGGCGGAGTTTTTGTATGTTGAGGGTGACGGAGACATGGTGAAGGAGCGAGAGTCGGTACGTGGCCTCGACGAGCCACCGCCTGGACTTGAGTAGCGCGAAGCATTAGGGATGGATTTTCCTGAAGGGCTCCGCGTCCTTGTAGGCGTGCGGTCACCGTTGGCGTGGCCCGCATTATGTCGGATGACGGAATTGCGCCAGGATAGGATCCGTTCTGAGGGCGACTTGTGCGAGTCTTTTCCGATGGACGATGCGAGGCTATGGCGCGTCGAGTTGGACCGTCGAAAGAGCCTTTTGGAGATGGTGGAGTGGGCATCCCAGTCAGCATAGCGCCGCTTCTGGTACGCGCAGTCCTGTCGCAGAACTTTGATCCTCCCCGAATAGTCGGCTACAATAATGATGTTGCCGTTGGGGTGTGTAGAACGGGAGATATACGTAGGCGACTCTTGCGCCTGCTTGCTAGCTCCGGAGTTCCGGTTCCCGGAATCGTGGTCCTTTTCTGGGGACTCATCTCCTTTGCCTACCAGCGTCACTGGCGGTGGGTTGCAGATGTCGTAGACTGGGTCTTCTGAGAAACCGAGGATTTGTTTAGTCTTCGCAGGGGCCATCACGGACGCTGTCACCATGGACGAGTGTGTTTCGAATACCTCGACCGCACGTTTATCCATGTCTTTCTCGGTGGTATTGGTAGGCCAGATATACGTTCGACGGTCCTCGCTTCCGCAAATGATATGCTTCCCATCGTCGCTAAAGGAAGCGCGAATCTGACTGCAAGTGTTCTCGTTGCCACGGAACTTAGCCTCTAAGGATCGATCTCTGAAGTTGTAGAGTCTGATCCGGGAATCATTGCTGGTGATCAAGAGCTTGACATCCGCATTGGGGTCGTCAGGAGGAAGAGCAATGGTATCGATGCCCGTAATCTTACTACCCTTCGCATTACGACCGCGCGCAGACCGTACATGCATCTGGTCGAGTGACCTCAGGCCGTCCGTTTGGTATATGATGCACAGTCCGTTCAGACATCCGGCTATTGCGTACAGGCCATCCGGAGTGAAAGCGACCGATGTAATCATTGCTGGCACCGATACCACAAACGCCACGCTCTTATCCGGAATACTCCAGAGTCGGAGCTTAGTGTCGAGGGATCCTGCGAGGAAGAAACGGTCATCGCGGGGATGGAATTGGATCGACGTGACGAAATCGCTGTGCTGGAAGCAACATAGACATTCGGGTCTGGTTACGTGCCACAGGCGGACCGTCCTATCCATAGATGAAGAGAGAAGGAAATTATTCTGGGCACACTGTTAGCACAAGAAATCCCAACAGAATGGAGAGTATCGTACCTTGCTCCAGCTCAGGTCTAAGATACTGCCTGTATGTCCCTCAAAAACTTGAATAGGTTTCGACCGGAACACTGGTGCTTTCAGCTTGGGAAGCTCGTCGTTATCCTGTTCCTCATCGCTCTCGACCTCGTCTCTGTCGCTGGACGAAGTGATAACCGCCCAGATGCGAACCTTTCGATCCTGTCCCGCGGCTGCAAGGTATTTCCCATCTCTGGAGAAGACAAGCGACCATACGGCTTTCCCAGTATCATGACCTTTTTCGGACCCGACTACCGAACTAGTTACACCCTTATCCGCCGCACCCAATATACCATCAGCACCCTGGAGTTCTTGCGCGACGAAAACCCGGTTGAATGTCTTTTCCTTCTTATAATGCGCGCGAACTTTGAGGTATTTCGGTGGCCGCGGGAATCGAGGAATGAAACCTATTGGTTGTGCAGCAGCGTCGGGGTCCATACGGCCGTTCTCGGACTCAGATACATCGTCTTCGGCGTCGGAATGCCGGTCTTTCTTCTTGCCCGGGATTATGCGACTGAGGAAGGAGACGCCTTTTCTGTAGTTGAAGGAAAAGAAATTAAAGTCAGCGAACAGATCGTCTTGGTGAGACGGACAAGCGCAGGGCTATCAATCAAGGAGCACGCGCATGTCACTGTGCAGGGTGGCAAGCGGTCATCACCCGACTTGCACCATACACGGAAAACGGGTATGCATCGCCAACTCACTTCTTCTTCTTCTTCTCGGGAGGTTTCTGGTGTGGCACCGAATCCCGTCGGTTTAAGCCCTGTTCGTCTGCATTGTAGTTGTCGGTGCCACCGGCCTCCGCCTCGTAAGGCGCTCTCCCTAGCAGCTTCAAAGGAATGGATTTTTGGGTATGCGTGCGCTGAATGATATGCTATAGGTCGAGCGCAAGATCGTATCCGTCAGCGAAACTGAGCAAGGCTGATTCCTTCGTAAACGATGACTCACTTGAGATAACGGGTCTATCGCACTGGATTCCGCACCGGGGTCCACAACAGTAGGAGAGGACGCGGAATATCTCGTGACAGAGCCACTGGCCCGGTGGTTCGAGTAACTAAGACTTTGCGTAGTTCGGTGGTTCCTTCGCGCATTTTGCTGCTGAGTACTGCTCGATCCCGATGCGACATCCGGCGATGTAGGATCTAAACCCGGAACAAAACCGTCAGCCAGTTAGCCGGTCATCCTTTTAATGCACGATAGTATCCCCGGGTAGTTCATTGGTCTCTGGCCGGGATATCCCTTAAGCTCCCGACGAAACCTCCAGACCCCGTGACAGGGCGCACAATATCTAACGTACCGATAGGAGACGACTGTGACGCCCGCGCAGGACCCGACTGGTGCTTGCTAGTACCACTCTGGTTACTCGGATCCCTGGTGATGTGCGAGGACGAACCGGCAGAGCCGGTGGTTGTGATGATGGCGGGGACCGACGAAGCGCGCGGCCCAGCAGTGGAAGCCTCGGCCATGCTGAGGAGGACACTGGAGGCTGCACATGTGGAAGGATGCGTCGATTAAGTAAAGAGAGGGAAATTAAAGGTCGATGATAGCCAGTGGTGCGTCCCAGGATCAAATAAAGGAAGTAAATTTCGGAGCGCGAGAAAAGAGCGAGGAATGGAAAAGCGGCACCAGCCGGATGTGGAAATGGATGACATCAAAGCGTCTTTTTTCGGTTTACTTCTACTCTACCGAATACGGTCATGGTCTATACAGAGTACACAAGAGTACTCTGGAGAGGGATGGATTATGGAGTTTAGAGGCCATTAAAGGCTGTCTCAGATCCGAGACAGAAATGCAAAGCAAGGCCACTCTATGGTCGGAGAGCTTGAAAGGATCGCCATAACAGCACGGCATATTCAACCCTATCGGACATGTTATATATTCGCTGGTTGCTGTAGTTTCTTCGCGCGGTCTTTGGCAATATCACACATGGCCTATGGTCCAGATATCAGTATCTGGATGGTGATGCGACACGAACAATTTACCTGGATATTCTCCTCAATCTCTCGGCCCTGATCGCCACGGTCAATCCTCTGGCGCATTTCTTCCATGATCACATCTCGATTTCGACCGTTGACGAATGTCCTGCACGGGAATGCGATTAGACATGCTCGGATCTGGGGGAACGACTTCCAACATACACAAACCTCAGCCCGGGAAATTTCTCCTCGTACTCATGATTTAACAGACTCAAACGTTCCATCTGGTCCTCCGCGGCTGATTTGTTCAGATTCGCCTGTTCCTTCCTACTCAACTCGCTTAAATGCTCTGTAACTTTGGTCGGTGGTCTGCCCAGACGAGGATGCGATCCCAGGATCTTCATGAGTGTTTGCCGGTCGGTAGGCGACTGTGACAAAGACAGCGCTGACAATTGACTTCCCACGGCATCAGACAGACTAGCATATGAGGCAAATGATTGCGATGTCAGGACAGGGCCTGTGATGGCGTGGAGTTCCGGTGATGGTTCAAAGAGGGTATCGAGGACTTGGAACTGCTGTTCCTGGGAGAGAGATGATATGCTTGATGGTGAAGGAAGGGCTGACAGCATGTTGGTAGCTTGGGCAGTTACTGCTCCTTCTTTCACTGAACACCGGAGGCTTTGGTCTTTAATAGCACTTAAGTATGCTGTTGCTTATCGCGGGGATCCGATCCCCGCATCGGCGCTCTCCGTACTTTCTTGTCGGCCCTAAGAGATAATCCTGACTTCATTACTTTGACGTTTGCCTAACTACTCATCGCTGTTTAGACAAATAAGTCCTCTCCCAGATTTCATTGACAGTAAAAACCCGCCCAGCAGTTTATAGTCGACTATCCTTCACAATGCGCTTCAACTTGGTGCGGAGCGTCCTTATTTTCGATAAGGCCACAGGAGAGCACCTAGGGGGTCTCCGTCAAAACGGTTCTGTTTTCACAATGTGTAGGCATCCATGAACCACGTAACTGTGATGTCTGATGTTTGGTGCCTGCTCTTTGCTTCTTACACCTTCCGGCCCAAGCGGCTCTTGACTTCCTCTCACGAATAACATCTCAAACAGCCAGCCATGTCATCTACCGCCCAAGTTCTGTCTATTGACGATATGCAGCAGCTAGTTGATTTACTGCATCACTTTTCAGCAAATTTCCAAGAGGATGACTTGAGAGTATGCGTGCCATGGAACTTGGCACATGCAGACAGCGTGCACGAAATTCTGTACAGAGAAAGAGACGCTAAACCCACAGCATCCTACGACCCCGAAAGACGCATCTTGACCGTAAAAGCCAGGGGTGGGCCTTTGCACACCAGCGTCTCCGGCTTCGCTTATTTTACTCTTATGGCTCACAGCATGGGGGGTGTCTTCACAAAGAGCGAGTTGCATTACATAACCATGGGTAAAAGCGTGCAATACCTCGCCCGGAGGCGCGACTGGGGCAAGAAAAGGAAAGGGATGTGGCGGAAATGTCCTGATGTGACTATTTTTTCCAAGGTTTGGGTGCGTCACGGCCTCGACCTCTATGCGACCATAGTGTTCAAAGTGGGGTTTAAGAGCGAAAGTTGGGAAGATTTGCACGTTGATAAAGAGCAATGGCTTGTCGGGGGCGATGAAGTGAAGGTTGTGGTTCTTGTCAATATCAAGGAGAATGAAGATGCGCTATCAGCAACGAGGGCTACCGAGGCATCGCGCTGCCGCATCCAGAGCCTTCTTAGAAACCTCGGAAACTCAAAAAGGAAAAGCCTTGCACATGGAAGTACAGGGCCCAGACGAATACTTTGATGAAAACGTTGATGAAGTCGCATCTGAGGCCGGTATCCACGGCAAGTCAGACCCAGACGATTGGATGGGTCCTTTAGATGTGTCTATGGAAGTCTGGGAACGAGGACCATCTGGCCCGCAACAGCGAGGCAATCGCACCGTAAGTATTCTAACTTGCGAACAAACCTCATAAATGGAGCTGACATGAATACCAAAGCACCCCGAAGACAGACTCGACAGACCCGGCAGACCTGTAGCTCAAAATTACGGGCTTTTTACCGGCAAGCTACTATGAGAACCTGTAGGACTTTGATGCGTCTAGAAATATTAGACTGGATATGGATCTATATAGTGAATTGAAGTGGACAAGGAAATAATTGGCCTATTCCAGGGCATTGGATTTTCTACGCCCGTGGGACAACTAGTCTTATCAGCAGCCCTATGTTCTTTTTGAGGAAATGGCCATCATCACGTGATCTTTATGGAGTGACAGTGATTTGAATTTGGGACAGAAAATGGGATTAACTCTCCATGATGTGCGTGATTTGCATGCTACTCGCCTGAGTTTGACTCTCACTCATACAATTAGAATTGTAGAATTGTAGACATCCCGGTATATTTACGGAACTCCGTGTCCATACATAGTACTCCGTAGTAGTTAGTATGTTGTACAGTACACCGACCTGTAGAACAACACATCTTTCTATTTCTGGACTATAATATGGCCTGCATAATCTGATACACAGCAGTCAATGAACCAGCCAGTCCCAGTGCATTGCCAGCCCAGCAGTGGAGGTCCCAATTAAAGGCGCTCCCCACGGTTCCTCTCCTCTTTCTCGGCCCCTGAAAGTCAACCGCCGAATCAATGGCCTCCTGAGAGGGTCCATACCATAGCCATACCCATAGCCCATTTTTATTATTACATATTTTCACTTCATTTCATTTCATTCATTCATTCATTTATTTCGCTCTTTTAATTCTTTATTATTACAGCGGTTGATCCGATCTCTTGTTTTTTTTTTTTTTTTTTTTTTTTTATAGTGGGAGATCTGACCGGGAAAGTGCTCCGTACTTGTCTACCCCATACGAGTACAGACACATTATTATATCCGCAGGAATTTACAGATCATCATCTTCACACCTGCAGAAAGGTCCACGTTCGCTTCTCTCACGCGTTTTCTTCTTGTCGCTCTCTTATTGTGTTGCTTTTTCGTTCTTTCTCTTGCTCTGGCCTTATCGAACAACCCCTCCTTGTTCTCCCTCTTCCTCCTCCGCGTCCGCACCGACCACGATCTCTTGGTTCCAATGCGTTGCTGGTCGTCATGTCTTTGAATGGCTTGGATAATCCTGTCGTGCTCGAAGCCTATCAGTCCGCTCTGACTGAAGCTGGAGGATGGTAAGTCCTGTTTATCGTCTTTCCCGCTCTTCCAGGGGCCGAGGTGTGGCGTTCGCGGACGCCCGCGGTCACAACCATCACGACTCGATGCTGGCTAGTGACAGTTACTGACGCGCACACGATGTTGTATTCAGGTTTCTACTCCATTACACCTCAAGGGATGAAGTGGCTCTGCTCAGTCGAGGCACTGGCGGCGTTCCTGACGTGCGAAATGCGATCGACGGCTACGAGGAGGCCTCTCCGCTCTACGGGTTCGTACAGTATCGCCGGAGAAAGGTAGTTCTCAGCTATTTACCGGAGGATCTGTCGAGACTGGTCAAAGGTAAGCGCTCTTACACCGTCTGTTTGTAAACGTTGGCACCCGTGGTCCAAAGCTGACGCGATCCTTGAATCCTGGCTAGCCCGTACCACCGTTCAATTCCAATCCGTCCTAGACAAGTTCTCTCCTCACGATACCGTTTTCTCGCTGTCAAAGTCGACGGACCTCACCGAAAGTGCACTGTCCTCCGCGTGCTTGTTACATGCTGCTTCAGGTTCTATCACCTCCTCTTCTGGTTCCCTCCGCCGTCGCAGGCTGATGGAAATTACGGAAGATGCAGAGGAAAACACCCCGGACAAAGACGAATCGCAGGTTCAATCCCCAGTGAGCGATACACCCCAGAGACCGTTCAGCCAACGATCGGACGCTACCGTAACGGCTTCTCAGCGTGCGCCATCGAGATTGCACCAAACGATCAGTGCCAGTGACCAGCCAGAGCCCGAAACGATTGCCTCCGATGTCTCGTCGACCATTGACAACTTCCCTGCGCCCCCCTCGGTTACCATCGACCACAGCTCCGATCGTGCATCCTTGCACAGGAATTTCCGCGACGACCTTTCCAATGCCCCGTCCGATTCGCGCCGGCTTTCCCAGTCTTCCCGACCGTCGATGCGGGACCTGGATCATATATCCCCATATACCACACCCAAAGTCAAACGGGGACCACGGCCGTCGGTAGAGTCAAGCAGCCGTCCTCGAAGTCAGGAAAAACGGCCGGTCGCATCGTTACCAACTGGCGTTCGTTCGTCGGCCCTGCGAAAACCCAGTCCAAACACTACTCCCCTTCGGCCTCGATCTCAGGGAAATCCCGTAGCATCTCCCATGTCCGGCAAGGGAGCAACGCCTGGTGCACCTCCATTTTTGGTGCCACCGCTGTCGATGCCGATTTCACGGCCTCATATTTCACCCGGAGCCAAATCTCTGAGTGCAGTATCGACCTCAGGCTTGTCTCCGGAGAAGGAGCGGCTGATGAAGGCCCTCCAGCAGCGTAAAAAGCAGATGGAAAAACGATCTGGAAAGGGCAAACAGAATCAATCTTCTGCCGAAACCGACGAAAACAAAGAGAATGTCGGTTACGGGCAACTCAACCATGGCAAGGGAGCAGCAGCTGTCGACAATTATAAAACCAGATCGGACCAGAGCGCAGAACCCCGTAATGAGGCGACATCCTTCATCTCGCCTGTCCAATCAAAACCTGACTCGGCCGTGGATATGGTGATTTCGGATTCCGATGGCGATCAGCATTCCTCCACTATTACTACACCTCTTACTATACCCACTACTGCTGCTACCACCACCACCACCATTGACAAGGAGCAGACTAATAGTAATCATAATACTGATGATGATGCTGATGACCACCATGGGGAAGAGGAAAAAGAGCCGACAGCAGACGATTTCCCTCTCCCTGTGTCTTCCTCGGCAGGTACAATTATTGACAGCAAGCCTGAAGATGGCCCGCGCTCGCCTAGTGCCGTCGATGGCCCACTCGAGAATAAGTCTGGAAACGCTCCCGAAAACGAAATTGTCGTTTCTCCACCGCCCACAAATCCACCTCCTAATTCCAGTGAACAGGAGGTGGACGCTGCCCCTGAAATCCTCCCGCGACCTGACACATCTACTACCCTCCCCGACGCTTCTTCGAACCCAATCGCTCCAATTGACTGCGACTCGCAGCATGATTCGCCAACCCCTGAATCTTCAGACCCGGTAAGACAGCACGTCACCGAACGCAGGGAGAAGCGCAAACCGTACCTCGAGCCCATTCAAGTACCGACTCCCGAATACTCTGATGAGGATAACTTGCTCTCGGATGATTCCTTCATGGAAGAACTGAAGAGTGCTACGGTGCAGGAAGCCAAGCCTGTGTCCGTTGGATCGCCCGTTTTCGCAGATAATGGAGATGAACAATCACCGTCGCCGGAGACATGGGTGAATAATCGAGCGGTCTCAAACCCAAGTGCGGCGGTTAATACACAGCCGGCCAACTTGCAGGCTGTTGCTGGGGGCCGGTCGGTCTCTAGCACCTACCTAGAAACTGCTTCTGGCCCCAAGTCTCCGGCCTTGGTGGCTAGAAAGGTCAACGTCTCTTCCGGAATCTCCAGCCGTATCAAGGCGTTGGAGAAGTTCACCGGCAACCGTGATGTGCCCGCCACAGCGACACCGCCGAACATGGCTGGATCTCATTCAGCTCAGTCATTCGAAACATTCCGGAAACGCGCTTCAATCTCACAGCCTCCTGGGAGCTTGACCTCGCCGGCAATCTCCAGAAGTGCCTCGACTTCCCGTCCTACTTCGCAAGCCGCAAGCCTGACCCGCGACGACTCTCAATCGAGCTTGAATGGCACACAAACTACGAGCTCGGTATCCGTGACTGCTCGGATAGTCCGTGATACAGATGGTGCTCCGTCGGACAACCAGCTCCAAGCAAGCCCCTTGACCGTCGAGCATGAGATGTCCGAGGTCCCCGTTTCTCCGAATCTGACAGCGGAGTCATCCACTGATGACCGGGAGAAACGCAGCATGTCCACATCATCTGCGGGGTCAGGGGCTGCCACGATACAACGATCGGAGAGCCGGATGTCGGTCTCTTCCAAGGGTGAGGGTGAAGACAAGAAAGGATCTCGCACTTCTCGACTCCTCAACCGCATGTCGTCCATCACATCAAACTCCCGCAAGAGTCTCCTCGGAGCCTTGAGTCCCTCTGGATCATTCAAGGGAGAGGAAGGCATCACGACTCCGGAGAAGTCACCTGAGCCCGAGGCCGCCCCCGTCCCAGCCTCGGCCCCGGCCCCGGCCCCTGAAGTTCCGGCCATCGAAATTGGCGAGGTTAACGTTCAGTTCCCGGATACGCTTCTCTGGAAGCGACGCTTCGTCCGTATTGACGACAAGGGCTACCTGGTTCTCACGCCGGCCAATGTGGACTCCACTGGCCGTAACCTGACCAAGAAGTACCACTTGACTGAGTTCAGGACACCTTGTATTCCGGATGAGGACTGTCAGGAGCTGCCTAATAGCATTGTGTTGGATTTCTTGGACGGAAGCACCCTCCAGTGTGCTTGCGAATCGAGACAGGGGCAAGCCACTGTGCTTGAAAGTAAGTTATCCCACCTAATCCGGAAAACAAAAATACTAACAACGTCTAGCACTTGTCCGCACCCACGGTGCCTACCAGTCTGTTTAATAACCCAACATCTTTCAATCTTATCTTATTTACCCTGGCATAGAGCAATTCCTTGGCTGCACATTATCTTCATCTCACTGTGTTATAAATCATTCATCCTGCATTCCTTTCCATTCTTTCCTTCCTACGTTTTTGGGTCTTTCATTTTGGTTCCTCTTTTTTTTTTTTTTTTTTTTTTTTTTTTTTTTTTTGGTTTTTTTTTTTTTTTTTTTTTTTTTTTTGTGTATTCTGTGTCTTCAGCGGTATACCCCATTAAAATGGTCTCCTTCTGTTTATAATGCAGCTACATAGACATTTATATCTTGTCAATATGTGGGCATTTCTCGTCGTCTTGCCTAGTTGATGAAGTGCATTGTTTTCGGTTCTTGTTCTGTAGTATCATAACATATTAGGTTGCAGCTTGTGGTTTCCATATAGACCAAACTCTTAAGACCCGGCGTATAGTCCATCCAACCAAGATACATGTCTTTGCTAATTACCATGATGCCACTATATAGGATGAAGGCTCTAACACGAACTAGCTCGAATTATTAAATTCCATTGTACCAGCCGCAAGAAAACAAATCGCCGATTCTCCGTGATACCTGCAGAATCCTCTCGGCAAGCAGTCCTGTACCGATTCTAATTATGAGCCAAGCGAGTTAGGTACGAGAAAGGAAGGGTCTTGCCCACCTCTTCCGCCGGTATCCTAACAGCTCACCATTTCCATTCAGACGCCCCTGGACCACTGGGTGCTACCACCGTTGCAATTTGAAAATGTTGGTTGTTTCTGTAAATATGGAATAAGAGTGATTAATACGGGTGCCAGGTGAATGTTTTGAATTCGAGAACAACCTCCCTGCCGTGTATCCAGTTGAACGTCCTTTCTTGAGCACAGCGATATGATGAGTAGGTATACCGATGGCATTTTTGAGAGGGGTATCCTTGCATTTCTGGTATTTCCCAGGAGGATGGTCGGTCCAAGAGACCCAAGGTCAGTGGGCGTGGTCTAAATTATCGACACATGCCCAATCCATGCGCATCGTGATGCTAATCGGGGAGTAATTGTAACTGGACATGGACATTTCTCTAGCCTGGCACTGCCATGACCGAGCCGATGTGTTTTCTATTGTGTTGGGTGATTATCGGACATTTCGTTAACTGCATTTTGCTTTCTTTTGCCCCTGTCCATTAGGATTAGGGGGGTGGGTCGGACTACCGCCCATTAGCATGAATAACTCATCGCGTCCAATTGTCTTTTCGTAGTGATTCAGGAATCCAAGTCTTGAGGGCCCAATCTGCTGGACGCTATCAGTTAGGATACGAGCGAGAACCTTGTCGAGAGCGGATGGGAAACATACCGTCGGCCTGAGCACTCACACCTGCTCTTTCCAGCATCAATCTCTCGCCGTCCCTAGCCTTCACGTCCTCCATAACCTCCTGCACGACCGTTTGCACAGCTTCTCTGTCGATAATACCCGGTTCTTTGTCAGTGGTGGTGTGTCTCCCTCTAAACCGGTTCATGATGAGATCGCCCACCGAAGACCAACAAACATTAAACACAAAGTAAATATAAATATCACCCCAATCGAATAGGGCCCTAAGGCCGGACGTGAATTTGTGGTGAGGTGGGTAGAGGCAAGGGTCGGATCCTGGTAAGGTTAGCCTTCGCGGAGGATCCAAAAGAAAAAGACTGGACTGCCACTCTATCTCGTTAACAAAAAGACACTGCCATATCACCATATACTAACCTTTCGACGTGACTTCTCAGGAGCTCATTTCTTCTCCGGACGGTTAGCACAAATTAAGCTACAATATATCATAGCGCGTACTTGCCAGCACGGTAGCAGGCCACGATAGTCCAACGGATATGAGATCAGACGTATTGCCCTCGCGTGCCGCTCACTCTCCATGATTGATGGTTGTGTCAATATGGAGAGCGTATACCCAATGCTGTCCATTCCGAATTATTGGGACATCTCAAGGTCCTGACCACTCGATAACGCGAATGATTGATGATGTTCAACGGTGTAGTTGCCCTGCTGCATTTTTCTTGTAATGTCTTCGGAGCTTCTTAGTGGTCAATTTGGTTAAGAAGCTTTGAAGCTTCCTCAACTTAAAGTTTGTCATCAGTCCCTCGGGCTTCTAGGGCAGGACTGCTGTTTGATGCTAAAAGGTACTGAAGGATGTAGTCGAAGTTTTGGGAAGGGATTGATGCTTTTAATGCATGCTCACCTGGCACGCACTTTGAGTATAGCGCGGACCGTATTTCGGTCTAACGTATGGTTGTAATTGGATATAGCACTCCTGAGTAAAGAGCCATCCTAGTGTGGCACGGCAAACGGGTCCCTGCGTCGCTGCCTGGTACCTGTATTCGATGCCCTAGTTGTTGCGACCAGGGAGGACATGTGAGCCTCGTTAAAATATCCACGGTTGACCAAAGGCTACCTCCTAGGGTAGTTTACTTTGTCCGTGAGCTTGACGAGGTGTCCTCAGTATATATGTTGGTATTCCGGTGCGTCAAAGTTCAACTAGTCCCGATGAAAGTTCATGTGGAATTGAGTCTACCGACACTGGCATTGCCGTAGGGGATTGGCTCAATGTGGTTTGCAAACGATACCCGGGTAACTTCCTCGTCTTTGTCTCGGTCCGATACTTGGGAGTTGGTGGTGCAGCCACGTTTATGATGTCCAGACTGAGACAGCCCAACACTCGCGACCAGATAACGGCTGTCCTGATGTTGGGCAGTCGACCTAGCAGCTTTTCCACCCGCTCTTGGTGGTCGTCTACAGACAAATATCGATAAATCTGATATGAATAGTGGCGAGTCTTTTTGAGAAACGGGGCTTAGCATTTGTGCTCGAGGTAGTATGATCATCGTTCTCTCCCACAAACATAACCAGCAGTCACGGCGCATTACTGAGGATTCCACCTCTCACAGTGGCCTAGTAGGCTCAGAAAACTGACGCGCCCACTCGGTAAATCTTTAGAATTCTCGAACCACCACTTTGCGTCCTGGCGGGGGAGACGGGAAACTTGAAAGACAGAAGGAATGATAGATAGAAGAGCAAAAATCATACAAAGGCAGCAGCCTCTAGAGAACATGTGAATGCAACTAGATACTCTTATGGTAGTATATTTATTTTTCATACTGGCAGTGAATACGTCGGATTAAGAGTTACCAGTTAGCTGTTCAAGACTTTGATAACGGCCATGTCTCTGCCTTGTCAGCCAGCGTCCATCTGACATGGATTAGAAATTCAAATCCTGCAGCCCAGACCGCAGCAGGAACGAGATCTCTGCCCAACACGGAGTCCGGAGTGGCTTAGCAGAGGAAGACTTCTTGCATGATACATCGGATAGAGCTTTCTGCGACATACATATCCCGATACACCCCGCTCAAGCCTACCTATACCAGCAACAGAGCAAAATTACTCCTCCAGAATGTCACAAATCAAGTTCTTCTTCGCGACAGGCGCATGCTCCTTGTGCCCGCATATTCTTCTCCATGAAGTTGGAACAGACTTTGAACCGATCATAGTCAAGAGAAATGGAACAGAGGTCCACTTCCCGGATGACTTCCACCGCATCAACCTTAAGATGCGCGTGCCCGTTATTTCTATCAACAACCAGGTAATCACCGAACTACCAGCCGTGGCTACAGCCATCTCCAGCCTCGCCCCAGAGAAACACCTGATGGGCCGCACGCCAATGGAAACGGCAAAAATATACGAATGGTTGAACTATCTCTCGGGGACGTTGCACGCGGGTGGCTTCGGTCATCCCTGGAGACCGGAACGCTGGACCACATCAACTGACCCCGCAAGCCTAGACGCCGTCAAGGCCAAAGCCTTGGAGACGATATTGGAAGCTTACCAGTACATTGAAGGAAGATTGAACGGGGCCCATGCTGTGGGTGACTACTTTACAGCGGTCGATCCCTTCTTGTACGTTTTCTACAGATGGGGCTGGATCATTGGCCGCGACATGTTGGCGTATCCGAAATACTCGGCTTTGGTTCGGAATTTGGAGACTCGCTCGGCTGTGAGGGTGACACTGGCCAAGGAGGAGCTTGCATCTCAGTTTTAAACCGATGTTCGGCTTTAAAGTGCATATATGTGACACTACATAGCTGTTTATACATTATTTTCTCAGGAACCAGACGAATTCTGGGTGTATGTACCCCTGGTAATTGCCCCATGAATGACTCCATATGTAATGTTACTATTACTAGACAGAATTACGGCAGAGCCTAGATTTGGAACGAAAAGTTGCAAATGTGGGGTAATCCTCGGTATGACTGTGGCTCCTACTCATGAAAGTTCCAGCTTTCCCTGTCAATTCACAAAATCATCTCCTCCGCAACATTTTACTTCAAAGATGGACAGGTTTGCGGTCAAGTCTCTAGATCACTTGGTCTTAACTGTCCGCTCCATTCCGGAGACAGTTGCATTCTACACAGAGCATCTTGGTATGCGACACGAGATCTTCACTTCGCCACTTAACCAGAGTATCCAAAGGTATGGGCATAGGGCTGTGACATTCAATTGGTACCATGCTTACTGAATTTCCACTACAAGACACGCACTCGTGTTTGGCACCCAGAAAATCAATCTCCATGAATTCACCAGGGAGTTCGAACCAAAAGCTCAGAATGTTCAGCCTGGAAGTGCCGATCTCTGCCTTTTGACTGAGATGGATGTGGATCAGGTGCTTCAAGCGTTTCTAGAGGCAGGAATTGAGGTAAGAGCGTTGAGTTTCTATTGAGACTTTGTGCTGAGAGTCTAAATGTAGGTCCTGGAGGGCTCTAAAGTTGTGGACAGGACCGGGGCACAGGGGAGGATACGAAGTGTGTACGTGCGAGATCCTGACGGTAACTTGATTGAGTAAGTCATTTCCTTCACGGTTTAAGTAAGACCACCTCGTAATGGTTAACGATCCAGGGTGTCAAACTATGTTGAATCGAGTTGATTCACAGGTCAACAACTTTGGGTTGAAAGTGGGTATCGAAATTATTCTGAACCATTCTGTGATATATGAGTGAGAAAGCGAGATGTCTCACAAAAGAAGGATATGAACATGTATCCGGGCATGTAGACTCTGCTTACATGTAGCCCTATATCTTGGCTTTCCCTCATCCCCATTAAAGCTGAAAAAAAAAAAAAAAAAAAAAAAAAAAAAAAAAAAAGCTTAATACCTGTCACAGGTGATGCGCCATAGTATGAAATCCATAGAATGCACGAACTTTGCAATGCATGCAGCTGCCCTATTCTTAGTCCCTGACAAACGCATAGCCTCACTCCAACAATGCCAGAGATATCAGTTTCTGCTGTCTATTCCTGAAATTCTGTTGAGAACCCGGCTTATCACGTTTAGTAAGGACAACGCGAGTCACCTGTCGGTCTTCAGCACTAATGCAACCACCCTGGTACGTTTCTTTGTCCTCAGGAGCTGTTGGAGAGCCCCAGGCTCCGATATGCCCTGCTCCTAATTGACCCGCTCTAGCGAGCCCCATTCAGCCATATCCTGATCCACAAGAGCCTAGCCCAAATTAGCCGCCGCTGCTTACACTGAACGAGTCGGATAACTAGCATGCTTAGGCCCGTTCCACCCCAATTTGGGGTCAGCCGAGATCTCGTGTTGCTTTCTGGGTGTGATTAAATACTCTATACGTCTTATTTCAGTTTACCTTTGTCAATTCGATATTGGGGTTAATAGCCTTGCATAAATAATCACCACGTTCGTGAGGATGTCTAGTCTTAGACTAACTGCATATTTGGCCTGGATCAATGCCTGGGTTTCGACACCATGGGACCACAAGCACGATGCTGAGCCTGTCATGTCGGTTGGCGAGATGGCCGGCTTTTTCAGAGATGAGAACCTGCTCCATCTCTTGCACGGTGACAATCTGAAAAAGATCATCACGTCCTTCCGGCACAGAGTTGATGCCAAGGAGATTCTTCTCGGGGGAACCGTCCCCCCGTCCTGTGATGAGACAAATATTTTGACACACCGGTACGACCCGCGGACTGACTGCACTTGCGATGGGGTATATCCTGTTCCTCCCGCTGCCACTTCCGAGTCCATACTGCAGCAGAATGAGTGCCGGGCAGTCCAGAAGATGGTCGATATGGCCAACTTGGTCAACTCGAAAGAGAATTAATGGAACCCCCGCGACCTGTTCACGGCCGAAGATCTCCAGAGCGCAATTGCTGAGTTCCTCCTCTTCAATGCAGACGAGCAGGGACCTCCCGAGACCTGTCTGGGCCCTATGCCCTCCATCGCCCACATACAAGCACCAGACTGCCGGATCAACCCTAGCTGCGATACCGATCTGTCCGTGTACCACCAGCTCTACCCGACAAACGAGCAGGTCAAGATACTCACAGACGCAAAATACTTCTTCGCCATCGCCTGCGGCGGCGGACGCTGCGACGAGGGCATTTCCAGAGCCGTAGCAGAGGCAGCAAACAATATCCTAATAGCAGACTACTGCGAAGCAGCAGATGAGAAGTCCCTACATCTGCTCCAGGAAGTCGAGGCGGCGGCCATGACATTCTTGAAGCTGTGCAATCTAGCAGGAGTTATTAGCGACTGGCAATTTGACAACAACATAGCTCAGACAATCCAGTTCGGGGTCCTAGGATACTACCGTGATCATTCACGGACCCGACGGCCCGGTGGTGTTTACGGGAGTTATATGAGCTCCGTCCTGTCGCATCGCTACATCGACCTCGCCATCTACGTGGGTGTTATGAACGCATCAATTGGTATTGGGGGGGCAAATTACTAGGGAGCAGTACACTTTGATTTCGGAGGCGTGCGTGCTGCTTAACGATCTAGTTGATTTCCGCAGTGACACGATGCGGAAACTGCGTGAGAATTTCATCTTGCGCGGGATCCGTGGAAATATCTGTGGATATTTGGACGGGTTGATATGCTCTTCTCTGCAGGTCGCCGCTAAGGCCATCGAGTCTAGTCCCGTGTGCGCGCTTGTGGTCATGGGCGTTTGCAATTGGGCGCTCATGGCGTCGCAGCACAAAGTATATGAAGTGTTTCATGGGGTTCGGGAGCGGAAGGGCGCGGCTGTATGCGAGTATGCCTCTGCCTCAAATGGATCCTACAAATGGCTTCTTAATGCGCTGAAGGGATATGGGACTCTGGGTGAGAACGGCCCAGACGTGGCGAAACGGCGCGTAGACATGGATATGGGGTTTGCTGCGCATCGAACTTCACCACAGACTAACATGGCCTGGCTGGCGGATAGTACGCGGAGTATGCTCCATCCTGGTAACTTGCGGAGAATCATTGATATTGTGCATTTTGAGTAGCTGGGACAGACTGGAGATGTAGAATATTGCCCTTGAACCGTAAACTTTTATGAAGGTTTCAGATATATACAAGATAATCACGAAGAACCAGCCTTCGCGTCTCTCTCCCTCTTCTTCTCCCATTCCTCCAAGAACCCTTGCACCTTCGGGCCCCAGACTTCCTCTCCAGCATCCAAATCCTTGTACTCGAGGATCTTATCAGAATCAAGTGTAAAGTCCGCCTGGCGCGTGCGGGAGAGCTCGCTCATGAGGGCGCAGCTACCAAGGGCTTTTCCTAGGTCGTGCGCGAGGGAACGGACATAGAAGCCGGAGGAGACGGTCATGGTGATTTTGACGGCAGGGGGTTGAGGGAGTTCGTTAGATCCAGGGTTGGATTCGGAGGTTTCGGTGGTCTCAGTGGTTTCGGTGACTGCTGGTTGTTCCACGGGTGCGTCTTGTGCGGCGTCATCGGATACCTTCTGCTTTTTCGGTGCTGGAACGGAGTCATCGGGTGTCACTTCTGTTGTTGTAGCAGTGGGCTGTTCTTTCTCTTCTTCCTGGCTCTCTGCAGGACGCTTTGTTGCGGATGAAGTCTCGAGCACCTGCTTTTCAGGCTGTCCCTCTTCTGCAGATACAGCAACAGGAAGCGCATCATCCTTTGCAAGCAACTTCTCTGCAACAGACTTCTCCTCCTCCGGCGCCTCCTCCTCAGGCCACTTATGCTCATGCGTACCCGGCTCATACCACTCCAGAATCTCCAGATTCGAAACCTCCACCGGCCTCGCCTGGATCTCAATCGGCGGCAGCTGCCCCTCCCGCGCATACTCATACAACTTCTTCCCCTTCACCTTCAATGCCGAGAAAACCGGCGGATGCTGCATGATCTTTCCCCGGAACTGCGCAAGCGCTTTCTCCACCCCCTCGCGCGTGACATGCGCATACGGCCCGCGCCTCACAATCTTCCCAACCCGATCATAGCTATCCGTCTCCGCCCCAAACACAACGACCGCCTCGTACGTCTTCTTACATCCCAAAAAATCATTCAACTGCTTCGTGCCCTTGCCCACACCCGTAACCAACACGCCCGTGGCAAGGGGGTCAAGGGTACCGCCATGTCCGATCTTCACATCGACGTTCTTGTTCCTGCGCTTGCGGGAGAATTTCGCTTCGCGGGAGGAGGAACGGGCGCGCTCGGCGCGCTCGTGCTCGATCCAGGGGCGGAAGAGCTCAGAGGGTTTGAAGTGAGATTGCAGCTTGCGGATTACGTCGGCGGAGGTCACGCTTTGGGGTTTATAGACGGCGAGGACGCCTTCATAGATCTTTTCGCCGGACATAGTTGTGCGAAAGAGTCGGAAGCCTCGGGGTAGGCTCATTAGCTGGGTAGCTCGTAGTTGTGATCCTGGGGTATAGATCAAAGAATTCAGGAATGCGCTGGTAGATATGAAGATTTCGTGATAAGAGGAGCTCAATTGAGTCCTGGGAAATGGTTGAGTTGAGAGAGTCGAGTCTTGATGTCGGACGGAAAATACAATCATGTAAAAATTACGAGATATACGTAACTTACACCCGATATGGTAAATAACACCTGAGGCATTTATATAACAACTATGATCACACCCGACAAGGAGTCAAATGAAACACGCAAAGCCAAGTCTGCATTCTCACGGCATCTCTTGTTGGAGGACTGCTGGCAATTTATTCCTACATATAGCCCGTTTCAGTCAGAGTAATCTATGTCGAGATGATATCATTCAAGAAGGTATACGGAAGAGTGGCTATAATGGAGACCGGAGGGACAATGTTTACTGAAGATGAGTGGATGATATTCCATTTATTACAAATACTGTATGAATGTAGAGATATCAATATCACCCTCAAACTGCTTCTATATAAGAAGAATGCGGTGTGTCTTACCAAACTGAACCAAGTAATTGTATAGTTCCTGTCTCGTAGACCGAATCCGCGAACTCATCGTCACCAAATCCTCATACTACATCTGTCGTAATCCATCGTCTTCAAGACTGGTTGCTGCTATCTTGGCTCCACACGCAGGCGGATTGGAGACCTCTGGCCGCTGGAGCACTTCAAGAACAGACTGGGTGTTTCTGGGTGTTTCTTCGGTCTTGGTGGTGATTCGACCGGGAATATACACTTCAGGAAGTGGAATTTGGGAGTATGGTGCTGTTGAGAATAGGGATAGGGTGTCAACAGTTGTGGTGGTGAGTGTTTGCGTCATTTTACTTTCGAGTTTGGGAGAATATGCAAAGCATGTTAATTCTTATTCTGGGTGGTCCTTTTATTATATTTTATGCTATGCTCAACATGATGATGCTATCACGGATAATGCCGAATTGTCGGATCAAAATCGACGCCAAATGATTACATTTCATACTATTAGATTTGTGTATTTTGGCTTCAGACCGAAAGCCGAGTCTTACTCCTTAAGAGGAAATAGGTAAATACCATGATTATGGAGTAGGAAGTATCATAAATTATATTTGAAGGCTGGGGTTCCCCAGAGCTACGAGGATGTTACTCTGGCTTCTGAGCAACGAAGCGAAGGCGAATGTAATTGACAGTATAAGAACCATCATGCTGCTGTCTTCCAACAGCCTCGAGAACGTCAACGGCATGTTTGACGGCTGCGTCGCGTGCCTCGGTCGTCTGGAGGAGTTTAAGAAAGGGCTTACCAAGCAGACGAATCCTATACGCCATCAGTTATAAAGCCAATAAATTATGAGTGTCAGACCTACCATCCTTCAACACCACCCTTCTCATTCTCTCTCAACGTTGTCTGTCTGAGTTAGACTTCGCCCTTGGCCCAGTTAAAGCCCGCTCCTTCAACAAAGTCCTTCATAGCCTGCTGCGATGGGAACCACCAAGGCGATGCTTCTCGCGCCTGCTCAACAGGAATTCCTTGGGTGACTAGACCGCTGATAATTGCGGAATGCACCTCGGCCACATTTCCCAGCGCACCGGACTCGTTGACCAGAAGGCCACCCGGTTTGAGCGCCTCGAAACGGCCCTTGGTCGTACTGGACCTGGTTTCAGGGTCTCGCAGAATTCAATGCAGGGCAGCGTTCGAAAAGACCTTGTCGAAGCTCCCGGTTGTGGGGTCGGACTCTTGATCCAGCAGTCGGCAATCGACAACCCGCGACTCGATGTGTGGGTAGGCCTTTTTGAAGTGCTCGATTATGTTGAGCCGTCGACTCCAGTCCCGATCAACACAGTTGGACGACAGTAAAGGATTACCCCCTTCGCAGCTAAGCAAGCTAACACACCGACTTGATAGAAAAAAAAAAAAAAAAAAAGCTGTTCGTCTTCATCACTGGCATCAAACTTCATCTTAAGGTAAATAAACACATTAAAGCAGTAGATTCTTGTATAGCTAAAATGGCTACCAGAATACTAAGAAGGCATTCGGTTCATTAGATACCAACTAAAACTTCATCAACACCTATCTGACAACTACAGAGACGCCTTAAAGTGATGTCTCCGCAATTCGGCTTCAAGTCCGCCGCATTATGAACACCAGTAATACCAAGGTTGATCTCCAAGTCCGCCAAAAGGCAACGAAGCACATGCAACGCACCCTCCTTTCCCTTTGCACCCAATCCATAAATAACCGGTCGACCAACAAACACAGCCTTCGCACCGAGTGCAACCGAGTGCAAGAGCCTTCGTCACATCTGCGCCAGTACGAACACCACTATCGAATAGAACATCGACGCGATTTCCTACCGCCTCTGCAATCTCCTGCAAAGCGTCCAGAAAACTGTATGCGCCATCATACTGTCTCCCGCCGTGGTTGGGCAGGGGATATAGAAGACAAGGCGCTATGAGTATGATATGAGTATGAGTATGGTCGACAAATTGAGGCTGGATTAAATACGCAGCTGCACTCAATTGGTTACATTAGAATTGGTTTACAAGATTCCTTCAATGATTTTGATTCAAAGGACCTACAATTTCCTGTACAATCTCTGGTGATATCACGTAATTGGGACTACTACCTGTTTCTTGAACTAATACTCTGGGATGCTCCGGGAGTGCTCCGGCTCCCAAAGCAAGTTGAGGGCTCTATGATGCGTGCCCCGGAGCGTCTTTCGACGCTCCCTGATCACGTGGGAGCCCCGTAAACATCCATGACCAACATCGACGTGCATCCTTGACAGGCAACAAGCATTCAGGTAGATAAATAGGCACGCTTTCTTTTTTTTTTTTTTTTTTTTTTTTTTTT